AAATGTTCACACTAGGTGGGTAGAGGCCACGAATAAATCCCCAACAGATTTCAGATCACCTAAGTCAAGATCCAGGGAGCAAATAAACAATTTAATTTTTTACCCAAATAGCCCAAATCTTGAAAAGTTTTCCATATCCGCGGACAAGAAAAATACTCATTTTTGGCCCGAAAATCTAACTTCACGAAATTAAGTCAAATGTTCACACATGGTGGGTAGAGGCCAGAAATAAATCCCCAACAGATTTCAGCTCACTTCAGTCAAGATCCATGGAGAAAATAAACAATTTAGTTTTTTACCCAAATAGCACAAATCTTGAAACGTTTTCCATATCCGCGGTCATCAAAAAATACTCATTTTTGGCACGAAAATCCAACTTCACGAAATTAGCTCAAATGGTCACACATGGTGGGTAGAGAACAGAAATAAATCCCCCAGAGATTTCAGATCACTTAAGTCAAGATCCAGGGAGAAAATAAACATTTCAGTTTTTTAAACAAATAGCCCAAATCTTGAAAAGTTTTCCATATCCGCGGTCATCAAAAATACTCATTTTTGGCCCGAAAATCCAACTTCACGAAATTAGCTCAAATGTTCACACTAGGTGGGTAGAGGCCACGAATAAATCCCCAACAGATTTCAGATCACCTAAGTCAAGATCCAGGGAGCAAATAAACAATTTAATTTTTTACCCAAATAGCCCAAATCTTGAAAAGTTTTCCATATCCGCGGACAAGAAAAATACTCATTTTTGGCCCGAAAATCTAACTTCACGAAATTAAGTCAAATGTTCACACATGGTGGGTAGAGGCCAGAAATAAATCCCCAACAGATTTCAGCTCACTTCAGTCAAGATCCATGGAGAAAATAAACAATTTAGTTTTTTACCCAAATAGCACAAATCTTGAAACGTTTTCCATATCCGCGGTCATCAAAAATACTCATTTTTGGCACGAAAATCCAACTTCACGAAATTAGCTCAAATGGTCACACATGGTGGGTAGAGAACAGAAATAAATCCCCCAGAGATTTCAGATCACTTAAGTCAAGATCCAGGGAGAAAATAAACATTTCAGTTTTTTAGCCAAATAGCCCAAATCTTGAAAAGTTTTCCATATCCGCGGTCATCAAAAATACTCATTTTTGGCCCGAAAATCCAACTTCACGAAATTAGCTCAAATGTTCACACATGGTGGGTAGAGGCCAGAAATAAATCCCCGAGAGATTTCAGCTCACTTAAGTCAAGATCCAAGGAGAAAATAAACATTTCAGTTTTTTACCCAAATAGCCCAAATTTTGAAAAGTTTTCCATATCCGCGGTCATCAAAAATACCCATTTTGGCCCGAAAATCCAACTTCACAAAATTACGTCAAAAGTTCACACATGGTGGGTAGAGGCCAGATATAAATCCCCCAGAGATTTCAGCTCACCTAAGTCAAGATCCATGGAGAAAACAAACAATTTAGTTTTTTACCCAAATAGCCCAAATCTTGAAAAGTTTTCCATATCCGCGGTCATCAAAAATACTCATTTTTGGCCCGAAAATCCAACTTCACAAAATTAAGTCAAATGTTCACACAAGGTGGGTAGAGGCCAGAAATAAATCCCCAGGAGATTTCAGCTCACCTAAGTCAATATCCAGGGAGAAAATAAACAATTTAGTTTTTTTACCCAAATAGCCCAAATCTTGAAAAGTTTTCCATATCCGCGGTCATCGAAAATACTCATTTTTGGCCAGAAAATCCAACTTCACAAAATTAGCTCAAATGTTCACACATGGTGTGTAGAGGCCAGAAATAAATCCCCTAGAGATTTCAGCTCACCTAAGTCAAGATCGAGGGAGAAAATAAACAATTTAGTTTTTTACCCAAATAGCCCAAATCCTGAAAAGTTTTCCATTTCTGCGGTCATCAAAAATACTCATTTTTGGCCCGAAAATCAAACTTCACGAAATTAAGTCAAATGTTCACACATGGTGGGTAGAGTCCAGAAATAAATGCCAGAGAGATTTCAGCTCACTTAAGTCAAGATCCAGGGAGAAAATAAACAATTTAGTTTTTACCCAAATTAATAGCCCAAATTTTGAAAAGTTTTCCATATCCGTGGTCATCAAAAATACTCAATTTTGGCCCAAAAATCCAACTTCACAAAATTAAGTCAAATGTTCACACAAGGTGGGTAGAGGCCAGAAATAAATCCCCAGGAGATTTCAGCTCACGTAAGTCAAGATCCAGGGAGAAAATAAACAATTTAGTTTTTTACCCAAATAGGCCTAATCTTGAAAAGGTTTCCATATCCGCGGTCATCAAAAATACTCATTTTTGGCCTGAAAATCCAACTTCATGAAAATAGCTCAAATGTTCACACATGGTGGGTAGAGGCCAGAAATAAATCCCGAGAGATTTCAGCTCACCTAAGTCAAGATCCAAGGAGAAAATAAACAATTTAGTTTTTTACCCAAATAGCCCAAATTTTGAAAAGTTTTCCATATCTGCGGTCATCAAAAATACTCATTTTTGGCCCTAAAATCCAACTTCACAAAATTAAGTCAAATGTTCACACATGGTGGGTAGAGGCCAGAAATAAATGCCCAAGAGATTTCAGCTCACCTAAGTCAAGATCCATGGAGAAAATAAACAATTTACTTTTTTACCCAAATCCGAATTCTTGAAACGTTTTCCATATCCGCGGTCATCAAAAATACTCATTTTTGGCCCGAAAATCCAACTTCACCAAATTAAATCAAATGTTCACACAAATAGGGTAGAGGCCAGAAATAAATGCCAGAGAGATTTCAGCTCACTTAAGTCAAGATCCAGGGAGAAAATAAACAATTTAGTTTTTACCCAAATTAATAGCCCAAATTTTGAAAAGTTTTCCATATCCGTGGTCATCAAAAATACTCAATTTTGGCCCAAAAATCCAACTTCACAAAATTAAGTCAAATGTTCACACAAGGTGGGTAGAGGCCAGAAATAAATCCCCAGGAGATTTCAGCTCACGTAAGTCAAGATCCAGGGAGAAAATAAACAATTTAGTTTTTTACCCAAATAGGCCTAATCTTGAAAAGGTTTCCATATCCGCGGTCATCAAAAATACTCATTTTTGGCCTGAAAATCCAACTTCATGAAAATAGCTCAAATGTTCACACATGGTGGGTAGAGGCCAGAAATAAATCCCGAGAGATTTCAGCTCACCTAAGTCAAGATCCAAGGAGAAAATAAACAATTTAGTTTTTTACCCAAATAGCCCAAATTTTGAAAAGTTTTCCATATCTGCGGTCATCAAAAATACTCATTTTTGGCCCTAAAATCCAACTTCACAAAATTAAGTCAAATGTTCACACATGGTGGGTAGAGGCCAGAAATAAATGCCCAAGAGATTTCAGCTCACCTAAGTCAAGATCCATGGAGAAAATAAACAATTTACTTTTTTACCCAAATCCGAATTCTTGAAACGTTTTCCATATCCGCGGTCATCAAAAATACTCATTTTTGGCCCGAAAATCCAACTTCACCAAATTAAATCAAATGTTCACACAAATAGGGTAGAGGCCAGAAATAAATGCCAGAGAGATTTCAGCTCATCTAAGTCAAGTCCCAGGGAGAAAATAAACAATTTAGTTTTTACCCAAATTAATAGCCCAAATTTTGAAAAGTTTTCCATATCCGCGGTCATCAAAAATACTCATTTTCGGCCCGAAAATCCAACTTTACAAAATTAAGTCTAATGTTCACACAAGTAGGGTAGAGGCCAAAAATAAATCCCTGAGAGATTTCAGCTCACTGAAGTCAAGATCCAGTCAGAAAATAAACATTTCAGTTTTTTGCCCTATTTCCTGAGAAAGAAGGCCGAGGGAAATAGGATCCTCTTCTGGTCACTCACAGGCCTGAGGGGGGCATTGACGTGAAAAAGGGACCAAATTATGCCATACCATATGTGTTTTATAACTCACCTCTGTCCAAAATATAACATAAGAAAAGAAACCTTTCAGGGTTTTATTACTGACCTGCTTTAATTCAACAATTAACTCAAAAGCAATTCAACTGTGAGCAATTCAACAATTAAAGGAACGCTTTTAGTTTCCCTAGATTAAATTTGTGAGTTTGAGTTTTGTCAGAGGGGGCTGTTAGCCGTCAAATTTTTTGAGTATAGTGCCCGATCAGGCACTGTACTCTGGAAATTACGCACACGCAATGTCTCGACGCGAGTCTAGTGATGTGATGTGGGATATGCTGTTTTTAACCCCCTCGGTGCGCATAGCAGCCGAGGCAATATACCACATCACAGCAGTCGATTCAAATCTACCCATTATTTCATAACAAAATGAATAAAAATTAATAAGAGCACCAGAAATTATCTGCCACTGTAACCGTCTTTCAAAATTAATAGCAACTGGAGAAGCCAGCAGCACAAAAGAATGTCCTTCGCCCAAATTAGTAACTGGCGACACAAAAGTGAGCGCAGGCCGTACGCGTGTACGTTCACAAAAGAGGTACAGGTTAATACAATTAAACGACTTCTGCTTGAGTGAAGCAAAAATATTGCCATTGTTAATTCCTAATCGCGCATCACTAGACACTAGTTAAAATTAGAACGTCTTCAAAGCTTTCTGGCCTCGTTCTTTCACATACCTTTTCAATCTAATATTGCTCATTCAAGCAGGGAATGGCTATAAAATATCAAAAGCAAGCTTTAGCACCAGTTCATACTGAAGCAAATTTTATGACGCCGACGACTAATGTTTTATTGTTCCATTCATTGTCACCCTAACGATTGGTATACTCCGGCCGTAGGGCTCAGAATTTGTCAAGAAGAAGTTTGTGGAGTACATGATTTCGTCTTGTCTCATTCGTATTTATGCAGGAATTTAATTTTTTAATTGATCTGCTATTTAGACATAAAAATTCATCAAAACAGGAAACATTCTCTTGATAATCAAAAACGTTGAATACAAAATTGGCAGAGTTTCATATCAATCGAGCACTGTGAATGAACCATGGAACTGCCCCAGATACTGCAACCTTCTGGACTGAAATCTCAGATTGTGGTGCTTTTCATGAGCTTGTTGATTGCCAGCATGGCTTTCTGCTTTGGAAGTCCGTGCACAGGCCAAACCAGGTTGCAATTCTATGGTGCAGAGAATCGCGCCCTCAATGGATCCGTTTACGAAACAACTACTGCCGTTTCCCCCGTGGCCTGCACACGCAACTGCCACGCCGATGTACGCTGCATGTCACTCAACTACTACTGGCTGAACAGCAGGTGCGAACTGAGCACTACTACCAGGTCACAGGAGCCGAGCCGTTTCACTGAGCGGCAGGGCAGTGTGTATTTTGACTCTGATGAAGGAACACAAGGATTTTCCGTTCCTTCCTTGACATCTGCCTTATCCACTCCGATGATAAATGAGGAAGCACCCGACTTGTCTATTACCACCACGACACTGGCCTTCTTCATCCCAGAAATAGCAGTGGATCCCATACCAAACGAACCCATTGAGCTGCCTCCCAGCCCAACAGAAAACCCAACCACCGGCTGTAAGAAACAAGGGGTGAATACCATCTATCCCTCGGGCACAGATGCTGGAATTCAGGTCGACTGCGAGCTGATCGGTGCCGAATATTGGATGGTGATTCAGCGTCGTCAGGATGGCAGCGTGGACTTCTACCGCAACTGGACCGAGTACCGCGACGGATTTGGCGACTTGTCTGGGGAATACTGGCTGGGAAACGACAAGATTCGGCGGCTGACTGAATCTCAGGATCCGTGGATGCTCCGTGTTGACCTGGCCGACTGGTATGGCCAACATCGCTGGGTCCTGTACAATGGCTTTTCAGTCCTGGGAGAAGAATACACCCTGCAGTTGGGCGACACCGCTGGCACAAGCCACTCCGACATCTCAGATTCATTTGACAGCTCTATCGGTCGGTCATTCTCGACTTGGGATCATGATAACGATCGCTTCTATGGTTCGTGCGCTGAAGACAGGCATGGAGGCTGGTGGTACGATAATTGTGTTTTGGCAAATCTGAATGGTTTTTACTTTCAGGAACAAACAAAGGACAATCATGCAATAATGTGGTATCGTTGGAAAGAATTCAATAGTCTCAAGCAATGCAGCATGAAAATACAAAGAGGTGAAATGTATTTAGGCACCGCATGAGCACTTAATCAATACTGGATTGACACCAGATTAACTTATGACTGAACATCAGATTAACACTGGACACTGGATTGACATCAGATTAACTTCAGATTGAACATCAGATTAACACTTGATCAACACTGGACTGACACCAGATTAACTTCAGATTGAACAACAGACCAACACTTAATCAACACTGAATTGACACCAGATTAACTTCAGATTGAACAATAGACTAACAATTGATCAACACTGGATTGACAACAGATTAACTTCAGATTAAACATCAGAGTAACACTTGATCAACACTGGATTGACACCAGATTAAGTTATGACTGAACATCAGATTAACACATGATCAACACTGGATTGACATCAGTTTAACTTCTGATTGAACATCAGATTAACACTTGATCAACACTGGATTGACACCAGATCAACTTCAAATTGAACAACAGACAACACTTAATCAACACTGGATTGACACCAGATTAACTTATGACTGAACATCAGATTAACACATTATCAACACTGGATTGACACCAGATCAACTTCAAATTGAACAACAGACAACACTTAATCAACACTGGATTGACACCAGATTAACTTATGACTGAACATCAGATTAACACTTGCTCAACACTGGATTGACACCAGATTAACTATAGATTGAAGTCGGAACATCAGATTAACACTTGATCAACACTGGATTGAAACTGGATTTTTTTTTTGAAATTGAAATGTTTCAATGCATTGTGATTTTGTGAAGGTATGACCCAACAAGCTCCGGCTACTCATTATGCCCCAAAAAATACTTCTGCTTCTGATTACATGGCATTAAAAATTGGGTAGGTAGGCAGGGATTTTTTTTGGGGGGGGCAATTTGTGTGTGTGTGTGTGTATGATCATATGGAGGTGCCTGCATATAGTCAAGGGTAACATGTAGTAATTGATGGTTTTGGGTGTTTTTTTCCTCATTTTTCCCATAAAAACAATTAGGGAAACCGGAGGCAGAACTATTTTTGGGGGCCTTATCACACTTACATGTACTACATAGCTTGTTCTACCTTTGCCTTTTGAAGAAAATAAATGTTTAAATTGAAAATGAATTAGAAAAGTCAAAGTTCAATTTTGTAATGAATGGCTTGGATAAAATCTGTTAAAAACTAATAATAATTTATACAAATATGAGGTCAATGTATGTGTGATTATTGAAAGATTAGCAACGGAAGTTTGTGATGTGTGCTAGCGACTAGAATATTTTTGATGTCTCTTTAGAGCGTCTAGATTTCCTTCAACTTTACAGATAAAAATAGCAACAGTAGAAAAACAAATCCCAGCCGTATCGCTTAAAAAAACTTATGGTAGGGTAGACAACAGTGTTACAGGCCATTATACAGTGTCTGTTTATTTTGCATTCTGCACGTACTGAATAATTATGCACAAAACCAAAAAAATTCAGTAGATGCCAAAAACAAGGATTTTATGCTTCGTTAGCCCATTTTTGGAAATTTGTTCCCTTTTCAGGTAGCATTAATGTTCCTTGTAAAAACGGTACTCTGTGTTTTTGGTCATCAATGGTAAGTGGAGTAGACATCTCTTGAATTGGACAAGATTAGAGTTTAATTTTAAAACAATTTAAAAACTCAGTAAAAGATTTTGTCGGTCGCACCACGAAGTGAGATAAAGTGTGCACAAAGTCTACGGACGATACGTCACTTCGTGGTGCATCCAACAATACAAAAGCTTTGCTTCTATTTCTATTTGATTTCATACTGTGAAATGGTAATTGAACTTATTAGTATACTATAATCACATCATTCAAAAAGTTTACTGCTGTTCACATGTAGGTTAACTGTAGTCAAATAAAAGCAAAAGTAATGTTTTGTAAGTGAAAGTAGACATGATGTTTGAAGCTAATATACAACATTTGCTTTTGCTGTAATTTTCAGAAATAGATGGATTTGGTTGTAAGTATTTCATAGCAAATACTCACACTGACTTGTTTGAAAATATGTTTTCATATCTGCTGGAAAAAATCAGGGAAAAAAATATGCTGTTTTTGTAGTCCGGTTCCCTGACCGTACTTCAGAAGAAACGGGGCAATTTATAGAAATTGGGGAATTGTCAAATCAAGAACCAGACTAGCTGGCTTGCACTGGTTCAAGAATGTGTATTCCGATTGCAAACCAAATGTGAACTAACACAATTTGGTAAATTGGGGGCCGACCATCGTTGGAAATTGATACAAAAATTCCGCTTGTCTTGAAAATGACAGCACACAAGGTGCCATGATTTCACAGGATGCTTGAGACTATTATTTACTGACAGTCAAGTAATTCATTCATAATCATTTGAGAGGGTCTTTTGTTTTTTTGGATGTTTGCAAATGTTGTATATTACCTTTAACCACTTCGCAGAATGTATTTTAAAAAATATCATATTCAAAAATGTAATTTAAAGACAACATTGTTTAAAATTCTTTTGGTAGCATTCATAGTATTTCACTCAAGTATTTTTTTATAAACAGGTCTAAAAACAAAATACAAATTTTGCAACAAAATTAATCCCTTGCTAATACATTGGGTCCATATTGAAATTGAAAATAAATATTCAAAGGAATTGGGGATGGAGTATGTTTTAGGGTCAATTTTTTTGGGGAGGGGGGGGGGGGGGGGAATGGCAAGAAAAAAAGAAAAGAAATAACCCTAACCCTATTCTGAATCGACTCTAACAATCTACATAGCAGCCATCTTTGTGGTACATGCTTTTGTTCTGCAGGGATATGCACTACCTCAAACATGGTCGGTGACTGCTAAAGGTCTATATATCCAACAGCTAGAGGTGTGAAGCCTGCTGAATCCAACATGATCCAACAGCTAGAACAAAAGATCGTTTGTTAACAGCTCAGATGAACAAAATCCGACGGATGTTTTTTTTGGCTATTAAATCTGATTACATTCATAAAGGTTAGGGTAACTGTTTCTTTTGCTGCATAATCTCCAGGGTTAAGCGACTTTTAAGAGAAAACCGGAAAAGACAAATGTCAAGACGCACAAACACATTGGGGAATAAAGTCAGAAAAGTCAAATATTTTTAGGTACATGTATTTTGATGTTAATGTATTTCATTTGTGATTTGTGAATATGTATATTTGTATATGAACTATTCATTTTAAGACCTTTAGGGAAAATAACTAGGAGAAGATAAGTCATGTTAAAGCAATCATGTCCAATACATGGCGACAGCAATAAATAATCTCCCTAGTAGAGTAACTATTGTGGATCCGTGTGAATATCAAAAGCTCTCATTTACAAAACTTGCCGATGTATTCGTGCGTGTGTTAGGGAGTTTAGTTATCGAATGAAACACGGATGATTAACTGCAGGACAAAGCATGACATCAGCTGTGAAATTGAAACAAATTGGCCTCTTGCCAGGCATGCAACTTGGAATTTAGAAGGAAAAAAGGAGGACACTCCAAACTACGCAAGACTTTGTACAGTGTTTTTCAATTTCGAATGGCATTCATGAGCAGTAACAAACGAGGAAATCAGCAGATCCAAGGAAAAGTTGCATGCCTGTTCTTCAAGGAAACTGCTACTGATGGCACAATGTACCGTGGATTCCTTCTACTCCACATAATTTTGTCTGAGGGCCTGTCACTTCTGGTGCCTTTGGCATCCTTTCCTCGGGTTGGGTCTCAAACATGATGAAATATTTATAACGTGATCCCCGTTGGCTATTGTCGAGGTTTGCAGCTTTGTTAAAAGGAAACATGCAGTGGAATTTCAACTTATCCTGTTTTTATGCACATTATTATGTGTTGTAACAATACATGCAAGATCTTAATACTTGTTTTCATTGGAAGTGACAAGAAACTGGTAATTTTTCAATGACTAGAAAATCCTTTCATCAATACATGTAAGAGGGCGCTACTTTGCTTTTGTTACACAAGATACTCTTTGTTTAAAGTGCATGAACAGTACAAAAATAAGTCCTTCAAAATTACCCACACAAAAAACTTTTGAAGAAATGTTGGCCACTACTATTGTCCAAACAAGCTGTTTGACATGATAAGCAAGTAAAAAGTGGAACTTACTCCAAGAAAATGAAGAAAAGATTGATATATGTTTGTACACAAAGCTATGGAGACACTGCTATTCTGCCATGAATGACATCACGCTTTTGCTCATGAATATGGACATTTTCATTAGCATAAAAACTAAAATGTTGCAATTTCTCCCTTTTACTGCTACAAAGGAGGTGGAAAGTCATAGTTACATTGCAAGAAAGCTGTTTTAAATGTTATTTTAGTCATAAAAATCCTATTACATGTTCCCTTTAATGTTCACTACATGTAGCGTTGTGACTTCGAGCATGATTCCTGGCTACATGGCAAATACGGTGTTAACCCTTCTGCTGTTTAACAGGTCACAAACAGTCAAAGTTTCCTTCCACTTCCCCTGGCATACTTTTAACACACAAATGGGTCACTTGACCAATATTGACCCAATTAACAGCATGGCCCAGAATGCATGACGAGTGACCCTTCAACAAAGAAGCTGACAAAATGAGGAACCGCTAACATAGGGCTGGATAGCTCAGTTGGTAGAACACCAGTACGGCAATCCGGAGTTCACAGGTTCAAACACCACTCCAGTCAATTTCTTTGTTCAACTTTTAGAAAATTGTTATAATGCTCCTAGTCAGTTTCCCTATGGGGTTTATTAAAAACTTATAGAAAATTAATAAGGGAATAAATGTGTGCTCTAGAGTTTTTATCACTCTGTTTAAGACCACTTAGAGTCTGGGTGCTGATAATTACCCGAGCCGGAGGCGAGGGTAATTATCAGCACCCAGACTCTAAGTGGTCTTAAACAGAGTGATTAATACCGACGGAGCACATATTTATTCCCATTCATAAAAAATCATATAATTCGTTCAAAACATCCCGATTTTGTTCAACAAATTCACTTTATGCTTTTTGAAACATCCCTCTTGCAAAATAATGGAGTGTTCAGCTGGCGAGTAAGATGTAAACAACCCTTTTATGGAGATTGACGCGCGCGTATCATGTTCTGCGCGGTGTCGCGCAGAACGCAGCTGGCGCATTGCGTTTTGAATTTAGAACTATAAAATTCTGACTCACTAGTAGTGTTGCGCATGCCTACGTGAGGATTGTGAACGTTCAACCAATGAAACGATAAGAGGCACTGGATTTTTAGGAGTCCACATTTTATTGTGACACTGGAAAAGTGTTTAAGACCAGCTAGCCATGTCTTTATCATCTGTTTAAGACCGGCCACGTGACGGGCTCTCGACCAATAGGAATGCGTAAACTGTCTTAGGTATTTATGAATAAAAATTAAATCAAGATCGGACTCCAGGATGTATTCTAGTCAATCTGAGGTAAGGCAGATGGGTTAGCCATGACAGCCTTGCTAATGGAACACTCATACCTCCTATGGTGATTCCCACACAAGCGGTCGCAAATTGTGGGATTTGTTAACTTTGAGATCGTGCACTTTTCCGCCATTTACAAGAGTGGATAGCAGGCTCTGTGGTGGCAGTTAGATCAGTAAGATCATCATGGGTTGAGATGGCCTAGCGGTTAAGAACACTGGACTCATGCTCTGGTGTTTCAGATGCAACAGTGGCGTGGGTTCAAGCAAGGGGCCCGGACACATGTGCCCTTGAGCAAGGCACTTGACCATTATTGCTTCGTCCTTCAGATGGGACGTAAAGCTGTAGGTCCCGTGTGTTGTGTAATGCACGTAAAAGAACCCAGCAATCACTTATCGCTAAGAGAAGGGGTTCGCCCCTGTGTTTCTGGCAGTTATCCTCATACATGAAACAGTATGAAGCTGTACGCGATAGCCACACCGGGCGTTTGTTCAGAAGCTAACAGATACAGATTAACCCTTGGATGCACAGATTATTGGGATTAGGTGAACATTTTCTAACGTTTCTTGGGGGTCCCTGGTGACCACCTTGCGACAGAATTATCCAGACTTAATAGCGAATTCTGTACAGGTTGAAGACTATTTACTAAACCTTGCCCTATCCTCTGTACATTTGCAGCAGCTCTGCTACGGTCCAAGAACAAACTGTGGACTTGCCAGTATTTGACAACTAAATAAATCTGTAGAAGTCTGCTGACAGTCTGCAGACCGTTCACTGAAGTTTGCCCTGATGTCACTGAATGCAAAAATCTGTAGAAATTTGCAAAAACTCTGTTGGCCTCTTATTGAAGTTTTCCCTTACCCATGTGAATTTAGCGAAGATAGGCTCTGCTCCGCTCCAAAGACAAAAATGGAGACTTGCCGAGAAGCAACCACTGAATTCTGTGAAAGCCTACAGAATTTTTTTCATTAACCCCAACCCCTTGGGTATATTTACTAGAAAGTATCTCGAATCCGCCAAAATCCATCAATTTTGCCATGCAAAAAAATTTGGTGGCCAGTGAGTCCATCAGAATCCACCAGTTAGCTGGGAGTAAATCTGTTGAGATCCTGCATCCATCAAAGTCCCCCAACTGCTCAATATGGAGGTATCCTAAATCCATCAAAATCCTGCAGCACCGCTAGGCTTCATGTTCCTGAATCCATAAAAATACCCCACCTTTTTCAATATGGAGGTATCCTGAATCTGCAGAAATCCCCCGAAACAGGGGTGCGTATTTTGATGGATTCAGGTACGTTAGGGTTAAAGTTCGCCCTTACCTCTGTGAATTTGGCGAGGCTCTGTTCCGGACCAAAGACAAACTTCAGCGGGATCTCTGTGGACCTGCAGGACGGCTTGGCAGGGTAGGAGACCTTGACGTGCTGAGCGACCATGTCTAAGGTCTCCACGGTAACCGGGAAGATGTGGTGCTTGGCCGAGGCAATCTCGTCCTCCAGTAGCCACTTGATCTGGGTCAAAGGACACGCATATATAAGGATCAGGGGTCAGATCAGATGTTTTTAGCTTGAAAGTGAAGTACAAATCGATTTTTACTGTTCAGCATCCACTGATTTCAAGTAAGAAAAAGCATTCCTTGTTTTTTAACCTTCTGGGTTTGAAATTAGATTACCTTTGTTCCTGAAATCATTAGGAATTGAAATAAGAGGTACCGGTACTTATTGGACTTTAAGAGGAAGGTGCAACTTGTCCCTGGCAAGATATTGTCTTTTTCCTTTTTTTGTTATAGGAATCAAAAGTGCCAACATCTAACAGCCAGTATTAGCAAACCCACTTGCATCTTTTCAAAATTGGCCTCATTTGCAGAAAACAAATCCTCGTTTCCCTAAGGACCAAAATTCTAGATACAAAGTCTTAATTGCCCTCCCTCCTGAGTTGCGACAGATTTCATCTCTAAGTGAATTTAAATAAGAACTGCAACTCACTTGTTCCAAATACATTGTGTGTACACTGTACCGGGTGAGTCAAAAAAGCGAAACCCAAATGTCGGACTATTGTTTTAGTGAAGTTTTGCATGTAGCACTTTCAAAATCTAGGATAAGAAAGCCAAATTCATAGGCTTTATTTTAGTACAAGAATCATTCAAATCACTCATGTAATTTTCAAGTTACGGAATTTTACACACAACCAACGTTTTAAAGGTCTGTCCACGGATCACGAAAAAGGTGTGCATTCTTTCAGCAAAACGAAAACAGTTCACACACATCCCTATGTGATTTGTTTTCGTCCTGCTGAAAGAACACTTACCTTACGTGGACAGAACTTTAAAATGGTGGTTGTGTTTACAATTCCGTAACTTAAAAATGACATTGTTCAGTGCATCTGGTCTGTTGAAGCAGCAAGTTATGTTTTGAGCTAGCGCCATGAGCGCTTTCGAGCGGATATCGGCGCTCTGTAAGACTCTGTTATTATTATTAATACCTCTTCTTTGGTTGTCTTGATGGCCATGATCTGAGGTTCTGGCAGACTGCCAAGTGCTTCAGGATCCACTCTGCTCAAAGTAAAAAAAAAATGACTTAACTCAAAATTACAAAACATACGTCATCAGATGTATCGACTTCGTATTTGAGCTTTAACGGACACAGGACTGTGGCAGTAAACAACTAGCTATGTGAATTCAAACACGGATCCTCTACACAAGGATAAACGACACCCTCAAATTTCTGGTTACATGCGTGATACGCACTTTGCGCGTCGTGCATGCGCTAAACGCACACGCACGCATGACTGCACAGTCAATTTGTAGGGCGCCAGCTAGCGCATTGTTCTACATGTTCTACACGTTGTTCTATGCGCGCGGACGCGGCATATCACGCATGTAGACAATCCGTTCCGTACATTTTGTACACAAGCTCAGATGAGTCGTTTATCCTTGTGTAGAGGATCCGTGATTCCAATAAGCTCCAATTCTGGAGATAACTACCTGAATTTGCTAAACACAAATAAATTGCTAAACACAGAAACTATTTTTAGTACACTGGTTACCTACCAAAATGTCACACAGAGCCAGGGTGACCGTAAGGTCATGGCAAAATTCTGCTAAATGCGCTTCAAAAATCTGTCAGATTTATCAAAAAACTGCTTAATTCCCCAGATTTCCTCGAAATACACTAAAAACCCTTAAAATCACATGCAGATTTGTAGTACTGCCTTAATTAAGGTCCAAATTACATTATTAACAATTTATAGTCACATCGAGATGTTATGAAATTATTGCGTAAATTTCAGGCAAAACGCGGTTCCCAGTGAACCTCAGCGCCAACCTGTCCCATTATGCAAGGGCTTGTTTGAAAAGATTGAAGATTGAACAATTTTTTTTTTCAAATTTGCAAAATTTTCTGTAAATAACCATTTTTGCAGAATTCTGCCAGATATCTGCCAAAAATATCCATTCTGTCAAATTTTCTGTCAAACTCGTTTTTTTTAACAAAAAATCTGTCAAAGTTAGCAGAAAATCGGCTAAAACGGTCACCCTGCACAGAGCACATTCCTTACAACTGGTTCACAATCCATTGTGGCTTTTTCCACATACATTTTCCAAGCAGCATTTTCTTACTTACGAGCGTAACTTTTTTTTTTGGCCTTGAGGTCAATTTTGAAGATGTGCTCAGCAGAAAATAGTGTAGAAGCAAATTTATGTGCTCGGCAAATAAATGGCATTGTCTGAATTACCTGGCTATGGCCAGTAGTAACACACGTGTCTATGGGAAGTACGAGCCATAGCCACGTGATTGGAGATACGACTTGGCAGCTCTACGGCACTGCTAAGCAAAAAAATTTGCTTAGCACAAAAAAAGCCTGGTTTATAGAAGCAGTTTTCCAGCCAAAACTCCACACGTGATTTTCATGCTATAGCAAACAACAGCTGAATACTAATCAAGAGCAATAAACATCACGTGGAGTTTTGGCTGGTTACCTGTTTTTATAAGCCAGACTTTTTTTGTGCTAAGCAAATTTTTGTGCTTAGCAGCGCCGTGAAATTGGCCCCTGATGGTGAGGGTACTCACCCATGACCGTCCACTTCATCAAACTCGGACAGCTCTCGACCCCTGCCTGGCGACAGGAGGTACGGGTTATCCATTTGAAGCTGCGGGGACTGGGGCGGCGTGGATTCCGTAACGGACACCTCGCGTCGACGGTCTGCGAACACGTCGTCACCGTCTGCTGCCTCGGGTTCGTCGAGCTCCGACGGCAGGGTCAGGCAGATGAGGTCAAGGGTCACTGAGAGGTCGGCGGGGTCAATCTCATCCTCGGGGGGACTCTCCAGGCAGTCCATGAGATGTCCTGTTGAGGTCAAGAAGGTGAGATTTAAAGTTTCTTTAATATTTTACAAATACATGGATCAAATTGCGCGTCGTGGAAAAGTTATCATAACTGGTTCATTTTTCAAATTTTATGACAGGCTTCTAGATGTCCTTCTTTCAGATATAGGTCGTCATTACAAAGTTACAGTGATATTTTTTAGAATATTTACAAAACTTCAAACTTCAAATCCTCAGCTTGAAATTTTTTAATACTGATACAATTTCACTTGCAGTTTAAGATTACCATGTGTTTGTAGCTGATAAACTTTCTCATATTTTAAGATTACCATGTGTTTGTAGCTGATAAACTTTCTCATATTTTAAGATTACCATGTGTTTGTAGCTGATAAACTTTCTCATATTTTAAGATTACCATGTGTTTGTAGCTGATAAACTTTCTCATACTTCACAGTTAAATTTATGCTCAAGCATCAATAAGTATACAGGGTGAGTAAAAAAAACAGAACCCCAACCAAATAAATATATGTCATGTTTAAACAAATATGCAGCACTGAAAATAATTACGACTTGTAATCCAATTTAATAAACTACTTTTATATGAAAAAAATTACTACAATTGCTCAATACGTTCAAATTATATCAACATTTCAACGAAATGACCTTAAAATCTGTTTTGTCAAGTGGATTTGATAAATCATATTGTTAGCCAAAGCAGGGTTGATAATAAAGATATTTAAATAAATATCTATTGTTAAAAAGATTTACAGATGTTGAAACAATCATTCTGGTTTTTTTTTATGAAACTGATTTAAGGGTTACTTTGTTTAAATAGTGATGAAATTTAACTTTTACAGTAATTGAAATATTTGTTTCACTTAAAAGTAGTTTAAGAAATTGGCTTTCCAGTCATAATTACTTTTGGTGCTACAATTTTTTAAATATGAAATACATTTCTTTGGATTGGGTTCCGCTGTTTTTTACTTACCTTGTATAAAAATGGTGACCTCCCTGCCATTATATCAAGAAGAAAATTAAATCTGTACTTTTTGCAAAAATACTAACTGAATGTCAGTTGCAAAGACTAAAGGACAAGTGATATCAACAGTTAAGTAAAATAGATCTTCCGTTATTCCCTCTGGATCCAAAAAAAGAAAAGAAAAAAATTACTGCACCCACCTAGACATGTTGGTAGAGTCCTCCTGGACATATTCCCCACGTTATTCTTCAGCTTGACGGAGCATACCAAGTGCACAAACAGGGGTGACATCTCCTCCTCATAGCTGCCCATCAGGGATTCCGTGGAGGTGCTCTGTTCGTCGCTATCTGCGAGAGAGTTCTTCTCCCTCCGTCGCAGTGAGGACTGGTAGACATCCACAATGGAGTTGATCTTGTTCTCAGGGATGGGGATCTCGTCGTTGTCCGAGGTGTAACTTGTCACTGTGATTGGGCATTGCAATGGGACAAAATCATGAGTTTAATCATGGAAATAATTGTTCCCAACAAAGTACACCCCTTTATTACCATAAATGGTGTGGTCCATAAGTACCGTGATGGTGCATGCAGCACAGTAGTAATGTCACATCAATGTGACGGTATGGTCACCAACGAAGACAGCTTTCACTCACGCACAGCCGGCTGGCCGGCCACACTTTTGGTACCGCTCGGTACCTTTTCGTGGGACGTGCTTCCACTGTTTGTTAATGATTTACCTCAGGTAACGATTGATAATTCATTTCAGCAACAGATCTTTTCTTATACCAGTACATTAAATACACATTTGAATTTTTATTCTTCAAGGCTTGGGGTATAAGCCGCAGTAAACATTTTCATGGGCAAAATCAACGTATATTCCAAAAATTACGGTATTTAAAGTCTGTCATGAGCCAATATGGTGCATTAGGCCGGAGTTTATCTGTCCGGTTTCCTTGGCATAAAATGACCGAGAATATTTCTATTCCTCCTGGATGGGATGCTAGTCCATCACAGGTTATTCCCCAGCTAATGCTGGTACCCATTTATACTCCTGGTTGGAGGGAGGCAGAGGTGAAGTGGCTTGCCCAAGGACACAATAAATGGCCAGCAGCTGGATTCGAACCGCTGACCTTCAGATCGTGAGTCACAAACCCTAACCACTAGGCCACACTCCCAAAAGAGTGGCACATGTTCACTTCACACTTCAGTTGGTGTGCTCTGATCATTATCAGGTGAAATATTGTAATAGTTTCTCTCACAGAAACTAGCCTCACGGACTAGATGAAGGAAACGAGGACATTTTTGTCAGGATATATTTTCTTGGACCCCACGGCGCTTGTTTAGGGATTCTTTCAATTTCTGTGACCCACCAGGAACGTGTATTATTTTGTTCTACTGCACTCTTTAAAGCCCTTCGTTATTTGATTAGTGTTCGCTGCCTACTCCACTGACACAGTTCTAACAATACATTATATGACAGTCAAACACTAAACTTCTGAATTTTTTTTTGATATTTTTTTTTGGGGGGGGGGGGAGGATTGGTGGTTGGGGTTGGGTGGTGGTGGTGGCAAGGGGGTGGGAGGGGGTTTTACTTGGTAATGATGATACTAACCACTCATTTGTTCTGACGTCATTTCTTCCGGTATGCTGGTGGTGTGAAGCTTATCTGGCTCAAATGACATCACATCAGATTTGTTGTCATCTTCACCTTCTTGGAAAATCATATCAATCTGTACCCAAAAATCACCCAAAAAAACAGTCCTTCAGTTCAAATTGTATTGCAGAAACTGCAATAGAAGAAGTCCTGAATGGGCAAAGTGAATTAAACTAAGACAAAACTTAATCAATTAATCGAGCAATTGATCAATAGTTCAATCAATCTGCTGCTGTCACCTACCTCTCTGTCCTGAAACTCCGGTTGGCGGAAGTACCATATGTCGGGGTTGGAGGGCACCGGTTGAAAGTGGTCGCTCATGACCTGCGTGAACTTCTTCTGGATGAGCTGGTGCAGGTCGTTGGTTCCCGTCGGGCAAGGTTTAGCAGACATGAGAGCCGAGAGCGGTACTTTGACGGAATGACGCGACGTCTTGGACAGCGACGGTTTGTTAGGCTTTTGCAAGGACTTGGATTTTGTGTGAGCCCTGTTGACAGAAATATTACTGTGTGAACAGATCTCACAAAATGAATTTCAAGTAGGGGTGTGCTTTCACGGGTCATTTTGGAATCAGGTACCCAAAGCAGTCATGGGCCGGCACTGCTGCAGCCAGATTGAAATGTAAAATCCCAAGCCCTTTGTCAAGTATGCAACTGGGCATTTAGAAAAACGAGGTAATTCCAAAGCCCACAAGATTTTGTACACGATTTTTCAATTTGTAATGCCATTTATGAGAAATATAAAAGCAGGAAATCAGTGGATCCGTGGAGAAGTTGCATGCCTGCTTTGTCTGAACTTGTTGGCAATCGGACTCAATGCAAAATTAAGTATTCCTTGGCCAAAAAGCATCAGTAATCGATCAATAAGAACTTGAGTTTCAATAAGTAGTCAGAAAGTGAAAAGATGGTTTAGGGCATAAAAACTAAAAATAATTGAAGGTATGTATATCAGGTACAAAATAGTTTTCTTTACCGAATCCCTGTTTGCTCTGCATCATTATCGTCTTCGTCGACATCCACTTGGACTTGGTCGGCAAATTTGATCTTCTTGGCCAGAAGGTCGCTGGCTTGTTGCTCAATACTAAGCTGTAAAGGACAAAGAACAACATCAAGTCAACATTCCAATATTTGAAAGAAAAAAACTGCAGGACAACTGCATTAAGGAGTAGATCATAATTATAAAATCACAGATGTCAGATGTAACAGGGACAGGAAAAAAGTGGAGCCCAAATTGATAGCGTGACCCATATATGTGTCTAAATTCAATAATAAATTAAGAACTAAAATGACAGTCAACAACTTGAATACTAAAAAAGGTTATTTGATCAATCAGTGTCTTGAGATATTCATTTTAGTTTAGTACAACTTGATCAACAGATTAGGGGAAACTTGAAACATTCTCAAAAAGCATTTAAGACCCAGAAAAAAATGTTACCTTTTCACTATACTTTCTGACGTGTCCACACACTGCATGTAGGAAGTGGGTGATGTCAATATCATGCAGCGATTCCACACAGATGAAGTCGAGAGCCATCTGCACATCGCGGGCGTCAACATACTGGCCCCGCTGCAGACTCTTAAAAATCCCCATCACAAAGTACTTGCTGATCTTCTCGCCGAGCTGAGAGCAGAATCGGCCCAGGGTCTTGCTGGGCTGTCCTGAGCTGAGAGTCCGGGAGAGTGGGGCTCCGGCGAGGAGGTCCAAATGACCCCGGGAGGAATGCCTGGACAGGGAGGCCCGAGGAGTTCCTGTGCCGCTCCTGGAGGGGGTCTGGGATGCCATGAAAGCCGGGGTCTGAGCCTCCAGAGAGGCGAAGGTTAGGTCTTGAAAGAAATCCGGTGGCACCTCGTGAGCTTCATGCTTCAGGAGTTGGTGCTTGAGGGAGGAGAGGGAGCAATCGTAGACGTATATCGGTAACGTGAGACCGTGCTTGCAGTCCGAGAAATCAGGACTCTGGGAATCAGGCTGGTCCTCGTCACAGAGAGAATCATCTCCAAGTGCTACCTCAGAGGTGTTTAAGTCATCAGGCACAGGGGTGGGGTCTTGGGGAGGCACTGTTGATGAGCTCCTGGAATCCAGGACTTTGGCATCTGATTCTGATTTTCCGTCACCGTTCTGGTTTCCGCCATCGCCGTTGGGCTTTCCAAGCTCCATCAGCTTCTGGAGGTCACCGTAGCTAGCCGGCACAAATGTCAAAACCAGGTGTGAGCTGGGCTTGGAATCCTTGTCGGCGTCGCTAACTCGGACAGCTTCCTTGACGAAGCAGGTCCATCGCGGGACCAGGCTCTCCCGCCTTGCTTGGCCTTCTCTCATTGCCTGCTGCCAGGCCTCTGGTTGAGTACTGGAGTGAGAATCGGAAAGATCCGTCATCAAACTCGTGGTCCTGCCGACATCCACTTTTGGAACCTGCCTAGCCCTCTTCATCAGAGCTTCGAAGTCCGAGTCTGGAAGCTGGAATGGAGCTGGTCCGCTGTCGGCGTCCCGGCTCCTGTCCAGGACCATCTTGGCGAAATTGAGACTGTCCTCCTCGGAGAGTGTGAGCTCGTGATTGGTCATCTTGGCCAGGGCGTTCAGAAGGAGACAGTAGAGGGTACAGTTGGGTTTCGGGTATCGTGGAAAGTTTGGTCTTGGGAAGGAGTCGTCGGCACCATTTTCAGTTGTTGGTTCTGAAATCAAACATGATCCAACTTCAACAAACACTGATCTTATTGCTTTGTACGTGCGTGTGTATTTTTAATTGCCACATCTCAACTTTTCTACAATTTCTTAAAGAGGTTGTGGAATGCTCGAAGACATTTCCGTCATTTTTCGGGTATATGTAGCCTAAGGTGTGATGAAATAAAAACGACTATTGTGTCTGTCATGAAATGAGTACAAAAGGTACTTTTGAGAGCTGTTTTTCAGGTCCTGTTTCGACCCGAACCTGCAATTTGTTTAAAAGTCATCGTTGGGGGCAGCAAACAAAACATAGTAAATCATGACGTAATATACAGGACTCCTGATGCAGCGTAGTATAAACGAGTCCTGTTTATTACGTCACGATTTTTCTCATTTTACGAAGAACCCGACGACTGTTCATTTCAATTATGCGCTCGCCGGCCAACAAATTACTCGATGAATTTCAGTTTTATAAACATATATAAACGCACATTACAAAAGAATGGGACTTTGTCATTTTGAAATATATGGGTCTACTCTACAATAAAAAAATATAAAAAACAAAACGACTTTCAGCATTCTACAACCTCTTTAACTATTGACAAAGCTAAAAGCTGTCTGTACTGTTTGGTATTGGCAACAATGAAAATGTTGGAGATGATAACAAAAAGATTCCTTTTTTTGTTGTTCATCCCGTGTTACTTGTGACTGGACTTGTGATTTGACTTGTGACAAAACTTGTGACGATCTATCACACGTTCTTCGACAACATCACTGCATAATACTGAGAACTAAGGAAAGTTTTACCCTCGATGTACGTGGAGCACAAGACCTCCGCCTGCTGGCACTTTGGAAGAAGCTTCAGCACCTCCAAGGAGTAAGGCAGGTGGGTGATGGACTCACTGAGTCTCAGGGTCTCCCCCACCGTGTCCGTCGAGGGGTGCGCCACGAAGGGCGTCATCATGCCTCGCTCGCGACACAGGACCTTGAGGTGTTCGTAGGTCAGCAAGGTGGAGATGACCTCCTGGTCTAAGGGGAACAGCTGGGTACGAATAAGGGAATAAATGTGTGCTCCGGAGGTTTTTATCACTCTGTTTAATACCACTTAGAGTCTGGGTGCTGATAATTACCCGAGCCGGAGGCGAGGGTAATTATCAGCACCCAGACTCTAAGTGGTATTAAACAGAGTGATAAATACCGACGGAGTACATATTTATTCCCATTCATAAATACCTTTTCGGTAAAAAAAAATCATATAATTCGTTCAAAACATCCCGATTTTGTTCAACAAATTCACTTTATGCTTTTTGAAACATCCCTCCTGCAAAATAATGGAGTGTTCAGCTGGCCAGTAAGATGAAAACAACCCTTTTATGGAGATTGACGCGCGCGTATCATGTTCTACGCGATGTCGCGCAGAACGCACCTGGCGCGTTGCGTTTTGAATTTAGAACTTTAAAATTCTGACTCCCTAGTAGTGTTGCGCATGCCTACGTGAGGATTGTGAACGTTCAACCAATGAAACGATAAGAGGCACTGGATTTTTAGGAGTCCACATTTTATTGTGACACTGGAAAAGTGTTTAAGACCAGCTAGCCATGTCTTTATCATCCGTTTAATACCGGCCACGTGACGGGCTCTCGACCAATAGGAATGGCTAAACTGTCTGAGGTATTTATGAATCGTGAATAAAACACAAGAAGGATTTGTTAATGGTTCAAAATCTGCTTGTCCTCTTTGTTGCATTAAACAAACACAACTTGGTCTTTCCATGAGGTCAGAGAATGCTTTGTGACATTCTGAAATAATTGTAAGTGAAGTATAAGTGTCCCTAACTTCCCTTTTTACCAAACAATGACTAGTCTAGTCACAGACTTCCGTGTTTGAATTTACCCACTTGTTTCTGCGTGATTGATAGAACAGAAGTTGAGTCAACAATTTTAATTTATAATAGTCATCAAATTGCAATATTTTCAATATGTTGTAAATTGTAATGCTTTCTTTCCTTTCGAAATACCCATTTATCGCCCTTGATTGGATGGGCCCAGTCAGGACACAAAATATATGTAACAAATAGGACATTACACACATTGCAGATCCTATACATGGTGCCCGGATGTGCTGTATTCTCGTAAAATCTCATAGGTTTTTGAGGTCAATTTACACGCTCTCTTGGATGAGTATTTCAGTTTTTGAAACTTTTTGAAATATTTAGCAAAAATGGCAAAAATTAATTTTTGTGTCCGCGCTACGTCCGTAACCACTCTTCCTTAAAAGTTGGAAACTAACCTTTTAGTCTCTATACTACCCCGAACCACCATGCCTCTTACTTTCTGCACTGCCCCAAATCACCCTGCCTGTTACTATCTGTACTGCTGCAAATGGCCCTGCCTGTTCTCCATTCTGCCCAAAACCATCCTGCCTATCATTCCACATTTTGCCCCTAACCGCCCAAGCACTCCATGATCTTATGGATTCATCAGGGAATAACTAAAATGTAATACAATGTAGTACAAAAAGTTCTGGGATTGGTCGAAACATCATGGGGGGCGGGGCTTAATGGATCAGCCTACCCTTACCACTTGAGGAACGTCCTTGTAGCTGCAGTTTTGGAAGTATTCTCTCTCGCTGGGTACGTCGAACGCCGTGCCGCTCTGAGGTTCCACCCAGCATTCTGTCACCAGCTGTAGTCTGCCGTCTGCCTCCGCTGTGTCCTGCTCGTCAAGAGGGTCCAAGTCGGGATGGTTGGAGCCCCTGGGAGGAAAGAAAGAAATTCACATCACTCTTCAGATGTTTTGAAAATTTTAAAGTTCCTTCAGCATATGGAATGAATAAATCATATCTGTTCAATGCTCTTAAAGAGCTTTTCATTTTCAAAGATTAAGCCGGTGTGGTGTGAGAATGGGACTCCATGAAATACGGACTGATTGGTTGTATTGTGAAGTTAATTAGGACAGTGGGAGTGTTAGAGTCCATTTAAGGCAAAACAGACCAGATTTCATGGGAGTCACAATTTCATATGACACTTTTTTTGTGTGACCAGAACACCCTTGCCATGACAGCAAATATGAACATGAATTTGTGAGTTCACAGCAAGTTGTTATAAAGGTTGAATCATTTTATATTCAGCACAATTTTGCTGTGAAGAATTTTGTTGGGTGAACTTTTGTTCCAGTCAGTCTTCAATTCAAATAAGATTTTTTTATCACTTTTGTCCTTCAAAGAGTTTGGGAAATTGCAAATGATTCTATTGGTCTTTGTAACAAATCTATTTCCTATTTTTTCGAGACTGAAACCTGACCTTATCAATACGAATGAAGACAGGAGATTCTTTGGAATCTTCCCTTTAGTTTGATTTGCCAAGTACAAAAGTACACCTACATGCAGAACACAGTGCTTCTTTGTATATGAAATTCAAGTGACCTTACTTAAAGCTACAGTCCATCATTTGCAGCCATCAAAAAAGTAACTGACGTAATTATTGTTGAAAAAACATACTTGGTTGAAAGATAATAAGGGGACTAAACTCCCTGTGAAATTTTTCTTTCTGGCACGCTGTTGAAGAAATCAACAAAAGAAGGCCTTTTCCAACAGTGCGTCTAAAGACGCAGAAATTCCGTTCGTAGTTCGGGTTTTTTTTTAATTCGGCGAAGCGCGCGCAAGCGTTGACACAACGCACATGCACAGGGGGTCATATAATTCGTCGATTCAGTGCCGCGTAGCTGTAATCTGCTCAGTGAGAACGTGTCTTGGACGCTGAATTCAGGGCCAATTCAAAACATGATTCAGCAAATTTGGATTTGAAATTGAGATCCTAGAATGCTGTTTTTCTCGGAATATACAGCTGAAGCTGAGCTGAAACTTCATCAGGTTAGTTGTTCAGCACCCTTCTTTAGATTCTGCGCACATTTGTTGCTTCGAACGAACAAAATGCACAAATTTCAAATGATGGACTGTACCTATAAGAGGGCGTAGGGACAAGGGCGAGCTGGCCGTTTTCTGACTCTATATCTAAAAGAGCTATTGACACAGTGTTCAGACTACATTCTCACCCTGTAGTCCTGTCCATGCAGTATGTCGCCGTGTGCGGCGGGAACACGATGTACTGCACCAGGCATGGGAACACATCGTCCCCCGCCCCGTCTGTCGCTGTGTCTGTCACCCCATCTGCCACTGTGTCTGGGTCCACGTCTGCTGACTCTGCTTCAGGCTTGGGACTGGCCGGTGGTTGTTGGGACTGGGTTAGTCCGGGGTAGAGGTCCCTACTGCCAGACTTCATTGGATTCTGTACGGAGGGAGGACAACTTGGGCATTTACAGATTTTTCTTTGTGCCAGTTTCTTAATTTTAACTTCTCAGTTTTACTCAGTTCTACTTCAAGCTCTATACGTTTACTGTTGTGACCCCTGTTAAAAAGTTAGATCAAGAAGGACCAGGGGTGTGAGTGACCACTGATAAAAATAGCTGAAAACAGCTGAAAAAGGTGTAAAAAAGCTGAACTTTGGAAATCTCCTATACTTTTGTACACAGCAAGTGAGGGAAAAAACGCTGAAATCCACAACAGAAACAGCTGAAATCAGCTTTAAAGCTGAGATTTCACACCCCTGAAGGACACAGAAATCGTCCTCTACCTTTTTATGATACAGTGAAATCTCGATAAGTCAAAACCTGTTAACTAAAAAACCCTTCTAACTCCAAGTAAAAACGTTTTCCTGTCAATTGTTGTTGAATAGAGAATCCATTGGATAACTCAAAACTCTGCTCAACTCAAAATTTGAGCCAATTCCCCCGAGGTTTGACTTATAGAGATTCCACGTTAATTTGTTCTGTAAAAATTGCATACTTTTTGCATTATAGAGCTTCACCACTGCCACTAAAATTGAATAATAGACAAAAAGATCAATTTTGTCAAGATCCCTTTTGAAATAAAACTATGTGCAGTACAATTTAATGACTCTCTGCGAAGGTTAAAAACATTTTAGAAGGAAAATTAAACGGTTTCCATGGTTACCTTCATCTTGAGTTCGGTGACAAAACTGATGATCCCCGAGTTGGAGTAGGAGAAATGGAAGCCTTCCTGAAGCCTCAAACTAGGACAAAAATGAGAAAATATTGACACATAAATTTAAAAGATTCTTAACTTTTAACATTATAATTTTACGAAGGCAAAAATTGGGTTTAAGAATCACAAAAATAAATACAGATGGAAAGAAGAGTGAAAGCGTCTCCTTCATCAATTAAATTCATCAAACAAACTACTGGTTTTGAAAATAAATCAGATATTCTGAAAATGTTAATGAGATTATCACAACTATAAATGCCAAAACAAAAAAATTCACCAAAATACATTGAACACTTTTGAATGAGTATTCGCTCTTTTCACACTTCCGCCATGGGCATGCAGAGCCTCGATCTGGCAACTTAACAGACTGAGAATATAGCCGGTTCAGTGATTCCCATGTCGGGGTTCAGATCACTGAACCGGCTATTTTTATTGTGTAAAGTTGCTAGATCAAGGCTGTGCATGCCCAATGGCGGAGTGTGAAAAGAGCGAATTGTGAAGTGATCCCCACTCAGGATTGCAAGAAGAATATGCTTCAAAACTCATTACTTTGAGAAGTTTTGAGGAGTTTTGAGTCAATAAAAACGCAGTATTAGAAACAAAAATATTAAGAATATAAACCACCCCTATTCATCATAATGTTAACCCTCTTTTCAAAGTACCTTTCCTTCTCTTCACTATGCTTTTTATCCCATCTCATTTGGACAATCCTGTCCAGAGATAGAGTACATTGAAGAAGGGTTATAAATTCCAAGCTGGTCTGATTTGTGAAATCACACATACCTAATGAAAGGTTTGAATTCAGTACAGGTGAAAGTATTTGTGGATCACAAAGAAGGACATGTGTGGCAGGATTAGGCTTACATAATCCTTTAGTCCACAATCAATGTTATTAGTCAATAATTCATGATGCTTTGAAACAATGATAGTCCAGTTATTAAATTTAAGTGATACTTATCATCAGTTGTTTCAAAGAAAGTTTTGTTCTGGTTTAATTGTCTTCAATGCATACCTGCATTGTACATAACTGGTCGTTGTGTTAAGGTCATTGAATCAGACCAACCCGCTTCAGAAGGGCTTCACAAAACTTGTCATAACTTTTGAACCAAAAGTCCAAATTCCACCAAACAAAAATCTTGTCAAAGATGAAATTATGGACAATCAAATCCTTATCAAATTAGGCACACCAGTAGCATAATTTTCTCAGAAAAAAAATCGCTTTGAATCCTGCGTTTTTATTGACACACGCTGTATTATGCATCTCTCTCAAGACTTACTCTGTGAGAACAGACAGGACATGGGCCACCGCTTCCGTTGAGATAGGAGCACTGCGATCATTCTGAGCATCCCATATCCATCGATGATGGTGTAGGTAGCAGGCCAGACGATTCAGGTCCTTGACGGGCCCTTTGCTGTCCATGTAGACAGGAACGGAACCCGTCGTGACTTGGATCGAAGTCTTTAGGTCAGCGAAGTCCGGAGGCATCCTTTCGTATCTGAAAGTGGAAAGAATTAAAAAGGCCTGGTAGTGGAGAATTTCTTAATAACTTCATTAATTTGGGCCAGACCACTGACATTATAATAGTCGTCTACATTTTTAAGACAGAATTGCAGACAAAACTACAACAAGTACATGATCAATGTTTTAGTACTCTAAGCAGGTTATTGTCTGCTGATGTTTCATGGCGACCGTAAGCTCATGAAAGAGCATGCTAACTGATTTGCTTAAAATGGTTATGAAAAAAAGAAGATCGCTGTGTACACACAGTCATGCACTTATTTTGTTATGATATATGATAAACGTTAGCACAGATTCATTTGCTAACAATCTATCCATCGTCATGATCGTGGATCTTTTAAAAAAAAATCTGGGCCATGTTCACACGGGTTTACAGAATATTAACAAAAAAGAAATTTGCGATATCAATTTGAAATTCCAGATGTGAGCACATTATAAGCTAAGCTAACAAACCTTCAGATATAAATAAACAGTCCTATTAGGCAAAGGGCTCATTTGCAAAAAACAACAGCTGAGAACAGGTTTTCAGAAATGTAAACGCCTTGAACTTTTGGCTGATTAACGTTTCACAAACGACAACAAATTCGGTTCCAGATATAAGCTGGCAATATCACTTGTTACAAGGTGTCTTAGACATCATACTGTGATTTCATTGGTTGAGAACGACCTCGCGCCAAATTTTTAAAACAAGTCTATCCCGGTGATGCCAAAAAAGTCATGCCCTGTATCACCACTTTTAAATAACAAACTTTAAACAAGCTGGAACTTCAGCAGTAACGTACTTGACCAGGATGATATCAATAGGCCTGGCCAGGATGATGACACAGGACTTGTCTGTGTTCTGTTTCTGCTCCTGCTGGGCAGCTTTGCCCTTGGCCGCTGCAGCCATCTTAGAGACGATGGACTTGCGCTGGCCGGTGTTGGCTTTGAGGTAGCCAGTCTGCCTGGTAGGCACGGTCAGGTCTTGTAACTTCTGCCTCAGTTCGCTCACGATCTAAGCATCAAGGCAAAACAAATAAATACTTCACATGTATGCAAAGAGAAACAATCACATTAATGCGAAGAGATGTGGCAAAACATTTGTGACAAAATCCACCAGACACGAAATTTGTGCCATGCGAATTCTTGCTGTGGTTGACCTTCAATTTAATTAATTAGCCTAAGCAACATGGCAAAAAAGGCCCATTGAATCTAAAGGCTGTTTAATACTTCACATAAGTGCAAAAGGAAATCACAGGAGTAAAAAGAGACATAGCAAGCTTTTTGTGGTAAACTTTGCCAGAGTTGAAATGCGTTAATTTTTTTTTTTTGCAAATGTGACCTGATCAAAACAAAATGAGTTCCAAGTTGCAAGAATTACTTTTGAGTGACACTCGTTAAAACAAAAAGCAGAATTTGTTCTTTTCACTAAACCTGAAAAATAAATTGGTTGATAAAAGCCCTTAAAACTTATTTTGCGGGATCCAGTCACAAATTCTGCTATTCAAATACTTGCCAGAGTGTAACAACCTCACAATCAATTTTCACTTATGTGCCGAGTGTGAACTGATCTAAACTGTCAGCGTTTAAAAAAAGGAAATTGCGGGAGCTTTGTGATAGAATAAGTAAATGACTCGAAGTTCTCCCAAATCTTGTAGGAGCCTTCTGTTTCCTCTTTACCTGGTTTCTCTCATGTCCCGGCGTTCCTCCCAGGAAGGCTAGTCTGATGACCACACAAGGTGCTTTAGACTGCACTCTGATCAGATAGAAGGACGTAGGAGGACTACTGGCATCCCTAGTCAATATCAACAACAACAAAAAATATTCAGAAACTTTTTATTAGCTTGTCTCCACCCTTGCAGAGTCATGTGACAGGCATAATTTGGGGTGTAATAAGACTTCACACTTAATCAGGACTTTTAGCGTGACAACGATTTGTTCAATATAAAAGAATGTGTAACTGTGGGTAACTGGCAAAAATTCCCAATAAACCACAGATTAAACCAAAGAAGTTGACTGAACTGATACATGTATTTGAACAACCGACTTCTGGAACACTGTACCGACGTTCCAACCAACTGAGCTGTCCGGCTGTAAGTTAGCATCTTCCAATCTTACACTGTCTTTATGGTGCACTAATGTATTCGGTTGAGTCCAGAGCGAATAAGAATGCATCGAATTTATCATTGATATGCTAATGATTGTATGGTTCGATGGTTAGAGCGGGAATTTTGAATAGGGAGTGGTATGTGATGCTAGCGGAGAAACGTGTCACTTCACGTTTGCCAGCAGCAACGCAACACACGTTATTTATTCAATTTATATGCTATTGTAATGGCTAACGTAATTTCAATCTTAAAATATGTTGTTTTAAGAACCTCCCATTATCATTGCTTAGCTAGCCTGAGAGCGGTGGTCAGCATAGGTCAGTGCATACGTTTCCACTTTTTCCAAAAAGGTTTGTAGTTTTTCGTATCTGGCGATCACCAGAAGCAATGGGTCAAATTTACGGTTTATTATGATGATATATCTTGATGTATATTGTGCAAAGTTATCAGTAATAATGATGTGTATTGGAGAAGTTGAAGAAACAAGCGTAGGCTAATTAAAGTACTGGTTGCTGCAGCTCACACAATCCCAAATTAATGAGTATAGTCATAAACCAGGTTGAACTCCTGAGCTAGTCAATTTCTTTATTTAACTTTTGATAAATTGAAAATATAGTTAGCAGGTGCCATGTCACTCATTCTTTTGAGAAACAAAAGTAATAATCTTTCCCAAAATATCTTATAACGACAGGTTATCCTGACTTACGTTGACGTGAGGGTGATGTAGCTGTGGTTCTCCAGCAACGTGAAGGTGCTGAATTCAGTCAAGAGTGAGTTGAGCTCCTTCTGGGCAACTCTGCTCTGGATGTTGTTGTATCGACCGTTGCTATTAGGCAGGTACAGATGCTTTGGCAAAGGCCTAAAGGGGGGGGGGGGGGGGAGAGGGAGTACATTAATAGCACAACAAATGAAATGGAATTTGTCAAGTTTTTGGCAGAATAAAGGATGTCAACCGCTATTGTGGCACTCAAATCACCATCATTCTAAGTTTCTGCAAGTGTCATTGTGTCATTGTCGTAATAAGTTGTCAATGTCATTATTAGTTGTCATTGTCATTGTCTGTGACAGGTGTCTTCTGGTTGATTCACTTACATATCTGGCACCAGGAGAAGAGCAATTCTGTGAGTGTGCAACCATCTCTGCCTGCGAGCAAAAATTGGGGAAAAAAATATAAAAATGATTTCACGACTTACTTCAACACAACACGGAAACACCTTCTCAATTAAAGAATCTGAAATGATTGATTTGACTGATATTACCATTTCTTGGGTTCCATGAGAGAGATCCTTTTCCAGAATCCTGCAAACAGCTCCAGGCTGGAATCTCTGTAAGAAATTAAACAAAAGGATGCGCAATCAACCAATCTACAGTAGGCTTCTACTGAAGATTGTCACCCCCGTTTCAGGCTAGCATTCTAGAACCCCACAGAACCAATTTATTCAATAGATTTAGATGAAAGTGCATGAAAAGTTTGACCGTTTTAAAACAGTTCGGGAGCGACTTTGTCAAAAGGTCGACTTTTGCAATCATTTGGAGTGACTCCCAAGTCAAGTCAAAGGAAATTAATACTCAGTGTGTTACCTCCCGAGTGAAAGTTGGAAAAAATCACTCAAGTGGGACTCGAACCCACGATCTCCTGCTTTCTAGTGCAGACGCTTTCTAGTGAAGGGCAAAAACCTAATGTGATTTACATCACCCCGACACAAAATTCGATCTTATGAACAGGAAAATTAATAAATAATGCAAGCTTGTCTAAAACCAAAACCTGCTTGAGTCGACCCAATCACAGGGCTGCAAATTCGAAGTCACACAAAAGAAATTTATAGCTTTACGAGATTCATTCCAGTGTTTTTATTTTTCCAACTTTTTAATGGCATATATGAGAAATTAAAAACAAGAGCAAATCAGCTGATCCAAGGAAATCTTGCATTTCTGTAAATACCATTACGTTCAAATCTGGAATCTCAGTCTGAAATGGTTACCACATGTCTTAGAAACCTACTTGCTGTCAAATTTCTGAGCCAGGACCGGGGTCTCGGAGTAAGGAGGCATGTAGAGCAGAGGGATACCCTTCTTGATGCCGTCGGGCACCGTGTAGTAGATGGAGTTGGTGGAGAAAGACTGCAGATGGACCAGAAGTTGATCGGTCTCCTGCAAACTGGGGGATCGAGAAGAAACAATTTTTGAAAAATTTTAAACGCAAAAAAATAGCAACTGATGCTAAAATGTGACCCAACTTAACAATATGAGTCACTAGTTGGTAGAGGTACTGTTGAGTGTTTGAACTATTTACAAATCCTGTGCAATGGAAATCAGTCAAAACAAGGCGAGTCAGAATGATCTGGACCCAAGTTCACAATTTTTTTGTGGCAAATAGAGTATTTTGAGAACAAAACTGAGTGTTTCATATGAATGGTTATTATCTAGTCTTCCACAGGAATTTTGAAATTTTCAAATTTAGCGGCTGTGGTGAGGAGTTACGCCATTTTCATTGAAGTGGCTCATTTTCCAGTCTGCACACGGAATTGGTTTTGCCTTTTTTAAAAGTGTCAATAACTTCAAGTGAGTCAGTCACCATGACTAGGTTTTTATTTATTGTTACACTGCTTCACATCAGTACGCGATTTCAATAAATTTGTTGAACCATGGAACCGTGGTCAGAGTGTTTTTTTAGCGTGTGTTCTTTGCTAGTGCTTTTTTTCAAAATGGTACAATGGATATACATGAAACTTTCACCAAATGTGTCAAAAATACCAGCCTATAACATATCTCATTTGCATTTGTTTTGATAATTGCTTCATATTTTTATTATTTTCATTAATTTGCATGCACATCATTCTGACTCACCCTGTATTTTCACATATCTGAATATGTAAAGATGTCAAACAGTGTGATCTGTGAAAATACAGAGCAAAGTACGCTCTTCTCACTGCACTGGTAAAATCCATTCAGTACAACAATGTCCTTAAGACTCAAACAGAGACTCGTGTGGGTTTCAGGTTTACCTGCGCAGCGTCTGCCAGAAGTTCATGACCACCCTGGTGCGGTAGGCATTGTGGGGACTCTTCTTCATGCGACACGTCAAGTCATGAAGGAACTCATAGCTACCCTCCATGATGACATCCACGTTGGTCAGATGCCTGCCAACCAAATCATACAACTTCAAATATTTTGGTTCCTTTTTCAAATTCTGCTCTTTTTTTTTGTGGACCGACTTCTCTGAAAGCTGCATAGCATCCTAAAACCAGATAAATGTTCATCAAAATATCAAAATGTACCCTTTTTACAATAAGCAACAATTCTATATTCTCAACACACAATATGCCAAACCGGTATTCCAACTTCACATGAACATAACAAGATTCCACGATTTTCAATTTGGGATAAACTCAGCAGATAAATTCACACAAGTCTATGGGGGACGTGGTAACCGAATCTGCATTCTGTAATTTTTCATGCACTCCAACAGACGATGGCAATTTCGTTCACACAAAAGTTGAGGCATACAAAACGTCTAAGAACACTTCGCTGTCAAAACATTTTGAAATTTTGCACTTACTTCACAACATATATTTTTTTTTTAATTTTGCTGGTACCTGCTATGATTTTGCATGCATATGGCAAACTATTTATTCCGAAAGGAAAAACGCCAAATCTTGATGTGCACATGTGTAGTTGAAATACATAACTTGATTATTTGTAATAACAAAATCCAACTCTTACCCCCAACCCCCGGATATAAATTCACAAAAATATAAATACTAAAAATAGAATTTCCACATGTGGTTTACACCAACCTGTTAGGATTCAGGGGCCATGCTGAGGATGCAATGTACTCAATCCTGCCGTTGTATTTCCAGGGGAGTGCTAACTTCACCTCAATCTGTTTGTCATCTAACATAATATATCAAAATATTGATTACTAATAACACTACTACCCATTGGTCACTGTGCCGCCCCAAACCAGCCCAGCACTGTACACTCTTATGGATTCATCCAGGAGTAAAAACAATGTAATACAATGTGATACAATGTAATACAATGTACTACAATGTAACACAATGTAACACAAATGCTAATTGGTTTACATTCATTTCAGCAAGGCATTTGAGAGTCGTGGCCAACCAACTTATTCCTAAGATTGAATAAAGCTTGACGTTTGGAACAATCAGGAGCGACTACACACATAATTGTGACTGTTGCAATTGTGCGGAACAACTCCAGCATCTAGTCAATGGAAATTTTCCTGTCTGAAATTAAAATCTATTTTGGTCAACAAGAGTTGCTCCTTATACTTTTGCAGTGTTAAGAGTACAGAATATCAAGGGTCTATGATATGCGAGCAGATTCGGCTATTAATTATGCAAAACAAAACTGGGTTTTGATCTCCAAATTCCGACCATTCAGCGATCGCCTCCTATCGGGTCTTCCGTATAACCCGTTGTTGTATTACAAAAACAGGACAGCCAAATTAACCAATCAACAGCTTAGTCCACATTTCTTATCGAAATGATGTCACAATTTCTAAAGTTGATTCTGATTGGCTGGCGCGCAGGGTCGCATAAACTTTGCATTGCTCACATATGTGATGCGATCAAGCTAAATGAGTCGTTTGTCGGGAATTTTTATTTAGAGATACAGGCCAAAATAGGGCCACTTCATCACATCTCTTCATCACATCTCTTGGTGTTCCAACTTCCATTATTTTGGAACTAAAGAAGGTACCCGCAACGGTTTTAACAGCAGTAATGCTGAGATTGTGCTCTTTTCAAATCTATAATAAAAATGTTTTTGACCAGGGTCGACAAACTACTCATGTAGCTTGATCGCATCACATATATCAGACGTTGGTTATGGAGAGCGCTCCATTGGACAATGGTTGATACTCAGAATAAAGCAGTGTGCCCTTGTGCCTAGGCAGACAGGTATCCATACATACTTTTAGTAAGAGCTACATCCTTGATGGTGTAGCCTTCTCTCAGTCTGACAGACAGCACGTTAGCCAGGCTGGTATGCAGCTTGTAATCACGGTGCTTCTTCCTGATCAAGGGAATGGTGCACAGCCCTTGCTTGTTGACAGCGAAAGGAGCTGGCGGCTGGATTCTGAAAGATCAAGGTTCTGACATTACGGAGTTTAAGTATTGATTGTATTTTTGTGTATAAATTTCAATATTCAATAAGTTACAGGGTTTTTAATAATCACAACATTTCAACGAAACTTACAACGAAATATGAAACTTAAGTACATACTTCAAAATGGACATCACCCTTAGCCCTAACCCTCCCCAATCCTCCAAAATCCTCCTTGTGGTTTTTGGAGGATTTTGGAGGATTGAGGCTGAATGGTATTTTTTAAGATAAGGATTTTGGAGGATTGAGGCTGAATGGTATTTTTCAGAAAAGGATTTTGGAGGATTGAGGCTGAATGGTATTTTTTCAGAAAAGGATTTTGGAGGATTGAGGCTGAATGGTATTTTGAGGCAGGACTGTCTGACGATTTTGAAGGATTGAGGGGCTGGGTACCCTTCATTCGAACATAAGTGCAACATTTTTGGATGAGGAGGATTTTTGAAGGATTGAGGATGAATGCATTTTGAGGCAGGACTGTCTGAAAATTTTGAAGAATTTAGGCGCTGTTGTAAAATTTGGGAGGATTTTGGAGGATGGTTCCAAGAAAAAAGGCCTAGGGGGTTAGGGTTAGTAGAGCATGTCAGTTGCGCTCAAAAACCTGCAAGATTTTACGAGAATACGGCACAACCAGGCACCATGTATAGGATCTACCTGTGTAACGTCCTATTTTTGTATTTATTTTGTGTCCTGACTGGGCCCATCCAATCAAGGGCAATAAGTGGGTATTTCGAAAGAATAGAAAGCATTACAATTTATTGAAAATATTGCGAATTGATGACTTTTATCAAGTTGACTCAACCTCCGTTCAACACAGATAGCAATTGGGTGAATTCAAAAACGGGGTCTGTGACCAGACTAGTCAGTGTTTGGTACCAAGACATTCACATGAAACAGTGAACGTTGACTGGAGAGACTTACATGCTCTATAATCGAGAAAAAGATCTAATAATACTAATTATAATAATAATAATAAGTTAAAATTTATATAGCGCCCGTCCATGAAAAAAATGATGCTCCTAGGCGCTTTCCATAAAAAAATTAAGACAAGGATAAAAATACAATGAAGCGTATACTTAAAAAGATTTAAACCCGGTTCATAACCCACACAGATAAAAATTGATCTACTGATCTACATCAGAGATCTACATCGGTAGATCAGAAATCTACTGATCTCATGGATTGGACTTCAGTATCAAAACTATCCTCACACAATGAAATATTAGCCTTGTTACGTGTTTGTGCACTATTGTTTTTTGACTGCTGTTAAAGGTAACATACATTTTTTTTTTAAATGTAACGAGATCAAGATTCTTTTGCCTGAACAACAGAGCTTTTATCCATAATTTGTATCGGTAAAAGTTATTTTGTGTGTATTATTGACCATACCCTTCTGTCTGACAGGCTACTTCCGACGAGATGACTTGATGCTGTCTCCCTGTCAAATAAAACAAAAAACACCCGAAACCAAATATCAAAAATCCAGACTTTGTCCTGAACAAATGTTTACCTGATAACCTTAATGACTGTTATACAGCAGTTCTTTCTATTTATAGTAAACACCTCTTCCAACAGTTTGTACTCTGCCTCAGATGAAATATAATAACTGCAGATAATTAACATTACTACAACTTTTTGAGTAAATTCCACCGAAGCTTCCTAAATTACTAATTTAAAACCATTTTTGATTAACAGCTTCGGTGTTATTGGATTTTTATCAGTGAAATTGCATGGCAAGTGTGTAAATACACAGTTTACCACACCTTTAAGTTTAGGAGTCACAAATATAAACTAACAGTACTCAACTGCATTGTGTAACATTGGTGGGGGGGGGGTCTAGAGACTTTGGACTAATTACATGCAAATAGTGTTCCATTACTATGGCATTTTTTATTGCAATGGCTCAATTTGATTTATTTTTCTATACAGAGTGTGCCAAAAAAGTGCAACACTGAGAAAACAACTATTTGAAACTGTTAAATGTTTCTTTCTCCAACTAAATTATATATCACATTAAAGCCTGACTATTTCTCATTCCACTCCTTTTTACCCCATTTCTCGCGGGTACCTAGATCAAGAAATATAATCAATTAAGTGAAAGGGTGTAAATTTTACTTGGGCCACTCTCACCTCGACATGCTGAATCTGGGTTAAGCATTGAATTGGCAATGAACTTGGTGACATCACAGGTGAGAATGGCCAAAGTATCATTTACACCCCTTCACTTAATTAATTGTATTGCTGGATCTAGGGACCCAAATGGAATGGGGTATTCACAAGGCGTGGATTGACAAAGAGTCAGGCTTTAATGTAATATATAATTTCATTGAAGAAGAAAAAATTAAACAGTTTGAATTATTTGTTTTCTGAATGTTGCACTTTTTTTGGAACACTCTGTATTTCCAAATGGTCTCTTACCTTTAATGTAGTCTATCTTGATACCGTCCAGCCCTTTCTGGAAGTTCCAGGATAGGAATGCCCTGTGGTACTGGTTCATCTCAATTTGATTGGAGCGCTACGGGGTAAATCATTTGTAGAATTCTAAAACATACTTTGAGAATATTAAAATGAAGATATTGATGTTGTTTTTGTGAACAACCAACTGATACTTCTTTTTTTTTCGTACATGGAGTAACAAGATTGGAGAATGAAGCATCATGTACAGTAAGGGTGGATGGGAAGTACAATAAAAAATCCTTCAAAATATAATAATAACAATAATAATAATAACTGTGTTTATATACCAGGTAGTGCTTTATACCAACAGTCTAAAAGCGCATTACAATTAGTACCCCTGTTCATCAGGCTATGAGACCAGTTTTTGCAGCAGCTCAAGATCAGCGCATTCCGGTCTCTACCTTCACAGGTACCCATTTATACTCCTGGGTGGAGAGAGGCAATTGTAGTAAAGTGTCTTGCCCAAGAACACAAGCACCATGTTCCCCAGTTGTTAAAATTCACCTAGTCAGTTTCCCTTTGTGGTTCATTTGAAAATTTGTAATAAAAAGCCGTATCCTCTCTGAGTGATCCCCGTTTACCATTTCCCAGGTATGTATCGTGACTTTGGGCGTGATCCCTGGCTGTATGGCATATACGGATTGATGGCTTCTGGCTAGCGCCCCTTGAACAAAAGATATTGACGAATTGGGGAACTGCCACCATAGGGCTGGATAGCTCAGTTGGTACAGCACTGGAACGGCAATCCGGAGGTCGCAGGTTCAAACCCTGCCCCAGTCAATTTCTTTGTTCAACTTTTCAAAAATTTGGAAAAAGACTAAGATGCAGACATTTTCAGCATGTATCTTTCTCCAAATACTGATATCCCTACACGTAAGACCAAAAAATAATACTTCTGCTTCCGCTTACATGGCATCTGAAAATAGGGTAGGTAGGTAGGGAATTAAATTTTTTTGGGTGCAATTTTTGTTTGCGTTGCTCATATGTAGGTGTCTGCGTGTAGTCAAGGGTAAAAGGTAGTAATTGATGGTTTTGGGGGTTTTTCTTCCTCATTTTTTCCCACAAAACATTAGGGTAGGGGCTGTCAAAATAGAATAGGTAGGGTAACCGGAAGCAGAACTATTATGTTTTTTGCCTAATAAAATGCCAAGTATTAAGACCACACTGTCCATATTGTCAGGGATAATTCCTACGTCACTTCCTTACATTTCTGTGTAATTGGTCAACACAGAAAAGGACTTAACCCTAAAGGGGCCGCACCTCAACTTTTTCCGCGGTAGCTTTGAAAAAAATTTCGCAACCCGAGCTGTTATGACTTTTTAGCCTCAAACCTTGTGCATCTTTTGATACCAAAATTATAAAAATCGGACCAAGGGTTGCCACGCAACAAAATATTTCCGGCTCTATGCGCCGTGAGTGAAAACTGAATTTTCCCATATACATAGTGTACACAGAGCAGAAATACCATTCGTGCATATGAATATTTAATTAGCCATAATTCCAAAACCCTATGACCTATAGTCATGAAATTTCTTGGGTATGTTCATGATAAGTTGTTGTATGCCTGTATCGAGTTTCATAATTTTTCGTTGTTCGAAAGCCGAGATCTTAGGGGGGCGGAATCCCCCCCCCCCCCCCAATTGAGAGATGGTAAAAATAGCTCAGCCCTTTTAGGGTTAATGCCATCAGCGTTAAAAACAATAAGCTGTACTTTCCTGAGCTCAAAGGACAACTAGGGTTTAATTTGTAAAAGCCACTCACTATTTTGGGGCACTTGGACAGGAAAGCTCCGAAGGTTGCTGTGGCGATGAACTGCATGATCTCCGTGTGCGGGATGTAACCAAAGCTGCAGTGCGGGTGGAAGCCTTTACCCACTTGCAGGAAGGAGCACGCCACGGTGCTGTTCCTCATCTGCGTCAGGAGGTGATTAGTTGAGGCGATGTCTGGCATGGCCGTCACGCCGTCAGTCACGCAGATGATGCCTGGTGTTTGTGAGAACAAGTGTGAGTGTTAAAGGTTGGTTTAGGATGGTAAAATAGGGGAGCTATAGCCCAATGGTTACATGGGTTTGAATCCTGACGGGGAACATGGTTCTTGTGCTCTTGAGCAAGGCACTTTACCATTATCAGATTATTGTTTCGTCCTTCGAATGGGACGTAAAGCCGCAAGTCCTGTGTGTTGTGTAATGCACGTTAAAGAACCCAGTAACACTTCTCGCTAAGAGAAGGGGTTTGCCCCGGTGTTTCTGGCAGTGGCTGCAATATGCACCACAGCACCTTGTAAACCCCTATATAGGTGCTACATAATGGGTCGCACATTTCTCATAAACTTCATTTACCTGTCTTTAAAAATAGACATAATTACCAGCGCCTTGAGTACCTAATTGTTGGTAGATACGTGCTCTATAAAAGATGGTGTTGTTTTTATTATCATTATTATTATTATTATTAAAAAAAAGACGGTAATAAAGTAGGGCCGTAAGTATTATTCAGTTACTCGATTAATTGATCAAAATATCGATTATTAGGTTACATTTTTCTATTTGACTAATCGAAAACCGCTTTGTGAAAATAAAGGCTTCCTTTCAGAAGGCGTATGAGAACTTGTGATGGACTTGCGATTGACTTGTGATGGACTTGTGATTGACTTGGGATGGACTTGTGATTGACTTGTGATTGACTTGTGATTGACTTGTGATTGACTTGTGATTGACTTGTGATTGACTTGGGATTGACTTGGGATTGACTTGGGATTGACTTGGGATTGACTTGGGATTGACTTGGGTTTGACTTGGGATTGACTTGAGATTGACTTGAGATTGACCTGCAATTGACTCGTGAATGACTCGTGATTGACTCGTGATTGACTTGGGATTGACTTGGGATTGACTTGGGATTGACTTGGGATTGACTTGGGATTGACTTGGGATTGACTTGGGATTGACTTGGGATTGATTTGGGATTGACTTGGGATTGACTTGGGATTGACTTGGGATTGATTTGGGATTGACTTGGGATTGACTTGGGATTGACTTGGGATTGATTTGGGATTGACTTGGGATTGACTTGGGATTGACTTGAGATTGACTTGAGATTGACTTGCAATTGACTCGTGAATGACTTGTGATTGACTTGTGATTGACTTGTGATTGACTTATGATTGGCTTGTGACTGACTTGTGATTAACTTGTGATTGACTTATGATTGACTTGTGATTGACTTGTGATTGACTAGTGACTGACAGGGGTGTGAGTGGAGTCCAAAATAAATAGCTGAAAATAGCTGAACCTGTAAATAACCGAACCTGCGAGCGCGAAGCCCTTACGGCGTGGGGTTCGGGGCCCGCCCAAGGGCCCCGGAAAAATTTTGAAATGTAGATGCTCTGTGGTGCATTTTAAAGCCCCCTGGCATGCCTGGGCCAACTATTGGTCGAAAATGTTTTGCAATTTATGCATGTTTTTAAGTTAACTTTTCCTTCTATTTGCTTGAAACTGCCTAAATGGCCAACTTGTATATGAAAACTGGGAAATTCAATCGCCGTTTTCCATATTTTAACTCCTTACTGCAGAATATTGATACACATCGTCATCGCGTGTCCCTGCTTCTGATCGAGTCGCCTAATTTCTGCCCATTAAGTTAACCATGTGTTCCATCCAAATCCATTTCCACGGATTCGTAACCTGAGGATCGGTCCTGTCAATGTCCGAATGAAACTCCGAACCTCTTGGGATAATAACACATTTGTGTTGCACTGACATCTTGCGGAATTAATGTCAAAATACGTTCGAAACATTTGAAACGACACACTAACGTACGTACGTATCAGCATGCAGCGGAATACGCAGCAGGATGCGTGCATGCAATGAAATGCACACATGAACTTTGCCCCGCATGATGCCCTCTACCGGCGCGGCACGTCGGCGACAATTTACTAGTCTTATTTCAAGGCTTTATATTTGCAACAAGACGATGTTTACAACAAGTTATTGTGGAGATCATCGCGTGTCACTACATGCATAGACACAGGAACGGCCGCAAAGAGTCCCAACGCGCTTCATGGCGCATGTGTGAATATTCATATTTATCTGCAGCCAATCACAGTGCAATGACTGTTGGTTCCCCGGATGCTGTTTACACGTTGTGTACACACGCGGCTTCGAGCTGAAAATGCATGCACATGGCATCGTATAGTACACACGTACGTACGTAAATGTAAATGTACATGTACATGTACATTGAATACTCGCTTGCACGCACCCCATCTCAGAGCTACGTGTATGTTGTAGAGAGCGGATCGCGTGCGTTCGGCGGCGGCGGAAAATAAAATAAACGGAAATAAAATCAAAGCTTAAGCGCGGGGGAAAAAGCGGTGGGAAATCTGGACCATCGGAAGAAAAAAAGCGGAAAACAAAATGTGGCACGCTGAACAAAAAAGCGGAAATCCGCTAAATAGCGGAGATTTCACACCCCTGCAGTCCTTGTGATTGACTTATGATTGATTTATGAGGACTTGCGATGGACTCAACTACAAACACAAAACACTGGCCGTTGCTACACCTACCTGCACTAGTGTTCTCCGGCAGCAACTGCAACGCCAAAATACCGCACCAGAGCATGTTGACGAAGCACGCTTCAGGGGTCGCCATATCCTGGGTCTCCATCTCCTGTCGCTGGGCGGCAGATGACAACAGCGAACCCGCGGGTTCAACAATGTCGTCAAATATGCTCTGGTGGCCGGGGTCGAGATTTTCATTCAGCTGACTTGTGAACATATCTGGAAAAAAAACATATATTGATAGAAAATCAGTTTACTGCGCAGTGTTTCATTAAAAATAATACAAGGCCTGCTTAGTTGAGCTAGACTGAAGGTTTCAGTTTAGAGCACTATTTATATGCAGTGATGTCATTCAGTCAGTAACTCAGTCAGTTACAAGACAGTGGCCTGGCCCATGTGGTCTACGGGTCCAGCAAAAATCAACTGGTGACTCAGGAGGGATTCTAACCAGCAACTACCCCGTTTACTGTACTAGTGGCAATGTCATCACCAGTTTTGCAAGTTTATCAGCAGTGAAGTATGTACTAATTACAAACATGAGCCGTCCTGGCAATATGAGACAGAACTGGGCAGAGGTCGAAATGGGGGTTTGTTCATATTTATCAACATGACAAAAAAGGCCTTTAAAGTTTTGTATTCGTGAAAATGAAAGATGCCAATAGTATTTTCTTAACCAGTTCACGCCGGAGGCCGTGTATACACGTAAAAGTTTTGCAGTATTCGGAATGGATGACAGATAAACACGCAGGGAGCGAGGCCAGAAATATCTGTCAGCGACCCGCTCGCAGCGAGTGAGGCCGGGAATATGAGTGTGCTGCCCAAGGGTGATGGCTTCAACCCGCCTTGCTTGAGGTCGAGTGAAAAGTAATCCCGCGCCTCGTTCCATTCTTGTCAAAATAATCCCGGCGTGAACTGGTTAAAAAACACCCTTATTCAACATTGGTTTATACTAATTCTTTAAAATACGAGTAGTAGATATAAAAAAGAAATTACCATAAGATTATTATAAGATGGAATTTTTGCGCCGGGGTGATATAAATCAAATTAGGTTTTGTCGGTGAATGGCAAAACCTAATTTGATTTACCATAAGATTACCAATATCAACAAATTGGAAAATGGGGAAAAAATTTCCACCATTTCGTTTTTTGTTTTTTTTCTGTATTTTTCTCCACTTCGGTCTTAGCCCAGTTCGGTTTCATTTTGCAAGAACATCTCACAAATAATTATACAATACTAAAAAATATAATTTCGTGTGATTCTCTATGGCAATGCACATCCATTTATAATACATTATAGAAGTATAAGGGACACATACTGGGTGTATGGAGTACCACATTAAAACTTGTGTAAGTTCTGTTTTTTTTATTGGGGAGGAGAGAGAGTTAAACATAAAACTTACTGTCGACTACTTTGTTTATTGTTTATTGGGGAGGAGAGAGAGTTAAACATAAAACTTACTGTCGACTACTTTGTTTTCAAAATCCTCCAGTTCTTCTCGTAACTGATCCAGAAATGAAGACAGGTTTTCCTGGGTCAACAAGCAGCCTTGGAACAACACCTGAACACAACAAAAACGAAAACAAATTCACAACTGCAGTTCACATGTTCCTTTTGCTGAGAGTAGGTAAATTCAAAAGCATTCATAAGATGGAATTTGCGTCGGGGTGATGTAAATTCAATATTTTGTTTTGCCCTTCATCGACGTATTTTATAAACACTGTATACTCGGTGTCCCGAGTGATTTGAACCGGCTCTAGAGCCAGCTCTAGAGCCAACCCCGCCAAGCTCGGTGGTCGAGTGGTAAGATGTCTGCACTAGTAGGCAGGAGGTCGTGGGTTCGAGTCCAACCTAAACAAATCATCATGTCTCTCCGTAAGTCCGTCCGTTAGTTAGTAACAAACGTTGACATTCTCTATCGCTCCTACATATTTTGACTGATTTCAACCAAACTTTGTCAAAAGTATCAGTAGCCCAGCCCTAACATGTCACATGACCAAACTGGGGTCAAAGGGCATCATGGGGTCACTGGGGTCAAAAATCTGATTTTTTGATTTTTTTTTACTCAAAACACTTTTCGTTCTAGAAATTACATGGCACAATTACGTGACTCATGCATGAACACGAATTCGTTGGCCCGCAGCTTCCGAGATATCACTTGGGACAACACTGAGTATGCAGTGTATTTAAAATATGTCGGATTTTTAAATATCTCAGCTTACGAGATATTTCTGATCGAGCTTGTTTCTCACAATTACTCAGGACAACACTGAGCATACAGTGTTTTAAAAAAAAGTTGGTGAAGGACAAACCCGATAATGAATTAAATTCAAAAGAGTGTGTTTAAACATGAAGCATCTCTGGGTGAGAGAAACTCACATGAGCATGGGTGCACGGCATTATGGGCACCCACTCCTTCGTCACATTAATACTTTGCAATTTTTTGTTAAGAGCTTTACTTATGCCAAAGTTTACAGACATTAGAGAGTCCACCTCACACACCCATGTCCAACTTCAAAACACACTTGTGTAACAGTCAAACATGTTTGGATTAGGGTCATTTTACCTGCTGCGTTGTGAGTGAAGCCAGAGGGGTATACGCGATGACAGTGACATAGATCTTTGGAGACAGCATCAACGAGCTTCCTGGAACAAAAAACTGAAAAACACAACAACAAAAATGAGAAATAATGAAACCTTGTCAATTCATTTATTGACATACTTGTAGTTTTAATTTTTCTTACAACCAAAAGCCAAGATACCTTAACCCTAACTCCCTAGGCCTTTTTGCTAGGATGTAACCTCAATCCTGCAAAATCCTCAAATTGGCCTCATGAAAAAATAGCGTATAGCGTCAATCCTGCAAATTCCTCCATTATTTCTTGAATATGGTCCGTGGAGGGGAGACAACTGCCTGAATCCTGCAAAATCCTGCGGCAGTGAGTGTCAATATGTTGAGGCTTGGCCAGTGACATCCTGGAGCAGTACGGAGGATATCAAGCATAATCCAGGACTATATTTATGCATGGCTGAGCAAAAACAACACAAGGTCCGGCCCAAGACCTTGACAAAGTGCATCCTACAAAATCAGTAAACACCATGTAACATCAATCCTCCACTTTGACAAAGAGGATTTTGAAAGATTCAGGGTGGTTAGGGTTTTAGTAAACGTTGTGTGCTGTATCAGGACACAACACATGTTGAAGGCAGGGAAAAAACTACCATGTTAACACGATTTGTACCAGATATACTTTCTGAAGTCTAAAACTTAAAATCGATGGGTTAAGATTTGAAAATTCTTACCGGCTTGACGAGTCCCTCCAGACAGTTGCTGATGCATTTGAAGAGATCTAGGAGAGTGACTCGACCAGACTGGGTGTCCTGCCGATAAAAGAGGGAAAAAACTGTTGAGTTAATATCAAGCTGCAAAACATTTCTCTCAAAAACGAAATTGGCCAGAATTTGCCTTGCATGATTTCTCCACTCAAGAGCTGTCTCGCAAATTATGCGACACTTACCACCGTGGCCATAGACGGACTGAGGTCCATCACGATGACGTGCCGATAGCGTCTGGCCAGGAAGGTCACATGACTGCTGGGAACCAGCTTGTATCGGACGGGCACGTCGGCCGGGAGTTTGTCCAAGTTGCCTCTTGGAATGATAGACAGGACCTCGAGTTCTTCCTTAGAAGTGATCTTTCAGGCAAAAAAAGAGTCACAAAATTTACTAAATGGGGATGTTATTAGTGCGGGCTAATGTACATGTGGTTGGGTGGACCAGGCCAAACCAACTTGAAACATTATAGATATTCACCGAATCCAAACCGAAGCGATCTGAACTCGCCAAACCAAACAGACCCGACCTGACAAAAATTCAAGGAAAACCGCCCAGAGCAGACCTGAAACTGAACCAACTCGGAATAAAAGAATATCTGGCTTGGGCAACTATGTCCGCTTTTTGTGCCTGAACTTAACTGCGTCGCATGAAAATTGTTGTCTCTCAGTAACTGAATCATACCATACTGTACTCAGTGGTGGGCCTAGTGGTGGGCCTACATGTTACAGTGGTGGGCCTACATGTGCACGATAGACTGCAAACCACATTTGGTGGTACCAGGCACAGCGACTCATATTGCACGTTGTAAATTTCCAAACAGATTCATTTCGAAAAAAAAAACATGGGATGAACTTGTGAAGTGTTTGTGGATATTATCAAGATGCTTGAATAATGTAGTGGCTAGGTGCCTTCCTCAATCCTGCAAAATCCTTCAAAACCACTGAAGGAAATGCGAGGGTTAGGGTTGATACAATTTACAGATCCTACAAGACGATACAGCTCTGTGCACATTCTGAACAAAGTTAGTCAAGCACCATGGAAAGTAGAACAGTGCCTGGCCCCTGCCTTTCTCAATCCTACAAATTCTTCGAAAACTTCCCGGTGGATTTTAAAGGATTTTAGGCGGATTAAGATTAATCCTCACCAGATCTTGGTCGGACTTGATCTTGATCTCCTTGTTGAGGTTGCCAAAGAACCAGGAGGCGCGGATGTTTCTGGAGATGCGGTACTCCTCCTTCATGAGAACATACACCTCCTCGGCCTCACGCTCCTGTGGGATGCAATGAAAATTGGGAAGAAAAAAATGGAAATTCTATCAAGTTATTACAATTCTTAGCTAATAAATATTGTGTTTGCCGACCTGCAAGTAGCAAGTAAAAATGTTTTATCAAAACAATTTACTTTTATCATATATGCTGAAAGTAAGAAATAAACTCAAAGCTGGGTAAATATATGACCGATTTGGAAAAAAATCCATACTGGGCCACCACTCAGAGCTCCTGCACAAAGTCTATGGGCCATGACAGAGCATTCTTAAGTATTATCAAAGAATGTTTGCACTCCTTAAACAGTGTTTCTTCATCAGATTTACAACTTTTGGTACTTATAGGTCATATTAAGGAATATGAGTGGTGGCCCAGGATGGAATTTTTTCCACAGATGTTTTCAAAACAAAAGTCAGTTTTAAAATTCTTACAGGTTCAATTGTGGATTTATCAAATATCAACTCAGTTTTAATTTTCTCACTAGATTAGTTACGATGTTTGAGACGGGTTTCAAGTGGTTACCCTCCGTTATTTGTTTAGAACATGTACGTTTCAGCCGTCTCCACCTTAGGTGTATTATAAGCCCATGCCGTCGTACGGCGCGGAGCACGGATCATTATGCGAAACAGTCGTTGATAAAGCGCGACTTTATCTTCGATCGACTAATTTTTCTTTGATCAACGAGGGTGACGTCACACGCACCCTCAATCATCCAAAAATTTGATGGCACTGCTCGGTGGACATGTGAGCGGTAAGTTTATCAGAATATTTTTGATTTTTGGAAAGAATGGTGCTACCTGACACTGCTTTTATCTTCATATATCATCTCAATGAAGGTCAGTCATTGCAAAAATTAATGATGATAAGACATGAATCTGGGACTGAAAAACATTTCCAATTTTGTTAGGAAATACTTAAAAAAAATTCTTGACTCTCCATAGACTTTGTACGCAACCGTCGAAGCAGCGTCAGGTTGCAACATTCTTTCCTTAATTTTTTTTTTCTCAAATTATCAGTTGTTGTGAACAATTTAAGTGGTAGGGAATGTAATGAATGTGTACATCTATCCGGGGTGGATTGAGTTCCGTGCTCAAGTGCAAGTTATCTGCCGCAAAACACATCAATTTTCACCTCAACATGTGATTTCATTGAAGACAAATCCAGGAAGCTCTGGAAATGTGAATTAATTTCATGAAAAATGTGATTTTAGAGCACATTTTGGATGCACACATTGTTGGACATCACCATGATCACACGCGCTGCAGCCATGAAGACTTGTCATGCTTGTCTTAAGCTTCGCGGCACTATAACAAAAGAGGCTGAGTGTTATTATTATTATTATTACTATTATTTATGCATGCCACATAAAAAATATACATCATAACCAAGATGGGCATTGGAAAAACAAAAGCAATACAATTCACTATGGTGGAGGACCTGTCATCCCACATCCAGATGCGAATAAAAATTTACTTAAAGGGAATGTACATCATTGGCTTTTGCTGCAATTTTCAGAAATGAACTATTTGAGAGGTTAGTATAATAGATCAAATATTGTTACACTGACATTTTTGAAGTTTGGTGTTCGAAAAGGTTGGAAAAACCAAGAAAAACAAAAATGTTCAGGTAGTCTGGTTCCCTGACTCCACAAAAGATAAAATGGATCAATTTATAGATGATGGAAAACTGTAAGGCAAGGGAACCAGTCTAGCTGGCCTGCACCCGTTCATGAACATGCATACCAATAGCAAACAAAATTTGGACTGAAAAAAATGGTAAATTTGGAGCAGTAGTTGAAAAATAGTTAGGTTTTTCCAACGCTGGTCGGCCGACCACCGTTGGAAATGTTTACAAAAATACTATTTTCTTGAAAATGACTTCACACCAGGTGCCATAATTTTACAAGATGCTTGAGACTGTCATTTACCAACATCCTAGTAAGGTATTTCGTAAAAACTTGGTAATTTTATTTTTCGATGTTTGCAAATGTTGTATATTCGGGTATATTCCCTTTAAAACATTGCACATTATAAAAAAAATTAAAAATTTTAACAAGATAAACAAAATAAAATTAGGACTAGACAAGACAAGACAACAAAACAGGACACACCTCAGACAAGACAGGACACCACAGGACACAGCAAACTAAACAAGACAAGACAAGAAGTGTGCTTTCAAAGTGTAAATAAACTACAAACAAAGTCTCTAAATGTGAAAATAAAAACTTGACAAAGTTCTACATTTTTGGGTACATGTTCCAAGTGTGGCTTTATTTACGGAGGTAGTCCAGTAAATTGGCCGCATTTATGGGGCGGCTATCTTTGCATACAACCATGGAGCTACATGTATATACAGTAGGCCTACACTGATGACTGAATCAACTGATTTAAACTTAAACAAAGTTCCTAAACCTACGATTAAGCGATTGTCTCTCGTTTCTGGATCCATCCTGTGGCCTCTTGAGCTTGTCTTCGGCTACTCTTTTGCTCGTTATCCAACGCTCGGTGTCATCCTTAGCCGCAAAAGTTTTTTAAAAAGGACATTTTGCAACGAGTTTGCTGGTCTGCTTAAAGTGCTAGTGCATGTAGTGTTTACCAACTACAGCTGCTGCTGCTGCATGCAATAGATGGCGCGGCAGCGCAGCATTCATGTCATGGATAAATTATAGTCTAAAGAGGGCGCACTCCAACATTAAAATTCATGTTTTGTGGACGGAAAACGAGAGAGCACGATGGCTGTTGTTTTTGAGGGAATCAGTCTCCGATCTTTGTCGGATCACGGTGATATTTTGCAGAGAACCGAAGCAGTTCTCAGACTAGAAGTCGTCACGGAAAATGAGGAGCCCATAGTCTCGATTTACAATGGTAATTCGTTCTTACGTAGTTGATTTTATTTGTGCGTAGTCGGTCAGTCGGTGTGTTGCACGTTCGCTTCCATGATGTCAAGACAAAAAGTATGCGCGATTGCGTATGGAGTGCATGTACATGCACTGACTCACTCACTGAATCTGAATGATATGCCCATAGTTGGCAAAGTATCCATCAGGAAACATCACACCAACTTGTTGGTTAGTTTGGGGCGTGGATCTGGACGTATTTTCAACAATCTATTTGGGAAAGAATTCCATATGGACGTTTTTTGGACATAGGCCTAACTAATTTCGCAGTGGCTATTGTTACGGCAGCCGTAACGCATTTCCCATTTTCTATCGTTACGGTAGACTGCAACCTCGCAACTTTTATAAAAAAAACATGACAAGAAAATATAAAATTAGAAGGAAAAAAGTGAATTTGAACTTTATGAAATTCGGACTTTATTTCCCTTTTAAAAAAAATCCTCCAAAGCCTCAGGTTAGAAAAGGAAAAAAATTTGAGTGCAAAACTGAAATTCGAACCCGCAACCTCGCGGTGCAAAATCCTACCCTCTATCGGCTGAGCTGGCGCACTGCTCGCTCAATCGTGGGGAAACAAATAATTATATACCTGCGTGCGTATCAAAAAAAAATCGTAGAGGGCGCTAAACAACGAGTGCCGTAACGATAGCCACTTCGAACTAATTTTCCCTGCAGCATGTGCAGTGCAGTGCCAGTGACCTAGCCCTAGGCGATCGTGTAGTGTACCAGCTGGCCCCTGTTTAGTTTCGATCTAATATTTATACTAATAAGAGTCAAGGGTGATTTTTATTACTCAAAAATGACCTTTTCAACATAAAGCAGACTTCTCTCAATTATAATGACACCTTTTTTGTAAGTTTTGAACAGTTTCTTGGGGTAAAAATTACGACGCGGTTTACAGTTGCCTTGGTGCCGTGCATGGGCCCCTCTTTAGTTTCGATCAAATTAAAGTCAAGGTGTTTTTTTTTTTTTTCAAAAAGGAACTTTTCAACCTGAAGCAGACTTTTCTCAATCCTGATGACACCTTTTTTTAGGGTGCCCCATTTTATGTAATTTTGAACAGTTTCTTGGCACAATGCTTGGGGTAGAAATTACAGTTTTTGTGCTCGGTCTACGGTACGGTTGGTGCCGTGTCATGCGTGTGATTCACCCATTCACAGTAAATCGCAGTGATCGCATCTTTTATTTTCGTGTTGCATTTTGTCATCCTCATCGTCATTTTACCCCCAAATTTCCCTCAAAAATTCAAAAGCCTTTTCTCTATCTATGCCATACCTGCAATGTTCTTAATGTTACCAAATAGTTTGGTTTGTCAAATAAACTAAAAGTGGATTTTGTTCTCTTTTAAGTTAGGAACCGGGAACACAATCGCAAATGATACATATATACTACCAGGTGGGAGATACTAGTCTCTATTTCTACACATTTCCCCATAGTCAGCCACCAGACAAATGACAATGAATGAAGACGTCAGTCTTGTCAAACAGTTGGACCATGGTTGGACATGTACCAGTCTAGTCTTTAGCCTCATCTTGAAATCACTTGACTTCCCTCTCATGTGCAAAATATTGAGGAAAAGTCTCTTTTAAAAATTGAACTGAGCCTTCAAATTTGGTTGGTGGAGTACTGAGGACCTTTTCTTTGCCCAATGAAAATTTTGTAGAATTTTGCTGGCTAAAGAGTGAATAATGTTGGCCTGATTTCATTTTGCATGTTTTTTTAGCACTCAAAGTCCCAATCTGGCCACATCATAGACATGCGTTGTACATGACATGTTATTGGTGATAGTAACACCAAGGTACATGTAGTACTCACTGAGTACTCACTGTATCATTACCCATTGACTAAATTGGATTTTTAGCAGCTTTCTTGAAGATTTATCTGAATTAACCCTAACAGAACTCAACCCATCAAACCCCAACAGCATGTTTTGTTGGAATCTGTAGGGATGGGCACAGTACCCCTAAACTGACGGTCTTTTACATTGGATTGGCACACCTCCAGAATCAAAGTGTGTGCAGAAATATGTGTGTGCAGTTTCCCATATGGTGTTGGAATTTGCCAGGATGGGTATGGTTCCTAGTAAATCATGCTAGGGAGTTAGGGTTAAATCATACATGCAAAGACATAAGGTGTAAAAAGTCTTTTAAAGCAAATTACTTATAGTTGTCATGTTTGTAAATTATTGTAGTAAATTGCAATTTTGGCACAAAGTTATCACATATGCAAGTTTCCAGATGTGTCATCAGATCATGCACACGATCACATCTCTAACACCATATTAACTTGATTATGTGGTCTGTGATGTAAAGGCATTATATAAGGTCACTGGAACTGCTTTATCTTATTTTACTAATCACTTCTCTACTGCACAGGCATTTGTCATCAGCGGTCTTTTTGACAAAACTAAATTCGTTCGTCCAAAACATGAAAACTGTTGTCATAGTGTGCTTGTCTCTTGCAAAATATTGTTTTAACTGTTGTTGGTTGTTTTTATTATCAATCGTGTATGGGTTTTCATTGTCACCATATGGAGGAAGGAATAGACAGAAATACAAATGTATTTCTGTCTATTCCTTCCTCCATATGGTACATGTGGCAGAAGATTTCTGTCAACATGTTCAACTCATGCCCTGCATTTTCAGCACACATGGCAAAAATTATACTTTGTCCTCAAAATTCAGTCACAAGTCATATTGTCTCAAGTTAAATATCAAGCTATTGAAATGAACTCTTACAAAAGGCTTTCTTTGTCACTGCAAATCCCCCATTTCTCAAAACCTTGTGATTTGATCTGTGATTTGGCTTGTAATTTGACTTGTGATGGACCTGACTTTAACTATTCTGGGACTAGGACACCACTGTTTAACGCTAACAGAACTCATCCCATCAAACCCCAACGGCATGTTTTGCTGGAATCTGTCAGGATGGGTACAGTACCCCTAAACTATTACATTCTTATGCATTGGGTTGGCACACCTTCAGAAGTCAGAAATATGTGTGTGCAGTTTCCCATATGGTGTTGGAATTTGCCAGGATGGGTATGGTTCCTAGTAAATCATGCTAGGGAGTTAGGGTTAATTTAAATAACCCTTACCCCAGGCCCTTTTGGCTAGGAACCACCCTCAATCCTGCAAAATCCTCCAATTGCCACCATGTACAATGTAAAAATGGGATTCAGCTTCAGTCCTCCAAAATCATCCGTTGTTTCTTGAATTTGTTCAGTTTGAGGGGTGACCATTGACTCAATCCTTCAAAATCCTCCAACAATCACTGTTATGGGTTGAGGAAGTGCCGATGATATACAGAAGCAGTGCGGATGATATCGAGCATAATGCAGGGCTCTTTTATGCATGGCTGAGCATAAACAATGCAGGGTACAGCCTATGAACTCGACACAACGCATCCTCCAAAATCAATCATTACTTTTTTTGCCATTCAGCCACAATCCTCCAAAATCCTCCAAAAACCTCTTGGAGGATTTTGGAGGATTGAGGAGGGATAGGATTTTAATCGGACTGGACACATCTCCTTGAATCACCTTAGGTTTTCACTTTGTATGTTTTTCTGTCTTTGTTGGTCATTTTTCCCAAGGCACAAATGCCCAGCAGATGCTGCGGTTTTCCCTGAACAGCAGCGACGTGACGTGCTGTCAGGCCAGCAAGCACACCTACCTGGTCAACATGCAGGGTCGCTCTGTGCTGCTGCACTTTGCCTCAGACTTTGGTAAGGCTGGGAAGAGGGTTGACAGGGCTGGGGGTATGACCCATTAGTGTTCCTGACCCCAAGGAAGTAAATCAGATATGAAGATGTTCAAGCTGTTCAGAGGACCAGCCTATAGACCTTTATCATGCTGCCACCATTTTAGTCATGTTCCCTGTATCCAATAACAGTATTGAATGATAATATTTTTGTGCAAAAAGGAACCAGACTATTTTTCCTTCCAGCCTCGCTTTGGTTACGTTGATTTGAATGGGAAAAAAAATCAAGATGGCCGCAACATGATAATGGTCTATTGTCCTCTTTGCACTCATCTGACTGACTAACTGACCGACTGACTTCCAGAGAGACGGACTCACTTGCGGACTGTTGCGTGTGAGCTGGGCAGTGCTATCGTATAGGAATACCCTGTAATACCAGTGAATGGGTTTAATCCGGCCCATTGTATAACCAAACGCATGAAAGAACGTCCAGCGAATAGCCATTTTGAATGTATTGAATCGATTGTGTGCACTCGGGGACCAGCTCTACTATGCTCGCCTCGTCTTGTTTGCTGTGTATCAATAGGATGTGCATTTATATTATTATTATTGTCATCGAATAGTCTAAAGACCCATTCATACTTCAATTGAAATGATCCCCTTGAGTTTTGCTCTTACCTTAAACCCTAACCTTCAGGGTATTTTGGCTAGAAACCCTTCCAAACGCAGCCACATGCAACGCTTGTCTAAGTGACAAGCCTGCCCAGTGCAGCAAGATCCATCAGGCAAAAATTCTCAAGGCCAAACTCCCTCAGAGTCCATGGTCACCGAATGCAGCCGGATACAACTGTGGCATTGTTCAATCGGACTAGCTCTCATTGTTTTAGACGCAGCCGTTTATGCACTGGTGTTGGTAGCCGAATGCATCAAATTCAAAGCGCACCGGACTTTTCCACCTGATGCACTGTGTTGCGTCTGGCAGGGTTAGGGTTGACAAATTTCTTTTGCGCTGAAACTCAGTCAAAAGTATAAACTAGCAAGTCAAACTAATCGTTAGAAGAATGTCTGAGGTATTTTATTTGCCCCTCTACAGAACTGTCCAGGTTTCACAATATAGTCAACGGTGCCAAACACAATGCTTCTACGGCTGTCAAGGAATCGGTGTTCACAGAACGAACGGAGGAGGCTTCATCGTCACAGTACTTTCAAGTAAGCATGCCGGACAGTAGGCAAAAGTTTGGTCATGTGAGGGCGCTGGGTCCATTGTTATTGAGCTGTGGAGCTAAAGAAAAACAAAACCCTTAAAGCAGATATATACATTGTAAATATCAGCTGAGAATCTTCTGGAGCTGTATGTACTTCATGACCTTTATGGCGAGTGGCCTATTTTTGTTGAGCAAAACTGTTTTTGTGTTTCGTAATTTATTCAATATAGCATCTGCCTGAACTTGGCGTCAGTTTGGTAGAAGTACAAGTAGCACAGGTCTTGTGTCACATTTTATCCAACATCTCCTTTATCTTAAGATAACCGTAGAGCAAAGGTCGTTTTGATGGGTTAACCCTAACTCCCTAGAGTCTTATACCAGAAACTGGACCAAATCCATCCAAATGTATCAATCACTGTGCGTCCAATACAAAACTGCACATGACATAATGGGATCCAACACTGACGCATTGATGGACTTGCTAAACATGGCTTTTATCACAATAGCAGTACAAGAAGCTAGGCAAAATCAATCGGATACCCCTAGCACTGCTTCAGGCCATTAGGCCCAAGTCCATCATACAATGTACTCCATCAATAATTAGTCACGCCAGGCCTCCTGGACCAAGTCCCCCAAAATCCACCGAAATAGGGGGATGGATTTTGATGGAGTTGGGGTGGTTAGGGTTAAGGTTGCTTTTGCTTTCAGCCGGACTCGCCTTCATTAATTGATGATCATATTTGTGATATTTCCTGGACAGTTTTACGGCTACTTGTCCCAGCAGCAGAACATGATGCAAGACTACATCAGGACCTCCACGTACCAAAAAGCCATGCTGCAAAACAGTGAAGACTTCAGGAATAAGGTACAAATAACGCAATTTCTTTTCCTTTTAATTGCACAATTTACAATTATTGTCCTAATTGTGTGTACCATGAAAGTTGATCATGGATGTGGGTATTGCAATGTACACACTTGATTAAAAAGTGCAATTTTTGTTTTGTATTTGATGGCCACAAGACTCTTATGTTAACCCTTTTTCTATTGGTACTGCCTCAAACCACCCTGCCTTTTTACCGCCCCAAACTATCTCCAACTCTGTATGGTTTGATGAATTTATTGGAGTTAAATACAATGTAATACAAGTGCACACAGATTATGGGCTCCGTGCGCCAACAAGAGAGGGCGTTTTTTACCACTTTCGAGAGCTCTGTGGACCAGACACACTGCGTGAATGTACTGGTTCGCACACATATCCGCTTCGTTCACAAGTACCCCTCACTGGTAAAGAGAGTACAGTTGGGGGTGACCGACTGACGCCATCTTGCCTGACTGCAATTCGTTTGCCGCGAAGGGTGTACATAGTTCAAATCCCCTGGTTTACGTGTGTCACACACAAGGAACGGTGCGCGTCAACCAGCAAAATGTCCCGCCCATGGGACGTTGTTGCTAGGTAAAAGGGCGCGCTCTTTCGTCGGCGCACGGAGCTCATAGCGCGAAGTACACACAACTTATTTATTCTGAATGTGCACTTTATCCAACATCTCATGGCATCGTCAGCAATGCATGCGAATATCTCTCCCAGTGATCTCCCCCAACTCTCCCTGTCTTACCGTTGAGGGGGTGCTTGTGCACGGAGCCTATGGTATCCCTCGGGTCTGAATGCAGTCACAAGATACTCTTTAAGAAGGGGTGGGACATGTGGCCATCCCTCCCCTAAGAAAAAGGAGCAGTTAATATAAAAATGAAATACCAAATCACTAATCAGTTCAAGAAATTATTAGTTTGCTTTCTGTTTTTTCGACAGGTTGTTCTTGATATGGGCGCGGGTTCAGCCATACTTTCCTTCTTTGCCATCCAAGCCGGCGCCAAGAAAGTCTACGCTATCGAGGCCAGCTCTATAGCTGAACAAGCACAGGTCAGAATGCAGTGTCTGTTTCAAAGGTTGTCTCTAGAGGAGTTACCAAACCATTTTGACTTTAGAAACCTCTGAAATGCATCCAAACGCTTGTTGCATTTTGTCGTGTCTTCACGAAAATGTTTGAATGCAACTCTGTCGCATGTGAAAACAATACACACATATGGATGTGTACAAGCATTACATTGTGTGGATTTCTGAACAAAAGATGTCCACATAAACCAGGTAGCAGTGGTGTTGTGTGGACTTGCCCACGTCCACGCAGTGTTTCCCCCTCTCTGGAAAACAGGTTTAGAGGCATTTTGGGGTTGGGTTTAGGTGTGGCAAAATGAAGAAAAACACTAAAGGGAATCATAGCAAAAATTTAGGTTGAAACAGTTTTCACTCTGTGAGTAAAATTATTTTTTTCATAGGTTTTTTTTTAACCTACACGAAAACAAAAGAATGTCCACACTACGTATGTAACGTAAACATGCGTGCACACAGAAATGGTTTACCATTAAGTCTGAGGACAAGGCATTGTGTTTCCCTTTGTTACTTTAATATGACACTCTTCCAAGGACTAAGCACAGACTTCCATTCGAGGACCCTTCTCAACAATAGATGTACGTCCGAGCATAACAAAGAATCTGTTGTTCTTTCTTTGTGTTCCTGTCCTTGGAACAGACCTGCAGTTTCTTCATGGTTGGGTTTGTGAATGGTACTTTTTTTTTCAGAGCGAGGCTACCATTGTAGAGTCTTTTTGGTCATGCATGGTCAAATCGTGAAAAAAGCAAGTGCCATGTGACACGCTCTTGGCCAATCAAGAGCCAGAATCTGTTGGTGAGGTGTTATAATTTAAATTTTGTCCTAACCTGAGACTTTTGGTCCAGCTTGACAAAGCAAGCCCTGTCTTTTTTTTTTAAATAAATCATGATTTTCAGGATAAAAAAAATTAGGAAAACATGTTTTTTTTAGATTTGTGGAACTCTGTTATAAATTTCCATTCCAGAAATTGGTCGAGGCCAATAAACTCGCCGACCGCATCAAGATTCTTGCCGGTAAGATTGAGGAAGTCCACGTCCCCGAACAAGTGGACATCATCATCTCAGAGCCCATGGGCTACATGCTGTTCAACGAACGCATGCTGGAGAGCTATCTACATGCCAAGAAGTTCCTCAAACCAGGAGGTAAAGGAGATTACACACACCCAAATTAAATGCCTTTTTCTCTGTGTTTTTTTCCTGCAGTTTTGTGATAAATGGAAAGTGAACCGAATGATCTCTTACAAGTTCAATCTCAGTGTTGTAGTCTGAGACTTTTTCCAAGACATCGCACAAATGTTTATATGTGACCGGCTCTATAAAAAAGAGTATTAAGTCGCGCTTAGCATTATTGTGTAATGGCCTGCTCAACATTGAGAGGGTGAAACTTTCGTCAAAATGTGATTTTTGTTTTACGTCATGAATGACATCTTTAATACCTACAGTTTCAGGTTTTATTCACAGAAATGTTGATTTTGATGAACAAAGTGGCAAAATACAACCATTTTGTGTGAATCGTCATGTTGTTCTACAACAAAGCCAGCTATTTCAAGGCCTGTGTTCTCAGTTGTGCAATTTGAACTCAAAAGAAGTAATTAACATGCAAATATGTCATATCTCCAGAACAGGAGGGGCTATGGAGCTCTGCTATGTACTAAACGAAAGCTTACGTTGTGGGCTTTCCAACCATGTATATAACTCTATTCACCTTTTGCAACATGATACCCTTTTTTGTGGAGCCGGTCACATATAACGGAATGTCAGATTTGAGTCAAGTCTAATGTGAATGAGGAAAGATTATCAGTGCCTTGATTTTGATCACACTTATCATTTGGATTGTTTGAATTAACATTTGATGGGAAAAGTGATCTTCAAAGGTCTCGAAAAGGTCTCGGACAGATTTGAATGTTGATCTCAAACAATACGCTTCATCAAATAAGGACACTCTGTAGCAATGATATTGGACTTATTTTGTCTCTGAAAATGTTAGTAATTGATAAATAAAAGTGAGGTCTTGAAAGGTCTCAGAATTGTATTGACTATCGCACTTTTCCATGTGCGAGAACATTCTAAACAAAGACTCCAAAACCAGAGTTGTGATAAAGTTACCTGAAGTCATCATTAATTCTAACAAGTCAATCAAAAGCCAGTTAAGCAGACTTAAATTTCCTGCGATTAAAAGGGTTGAAATTAATTAACCTCCAGTGATAATCACCTATTTTATTTTCCAAAGAAATCTCACAGAATTACGTTTTCTGGAGTCGTTTCTTTTTAATAAAAGGGTTTGCACAAAAAAAACAAAAAAATGGTTTAATTTCGGTTTTATAAAATTTCCTTTTTTTCATGACTAATTATCTGAAATCAAAACGAACAAGATTTTTATTCATGCTATTTCATCAGGCAAGATGTTCCCCACCATTGGTGAGTTACACTGTGCGCCATTCTCGGATGATGCAATTTACATGGAGCAGTTCACTAAAGCTAACTTCTGGTGAGTTGCCCTTTGCTTCTTTGGATACACATAGGAAGCCATAATTGCCTAGATTTCTGTGAAATCAACAAGATGCTACGTGTACCTCTACTTTAGATGTCTGAATTTTTAGTAACTACAAAAACAAACTGGAAAAAAGTCAGACTTTTTCTCCTCAAGCTTTCTTCAGTCTTCTCAGCTACAGTGCCTAGACACTTGTGAGGAACCAAAAAGAACAAAAATAGAATATAACTATATAAAATTCAATACAACGTTTGCAAACATCAAAAAATAAAACTACCAAATTATTTTGAAATACCTTGCTGGACTGTTAGTGAATGACAGGCTCAAACATCCTGTAAAATCATGGCACCTGGTGTACTGTCATTTTCAAGAAAAGTGGTATTTTCGTATAATTTCCAATGCTGGTCGGCCGACCAGCATTGGAAACAAACTGGCTTTTTTCAAATACGGGCCCCAATTGAGCATAGTTAGCTAGTCCGCATTTGTTTGCAATCGATTACACACGTATGAACAGGTACAAGCCAGCTAGACTGGTTCCCTGACCTTACAATTCCCTAACGACTATAAATTGCTCCATTTCATCTTAAATGGAGTCAGGGAACCAGACTATAGGAAAATGATTATTTTTCTTGGTTTTAATAGCATGTACGAACCCAGAACGTCAAAAAATCAGTGTAACAATTTTTTGCTATATATTAAACAACCCCCCAAATCATCAATTTCTGGAAATTACAGCAAAAGCAAATGATGTATATTCCTTTAAAGTTTATGGAAAGGATATATGCTCATACACAAGGATGTTTATTAGCATTTCGAGCCATTTCCCATGTTCCGTGTTGAGAGAGTAATTGTTTAATACGTGGTCCATAATGTGATCTACAGATTGGTTTCAGTACATCATTCCCAATGTTCTCCCTCTTCAGGTACCAGCAGTCCTTCCACGGGGTCAACTTGACTAGACTCAGGGAGGAAGCCCTTCAGGAGTACCTCAGGCAGCCCATTGTCGTAAGTTGCTCCAACATTTACTGACGCTCTTCAGGAACATGAGAACGCATTCCATTGTTATCACCCATTGCCCTATTTCTTGTGACTGAATTTGTGAATTGACTTGGGATGTACTTGTGACCGGACATGTGATTGGACTTATGATGGACTTGACTACAGCACTGCTCTGCATAGTATTAGATTTCAGAAGAATGTCGGAGTGTCATGACCTAGTGGTCTGGGGTATTGAATTTGAGGTCTGCGGGTCATTCTGCGGGTTGTGGGTTCGAGCCCAGCCTGGGCTATGGCGCTTCTGCACCTAATATGGGTAGAGACATTATTAATGCCTTGCAGTGGACTAGTTACCCATGCCAACCCTATTCATACTGTGAAGAGATTGGATTATCTTGTCTTGTTTCAGTGCAAGGGGCTGGTTCTTCCACACTTTCCTCTGTAGCCCTAGCCTCGAGTGGCCTTTGGCCTTGTGATGGGCGATGTGCATAAAAAAAGCTTCTTAAGGCCCAAAAAAAAAAGCCTCCGCTTTCTGGTATGCGCGCGCGTCGCTGTAGCCATGCACGGCGGCCAAAAAAAAAAATTTCAATGTAAGATGATGTCTCAAAACCACCAAACTCACTGGTTTGACTGGAATCCTGCTGCTGCACAATTTTAACGTGTTTTTAGATGGCGATACGATTGAGTACAAGCTTCATGTGGCCTCTCTAGACTCCCATATATTTTGCACTGAATTTAGTCTGGCACCATTTGCAGTCATCAGCCAACATTTGCAGAAAAAAAAAGTAAAAAAAAAAAAAAAAAGCTGTGTCGCCGCACCACTTTTGGGACAAGCTCCATACCAGACACCGGAGACTTTTTTTTTGGGCCGAACAGAGACAATGGCCAGGGATTTTGAATTTAAGATCCACTTCTGTTCTTTCTGGACAGGATACCTTTGACATTAGGATATGCCTGGCCAGGTCTCAGAAGTACACGGTGGACTTTCTCAAAGCCCACGAGACCGACCTCCACCGAATTGAAATCCCTCTGTGCTTTGTGGCCCACGGGTCGGGGGCTGTCCATGGCCTTGCGTTCTGGTTTGACGTCGCCTTCTGTGGGACAATGTAAGTTTACTGTTCCCTTTTTTTTTCTTTCTTTTTTTAAGAATTTACAAATTAGGAAAATTTTCAAAGTGTTATAATGTACTAACTTCAAATTTGAATCAACTTTGACCTTTGAAAAAACACTGGGGTCAAAACTGTATTTAAATTGTTTTAAGCGCAAAATTAATTTGATAAGCTAAAAAAAACAGGTCACCAGTGAAATACAATGTAAAGCGTATTACCTTTCACTGGTTCTCAGATGGTTTATTTCTTAGCATCTTATAATGTCAAGAAATATCGTCTGCATAGCAGCTGTATTAAAAATGGCCCAAAGGGTGCTCTTTTGGGAATAAAGAAAATAAGATTATTTGACCCGTGTTGTGTACTTCACAGAGAACTTAAAATATCAAAATGAAAGGCTGGGTCTAAACTAAACTGACCCCAATTTACCTTGTCAAAATTGCAGTAAAAAATAATAAAAAGTTACACTAACTGTGAAGGCATTTCTTGTTATTCTTCCACCACTGGACAGTATAGTGATTGTTAAAGACGTCATGGTTGAATGCAATCATGCAGTACTGTCCATTTACTCCAATAATAATAATACGAGAGTTTTATACAGCGCACGTATCTACCAACAATTAGGTACTCAAGGCGCTGGAAATTATGTGTATTATTCAAGACAGGTAAATGAAGTTTATGGGAAATATGAGAACCATTATGTAGCACCTTTATAATGGTTTACAAGGTGCTGCGGCGCTGCCAGAAACATCGGGGTAAACCCCTTCTCTTAGCGATAAGTGTTTCTGGGTTCTTTAACGTGCATTACACAACACATGGGACCTACGGCTTTACGTCCCATCTGAAGGACGCAGCAATAATGGTAAAGTGCCTTGCTCAAGAGCACAAGCACCATGTTCCCACGGTCCACAGCACCCCAGACTTAACACTGTTACTTTTCTGGTTACCAGGCAAACGGTATGGCTGTCCACAGCACCAACAGAACCCCTCACACATTGGTACCAGGTATGTGGAATATAAGTGATTGGAATTATAAGAACGAGTGTTTTTTGCATTTGTCTTTTACATAATTCAATTTTCTGGAAAGATCTTCAGTTCATCCAATTACAATCCAGATTATGAATTTGAGAGCAAAGTTCTCCAGAAAGAATAGTTCGTACTCAATTTTTGAATCAAGTGGCATCGTAAACACGAACATTTATTTTCATGTTCTGGCAAATTTGCTTGAAAGAAAATTCCAATAAGTGTAGAAGTGATTATACATTATGTAGTATAGTGTTTGAATAGTGTTTATCACTTAGTTCTTTGCATTCAATATCTTGTATTACGTGTGTTCATTTGTACAGGTCCGCTGTTTACTACGAGCGCCTATCTATGTCAAGCAAGGTCAAACCATGTCAGGAAAAGTAGTACTCATCGCCAATAAAAGGTAAAGAAAAAAAAATAAGTTCTTGAAACCAACCAAAAATAAAGCATTTTGCCTTTCTCAAGCACTAATGGCTGAATCAAACACAAGAGCCGTCTGCCCTCACATGTACCCATTTTATTGTGGGTAGGGAGAAGTCAATTAGAGAAAAGTGGCTTGCCCAAGGACACGCCAACCTCAGCTCCACAGCGTGCAGATATGCTCAAGGTCACAATCATTTCATGAATTTGATGCACCTGAACCACAAATTTCTCCTCACCAAATTATCTAATTGATAAGCATTGTATACTCGGTGCTTACTCGGGTGGGACTCGAACCCACAACCTCCTGCTTATTAACCCTGATTCCCTAGGCATATTTGCTAGGATGTAACCTTAATCCTGCAAAATCCTCCAACTGCCTCCATGTAAAAATACCATACAGCCTCAATCCTCCAAAATCCTCCGTTATTTCTTATATTTGGTCCTTGGAGGGGTGACCACTGCCTCAATCCTGCAAAATCCTCCAGCAGTCACTGTCCACATGTTGAGGAAGAGCCAGTGACATCCTGAAGCAGTGCGGAGGATTTGGGCCTAAATAATAAACACAACGGCCAAAGACCTTGACACAGTGCATACTACGAAATCACCCACACACTTTTGCCATATAACCTCAATCCTGCAAAATTCCTCCATTTTGCAAAGAGGATTTGGGATGGTTAGGGTTAGTGTAGACATCTTACCACTCGACCATTGAGCTGGCCGGGTCATCTGGATGGGAATGAATCCGATATAAAGTTAGGATTCCCAGCCACTCTGGAATTCAGGGAAAACCTGGAAAATGAGTTTCCCTTTCTCCAGCCTGGGAAAACTCAAGGAATTTCAGAAAATCACCAAATATCAGGAAAACTCAGGGAATTTGACAGCGACCCGGGGTTTCGCCAGTTTGATGTATGTGCGTCTCCTGTCATGTGGCCAAGTTGTGTCCATTGCCTGCCTGGCAATCGAGCTATGAGGGGAGAAGGGAGGCCACCGCTTGTCATCAACTTGCCTGTGTATTCAGGCATGCAACTTTTCCTCGGATCTGCTGATTTCCTCGTTTTTACTTCTCATGAATGCCATTACAAATAGAAAAACACTGTACAAAGTCTTGTGTGGTTTGGAGTTTCCTCGTTTTTTCTAAATTCGAAGTTGCATACCTGTGTGTTATCAGTATCTTAGTTGCTTTGCTGAAACCATCTCCCGACTTGCAAGCAACCTCGTTAAAGTGAAATTTGGAAACTTCTCAGGGGAATTTTCTTTCATAAAGTGCTGGAAACCCCGACAGTGCAGCAGCAGGTATTGCCATCAATCAATCATTCAGTTCATTTGAGAAAATTTTTCTCCCCGACTCAAAATGCCATCGTCAACATTTTTTTCGTTTTTCCGCCCCTGATATCCAGACAAAGCTACGACATCGACATCGAGCTGCAGTCGGACAGCAGCGGGGCCCGCTCCAACAACCGACTGGACCTGAAGAACCCGTTCTTCCACTACACGGGCCAGCAGCCCCAGCCCCCGACGGGGTGCCACGAGACCTCGCCCTCTGAGAAGTACTGGGATTCCATGCCCCAGACCGCGATGGTGAACGGGATGGCGGACAGTAACAGCATGCAGGTGGCTCCGGTACAGCAGAGCATGGCGCAGAGTTTCAACCTTATACCACTAGGTAGGTGTGGTTTCCTCTTAAGTGAAGGGAGGGTTGGTTAAATTTATGAGGTGGCTATTTTTACGGAAGCAGTAATGTGCTTTTCAATGGCAAGGCCTATAGTTACGACATTACATCATAACATTGTAGATCTATATAGGGTTTTAAATTCCCGAACTGGTTTTGGAGACCTCCTTTAGTCAATATCTAAGTGAAATAATTATATAGTATGCATATAAACACTGCAAAAGAAAAGAAAGTCCACACTCATTGGAGGGGTCATTATTTCGAATCTGATCATCTTATGATGACGTCATTTATATAGACCTTTGGGAAATATTGTTAGCTACATTTTGATACCCCGTTTGCTACCAAAGACGGTAAATCGTCCAACATTGACAATGGTTTATGAAAAATGATGCAGTTTGAAAAGTTGCAAAGTTAAAGGAGTACGCGGTTGGAAATCACTGCCTGACAATGTTACACTGCCGGAAACGAAAGGCAGGGAATATCGATCGCACAGTGCTTGTATGCATGGGAGCATGCGAATTGAATTACCCGCGCTTTGTTCGGGCATTGTGCAGTCGATAGGGGCCGGTTACGGGCATGTGTGTTTGCGCTTAGCAATTTCTCCTCGCGTAATCTTTAAATTTGCACGTAAAGTTTCAAACTGCATCATTTTTTATAAACAGTTTTCAATATTGGACAACTTATTGCCTTTGGTAGCAAATGGGGTATCAAAATGTAGCTAACAAATTCCTCAAAGGTCTATATTAATGACGTTATCAAAAGACAATCAGATTCAAAATTATAACCCCTCCAATGAGTGTGGACTTTGTTTCTTTTTTTTGCGGTGTTTATGTGAAATGCATTACCATTTACACACATGTAAATATTGGAGTTAAGTATATACCATGTCAGGGGTCATAAGGACACCAATGCGCTGTCCGTTCTTAGACTCATCTAATGAGATATTTGGATGGGACATGATTAGATTCATCCAAAACTACAACCAGAGGGTTACAATACAAACATGATATGCAAATTCGCCTCGTTCTATTCAGCCAATGCCGAGCCGATCAGCCACACCGGTATCCTGCCCGGAGGCACCACCCAGCGCCAGCAGACCTTCAGCATACCGTCCTCCGTCGGTACCCTGATGAGCAACGGTAGCCTGCCCTTCATGCAGAACGGCCACCAGGCGGCCTACACCACGGCCAACCCGGCCGCCGCCGTCGTCGCGGCCGCCGCTTTCCCCGTGGTGGCGCCGGCCCAGTTCTCCATCGTGGGCGCGACCGATCAGCTCAGCCTGCAGCCGGGCACGGTCATCATTCAGGGCCAGCCCGGCGTACAGGGCTAGGTCGGTTACGCTGGAGTCGGAGAAGGGTCTTGCAGGTGTCTTAACCCGTTAGCTCATGTACTACATTGTATCACATTGTATTACATTGTATCACATTGTATTTATTCCCTGATAAAAACCATACAGTGTAGGGGCGGTTTTGGGTGGTGCAGGGTGTAAAATGGGCTAATCAAGATGTTGGGCGGTGCACCTGCAGCATCGGCCTCGAGACACTAACACGAGGGGTAATGTGGGCACAGTTCTGTCACTACATATCTCTCAAGAATACTAAAATGCCCAGAGAATATTCCAATTTTTTTCTCTGAGAGAAATAGTCCAATTTTGTTAATACTAGTAAACACATTTTTGATACTTCAACTATTCACTGGAAAATCACCCTCAAAATTGGCACTACAAAAAGCAAATGCTTTCCATTTCAAAAAAAAGAAATTCATCAGAAGTGATTTGCAGGTTGCATGTTTTGTTTTTAATTGTCTGGCCACACTGCGTTTGACTGAATCACTGATCAACGGTCAGGTGACACGAATGTCCTCATTTGATTGGCCGAGGGAATGCAAAATGGATGGGTCTGTGTACAAATATATACTTTTTTCCTTCTACATAACGAGTGCCCTCTAAAACTCATTGTTCAAGTCCTGAATATGATGGTATATTATCATCACATGACCTGTTTATGTTATGTACTCTGTGTTTCTCTGAAAATAAATACACCAAATAAAATCCACAGAAATAGAATCGTGGGTTTGAAATTTGTAAAAACCCATATTCAACCCAATGTGCAGTACACAAAGTTAGCAAAAAAAATATTAAAAGGAGCACCGTTAACAACAAAGAAATTCTGTTGCAAATTTTTGTTGAAAATTATTAAATAAATTGAGATGTTTCTTGGGCCTTGAACAAAAAGATAAATTTACTTTCATTGTTTTGACTTTTTTTGTTTTGGTTTTAAACAAGAGTGGTTGTATCTCAACTGCATATTCAAAAGAAATACACAACGGTTAGGCCAAAAAAAAAAATATTTGGTCTCTGGTCAGATCAAAGTTCCGGAATTGACGCGGCCACGCGGCTTTTTTTTTTTTTTTTTTTTGGCTTTTTTTTTTTTCTTCTAGCTTTGATTGTACAGACAAGGTGGGGTACTATTTTGCTTTTTTGGTGTCCTCATGTACATTGGTGTCCTCCATAATTTGCCTTGGTGCTTTCGATCATTTGCCTTGGTGCAATTTCCCATTCCTTGGTGCTCTTTGGTAAAAAAAAATTGAGGAGGTGCGGAAATAGAGGGCGCTGTTGGAGCAACCGCGGAACATTTTGGAAAAAAAAGATTGACGCACATGATTAAAATCGACGCGCGCGCTGACCAGAGACCGACTTATTTTTTTGTTTGGCCTAATAAGACGTTACTTTTGTGAGAAGGGTGGGGGAAAAAAAGTTTTTCGTTGAATCACATGTATATTATTGCACTGGATTTTTTTCTCCTCATATTTTGAAGTCATTAAGTGGGTGAAATAGCGTCATTTTCAAATTAAATTTACGATTGTAGTCCTGTGTCTATTTGCAACTTGTATGCATTAATTTACACTCAATCTTTGGGTTAATTTGTAAAATATTATTATGAAGAGAAAAAATTGATGTTCCGTTGAAATTTAAAAAAAAAATCTTTGGGATCAATTGGATTTTGTTTTTGCATGGTCGTTAATACTACGCAGTCCGTCAAATTTGGGGGGCCAACCGTGTCTTTTCTGTCGGCACCGTTCCAAATTGTGACGTTTTGCTTGCTTCGTTCAACTACGAAAACAGATATTCGTCCAATTTGTATTAATACATCTGCCAAATGTGACGACCTAAAAGCCCAGAGCACATTGAAATCCATCACTCCGTATTTATTGGCAGATTTCGGCCAAACTTTACTAAAAATGTGTGCAAAGTAAACTAAACAAACAAAAAAATTGTAAATATCCATTGTACGAAGTTGTCTCTTTACTCCATCATTTTAGTGTTTGAGAAATTACAACCAAAAAAAATCAAGTAGTGTAGATTTGTTCATTGTAATAGAGGTTTTCCTATTATTGTCTTATTACGGATGAATTACACTTAGCTGTCGTAGAAGCTGTTGTCCAACTATTGAGTTTATTCTACTCAATTGCTATTTAAATAAATTACAAAAAAAAAAGTGGGCCATTTTTGTAGGCTTTGCTATTAAATGTGGTAATGCAATATACGGTGTTGTTGTTTTTTCTTATACAGCTCATCTGAAGAGTTGGGCACAGCGCAGGGGTACCAGCTATTAATGGGGGATATGTGTATGTATAGCTGGTCCCTGACTTGATTTAAAGTTAATGGTAGAGTTGGGCACAGCGAGGGATACCAGTTATTAGCAGGGATATGCGTTTACTGTAACGGCGCCCCTCATGGACAACCAAAGCAAAAATAGGATTTCCGAAGAATTTATAAATGACAAAACTTAATAGCAGTCGGAAGGGAGATAAAAGATGAATAAACTATAGAAACTTACATGTTTACAGGTTGAGCCACAGCAGTGCAGGCCTATCTACTGGAACACAATCACTACATAAAACTGCTAAACCACATGCACGGCCAACGCCCAGTCTCAAAGTCCACCACAGGGCGAAGGCACCCAGATTCTTCTTTATAGCAAAGGAGCTAACACACAAAAGAATTCCTTAGCATCAAAACATTTCTTATAAAACAAACCAAAAAACCCACTTGAGAAAGTATTTTATATACAATAGAGATCCCAACTCATGGTGGAGAGTGAGGGGTCTACTCCACTATTGAGAACGCATACTCTAATCTCCTGTAGTGTATAATTATTCTAAATAAGCAATAAGATTAATCCACTGTGTGGTTGCAACCAGGGCCCTACTTGGTGAGGCCATACAAAGGAATTCAGAGGAATTAAAGTAATGCCAGACACAGCTGTTTACACACCTGAGCCCAATTCATGAGCTGCTAAGCACAAAAATGTGCTTAGCATGAAAAGTCTTCCTTGGCAAAAAACAGGATTACCAACCAAATGTCCATGTGATGTATAATGATTTCGATTGGTATTCAGCTGTTGTTTGCTTAGCATGAAAATCACATGGAGTTTTGGCTGGTAACCTGCTTTTAATAAGCCAGACTTTTCGTGCTTAGCACTGTGCTTAGCAGCTCAATGAAATTGGTCCCTGGTACAGATGGTTATATTGTTACAATACATGCTGTCCCTGACTTCCTTTAAAGGTGCAGGATTGTGATGGGATTTTTAAGAGAGAACAGAATCGTTGTTTAGGCACTATCATGCTGTAAAAAAAAAAAAACTCCTGACATGTATTTACATATTTTGGAGACTGCTGGACTTGGGAGGGGTCAATTTTTTTTTCTGAATGTGTAACACACTACCACCACATTACTGTTATCAGCAACGTGCACTGGTGTTTGTAACAAGATAGAATGGGGACAGTGGGTTTTCGGATTAAAATTGTATTCATGAGGTTGCAAGAAGAAGAGCATTTTAAGAATGTATGATAGTTAATATTTTTGGCTGAAATTCTCGGAGGGGACGGGGGGGGGGGGGGGGAATCGTCGGAGCTTTAATGTTATAGGGTATAATGTGGATTTCATTTATGGTGATGTTTCAATAAACTCTGCGCTGGAAAACAAAAGGAAGAGAAAAAGTGTCAGAATTTCATTTTGCAGTTCGTTTAACGATGTTGGCGTTTTGTGGAAGTGGAAACGGTCCCCTTCATTAGATTTACTGGCCTGCCTAGTGCCCCGTAGCCTGAGTATCACCCGTTGTTCAAGGAGCCCAGATCTACGGTCTAACGTCTGATATACCTATTTATGCAATCCCGCGCCTCAGCCAATCGGAGTCGACTTTACTAAATCGTAACATCATTTCATTCCCAAATCAGGACTACATGTTTGATTGGTCAATTCGAATGCAGTGTTTTGTAATACAACAACGGCCGGGCATAGCTCTATAAAACCTAGACAAGCTTGGCGCATATCACATAACATAATACAGAGCGCGTGTTGCCTGTGTTAATTTTTTTTATCCATGTCTATGATGCGTTAACGGGTGAATGACCGAAGACCCAATATAGAAAGCGCCCGCTGATTGGTCAAAATCTACAGGTCAAGAGGCGATTGTCTTGCATAATTAATCAGCGAATCTGCTCACATATCTATTACATAGACTAAGTGCCCTATAGGTCTCTCTCAAATGATGTCACTGCCAACAGATTGTCACATGCATCGGCATTTTCATGATGCGAATCGGCTGTGCTGCGCCATATTTTGAAGAAATTTTGAGCAAAACGTGGGTGTTTAGAACATTTTGCACACTGCGCGCACACATACCCGATGGCGTTGAATACGCAGTTATATTCCTACGAAGATGGCGTCATATGAGAGGGGTCTATTTGCACCCGACTGACTGACCGACTGTCGCTTGTGAATTGGACTGGTCAGTGGTTACCCAACTCACTGACTGTCATTGTGACTTGGTCTGCGAGCAGCTTTTTGAAGCTTGCATATAGACCATTATCATGTTGCGGCCATCTTGATTTTTCCCATTCAAATCAACGTAACCAAAGCGAGCTGGGAGGAAAAATAGTCTGGTTCCTTTCTGCACAAAAAAACATCATTCAGTACTGTTATTGGATACAGGGAATTTGACTAAAATGGTGGCAGCATGATAAAGATCAATTCATGTACTTCATGTAGCATCTACAACGCATGTGCATTAGTGTGGCGACACTTGTGTAGGCAAATGAGCCAAGTCTCAATGTGAATGACATAAAATGGATTTGCCATTTCCATCACGTTACTATTAAACGTAAGATTTCCTCAATAGGGTGACAGGTTTCTCAAGTGTCGTCTGGATTAGGGCGACACGCCTCATTGGGGCGACAATTTGGTGTCGACCCTATTGTTAAAACCACCCTTAGGACAAGGAATTTTATTGTCGCGACCCATCAAAATCGATTCATCGTCGTCCAATTAGCCTAAAAACTGAATTTCGTGGAAAAGGGATTAGGTAAACTCGGGTTAGGCGACAGTTTAGGTTTGTGCGCAAGTCTACGGGAGTGTTGCCCCATTGTAGCATTAGTAAGAACTATTATTGTTATTATTAATCATTTCTGGTAATGAAACCAATGATTCCTCAAAAGCGCCCTAGACACTGTAGCTCGCAAGCCTGAAGAAACCTGTGGAGAGAAGACAATGAGAAGTTACAGTTTTAGAGGTGGGAGGAAAAGCCCAGAAGAAAATTCTGGGGAAAACCTATGAAATCAGGTAGGGACTGAAAACCAAATCCACACATTGGCCCAGGCGGGATTCGAACCCGGGTCACAGCGGTGGAAGGCGAGGAAAGTACCGCTACGCCAACCGGACTCCCCCTGACCACTTCAGCTGAGCTTTTTTGCCAATCTGAATCAATCGAATGGAGTTTCATGCACACTGAGACCAGTTTTACTCGGCTTGACTTGTCCTGTTCCTTCAAAAAAAAAAGAAAAAAAGTAACATTTACCTCAAAATGTAAAGATAAAACAGGTAGAAATCCAGTTAAAATAAACTGGCAAGATACAGCATGAATGGCATGAAAAGTTGCCCAATTTGTTTTAATTTTTTTTGGAAAAATAAAACATGCGAAGAGAGGTTATACAATAACATGAAAGAAGCAACACTCAAAACTGTCAATGCATAGTTTGAACATGACGAGAGGCAAGTTCGATTTATTCGGGTATGTAATACTGATAAATCCTACAATTTATTTAAAATACTTGACAACTTCCCAGCAAAAACGAGTATACACAAAACACTTCCCATCTCTCACCGTGATTTGTATAATTCAAGATAAATTTAAAAGTACTTCAATTTTCTACAGATGTGACCGTGATAGTAACGTTATTAAGAATTTCGGACACCTTTTCAACCTCGATGACAAAGTTTAGAGCTGCATTTTATTTCAGTGTGTTGTTAATTTTATTTTTATTTATTACCTGTTCGCTCGTACCCCCCACCCTGCAAACAGGACGCTGGGATACTCTGATGAGCTTCACAGAATCTTGTGAAGGAAGTGGCCTATGACCTATGTATAAAGCATCTGGATGCAGCTGTTCAAGACCGCAGTTAGACAATGTGCACAAATGCTATCCGCAAACTTCCCATAGAAATGCCCACATTCCATACCGGATGTGATTTCTGTTTCATTGCGGACCATGTGGACAAAATTTTGAGCGTCGCATAATGCAATCCAACCGTTCGTGATTCGAAACAGAGCCTGAGCGAGTGACGGGAATTGTAAATTTACAACACGGATGAGTTTTACAGAATTCCCTACATTATTACCCTTTTTCGACGAGAAAAAAACATCTCTAAACTGGACTTAAAGAGTAATGAATCAGTCTTAACGGCCGTTTCAAACCTTGCAGAGTCATGACCTTGATGAAGCGCAGGTCACTGGTCATGCAAAATCCTACCAATCAGAGCGTGAATTCATCAGAGTATCCCAGCGTCCTGTTTGCAGGGCGGGGGGTACGAGCGAATATTACCTGATGCAATTTTCAAGTTTCAATCATTGACAATTGCAGGAAGACTCATACATTTAAAAAGTAATGATTTGCATCAACCATTAAAGTACTGTACAGTGTATGGAAATGGATTACCTGATATCGGTTGGAAATATTATGAAAGGGATTTATTCCCAAGAAAACTTGTAAATAGAATATAAACAAACAAAAACAACTTTGCATACTCAATGGAAATAAATTCCAAATACATATATCTCCAAATTTTAAAATAATTACACGATTTAAAGATTTAAATATTTAAATAATTGAACTCTCAGGTCAATCACTATGATATATGTGATAAGGTCCCAATATATATAAAATACAAATCAAAATTTGTGATATACATTGGAAAAAAAATACGAATCCAACTCAAAAGAACCATGATTTGAAATGTGACCATTTAATTTCAAAATATATCTTCTTTCCAAATCTCCCCTTCCCCAATCTTTTCATATATTAATGATTGTTTAAAATAGTTAATCAAAAAGACTGACGCTTATATAATGGGTTTTGCCAATTTCTGAACGTCACAAAAAAGGGACCCTCAAATTCGGCCAAATTTAAAAAATATAATTTCATAGCTTCCCTGCCTTCAAATCTTTAGTCTATTATTACTTGTGATTGACCGAGTATTGTTTATCAGTTTATGATTGAATTGATTCATAATCATCACTGCAAGAGAGCGAACCAGCCTTCGAATCTTTAGTCTATTATCACTTGTGACTGACCGAGTATTGTTTATCAATTTATGATCGAGTTGAATCATAATCATCACTGCAAAAGAGCGAACCAGCCTTCGAATCTTTAGTCTATTATTACTTGTGATTGACCGAGTATTGTTTATCAGTTTGTGATTGAATTGAATCATAATCATCACTGCAAGAGAGTGAACCAGCCTTCAAATCTTTAGTCTATTATTATTACTTGTGATTGACCGAGTGTTGTTAATCAATTTATGATTGAATTGAATCATAATCATCACTGCAAGAGAGTGAACCAGCCTTCAAATCTTTAGTCTATTATTACTTGTGACTGACCGAGTATTGTTTATCAGTTTATGATTGAATTGATTCATAATCATCACTGCAAGAGAGTGAACCAGAGCAGGGAAGTACTGGATTCTATTATAAGTCCATCACAAATAATCGTGGATGCGAACAATAACAAATAAATGCCTTTGTCAAAGCTCATTTTGAAGCGCTTGTGAGTTGAGTTGGGACTGGAGGACTTGTGATGGACTTGCAGGGACTTGAGATGGACTCGATTATATCCCTGAATCCAGATCCGCCAATGTAAACACCGCAAAAAAAGAAAGTCCACACTCATTGGAGCAGTCAATATTTCGAATCTGATTGTCTTATGATGACGTCATTTCTACAGACCTTTGGGGAATGTTGTTAGCTACATTTTGATACCCCGTTTGCTACCAAAGACTGTAAATCGTCCAACGCTGACAACAGTTTGTGAAAAATGATGCAGTTTGAAAACTTACAAGTTTAAAGAGTACGCGAGTGGAAACTGCTGCGTGACAATGTCACACTGCCCGACACGAACGGCAGGGAATATCAATCGCACAGTGCTTGCATGCATGGGAGCACGCGAATTGAATTACCCGCGCTTTGTCCGGGCACTGTACAGTTGATAGGGGCCAATTACGGGCATGTGTGGTTACGCTTAGCAATTTCTCCTCCCATAATCTTTAAATTTGCAGATTTTCAAACTGCATAATTTATCATAAACCGTTGTCAATCTTGGACGATTTACAGTCTTTGGTAGCAAACGGGGTATCAAAACGTAGCTAACAAAATTCCCCAAAAGTCTATGTAAATGACGTCATCATTAGACAAAAAGATTCAAAATTATGACACCTCAAATGAGTGTGGATTTTCTTTTTTTGCGGTGTTTAATTAGCGATATCATGGAATTAGCCCCATGTCTACAACTCTGGAGAAAAACTAGACACATTCATCACTAGTCATAGTTGATGCTTTCTTTGCTACTAGTCGCATCCACCAGCTTTTCTTTCTCCGTGTCGTGATCCTTATCCACGTCGCCGTCGCTCACCGTCGGGCTCCTGCCGCGATACAGGATGTAATGCTGCACCATGAACAGCACGTCGAAGAGGATGGAGAAGAAACCCAGACCAAACTTGGTGGGGTCGCCGAAGATGGAGTTCCAGTCATCTGCGGGGGGAATCCAATGGACTCACTAGTCACCAAGACCTATGGACTAATGCTACGATCGCCATTTACTGAAAAGGGCCAACGCTCATGCATATATTGTAGACAATTTTAAACTGAGAGTTGTGCGTGATTTGAAAATAATATTGCTTGATGGGACTGTGTCCCAATATTCGATCAACCGCCGAATATCCGAATAGTATTTTCTATGATTTGAATATACACAAAAATGTGAGTGTTCTTGAGAAGATGAAGATAAACAATCATGATGTTATTTCAATCTTATAAGTTTAGATCTTTTAAATAGCTAGCTAGTCAGCTATTGAAAACAAGCGCGATCAGAAATATTTCAGAATCTGCGGGCCGACGAATTCGTGTTCATGCATGAGTCACGTGATTGTGCCATGTAATTTCTGGAAGGAGTAGTGTTTTGAGTTTAAGGCTGCATCCGAATCAACTGTCTAGAGCTAGGTCTAGGTCTGCGCCCATTGAAAATACGCGGGGACGCGCTGACAATAGACGTAGCCGTAGCTCTGGAAGCCCGTTTCGGACACGGCCTAAGTTTAAAAAAATCAGGGTTTTGACCCCAGTGACCCCTTGTTGACCTTTGACCCCAGTTTGGTCATGTGACATGTTGGGGCTGGGCTACTGATACTCTTTGACAAAGATTGGTTGAAATCGGTCAAAATATGTAGGAGGAACAGACAATGTCACCGTTTGTTACTAACTAACTAACTAACGGTCTAACGGAGAGACATATGATGGTTTGTTGAGCTGCTATCCTGCAGCTAAAAAATATATCGATGCATAGATGATGTTCTATACTATTCCATGAAGCTCATTGTTAATTTCTGGCCCAACTACAGTTGGAACTGTCCCAACTATAGTTAGGGTAAGATACCGATTTACCGTAGCACCATAGTTGGGGTAATTACAATAGTTGGGGCGTAACATTAATACAGACCCCGACCATGAAATCTGTGCCCAATTAAGTGCAAGGATATTTATGGAAAGGAATTTTGTGTATGTTCTGTTTGTACTTACCGTTATTGTAAGACAGTAGAAACATCTGTAGTAAACTGAAGGAACCACCGGTGAAATCCAGCATGACATTGCCGATACTCCAACCCACCGTGCTCTTCCTTCTGAAATTCATCCAGGCCTGGACAAACAAAAAAACACCCAAAAATCACACATTACACATGAGCAAGCAAAGACATTGAAAACAAATTGCAGATGTGGCCCAAATGTCATGGATGCTACAAATGGAGGCTCCGTTTACTTCATTGCGACTGTAAGCAGTAAGAGCACATATCCGTCAACAGGCTACTCTGAACATACTTAGGCAGGTCAAAATTTGTTTCGAATTCGGGCGATTCACAATGCAGTGCGCCACCAAGAGTTTGCCACGGAGAGTTCATTTTCTCTAGTGCATTGTAGGAGATGGTGGACAAATTCGCAGCGCGGGACATGTGAACTTGTTAGTTTTTCCGGTCAGTAGTTTCGTAAGCGTATGATTCAAGTATGTTTGCCATTTTCTTTTCTTTATATCAATATTGTGTTTTTTGTAAGGCGGCAGAACACTGTGCCCCAATCTATAACAATTTAGCTCAAGTTGTCTACTGACACTCATTCAAATGGGCCGTGTTTTGTCGACCGTTAACTTGAAAATGGTCTCTCCATGGCAAACTCTTGGTGGCGCACTGCATAGTGAATCGCCCGATTTGTACTGCAAATTTATATGATAAGGCTGAGCATAATTTCTTCTGCTGGTTGAGCTCCATGTTCCAAACACCGCAACACGTTTTCAATTGGTTATCTGGGTTTTTTTTATTACAACATCGCAGAGCTTACCTGTGGCACATACTTGATGATGGATACGGCTAGCTTGATGTAGGAGAAGTAGTAGAGATAGGTAAGCCAGTTGATAATCCGTTCGTGGCTAGCGGCTGTGATGATCAGCGTGATGATGGAGAACAAGCCGGCTATGACTAAGAGAAGGATACAAACACGAGACACTCTCTGGCCACCTCTCTAGAAATAAAATAGAAAAAAAAATGAAAAAAAAAAGTTAAAGGCACATGAGTTTGGTAAGTGATATTGTTTCGCTTCGTAGTTTCATGAAATCGGGCTCTGTTGAAAGTTCAGGTCAGTAGGCACTATTTGTTTTTCAAGAAAACAGTCAAAAATCATGCTGAATTTCAACAGCGTATACCATTCCACTGAAGGTAAGCTCAATTTTAATGAGAAAACTTGACGCCTCCGCCCTACCTTAGTCTGAGTATCACCTATTGTCCAACGAAGCCCCCTCTGTCTCTGGTCCAACGTCTGATATACCTGAGCATGCAAATTTATTCGCGACCCCGCGCGCCAGCCAATTGGAGTCGACTTTACAAAATCATGACGTGTTTCGATCAGAAATGTGGACTAAGCTGCTGATTGGTCAATTTGGATGCCGTGTTTTTGTAATACAACAACAGGCATAGAGATCTAATAAAGCCCCAAAAAAAATACTTCTGCTTCCAATTACATGGCATTCAAAAATAGGGTAGGTAGGTAGGGAATTATTTTTTTTTGGCCAATTTTTTTTTTGTGTATGATGGTTTTGGGTGTTTTTTCCCCTCACTTTTCCCATAAAAAAAAATTAAGGTAGGGGCTCTCAGAATAGAGTAGGTAGGGAAACCGGAAGCAGAACCATTTTTTTTTTTTTTGACCTTAAACCTAGACACAGCATTCGCTATCAAAACAGTGCATATAGAATACGTGAGCGCTCATCGTGGGCGTGAACGCGCAAGAGGACGTTCGCATTACACACGTTATTTAAAATATTATGTAATGATCATTCAAGGACACTGGACGTTCGTGCATCGCGTAACATATCGTAACAGGCTGCGTGACGCAGCCGATTTTCATTAAATTCACAACGTAAAAGAATAATAGATGTCTCGTCTAGGTTTTATTAGATGTCTAAGACAACAGGTTACCGAAGACCCGATACGGAAGACGCCCGCTGAATGGTCAGAATCTCGAGGTCAAGACGCAGTCTTGTTTTGCATAATTAATCGCCCAATTTGCTCACATATCATAGACCCTTGCTGTGCAAGGGGATATTCCACAGACGACCCACCCCTAAGTAAAACAAAAAATCTGCACAGAATTTCAATTGGATAAGAACTTGAACTCACATCGTATATGAGGCACTGGAAGATGGTGACAGCCGTAATGGCCACGGCGTGCAAGGTGAACAAGACATCGTTGAGTAAGACGGGATTGACACCGTATGGATTCTTGGCTTGATACTCATCCTTGAAGGAACATTATAAAAAATGAAATAAGTCAAATTGCTCAGCTCTGCGCACACATAGGTTGAAGAGGTTGCACTGAGAGGCAGGGGAAGGGGGGGGTGGGGGTGTGAGGGGAAGGGGGCGTGGGGGGGGGGGGAGTTTGTGTGCCCACCCCATTCGTTGTTCTCGTCCGCAAAATCAATATTCTTGTTGGCGAACTTGTGTGACTGTAGGCAAATGAGGCAATCATATAAAAAATCTTTGTCTAAATCCTTGTATTGCTCAGTTATGTTTCAAGTATTTTAGCAACAACATATCAACTAGACCTTTGAAATACGATAAGTAAACAATCCAAAACATAATTTTTGGGGGGATTTCAGGCCGTGCTATCCCTTTAACTGAACTGCAAAAATTTCTTCAAATAGTGATAGACAATGTAGTACTAAACTGAAAAGAAATTAAAGTTTTACCTGAACGTGAGTTATCCAAAACATGCCAATGTTGAACAGTCCATACGCGGTGAAGCCAACAATGTTGTACGCAAGAAAATCGAAATTGAGCCCAACAACACTGCAAAATGATAAACAATCAAGAAATAAAATACCTATTTTATGGACTGATATGAGATAATAATAATAATGGGTATTTATAAAGCCCACGTATCCACCAGTGTTGGTGCTTGAGGCTACATCATTATTACCCTGCTCATTGGGCCCATGAAACATTCCAAAAGACCATCTCAGCTCCCTGGGAAGTATACAGCTCCATGCTGCCATTTTGGTGCAAAGCAGCTTTAATCAACCACATTAATCTTCTCTGCCCTCACATGTTCCCATTTACCCCAGAGCTAGTGGAGAGAAGCAATGAGTGACAAAGTGCCTTGCCCAAGGGCACGCACACCACAGCCGCAGTCTGGACTCGAACCCACAACCTGCAGAATTACATGCACACCACGAATTCAATGCTCCAGACCACAAGTCCACGGCACTTCACGAGAGGATAGGTGGTCATTTGTAATAACCCTTTTGAACCAAACCGACCACTGTCTAGAATTGTTCTCATAAATCTTCTTTGTTTGGGTCTTTCTTTCTTTCTTTTTTTTCCGGACAATACTTCTCCGCAGGTTTTCTCCTAAACGGTATATGGTATCAACTTGTAACTTTCAACATATCTCCACCCTCATCCCGAGTGGTGCATATTACTCTGACGTCACGATGATGTCATCGGGTATCAAGTTACAAGCGATTTTTGGTCAAAATATGACAATTTTACGTCAATTATAACTCATAAACAAAATAAACGATCACGTTTATACTTTGCGATCTAATGGACAATACCTTGATAAACATTTTTGATTAAAAAGTCAAAGTCGTTTGACCTTTCCTTCCGGGGCTACCGGAAGGTCAAAGTTAGGTGAATTCAAAATGAAGACGTTAGCTTGAAATCAAAACAAAGCAAAATTTCTTCCGAACGGTTTATGGTATGATCATAAAACATAATGTGAACTTGTAACATGTTATGAAGATGTTATAAATTTTGTAACGTCATCATGACGCCATCAGGTATCAAATTACAAGCGATTTAAGGGCAAATTTTGACAAAGTAGTTTGCGCTATATCTTTTGAACTGAATAGAGTCTCGTGTTCATTTTTCTGTGAGGTTGTACACTATGCCTTGAGAAACATTTATTGACCCCGGACACAAAACCGCTTGACCTTCACTTCCGGTGTTACGGGAAGTGCAATAAAATCCGAATATTATAACTCAAAAGCAGAAGCATTTAACTACACCGTTAAAGATACATTTTTGTAACAAAATAGTTGATTGTACTGGAAGGGATTTAATTTCGTGATCCTTTGTTCTATATAAACGTATATTCCTAACTTTTCTGGGCAGTGTATAATGAAAAGGCTGTCCGCCCGACCACTCTGCGTTTGTAACTCAACAAAAGCGAATCTCTAGTTTTTTTGTATTTGAATATTAAGTATGATTACCTTTTCCTTTGGAAGTTGAGCACAACTTGCGGGTAGAAGGAGATGGTCCAGGCCGCAAAGTAGATCCAGCCTACCACGATGATGACGACATTCAGCGAGAAACTGTGGACGACTTGCACCTTGACAAAGAGCATGGACAAGCTGGGGAAAAAAAGAAAACAAAACATTTGAAAATACACTGGCTAATGTTCATTAACCCTAACCTAATACCCTCCCTGGGTATTTTAACCTCAATCCTGCAAAATACTCCAACTACCTCAGTGTAAAAATAGCATACAGCCTCAATCCTGCAAAATCCTCCGTTATTTCTTGATATGTGGTGCTTGGAGGGGTGACCACTGCCTCAATCCTGCAAAATCCTCCAGCAATCACTGTCAATATGTTCAGGCAGAGCCAGTGACATCCTGGAGCAGTGCGGAGATTTGATGTTTAATTTAGGCCTGAATTCATGCACGGCTGAGCACAAACAACACAAGGTCCGGCCTAAGACCTTGACACAGAGCATCCTCTGAAATCAGCAACACAGTTTTGCCATACAGCCTCAATCCTGCAAAATCCTCCATTTTGCAAAGAGGCTTTGGGACGGTTAGGGTTAAAGTTACTATGGACTCTGTTTTGGAATCCATCACAAGTCTTTACAAGTCCATCACTTAAATCACAAGTTACAGGCTCTGCGCACAAGCAAGAAAAAGAGAACTGGGGGAGACCGACGGGAGAGACATTTAAACGCACTGTTGACAGTGCCTGATGCTCACACGAAGATGCTCTGTGCACATTGAGAGTAAAATATGTTGTGTGTACTTCACACTTTACACGATCTGATACACCGTGCCCTCTGGAGACATGCACACAATAGGGAACAAAAGATTGTATACGTCTCCACAGGGCAATTTCTATGGATGAATACATCTCCACAAGGTTATCACAAAATAGATATATGGACTTTACTTATAAACTAGGAATTTCCAAGGTATGTTGATCCGTCACAAATGGAAGAGTTTTAGAAAAGGGATATTAAGTCTGAATTTCAGCCAAGGAAATTAATTCTGGTTAAAACAAGAGCATTTTGAAACTACACCTTCAAACTCGAAAACTTTACTACACAAGAACAAAGAAATGTCTCCACAAGGATGCGAATTCCAGTATGTGTGAACACAAACAACGCACACTTAGCATATGGGGTTTATGGGGTACCACTTTTGTTCGACCCTAATTCCCTTCTTTTGTTCTCCTTTGTCCCCTTAGAAATCTCAACATACATAGCGTTAGGGTTATGGGGTACTTCAATTTCTAAAGACAGACTTGCGGGGTACCATTGTCCCTATCCGGTTCGTTAGTGTGACGTCACCTCCAGCGCTTTCTTCACGATTGGAACCGGAAGTTAATGCAGCTCGAGCATTTGTAGCCGATGGGCGCTAGTAAACAATGGTGGGAGCGCGTGAATGACGTTTTCACTAACGAACCGGATTGCTGCCCTTTGTTCCTGGTACCCCATAAGTGCCAATATGTAAGCGCGGACAAGTTTGTTCATGGTGCAAATCGAGGATTTTTTATTGTTCCTCCTCCCTTTTGTCTTTGTTTATACTCCAACTTTTTCACAACAGCTCTCTTTGGTTTTGTATATGTTTTCTAACCGAGGAGTCCTCGATTCGGTTTCTGTCCTCAATTCATCGATGATGTTGCATGTGTGCGTCCTCGACTTACACCATAAACAAACGCCAGTAGGCACATGCGGTGTGTGGCCTGGGCTAATGAAAGTAGTCAAAAGCGCCCTCTCTTGTTCGCGTACGGAGCCCATAGATCTCTCTCATAGGACGCCATCTTCGTTACGACGCCATCTTCGTTACTTGTGTGCGATGCATGTCACGAACAGTTGACACCCAAAATGCTGATGCGCGTGACAATCTGTAGGAAGTGACGTCGTTTGAGAGAGACCTATTCCAATGATTGCTTCGTAACCCCTAGGGCCTGCAAATTGTCTTACCTTCCAAGCTGTTCATCTGTGGACTTCATAGTGATTGTCACTTTCCCCACGGCTGAGCTCATGTTGGTAAAAACAAGCACTTTGACCTTGGTGGTTGTATCATTACGAGGTATTTCCACCTGGATATAAAAAAAAAATTGAACACAACTTGAACAAATGACACAAGACGCACATACACCACACTGCCGAATACCTTTTTTTTACTGGGTCACTGTCAAATTCCCTGTTTTCCCAGACTGGAAAAATAAAAACTCATTTCCAGGGGGGACGAACCTGTATTCACAGGAACGGAGTGCCCATCTCTCCTTCGAAGCGATTGGACCAGACTCTTATGCTGCTGTGGGGGGATCGCCACACCTCCTCCACAGCGAGTCTGTTACCTTCCCAGCATTGAATAATGCCGATACCCATTTAACACTTGGGTTGAGAGGAGTAATTGAGGTAAAGCGCCTTACTCAAGGGCACAACAGGCAAGGTCACGGCGGGGCTCGAACCCACAACCTCTCGATCACAAATCCTGTGCTCCACCGCTAGACCACACGTGTCCCAAGGTTTTCCCTTACTTCCAGAGCGGCTGGGAACCTGCAGCCTGCTAAGAGCAGGCTGGCTGGTTCGAATCTTCAACAGCAAAAGGTGCAAGCAAACTCACTGTCATGTCAGCCTCGGCGATTGTGCTATCAGTGCTGTTGAAAAACACAGTGGCTGGCTCGGCCAACCTGATGCGGGACTGCAAGTAAAAGGCGTCCGCTTTGCCATTCTCGATAGTCAGGGCTTGGGTAGATATGGACAGGTTGGATTTGCTGGCCAAGTCCGCTGAGACTGGGTCACAATTCTGGACAAGCAGCAAGGCGAGTACAGCCAGAGCTATTGAGCCGAGTTGACGGAGCATCATGACTAAGCTGGTTGGGGGATTCTCCGAGTTTCAAATAGTGATTATTCTGCAAATGAAGAATATCTGCTAGTAAGATCAAAAAGAAATGTGTTGCCATCAAGCTAAATGAGTCATTTGTCGACCCCGGTCAAAATTTGGTTTATTACAGATTTGGAAAGAGCAGAATCACAGCATTACAGCTATGAAAACCGCATGCTGATACCATCTTTAGTTTAAAAATTATTGAAGTCGGAACACCAAGAGATGTGATGAAGTGATGTGATGAAGTGGCCCTATTTTGGCCTGAATCTCCAAACGAAAATTCCCAACAAACGACTCGTGTAGCTTGATCGCATCACACATCATCAATTCAATATGACAGACATCCAGTGCAAACAGGTTTTGATGCAAGCTATTACAATGGGTTCATTTATTTTGTAAAGACTATCACGTGTAGGCCTAATCCACCGTACCATTTGCCAATCTCGTATACACTATTAGTGCATAAATTATGTGACAATCCTCTCACTTCAATGTCAATGTATAGGTTGTCTTCTACTGCTAGTCCTAGTTCTTGTATTAAAGGAAAGAAACAAAATGAACTTATCCTAATGTCACTTTGGTGATTGTATATTAAGTTTATGTGGTGTCAAGAAATAATACAATTTACTTTCTAAGGCCAAAAAAAAAAAGTCTCCGGTTTCTGGTATGCGCGCGCGTCGCCGTAGCCATGCGCGTTGGGAAAATGAAATTTTGTTTTTTCAATGAAAGATGATGTCTCAAAACCGCCAAACTCACTGGTTTGACTGGAATCCTGCTGCTGCACAATTTTAACGTGTTTTTAGATTGGGTTATGGTCGAGAATAAGCTTTATGTGGCCTCTCTGGACTCCCATATATTTGCACTAAGTTTAGTCGGGCACCATTTGCAGTCATCAGCCGACATTTGAAGTAAAAAATCAGGTAAAAAAAAAAAAAAGCCGCGTCGCCGCACCACTTTTTGGGCAAGCTCCATACCAGAAACCGGAGACTTTTTTTTTTGGCCTAATACTAGTTTTTTTAATCTGTTATTTTTTTTTAAGTGTTGTTTTAAGTTTCGTAAACTGGTCCCACAGTCAAGAGTCCGAGATTTGAATCTCAATGAAGTGAGTGACTGATTAATAAATAGGAATAAAGGAAAGGAGAGGGTGAGAGTAGAGGAGGGAAAGTGGAGGGAATAACCCTAAAGGATGCAACATTTTGGCGCTTGAAAATGAATGATAGTGGATATATTGCCGGCGGCAATCCCGGCAAGCTAACGTTTACTAAAGGTTTGCCGGTAGCAATCCTTATCAACAGAGGGCGCTGTACTCTCTAAGATAGGGCTGAATTATAAGATATATTAAATTAACACCAACGGTTGTGTAGCAACTGTGGCCTAGTGGATAAGCAACGGATCTCATGAGCGGGAAGATCCAGTTCGATCCCCGCTGGCGAAATTTTTAAGGTTTTTTTTCCCCATCCCCCCAAAAAAAGAATATTCTTCTTTTTATTATTTTAACATGTCTCAAACATTTTATTGCCTATTAGGCTATTTTCTTTTTCAGATTTGTGGCTTTGGAGGATTTTTTTTTAAGGGAAATAAAGTCGGAAATTGTAAAATGGTCTGATTCCCATCTTGTGAAAGAAGATGGGAAGATGTTGGCATGGAACCAGACTAAAATTTGTCACCAGAAAATTTTTAAGTACAAAAAAACAGTAACTGCGCATGTTCAGTGCATATCCGGCAAGCTTAAAGTCATTTACAAAAGGTTTGCCGTCTCCGGCTAAATATCCACTGCCAAAATTAATTGAAAAAAAGTGGTGGCCCAGTACAGATTTTTTTCCCCTGAAAGAGTGTTAATGTTGCAACCTGAACCCCCCCCCCCTTCTTCATATAAAACACTATAGGCCTAGGCCCTAGGCCTAAATCATTTAAATGTTGTGTATAAAGACATGAATCTGGGACTGAGAAACATTTCCAATTATAGATACATATTATAGATGGGGCGTAACTAACAACATCCATAATCTTTACAATAAAGTTTATTTAGTTGAAGCATGATGAAGGAATAAGAACACATCCATTATGGTTTAAGTTAGGCCTGTTTAAATTTTAGCATGATTGGTAATGAAATGCTACGAAAGCCCATTAGCGCCACTGCAAGTATATATGATACAAATTATTAATTCGTTATTACGGATTATTAATTCGTTATTACGGATTATTTAATTCGTTATTACGGATTATTAATTCATTATGACGGATTATTTAATTCGTTATTACGGATTATTTAATTCGTTATTACGGATTATTAATTTGTTATTATACAAATAACGAATGTTTGTGAGTGCGATGGTAAGAATAATTTCATGAGGTGACAGATTGAATGTTCTATTCCACGAGGCAAAGCCGAGTGGAATAGAACATTCAATCTGTCACCGAATGAAATTATTCTTTCCATCGCACGAACGTAAAACATTCGTTATTTGTTTTATACAACACCTGAATAAATTCTCGTCATTTGATTGGTACATTATAAACTACAATTTATTTTGATTTTAAAGATGTTGAACTTACCCCTTTACGAAAATGTTTGAACCCAACGCTGTAGCGCTGGCTCTTTGGAACAATACGCGCTACGCTGAACGCGCACACCAGCATGCATTTTGCACGCAAATACCGCGTCATGGAACAAGCGCAAAGTGAAACGGTATAACGCATGGGTATAACGCATGGTCGCACCGTGCATTATACCGAATAATAATATGTCACGTGATCTACAATTCACCAATCAGATGACGGGGATTTATTCAGGTGTTGTATAATACGGATTATTTAATTCGTTATTACGGATTATTAATTCGTTATAACGGATTACTAATTCGTTATTACGAATTAAGTCTGATGTTCTCACACGTGGAGAGCAACACGTGACCAGGGGCCTATGTATATAGCGCTGCTAGGCGGCGCTATCTTTGCATACGTTTGCTTTACACCAGCACCACTCCTGTGCCATACTAAGTTGCCGAGTAATGACTCAGAACGTATGAGTAATTCGTAATAACGAATTAATAATCCGTAATAACGAATTAAATAATCCGTAATAACGAATTAGTAATCCGTAATAACAAATTAAATAATCCGTAATAACGAATTAATAATCCGTAATAACGAATTAGTAATCCGTAATAACGAATTAAAAAATCCGTAATAACGAATTAATAATCCGTTATAACGAATAAGTAATCTGTAATAATGAATTAATAATCCGTAATAGCGAATTAAATAATCCGTTATAACAAATTAGTAATCCGTAATAACGAATTAAATAATCCGTAATAACGAATTAATAATCCGTTATAACGAATTAGTAATCCGTTATAACGAATTAGTAATCCGTAATAACGAATTAAATAATCCGTAATAACGAATGAATAATCCGTAATAACGAATTAAATAATCCGTAATAACGAATTAAATAATCCGCAACATATATACTTGCAGTGGCGCTAATGGGCTTTCGTACAACATCCATAATCTTTACAATAAATTTATTTAGTTTAAGCATGAAGGAATAAGAACACATCCATGGTTTTAAGTTAGGCCTGTTTAAATGTTACTTTTGTTTGGTAAGCATGATTGGTAGTACTAATGATATGCACAACAATTACAATATGTCTGTATGTCATGTATGTGAAGAGTCCCGAAAGAAATGACATTCTGAGTTACCTTTTGTTGGGGTTCTCCCTCAAAATCAAGTGAAAAATCTCATAACACGCATGTCACGTTCACAACCCCACATTCTTCAACAAGATAAGGCAAGGTTTTATTAGTTGCGAATAAAACCGAAAATTCAACATTAAAACACATGACACATTACGACAGGAGGGGCTCATGTGATGAATTAAACTTGTACCAGTGCGACACAAGAGGGCGCACTAACAGTGACGCAAAAGAAAAACCTGTCACGCGTAACGCGGTGGCTAGGGGGTGGCTAACCGCACCGTCCTCCATCTAACCAATTTCACTTGTTTTTTGCATTACTAGAAAAGAAAGCCCCAATTACTTTTCCTGCAAAAGGTCATACAAAAAGGGGGAAACATGTCAATCTTGCAATACACATTGCACTACTTAAAGGGAATGTACATCATTGGATTTTGCTGTAATTTTCAGAAATGAACTATTTGAGGGGTTAGTATGATACATACATCAAATATTGTTACACTGACTGTTTGAAGTTTTGTGTTCGAAAATGCTGGAAAAACCAAGAAAAACAATAATTTTCAAGTAGTCTGGTTCCCTGATTCCACTAAAGATAAAATGGATCAATTTATAGATGCCGGAAAATTGTACCGTAAGGGAACCAGTCTAGCTGGCCTGCACCCGTTCATGAACATGTAACCAATAGCAAACAAAATTGGGACTGAAAAAAAGGTCAATTTTGAGCAGTAGTTGTAAAATAGTTAGGTTTTTCCAACGGTGGTCGGCCGACCACCGTTGGAAATGTATACAAAAATACCATTTTCTTGAAAACGCCTTCACACCAGGTGCCATAATTTGGCAGGATGCTTTAGACTGTCACTTACCAACATCCTAGTATAGTATTTCATAAAAACGTGGTAATTTTATTTTTCGATGTTTGCAAATGTTGTATATTACGACCTGGAATGCGCCCAATTCGACTACAGAATGCGTTTTAATAAACAAAATGGTGTAAGGCCTAATTGAAAAGAGCATTTAAAAGTAGGATATACACGTAGACGTCCACACAATCATCCTTTAAAACTTGGGCGTTTTCAAGTGCGGATCCAAAACACATTTTTTTGGAGGGCCGAAGAAAATGTTGCTCTCCAAAATAGTTGAATCAAAAAATTACGGCGTGGGGTTCGGGGCCCGCTCAAGGGCCCCAGAAAATTTTGGGATTCTAAATGCTCTGTTGTGCAATCTGAGGCAATTTCTGTCCACAACCAATTTCTTCTCTTTTTTTGAGCAAAAGATGGCGTACGATGTGGCTGCCTTTTTTTTTGCGACGTCAATTAAAAAAAAAAAAATTGGAATCAGATTTTTTTTTGGGGGGGGGGAGGGGCATGGCCCCCATTGCCCCCCCCCCGGCACCCGACCCTCCCCCCTTCCTCTCCCTGCCCTGCCCACCTTTTTGACACTTGCAAAAATGTCGGGGAAAAGTCACTATTTCCTTTGCGCGAAAACCGTCGGTGTGAGTGTTTTTACTGTATGAGCAATAAAATTGAAATTAAAATTGCAGAACAATATTGAATTTACATGCTGCATCTCCATAATGCACAATTCAATCACACCATGAAATTCGCTGACCAAAACACGCCTGCGATACGGTGCCCATTATTATAGGTACATCAATTCAGTTCATGCAGTCATATTACATTTATTTTGAAATTGGAAAACAGCCACTATGTGACATATGAGAACATGTCAAGAAAATTCAGGAATTATCAACGGACCCAAATGCACTGAAATGCAGTTTACAATCCGTTACCGAACTTAAACAACTTGGTCACAGAGAGATAAACGAGTGAAGAATTTAGTGTTTCCAGCAAACGCACCAAATGAAGTTTATAATAATTACTGAAAACCGTTCAACAATAATAGAGGCAACTAATTCAATTTATGCAAATTGATTCCTGAACGCCTGAAGAACAAAATTTGCACGAAATGACAAGTTTTCGTCGCTTCTTGAAAATGACATTAATTCCGACTTATTAGATTTGCTCAAGTCTGACGTTGCTCAATAATTCATAACACGTATAGTCCTCGCTGTGTGATGTGCTCTATGCAGCCTGCGTGACGCGCGCAGACGTCAGATTCCTTTATCATGGATGTACTCAACCTCGTTCCCCATGGCAAAGGCGTTGCCAGCGGGGGTAAGAGAGACTGCCCTTTTCCATTCAAATGTTCTTTTTTTCACCAGTGTCACCGTGCCCCCCCCCCATAATTTGCTTTTCTTTTGTTAAGAAGTGCCTTTTTTTCTGAACAACTGCCCTTTTTAAAAAGAAGTCGTGCCCTTTTTTTTTGTGCCATCGGCCGTTCCAGGTGCCTTTTTTTTGTAATTTCGCGCACGTATCGCCCTGAAAAGCATGCACCATAATATTGTCCGTTAGTAGTGTGCATATAATCGTCGGTTTTTAACAGCGCCCCCATCGACAGTTGGTACCAAAAGTTAAGGAAGCGATGAGAGAGAAAGGGAGAGAGAGATAGAACAAAAATGTTATCAAATTCAAATTCCATATAAAAGCCACACGCAATTCGTCTGGGGAAATTGACTTAATACAATCAAAGTGGTTTTCCATCCTTTTTTTCGCCGAAGCTGCAGTTTGGTCAATCAGAAACTCCCCATTATGGTGGAAACTCAAGGTAAACTTCAAATTGCATCGCAGAGCGATATAATTAATTTAACATAGAAACAGGAGAACATATTATTCGTGCAGTGGCCGTGAGTCGATGGTCTATTTAATGTCATTAGGAGTTTCATAATTGTGTAGGAACCTCTAGAAACGAAGAAGTGATGGAATAGTCAGGCTATAATGCGTTTACATGTTCTGCATCCTAGCTTCTTCGGTCGCCCCATTGAATAATACGTCCGCTTAATGGATGCCCCCGGGAGAGTGAACTGAAGAATTTCCACAGCTACATGAAATATAAAGCCGTAGTATGTCACGCAGTAGAGATGATCACTAGTTGTCTATAAAGCACGGAACGTTTCTGTTCAGGGCACGCGCACGCACGTCATAATCGCATTTTTACTGCATCGTTAGTTTTGCTTTTGGTGAACTGTGCAAGTCCACAGCCTCATAATTATCTCTCAACATGGCAGGTTCTGCGTTGAACGAGTCCGGTATTTGTGAGGAATTTGACGGCCTGCTTGATTTTAATGATGAAGCAACGAGGAAAAGATTTTTCCAAACCGCCTCCGAGTTCTTTCTCGTGAGGATTGGCTTTCCTATCGTCTGGCTGGTCGGTCTGCCGGCTAACCTGGCGTTCCTCTACACCATCTACAAGGTGCGACACATGCGAAGTATCACCAACTTCTACCTGGCCAACTTGGCACTGGCTGACATCTTCTGCCTGGTCCTGTACCCGGGTCTCTACAGCTGGTCCTACTACGCTACCCCAGTGGTCTTCAACTTCCAGACGTCGTCGTGGCTGGAGTGCGCGGCAATATTCTTCTCCTTCGACATTCCCAACTTCGCCTCCAACGCCATCGTGACTCTGGTTGCCCTGGAGCGTTTCTACGCGATCTGCCGTCCTCTGCAGAGCAGACAGGCCAGCAGTCATGGACGAGCTGCAGTCCTGCTGGTGGTATTCTGGGCAGTGTCTGTAGCGCTCGCGCTGTCCGTCTGCTCGCGTTTCATCACCGTGCGCGTCTACTGCGTCCTGTGGCCGGACTCGGACAACGGTCAGTACGACTCCCTTCCAGACACCGTGTCGTTCTGCACGGCCGGGGAGCCCTGGGTTGCCGTCTACGCCCACTGCCTGTACGTCGTAATCTGGTTTCTGGGGCTGATCGTCAACAGTTTCTTGTACTACAAGATAGTCCGTCGATTAGGGCGGCGCACCGTCGGCCGATCTGCCTCCAACACCGATGCCAAGAGTCGACTGGTCCGCAACCAGGTCGCCCGCATGCTGATGGTCAACAGCATCGTGTTCTTCGTGCTGCAAGCCCCTCGCGTGCTCACCCTCAACCTGCTGTCTTTTCTGTCTGCGGCTACTGGTCAGGTCCTCCAGCCTTCTGATGTCCCCTTCTTGGTTCCTGTCACCTATTTCCTGTCTCTCCTCAACTCAGCTGTCAACCCCATCATCTACAGCGGCACCAACATCAGGTACCGGGAGGCCTTCCTGCAGGCGTTCGGCTGCACCTGCCGGCGTGGAAGGGAAGGCACGGGAGGGTCCTCGCTCGGTGACATGTCAGTGTCCTCCAAAGTAACGGAGAGAAGTAAGTGTGAACAATCCGAGGACAACCTGGACGACATACCAAATTCATCCATATGAGATAAGCATTGCTCCACTCTGTATTAAGTTGAGTTTCTGCGAACGGTTTAATTTACTCGGTAGGTCAATATTCAATATCGTTGTAAGAAATTTCATTGGGTGAGGACCATTCACCAAGGTGACCGTAAGGTCATGGCCAAATTTTTGCTAAATGCACTTCACAAATCTGTCAGATTTATCAAAAATCTGCCAAATCACCAAGAATTGCTCGAAATACACTATACACACTTAAAATCACACGCAGATGTTGTAATATTGCCTTAACTAAGGTTCAAATTACATTATGAATTAATCTATGGTCACATAAACAATGTTATGAAATTGCGTAAATTTCAGGCAAAACGCAATTACATCACGACGAAGTCTCGCTCTAGTGAACCTCAGCGCCTAAACCAGGCAACCTGTCCTATTTTTCAAGGCTTTGTTTGAATAGATTGACGCTTTTTTAAAACAAATGTACCATTTTGTTTCAAACCTGCTATGTTTTTCTGTCAAATAACCATTTTTACAAAATTCTGCCAGAAATCTGCCAAAAAAATCCATTCTGCCAAATTTTCTGTTAAGCTCGTTTAACAAAAAATCCGTCAAAGTTAGCCGAAAATCGGCTAAAACGGTCACTACGCCGTTCACATGAATTTTTCAGAGGTACATGTCACATGACACCATGGATTCCGTGGCGTACATCATCTGATATAAGCGTACATTCACCTTTATCGTTCTGAAAACAATACTTTGAAGTCCTATCACAGCAGACAATTGCACATGCATGTACCTAGTACTAAGTGGGTCTGGAACACGTTTTAAGGCCTATGTACATGTATGTTTACGATAAAACAAACGAAGTGTAAACAGCAAAGCACGTTACTGAGTCAATGACCTGAATTCCACACCAAAACGTTTAATACATTGAAATCTCGATAAGTCAAACTCTGATAACCCAAACCAACTGTTAAGTCAAACAAAGAATTTATTCCCCTCAGTAGTTTAACAATGATATACAACCCTGCTTAACTCAAAAACTCTGCTCAAGTCAAATTTTGAACCTGTTCCCTTGAGGTTTGACTTATCGAGATTTCACTGCAGTTTGTACAAACTTGTCTGAAACGTTTAGGCAAAATTAATTACCACACCTCTGAATAGAGTCTGAAAGTAAAAGGTCCCGAGGCGAGCTTCCAGAAGCCTCGCGCGCCCCGCCTATGGGCATTTTACGCTAGGTTGCCCTTTTTCTCACTATAATTTGTGACAGAATGGTTTCTAACCGTAATCACCCCAAGAAACATTCATGTTATCTTGGTATTCTTCAAGAAAAAAATGATGAGAAATCACTTGGACATGGGTAAAAACGAATTTTACTTACGACCCTTCACATCTGGCATTTTCGTACCTAGGCCTCCTTGTTCGTTCACGTTTGTTTTCACATCGCGTAACTTGCGTGAGAACAAAAATGTGTACCGACGCGAAGATTTACCTACCTACAGCCGATGGGTTCTAGATTTAGTCGGGCTGGCTTGAATGCAATCCTTATGAGCGGTCATTTTAGATTTTTGGGGGTAAAAGCTAATGAGTCCTTCAAGTTTATTACACAAAAATTATATATCCTAAAAATCTAAAATACATTTTAGGTACTATTTAACTTTCAGTTTTTCACCAAATGAGCGCCACAAAATGTTCATTATTTTCATCTTTGTACGAGTACATGTACACCGAGTTCCACTAGTCCACATACACGTATATTTTAGATTTTCGGAAGTGAGAGGTTACCTTTTGGCACGATATTTCTCTGTCACGTCAGGCGATTTTTCAGTTTCCATAAATTGAGATGCTGGTTAACAATTTTACAAAGGCCCCTTTTCAAGGGTGATTTTCTTAAGAAACCAAAGTACCAAATAAATAATTGCAAATTTTAGATTTTTTTTCACATTAAATCGTCTATTCAAGGGTTCCGGAAACTTGTGAAATATGATATTTTGTTTGCCCAAAATGTCGGAGTAATTAAAACATTAAGCAAACCGGACTGGATTTTAATTTAGAGCACAATGGCGGAGTTAGTTAAGACGTCTTGGTTTGGTTCAGGAGTAAGAAAAGTCGCAATAGCTGCTACTGACGATGATTGGAGATGCAGGGGTTCGTTTCGGAGATTGCGTTGCACATGTACATATACTAGTAATGTTTATGTTTATACCGTAATGGAGAAGGGGTCTACCCGATGTTCCCCAATACCGATGTTCCCCGAAATCCTTAGGATTAGGGTTAGTGTTAGGGCTAGGGTTAGGGTTATGGGGTAAGGATTTCGGGGAACATTGGTATCGGGGAACATATTAGCTATGCACCCATGGAGAATAGTTTGTACTGTCTTCAGTGGGAACTTGTTTGTAAATGTTATGGGTCATGATTTAACACATAGGATCATTTTATTGGTCATTATTATTGCACATTCGTTAGCTATTACATTTGGTAGAGATCATTAAATAGTTTGTGTACTTAGACCTACTGTTTACAGTGTTTACCGATGGTTATAAAGAAAGCAATGATATTGCAAACAAGAAATGTTCTCGCACATCAGCTTTTGAAATTTTTTTTAGGATTTTTTTTTTTAGGTTCCTCTCACTTACCGAAGTGTAAAGCCTAGTTTCCATATTGCGCAGAGAGCAACGCAGACATATGGAAACATTTCATCCGGAAGTAACGCCGACAACCTAGATACTTTTAATACTGTGTCACTGTCTCGCAGAACTTTGCCAACGGTTTAATTCTGCGAACTGTCTTTGCAATTTGCATAAGCTTAACGTCGATATGGAAACTAGCCTTAACAAACGCCATTCAAAATGAAATCAAAAACATACCTCAGTTATTCCGAAAGTTAAAAGCGCGTAGCATAATGTTCTTTATCACGATGACATTTTCAAGTCATGGTTTTTCCTGATGAAAGCCAGAGCATATACCAACGAAAATCGTCTTTTAATTAGAATCATAATAAGCCTCTGTACTGATGACGTCACACTTTGTTTACGTGTGTGCTTTCCTATGGTGCTCAGTGGACCTGCAGTGGATCCCATCGGCTCCATAGGAAAGTGCACATGTCAACAAACTGGTGTGACGTCATCAGTACAGAGGCTTATCGCCCTTTAAGATAGTCACTCCTCAATGCAAAATCAGCAAACTTCATCCAAGTCTAATGGTATTATTCTCTTTATTACCTCCGCCACGGAGATTATGTTTTCACCGGCGTTGGTTTGTGTGTTGGTTGGTTGGTTGGTTGGTTGGTTGGTTGGTTAGAGTGTTGGTTGTCTGTGAACACGGTAACTCAAAAAGTTGCGGATGGATATTCATGCAATTGTTTTTAGGGGTGGTCCTTGGTGTACAAGGACAAATCGAATAGATTTTGGAAATGATCGGGATCTGCGTGTGGACGCAGGATTTTTTTTTAAAGAGAATTGTTCACGTAGATGCATGTCAAACTTTCCCCAGATCGCTCTATATGCACAGGTTCATGTGTGTGGCATGCGCACTGACCGGGTGACCCTGTATGCCTCGTCACCCACCTAATCTAGCCACACAGGTCAATGGACTATACCATTTTTAGAAGGTGGGAGTGGAAAAATAGACCAACACCGGCACACACACATACAAAATGTTTGAGTTTAAAGATGTTTTAAATGTGCAATAAAACATGGAAGTCCAATGGATATGCAAGGCTGTGTGAGTGTCTGCCTTGGTGGAGGTGTGTGCTCTCCGAGTACTTTCTAGTTTTATTAAACGTGAGTCGGTTTCTCTTTGGTTGCCAAAACAGCAAACACAATATGTGTACACATTTAATACTCGGTTAAACTTGTTTGTTATAATCATGCATGCCGGCACTTTATTCACAGATTTAACTTTTACCCGATACGAATACGTTTACAATTCGGGAACCTGCCATGCATGTACATCACATCACATACACTGTATAGTTTATCTCTATATCTGAAGTTTTCGTAGAAGACATCCCGCTTGAGGTTTGCAATGGTGTTGTTCGGTTGGCCAAGTCGTATGTTTTAAAACACAACCAAACAAACAAATCAACGAGACCAATTAATCATTTGAATCCAGTCACGTTGTAGCTTTGTAAGGTAAAGCTGCTGGATGACTGCTGTTTGTAATTACAAAATAAACTCACAAGACATTATATTACGTAGTTGACTTTAAGTGTAAAGGTTGCGAAACATTCTACCATGGTTGTATCCGCATGAGACAGTATTTCACCTATGATCACTGCATCATCAGAGCATTTCCCACCTCAGACTCCATGGTAAGGCACTACAGGGTTAGCTTTGTGAATGGACACGGCATGGATGCTTTTCCTCAACCAATGGAACATCAGTTCATTTGCAAGTTTTCATCGGTTAAGATGTCTTTAGAGCCATTTTAGTTTCAAGAAAACAGAACTGGGATCTATTAGGCCTACAAAGCACTACAAGATTTCCCTATAGTATAGATGTCCACTCCCACAATATGTATCATTCAAAATACGTAGCGTGGACCATTGCCACAGCAAACAGCGTCTGGTTCTGGTAGCAGGCCGAAGCGTAGTTATCGAAATGATGATCCCAAACACTCCGGCTGACCGTCTGCATCCCCTGTCCTTGCAGCGAACCAAGAATGACATGCACCACGATCTTATGCCTGTTGTACTTCAGAAGTTTCACTCTGGTCTTGACGTCCTCGGTGAGGGCCCGTGCGAGTTCAGGGGCGGTCTGGGGGTCGTACTCCACCGAGTCAAGCATGGACTCCATCAGGGAGTCAAGGATCTTCTCCACGCGGGACGCGTTGAAGTGACCGTCCTGGCGCGGCTCCAATTGGAAGGTGTTCTCGACCTGGATGCCACCGCCGCCGTCGCGGGTCGTTGCCGCACTGGAGCTGTTTTTCCGCGTACTTGGGGCGATGCTTGACGGGGCCAGGGAGTACTTGCGAGTGACTGAAACACCGGGTGCCATCATCATGCCGCCCCGGTTGTTGGTGCCGTTGTAGCCGGGGAGTAAACCCTTGTTGCTGGCTGGTTGTTGTCCGGGCTGTACGACGCGCGGGACCGGGGACAGGCTGCCTCTCGGTGTTGTCTCGGCAATGTTCGGCATCTTCCGTTGGTTGCTATCCATTAAATTCGGACCCCAAGACTTTCCACAGGTGACTCACTTCAGTTGATTCACTTCTGCTTGAAACACAAAAGTGTCTGGTTTACTGCTTGATGCCTTGATTGTTTTCAATCCTTCATATTGTAATCTCCTTTTTTTTCTCTCGGTATGAAACGGATCACAACATGATCTAAATATCCAACTCTGCACAGCCACGCAACGTGCCGTGTATGTAGTGCCCCCGTTATTTTGTCCAACCGAACCCAGTCTCAATTTGGTCTCGGTACTAGTTGAGCATCACTCATGCGGGTCAGCAAGATCTGTATTCACCTGCGGTGACTAAGGCGACAAACACTTTAATAAAATCCACCAGTCGAGATTAAGTCAGCTTTTATACCACCTTTTCAATCAGAAAAATAGGGCGGACTCTTCTCAGGCTTTTGTTGTCGTTTGGAAAATCGGTGAAGATGAAGAATGGCCGCGATGAGGGCATTGTGTGAGTCAATCCCGTGCAGAAACCCCCTGCCAGTCTTCAGTTATGTTGCTGGTGAGTGGCGATGTGGTCTGATGTAATCCGCACAATACAACCAGCACAGATTTCCGTTAGGCAGATCAGCTTTTTGTCCGGTTCAAAAGGATTTTGACCGTCGAAACACTTATCCACTTGATACCATAAATCCAGTTTTCTTGCTTCGAGTCTGGGAGCAAGAATAAGACTTTCGAGTTGTCCCTCACATGTACAGTCTAGTCCACTGAAGTGCGTGTAAAGATGTGTTTGCAGAAAGAATTACACCGATTTAGAGTGCTCGCAATTGGGCGACTAACTATAACAACTCTCCATGAATTGTACGTCGCCGCGGGGGGAATTCTACGGCCTTTTGTAGGGGACCTAATCCACGTCGCAAGGACAACGCGGAATCACAAAAGGATTCCCCTGCAATTTGGTTTTATAGATGACAAGCCTCGCCTAGTTACGATAAATAGCAACAGGGTGTGTGGTTTATTTTTGTCGGCGGGCTAAGGGCGCGCTCGGCTAGAGAGATTTGGCGGTATGCGAGGAATCCTTATGAGCGGGAAAATATGCTAACACCCCTTCATTTACGGCCGGCGAAGCAATTATGTACCGGTAGTATCCAGACGCCACTTCTTCGGTTGTGTACAAAGTCGATATATGGAGAGTCGAGTGCGTTTTCAAAGTACTTCGCAAGAATAAAGTGCAGTAATACTGCCGCAACCGTAAGAACGTAGATTTTGAGAGTGGAGATCGAGTATGCGTATGTCCATTTTCAAAAAGGTCTGTTATCAAACCACACGGCAATGGCATCGCCATCTCCCAATAATAAAAAAGACCATAGAATGGACAAACAAACAACACAAAAGCACTAACAACGCACAGAGAGAACCGGACCACATTGGGCCCATTTTATTTGACGTGCAGTTTTATCGGCTTGTAAAACCTTCGCAATAAATAGTTACTAACAATAAATAATTACTTTTAATTTTATTAATTAATAATGTGCAAACTTATACTGAATTGAAGAAAAAGTGAATTCAGAAATCTTCCTCGAACTTCATCAGGATTTCGGTGGTACAATTGGCAAAAGAGAAACTTTTTTCAGGATCACAATCGGGCTGAATTTTCTTAGAAGTTGAGGTTTCACACGGTTAGGAAGCACACGACTAAAAAGTGTTTCAAGAAGAATCGCAGCTTAGTAAGGCCCAACATGTACTAGCCCAGCAGCGCAGATAGTTCTGTTTGCGTGCAGCTGGCCCACTATAGAGGTTCATACCAGATTCTATTGGGCTTTTTTTTTTACCAGATAAGCATCCAACTTTCTCCATTGATCAAAGATTTATGTTGCGCAGGGGATTAACCGTGTTTTGTCCCACGCCTGCATTATCATTGCCTCCCTAATCCCTGTCAAAATGATCGATTTTTCAATAAATTCCATTTCGCTTCGCTGTACCCAAGACCAAAGCCCGGTATTGATAAAACGACACTGGAATCGATAAATCGATACGACGGGATTGGGCTATAAAGCGTCAATCGTGGGTAAGTGGACCGGCGGAGGTTTTTAACTCGTATTAATCGAATTATCCTTTTCCGTTGTCACAGCAATGTTGGGAATCGGAACGGTGGTGTCGTCAAGTGGAACGCTGATGTCCAACAGGCTCTGCATTTGTTGAGAGATGCTGTGGATTTATTCTCTGCATACAAAAAAAGAACAGAAAAGTCAGCTAAGAATGCAAACAAACATTTGGCATTTCAAAATCAGTTCATGGTAATTTTGAAAGAACATATACATGTAACTGACTACCTACACAATTTGAAGTAGCCATCTCTATTGTGAACATTTGTTCTGAGAATAGCCGGTCGGTCTGTCGGTCGGTCGGTGGTAGGTCGGTCGCCGGCAAGGGCGGATCCAGAACACAAATTTTTTTGGGGGGGGGGGCCAAAAACAATTTTGGTCGCCCAAAAAAGTGGGTCAAAAAAATTACGGCGTGGGGATCGGGGCCCGCCTAAGGGCCCCGAAAATTTTTTGGATTCTAGATGCTCTGTGGTGCGATCTGAGGCAATTTCTGACCACTTTAGCCAATGTTTTTTTAGGAAAAGATGGTGGTGTACTCATTGCCTGCCTTTATTGCGATGTCACATAAAAAACAAAAACAAATTGGTTTCGTTTGGGGGGGGGCATGGCCCCCTTTGCCCCTCCCCTGGATCCGCCCTCGCCGCCGGTCGGTCGGTCGGCCTTATTACCCCACAACTGACCATTTTGATACAAGTTCCATTCTCCATCTTAAAATCGTGATAAGAAACTCAAATCGCTGGGACCCAATTATACACCTTATGCGTAGCATCCCTCTAAGATAGCCTCTATTATGGTCTATTACGGTCTATTACATGCAGTTTAATTAATGACCCTATCTTGTGTCTCACTGACCTGGACTACCTGCATCCTCTCCCCGATCTCCCTGGCCGTCCTCTCCTTGCATGCCTTCTTGGGGAACGGCTTCATCTCCCGGCACTCGAGACACGCCTCCAGATGCCGTCGCAGTCTCTTCTGCTCGTAGACCACCAGCTCCGGGTTGCCCTGGAACGCCATCTCGGTGGCGTAGGCCACGGCGAAGACACCGCAGTCGCTGGAGCCGCGCTGCCGGTGCATTCTCGGCAAGCGCACCTCCAGCGTCCCGTTACCGGCCTCGTCATCATCGTTGTTGCTATCAACAACACCGCACAAGTTGATGACCTGTCAGGGAGGATCCAAAGGGAGGGGGTGGTGGCTAACCAACCCCTCCCCGACTGACTAATGTTAACTATTGACTTAATAGGGGGGGGGATCACAATTGTCCTTACATTTTCTGAATAGCTCCATCAACCCAATATTGCAAATCTTGCTTCAGCCCTTTTGTCTTTTATGCATTGACTGCTAGTGCAACCCTCACTCAGCGACGTGGCCAGGGTTCTCACCAATGGGGGCGCCCAAATTTCCGTTAAACCCATTAACCACCAAGACCAATCATCAGGGGGGAGGGCGACGACTGGGGGCCGATGATTATTTCATGGAGGAGGGGGGCATGCGCCACTCACTCCCTCCCCCTGCTACGCCACTGCCCTCGCTCCCCACCCCTTGACAGATCTTGGACATCCACACCCCAGGCACCCCCTTTTGGATAATTCTGAACCGCCACTGACCTGATGGGTCAGCTGCCGCGTCAGACCCATGTTCTTGCTGTCCATCACCTTGACTTTCTCCCCGAGCTTACGGAGCGTGACCCAATGGTTGCTGCCGTTCTGAATCACCTGGATTCCGTCCGAGACGATGGGTTTGAACTGCAGCACATTCCCCAGGACCGGCTCTTGAAGACCCTCCAAAGCGGGGAACTGACGGTGCAAGAGCTGCTGGGCCGCCACGATGTGGTTGTCGGTCAGCCACTCGCCGTCTGTGAGGAGAACTCGGTCTTTGGCTCGGAGTCCTAGCTCCGGGACCCACAGATCGCTCTCGGCCTTCCAGTCCGTGTGGTTGATGAACTTCGAGTCTGGAGACGGCCTGGGTTTCTTTGGGGAAATAAATTGACAGTCTTCGGTGGGACTGGTTTTCCGTTTTGTGCCGGTTCTCTGATCCCAGGGAGATGCCTGCATAAAGAAATTGTAAGGAACCGGAAGAAGGTCAAACGGGAAAAGTTTCTTTGAATTTTTGTAACCTTGTTTAAATTCTCGATTTTCTTTTACTGTGACTCTCTATTATTGAGCCGTCGCACAAAGGGCCAGAATGAGATCAAAGTAAGAATTAAAGATAAAATTAGCTGCAAAGCAAAATTACCATAGGTTTTCCAACTCGTACAATCCACTGGGGATACTTGACGTCATTAAAATGCTGATTTTTGATTGGTCCATTTATGTTGAACTTTTATCGTATGTATGGATGTAGGCCTAGGTATTATTAATTGATGAAATCAAATAGGCCTACTGTCTATACTGTAACAATGATATCATCTTGAATTGCTTTAAAAAGAAGTTTTACCCATTTCGTCAACTTTATCATCAATAAAAATGATGTATGCATCGATTCAGTGATTTTCATGTAGGCCCTAAGTGTGGGAATACATACATGTAAAGTAAAGTCCGTCACGAGCCAATGTGGCCCATCAGACCGGTGTTTATCTCCGGTTTCGGTAGCATGAAACAACTGAGGATATTTCTATTCCCCCTGGATGGGATGCTAGTCCATCGCAGGTTACTCCACAGCTAATGCTGGTACCCATTTATACTCCTGGGTGGAGAGAGGCAAGTGGGGGTGAAGTGTCTTGCCTAAGGACACAACATAATGACCAGCAGCTGGATTCGAACCCCTGACCCTCTGATCATGAGTCACAAACTCCATCAACTAGGCCACCCCCCTGCATGCACGTTTGTTTATGGTGAAAATCGAGGGTTTTCTTTTGTTCCTCTTCCCTTGTCCTTTGTACCTTAACTTTTTCGCAACAGCTCTCATTGGTTTTGTACACGTTTTCTAATCGAGGTTGTCTTGTGTTCTTTTTGTTTGCTACCAATACACGATAAAAGGAGATCATAATAGACATCGATTCGGCACAACAAGACTAGTTCATGGTGGCTGATAATTGATGATTTTGGGCTCGATCGTCTAGGAAAAAGACGCAAACTATTGTATTCGCTCTTTTCAAACTTCCGCCATGGTCATGCAGAGCCTCGATCTGGCAACTTTACACAATAAATATAGCCGGTTCAGTGATTCCCGTGTCGGGGTTCAGATCACTGAACCGACTATTTTTATTGTGTAAAGTTGCCAGATCGAGGCTCTGCATGCCCATGGCGGAGCGTGAAAAGAGCGAATTCTAGACAATGGTGGTCCTTAAGGGACTTGCTGTTTTGCGAATTAATTTGTATAAACCAAAAAAAAAAAAAAAAAAGGGTCCATCTCAGTAGTTTCCCCCTATACATCATCGTAGAAAGAAGTCTTAACTGCGACAAACCGTGCGGGGACTAAATTGCCTTGCCTTGAAAAGCATAAGATTGCCTATCAACGGCTTAATTTTCTTTGTGCCGTTGCCATGCCATCCGCTGTAAAACCTGGCGAATAATTGGCTGTCTTTTGTAGGCAAGCGGGCCATGAAGTGGACTAGAATGTTATTCACTAGAAGCGCAGACATTTACTAATAATGTCATCTTTTGATGCGGTCGTAAGGCACTGGCTTATTTAAGGTGACGAAAAAAAAACGCATAACGAAGGCTACCAAATATTTTACTAAAAATGCCTTTTTTTTATATCATGAGGGTGTTAATATGCATTCCTCGTGTAAACTGAAACACCTTAGCAATGTCGTTTCAAACTGTATATGTTTCTTTGTAATGTTGTACAATTTTTATAATGGTTGCTTAACGATCATGCAGTAGCCCGTATGCTTTTATTTTATTTCATTGTTTTGTGTTGTATTTGTTATGCATAATATTTGTTCATGTGTGTATAAATATTAGAAGTGTATGCAGGGCCCCAATCACCCTGGGTAAAGAAATGTAATTAGTAAATAAATAAATAAATAAATAAAGTCTTTGGCAAAATGTATTTACCAATGTGAGCGGCTTAAAATACGCTCTTTTGGCAGCCCTACAAAATGGCGCTCAATATCATAAAGGTCTATATTCTTGAGAGCATGGAATGCAGAACATTCGTCATTATGTGAGATATCCCACAACACAGTGGAGGTCTTTGTGTGCGTTTATGTACAGAAGTGGCTGATCTGGAAAGGGGAGATGCAACATCCGCCCTCCCCGTTCGGCCGCTAACTAATGATACTAGCGACAAAACGGGGCAAAACTTAACCCTAACCGCCCCGAATCCTTCAAAATCCTCTTAGCCAAAGTGGAGGAATTTGGAGGATTGAGGTTACATAGCAAAAGTGCGTTACTGATTTCGTAAGATGCACTTTGTCAAGGTCGTGGGCCGGACCTTGTGTTGACCGTTTATACAGCGTGTCGTGCTTCCTGTTACTTCAGTGTTCCACAGCTAGGGCTCTAGCTGTGTTAGGACCCTTGCTGTTTGTACTCTACACCAACGATATACAGTAAGGTACTTCGCGATAATTTAGCAGTTTTGTTTTTGGATGTTTGCAAATGTTGTATATTCCCTTTAAGGCTATAGTCTCAGACAACTACTGTAGGCCTACAGTAATTCTTATTGTTAAGTAATTTTAGACCACTGTATGCTCGACTTCCTTATCACTGTTTTAGTTTTATTGCGGGTGCTACTATATTTCCTTTTTTTCCTCAGTATTTTATTGCGTAATCTGTCTTTTCCGTATATTTTTCTTTCTCCTGGGTATGCATATACTTGCCCCTGTTGTGCCTTTGTTTGTTTGTTTGTTTATAATTTGTTTGTTTGTTTATAAAAAAAATCTAGTTGGGGATCCGGGGGCTTGCCCCGCGATGCTTTCTCCTGCATTCTATAAGGCGTGTACGAAACTGGTGCTGTGACACACACAACGTGTATCGTACATTGACTGAAAACGACAGGAAAAACGTATTCGTTTTTGTATTCGTGTCCGATGTAAACAGCCGGGTTTTTCGTCTTTATTTCGGGAACGGTAAGACATTAGGTTGGTTTCCTTTCAAACGGCAGAGGTTTGAAATAGGATAATTAAACAATCCAAAACATGACATTTTCTGAGATTTCAGGACTTAGTGCCCTTTTAATGCAGATAGAACCAGTGTATTGACGCAATTTTCTGTTGTCACCATTGCCATGTGACTGCAATGTTGAAAAAAAAACTGAACACAGTCGGATGCGGACATCCGGTTTTTTTTACATTGGCTTATCTAGCTCCCAGATAACATGTGTTCTTGAAATGCAATGTTCTTGAGTCTGGTGTGCTGAAAGGTAACTCATAGCAACCGATGAAAACTGGTGTGCAAATGAATTGATGTTTTCTTCGGATGACGTCAGCCCACCCCCACATATTCCTTATGTTGGCCGTAGCCCAAACAGCTACAGGTTTGTTTGCAATTTGGATGGCCTTTTTTCTTTAACTTTTTGTTTGCTTCAAATATACGATAAAAGGAGATCACGTGACAGCGATTTGCTACAGTAGTACTAGTTCATGGTGGATGATATTGATTTAAAGCTCGATCGTCATGGAAACTGCCGCAAACTACTGTGCTCTAGACAATGCTGAGTTTGAAGGGGCGTGCTGCCGTGTCGCAAATTAGCTTGTATTAAAAATAATTGGGCCCATCTCAGTTTCCAAATACAATATCGTAGAAAGAAGTCTCGAATGCTACGGCCGTGGCGGGAATTAACAAACGAGGCGGGGAATAAATTGCCTTGCCTTGAAAAACAAAAAATGGTCTTTCAAGGTCTTAACTTTCGTTGTGCCGTTGCGTTGCCATGCCATTCATTGCATTGTTAAAACCTGGTGATTAATTAACTGTGTAATTGTAAGCAAGTGGGCTGGAGGGTTATTTGCTGGAAGCGCAGACAATTGCTAATTATGTCATCTTTTGATGCAGTGGTCAGGCATGCATGCAGCTGCATGTTTTCCCATATTCATGTCTGGTGTTATGTCCTTATGTGTTGTTTGTGTGTGTAACTTGTATATTTTGTATGATTCTAACTGGGAATCTCTACTCGACAAGCTTTTGTATACATTTAACTCTGATTGTCTTTTTTGATGTGGAAAATGAAGTGAATTGAATTGAATTGAAGCTTAATTAAGGCATGGAGAAATGCGACCGAAAAAACGCATACCAAATATTTTAATAAAAATGCCTCTTTACATCATGAGGGTGTTAATATAGGCAATTTTTGGCAAAACCTATTTGCCAACCACGGCTTAAATTTACGCCCCTTGTGACAGCCCATACAAAATGGCGCTCAATATACAAGAAAGGTCTATAGCATCCGTCATTGGGGAGATATCCCACAACGCAGTGGAAGTTTCCTTTTGTGTGTTTAATGTATAGCAGTGGCTGATCTAGTCTGGTTCCCAGACCAAAAGATTCTGACTATTCCTGATGAATCTTAGGGTCAGGTAGCCTCCGATAATACATTGTATTACAATTTACGTCACGTGTTTAAAACGGGAGGAATTCCTCCTTTTTCCGAAAATTTCCGAAGTTTGCCGAGTTCATTTCGTCGACAATCGGATAGCGCCCGAGTATTTCCGAGTATAATATAGGTTTAATTAACTGCTAATTGCTTATTAAAAACTATTTAAAAAACTATTTAAAATTTAAGAGTTGATAACTAATATTTTTTGCTTTCATTTAGAAAACTTGAAATTCAACGGCGATTTTAATTTGTGCATCAAGTATACTCGGATCATATGGGCGAACTTTTTGCTACGTCATGTACTATTTTGAATTTGACGACCGTTACCGAGATTTTCCAAAACTCGCGATCGGTCTTCTTTCGGCTCCGCCTGCTAACAGTGCTATTTTGGGTGCCTATTTTTCAAGATTCCAGATCAGCATTAGTCAATATTATGTAACAGAAATATCAAACTGTAATATCATAATTACTGTATGATATTACGAAGCAAGTGATTTATCTACAAATTTGATCAGAACATTAAAATCTATAAGTGATAAAGCAAAATCGGAAACGAAGCCGAGCTTTGAAAAGGGCCGTCAATGTCGTCATGTTAATTTTTTTAGCCACGGAGGCTGCCTGACCTACAATTTAGACGTGAGCGTCGGGAATAATTGTCAGGTCTAGGGAACCAGACTATGGCTGATCGGAAGGGGGGGGGGGAGATGCAACACCCGCCCTCACCGTTCGCCCCCTGATTAATGTTGTGATACTAGTAAAATGGGGCCTAAATTAATAAATGGAACGCTAATTTTCCTAAATGTATTCTCAAATTGCCTTAGAATGCAGGAAAAGCTCTGTGGATTTTCAAAAGCCCCCCGGGCCTCCTATAGCGGGGCGTGCCTTCACTCAATACTGCCTTCCCCCCCCCCGTTTCCTGAAAGGTAGCTCCGCCCCTGTGTAGGTTTACAGAAAATTGAGATATTCAGAAAGTACGGTTAAGTACAACACGGCAGTAATTTAGAAAATGATTTAAAAAAATCGACAGAATAATTTTTTGCCCACTTGGTCTTCCTCCTTGCCCTCATCAACAGGTCTTTTTCTTGAACGAAGAGGGCGCTGTCACTGCGGCATTTCGAGTACATATATGTGTGTAATCAATAGTGAATTGAAGATAATTCACGTCATTTTACACATTCCTACACCTAAAAAAAGACATGGTTTTTTCAATGTGTATTTTTTTCAGAATTAAGTAAAGTTACTAAGTACTTCAATAAGCGGGATTGTTCTAGTGTTGGTACCCTCACGTTGCAGCGCCCTCAAAAATATTACGACTATAGTTTTCTTCTTGAAAACTTGCCCTTTTTTAAAACAACACTAACGATTTTTTAAAAAGATGTTCAGCGCAAATTTGGATTTTGAGCACATTTTATTTACTTTATTCCTGAATTGTTTTCCTTATGAATAAGGTCGTTTGAACTGCGCATGCTTTATAAATAAGGACAATACACTTGCGCACTGACCCAGGTGCAAATTTGCGTTGAACAAAACCAAACAATTTATTTATTGTTCCGTTTTATTCTTAATTATCATTTTAACTGGGTAGCACATTCAGTGGAATCCACTAGTCTCTCATGGGGCCCAGTAAAAAGAAGACAATGTGAAGAAAGTACAGTTTTAAACGTGGGAGGAAAACCCAGAAGAATATTCGGAGGAAAACCCACGGAATCATGTAATAATAATAATAATTTGGGAGGCTAATCATCCTTACTCGCAGCTGGTATACTGAATTGCAAAGGACGCGGCTATACAACGTGGTCGGGCCGCTGGCATAGGCGCCTATGGCTGCCGGCCACATCGACCCATATATGACCACAGAGCACAGCCTGAGATCGAAAGTGTTTGATTTTTCCGGAGGGAGGAAAACTGAAGGGCCCAGAGAAAAACCCTCGTGGCGCAGGAGAGAACCAACGCACAACTCTACTCACATGCGATCCGCGGCAAGGATTCGAACCGTGGTCACCTTGGTGAGAGGCGAGCGCTTTACGCACAAGCCACCCATGCAACCCGAAAGTAGGGACTGAAAACCCAATCCACAATAATGGCCAAGGCAGGAATCAAGCCCGGGCCACAGAGATGGAAGGCGAGGAAAGTACGGCTACGCCAACCTGACTCCCCGACCTTTCAACTTCGATTTGTTGCGTTTAATTAACATTTATGGCAAAATTAGAAATGAAAACAAATGTTGGAGTGTGTGTGATACATACCAGTTCATTACTCGTGGACAACCGTCGTATAATTATTTTGATTCTCTTGGTCTGTGCGTCGCAGCAGATGTCGACGGTCTGCCGTGCCGGTGACGTGGGCTGCGCCTGCGCGTCCCGCTCTTCTTGCTGGTGCTGGGCAATAAAAATAATATCAAGGATTCAAAATCAACATGTAGCTGTGATGTAAAATATTTAAAGATCATTTTCCCGCGCTAATTTCGAGTTTCATCCCCCCCCCTCGATTTGGCAAGAATGTTGCATCCTGACGCCACTTTTTTTTATCATATCATCTCATTAAAGGTCAGTCATTGCAAAAATGTTTAAAAGACACGAATCAGGGACTGAGAAACATTTCCAATTTTGTTAGGAAATACTTAAGAATGTTTTTCTTAAGTCTACATGGACTTTGTACAAAACCGCTGAAGTGGCGTCTGGATGCAACATTCTTTCCTACAAAGATGTGGCAAAGATGTGATCCCCGTGCTCTTCAAAACATTAAAAAAAAAAAAAAAATTATCCTAAAGAATTTTCAATTTGTACGTTTTAACCAAAAGAAAAAAAGAAAACCTTATTCCCCCCCCCCGATTTTGGGCGTCTGCAAACCTCTGAAAAGGACTTTCATTTTGCGCACAAAGGAACCCGCCCTGCAGAAACAAAATGGTTTTCGGGCAGCCAATAATTCGAAATTTGTAAAGAAATAACTAAACGTCGGTGTATTTTTTTTCGTTGGATGTCTCACTCAAAAGTGAATTAACTTTTATATTGCTTGGAAAATAGCCATCGAAAAATAATCTATTTTTCGGGGTCAAACTCGAAATATCACGGGAATACATCTTTAAGGAATGGCAAGACCAGGTTTTTCTTAAAATGAAAAAAGTCGAAATCGGGTCCTAGATGGGGGAATCTTTACGTGATTTCAGTGTCAGATATTCCTGAAAGGATAATGTGAGCAAATTTTAAAGTGTTCATTCGTCTCTGGTATTTTCAACATGTTTCAATGACCGATCTATTCTTTTTTAATGTGGCTGGGTGAGTCTGAATGTAGTTTTCCTAAACACGGACTCTTCAATCCACCACAAAATCTTCTTTTTACTACCCTAGTTCGAAAATCTACCCAGGAAATATTCATTTTCCAAAATTTTAAAGATCTTACCATAGTAACACACGTTGGTGATAGACCCACAGGAGCCATATTATTAAATTCTCGAGACCGCAAACTTGAGGACCTCTTCCAAGATGCCGTCGGAATGGAACAACTTCCATACCATTACTGCCAAAAATGGCGGCAAAATAAGCAGACGGCCCGGGTTTCCCTTTAAACTTCGTTCGAACGTATGCCCTGGCTGTAGGTTTTCGCCTTCCAAACAACAGCTATTGTTGGAGTCATTAATATTGCGCAATCGGCTTTTCAATTCGACATTCCTCAACAGGGAGGGAAAAGAATTTATTCAAGTTGCGCTTTGTTCCTTGTCACTCCACGTGGCAACTGTTTGCGGTCAGTTGTAGAGGCTTCGCTTGTTTCATCAGATCTTTTTATTCTCACGAACTCAATAACAACTTACGAAACGAACTTTACTCCGCCAAGGCACCACCAAATGTGTTAAAGGCAGTTCATTTGCTTTTCACGCGCTTGTTCAAAACCTAACCTGTCGAGGTTTCAGATACACTTTTCGAGAAAACAGTGGAAATCAATATGCACAATCTTTTAATCACGAAACACGATTTCGTCAAATAGGTGGGCGCGGGCATACGGATTTTTTGTTTCCTTTTTTTTTTTTTAATTTTTTTTTTTACATTGGCTTATCTAGCTCCCAGACCTATGTTCTTGAAACTAAGTTCAGTTCACATATATTCCCATTCTGCACCGGACAATTTGAAATATACAACAAATGACAATATATAACGAAATATACAATTGCCGGCACATACATTGAGGCATATTCTGGAAGCCGAAGCTTCTATAGAGAATAGAGATGCCTTTAAATAATAACTAATTAAAGAAATACTGAGTGAAATTATGAGACATACAAATCAGACAGACACAACAGATAAACAGATATACAGAATGACCAAACTGACGGATGAGCCCAAACAAACTGCAGTACATGGACATGACATTCAACAAATACGTAATCTGGTAAGAAACAATATTGCTGAAGAAATGAGACAAAGGTAAATATAGTATACAAGATTGAGAATAAGACTTTTAAGAACTGGCCATAAATCTAAGGTTCAAAGCAGAGAAAAAGAGAAAGAAAAAATTCAGAATCTAAGTAGCATAGCAGGAGATGAGTGCGTTCTTGTCGGACTTGAATCCGCCACAGACGATCGAGTCTTTACAGTTGAATAGAGTTCCAAAGGCGAGGACCGTAGAATCTCATATTTTTTTTTTAACTCAATGGTTCTTGAGTCTGGACTCTGGAATGCTGAATGGTAACTCATAGCAACCGATGAAAACTGGTGTGCAAATGAATAGGTTTCGATCGGATGACGTCAGCCCGCCCCCACCTATAGGAACAATTCCCAGCTAAAAAAAAACAATAAGGCTTTGCACTTAGTATCCAAATCGTCAATTTTTTCTCCGATATGCATTCTCAAAACGCCCTTCTTGTGTAAAAGTAAAACGGGATTCTCTCTAATGGGATCGATCTAGTTTCAAATGGAGCACACAATTTTCATGGTTAAAAGTGATTTCTTCAATATTTTTTTCTTCATACTTCAAAACAGTTACACGCAATGTTCGGGAGGGGGGGATTGCAAATGAAGAAGGGACTGCGAAAGTCTATTTTTTTCTAAACATCCTGTGATTTTTATTAGTTCCATTTTACAAACCAAACAAGGTAAAACAATGAAAATATACCAAGAAAAATTTTCAAATAAGTGGACGGATTAATATTTATTACTTAATGCAAAATTTAGGTATACTTTAACTGACATATTTTTCTTTGTTTTGAATAATACCAAATGATGTAAGGACGGTTTGAACAACGTAGAAATTGTTGTAAAATATTGGATTTGGAATGTTTTTGTATGCACCAGCAGTAGAATATTCTTAACCTGAAGTTGGACGGAATGAAAATGATTGAAATGAATGTGAGAATGATGCCATATAAGGAATACATTTATACATTAATGAAGACCATTTCTAGAAATGAAAGGCACACTTCCGTGGTAATTGTATGATAAATCTAGAGGCAGAGTACCAAATAACACAGTAGAATCAACATTAATTAGTCAAAATATTGGAAAACTGTGTCAATATTTACAACTTATAAGTCTTTTACTCTTATTTTTAAAATTCTTATAAACCAGTTTTGATTTAAAGGGAATATACATCATTTGCTTTTGCTGTAATTTTCAGAAATGGATGGAATTGGGGGGTTGGAAATATATAGCAAATATAGTTACACTGACTTTTTTGAGGTTTTGGGTTCGAAAATGCTATAAAAACCAAGAAAAACAATCATTTTCCTGTAGTCTGGTTCCCTGACTCCATTTAAGAAAAAACAGAGCAGTTTACATATATTGGGGAATTGTAAGGTCAGGGAACCAGTCTAGCTGGCTTGTACCCGTTCATAGGTGTGTAATCGATTGCAAACAAGTGCGATGGTCAACTGGGGCCAGTATTTGAAAAAAAGCCAGTTTTTTCCAACGCTGATCGGCCGATCAGCGTTGGAAATTGATACAAAAATACCACTTTTATTGAAAATGACAGTATACCAGGTGCCATGATTTTACAGGATGCTTTACACTGTCATTCACTAACAGTCCAGCAAGGTTTTTCAAAATGATTTGGTAGTTTTATTTTTTGATGTTTGCAAATGTTGTATTTTCCTTTTAATCTGCAAACTAATGAGACATTTTTATATCCAATGGACGGAATAATATTTTACTAGCATATTCATCACTCCCATACAAAATATAATCTAATAAACATAATAAACGAAACTATTTGTATAAGCAAATCCAAATGGTTAAGCAAACCAAATCAACTGATTATATTTAAAGCATAGAAACCTTAGAAACCTAAATTCTATTCAAACAACTGGAAATGTATACATAGTATGCACACTTCAAGTCTAGGGGTGGGGCTACAGAGGGGTGGGGCTACATAGGGGTGGAGCTACAGAGGGGTGTGGCTACAGGGGGAGGGGCTACAGAGGGGTGGGGCTACAGAGGGATGGGGCTACAGAGGGGTGGGGCTACAGAGGGGTGGGGCTACAGAGGAATTGGGCTACAGAGGGGTGGGGCTACAGAGGGGTGGAGCTACAGAGGGGTGGAGCTACAGAGGGGAAGGGTTAAAGAGTGTAGGGGAGGGGCTAATGAGTGTAGGGGAGGAGTCAATGAACATTTGGGAGAAGCAAGGCACTGAAGTGGTTAGGGCTAAACGGAGAGGCTTGCATCGCCTTAGAGGGGCTAAGGAAGGATTGAGGAAGGTTACAGAGGCAAAATACAGGGGCTTGGAGTGAAGGGGAGGGGCTTAGGGATGATGGGAGGAGGGGTAGAGTCACAGAGGGCTGTATGATTGGCTGTCTGATTGACTCAGGACATAATGCTGGTTGCATCGTTGTCAATCAGGATGGTGGTGGTTGCAGCCGCAAAGACTGGGCGCAAATCCTGTAAAGAAAATAAATACAACACATCTTAGAATCAGACACGAGAATGGATAAGAATTGCAATACTGGGTAAAGGTACTTGGTGTGAAAACAAACTACAAGAACTTCAACACAAGTAATTGTCTCTATTCTGATTAAGATTGGAAAAAATGTGGACTTGCCATGCCACATATACAAGCCTCCAGGCCAGCCTCTGGAGAAACCTCAATATAATATGGTTTGTTCCTGTTCCACTGAATGAAGAGGCTGATTAATAGGTTAGGTTTAGCGCAAAAAGGGAACATACATATTTAAATTGTTCCCTGAATTTGCAATGTCACAGAATTGAAATCTAGAATCCACACATATTAGTTGACCCATAAACATCCACACAACAAGTTGACAAGATCATCTATTCCTCAAAAAATGTCTTGTACAAATCTACAGAATGGACCCGCTTAAACAGAAATTACTTCAGCTTAAAAAAAAAAAAAATGAAATTGACAGTTTTAGCCTTTAAAATACCATCCACTTTCTGCAGCTATGTCCACAATTTTAGGGCAATGCGGGTAGTGGCATTACAAAAATCCAGGGTGGTTTGGGGCTTTTCAGCTGGTTTTGGAAATAAAGGGTTTACCGACTTACAGGTGTCTTGTAGCGGTGGCACATGGCCAGGCAATCCTGGATGATAGGGTGATCCACCAGGGTAAAGAACGGCACGGGGCTGAGCTTGTTGTCGCCCAGCTCACGGTAGACGCTGGCCAGCCGCTCCTGGGAGAAGGTATCCTCAGGGTCAGAGGTCACGCTGAACCGGTGGCTGTCGCCCAGGGTGGGGCGGCCGTGGTGTAACACCTGTAAAGGGGTGGGGATGAGACACAATGGATGATAAGTGAAATCATGAATCAATTCACAAGTTGAAACACAAGTCGGTCACAAGTCAAACACAAGTGTCGTGGCCTAGCGGTTAAGAGCACCGGACTCATGCTCTGGTGTTTCAGAGGCAACAGTGGCGTGGGTTCGAGCCCGGGCCCGGACACTTGTGCCCTTAAGCAAGGCACTTAACCATTATTGCTTCGTCCTTTGGATGGGACGTAAAGCCGTAGGTCCCGTGTGTTGTGTAATGCAATACACGTAAAAGAACCCAGTGACACTTATCACTAAGAGAAAGGGTTTGCCCCGGTGTTTCTGGCCTCCTGTATAAACTCTCACGCGGAGCATTTAGGAGAAGAACCAACCAAGAACCAAGAACAAGTCAGTCATAAGTCAAATACGAGTCAAGCACAGGTCAAAGTGAGCCACATCACTAACAATTCTGTCACAAATCGGGCACAAGTCAAATCAAGTTCAAGTAATCTTTATTATATTCAAGTAATCTTTATTAATCTTTATTATATCCCACTGGGGTAAATCATAAGTGAACTCTCAAGTAAGCTAAAAATTAACAGGTAATGATTAATGACAGTGCAATGCCTTTGTCATAGTTCATTTATATAGTTTCTTGCTTGGCTTCAGACTGGATTGATGTGTGATTGACTTATGACTGGACTTGTGATTGACTTGTGATTGACTTGTGAATGACTTGTGATTGACTTGTGATTGACTTGTGATTGACTTGTGATTGACTTGTGATTGTCTTGTGATTGACTTGTGATTGACTTGAGACTGACTTGTGATTGACTTGTGACTGACTTGTGATTGACTTGTGACTGACTTGTGATTGACTTGTGATTGACTTGTGACTGACTTGTGATTGACTTGTGATTGACTTATGATTTGATCTGTGTTGACTTGTGATTGACTTGTGATTGACTTGTGACTGACTTGGAATTGACTTGTGATTGACTTGTGATTGACTTGTGATTGACTTGTGATTGACTTGTGATTGACTTGTGACTGACTTGTGACTGACTTGAGATTGACTTGTGATGAATTGTGAGAACTTTAATGCCTTAGACTTGCACTTTTAAAAAAAAAGTTCTGTGCATGAACTGAATGATGCACTGGAAGAAATGCTATGAGTGCAAAGTCAGAACAATTAGTGCCATTCATTTGTGCTGATGCTGACATCAGAATAACTGGGCAGGCTGTCATCGGGAAGTTTTTTATTGTTCGGCAAATTAGGACCGAGTTATGGGGACTTTCTGCTGTCCCCACAGTGTCTTCGGTCCCCATAGTACCATGGAACAACTCGTGTGTAGTCCCAATAGTTAGGGAACAAGTTTGGGTGTACATGTTCCACATAACCCCCGAGGACCGACACACAAAGAGAGAACAACAGATCCTTTCAGTTCTCGGGTGTTGGGTCTTCTGTTCAAAACGGTCCTTTGTAGTAGGTTCGTGTGTTAGTCTATGGGAGAGTGTTAAATTACAGGGACAAAGGGAAACACAACGCATTGTCCTCGGGAGTATAGTAAAACAAGAGTGTATGCACTGATATAGCACATACTTTTGAAAAATAACCTCACCATGACAAAACACTCACTTTTCAACTTACTGCGAGTGGCTCAAAGTCTGTTTCCAGAATAACAAAAAATGTCCCCACAAAACAAATGAATTCCTTGCCCCCCCCCCAAAGAAACCCATAAAGAGGATTGCTTAGCTAACCTGTACTAAGGCCTTGAGGTCCACGGTAGCATGCAGTGCACTGGATGGTATGCCTTCCTCCGGCGGGCCCAGGCTAGGCTCAACCCTCTTGTCTTGGAGTCGGATCTCGCCACCTGTTATCACCTCCACCACCTAAAGGAGAACAGCCAGTTTTTTTAGTGACTGCGGTTTCTCTGGTTGTGTGAGTCATTTTTTTTAATTCCACACCGGGGAAATAACACAGTTTGCTAGGCATTAAAATTTTCATCAGTACATTTACGTGCCAATTCAAATCAGCTATTACGGAACGCCGCTAAAACGAACACCCCTATACCGAACATTTGGCTATAACAAACACACCTTTGTATAACTATACATATCACTGATGTACAAAAATCGCCATAACAAACGACCCCTATACCAATCAATCTTTTGTACTAAGGCCAAAAAAAAGTCTCAGGTTTCTGGTATGGAGCTTGCCCCAAAAGTGGTGCGGCGACTTTTTTTTTTTCCGTACTTTTTTTTTCTCCAAATGTCGGCTGCAAATGATATTACAGATGACTGTTTGATCCCCTTGAAACTCTTAAAAATATGTCGGCTGATAATGATATTGCAGATGACGCTTCGATCCCCTTAAAAGTCTCAAAAATATCTTCAGGGTGGAGCTTGAGGTGACCTTGAGGTGAGTTCTATGAGGTGAGGCCACTGTAGTTATCTAATGTCAGAGTCTACTTTGGCATGATTTTCCCAAACTGTGTTGTGAATGTTCGACCATTTGAGAACTATTTCTAGCTTTTAGTACTGAAGTGTACTGGTTTATACACATACTTCTTTCATGACGTTGAGCTGATCCAGCTGCTTCTCCTTAGACTCTATCTCCTCCAGCCGGGGGCGGGGCATGTGCTTGCCGGAGGCGATGCTGAGGGCTCGGAACAAGCCGTTCATGGCGTCCTGGTCGATGCTGAAGTACAGGAGCTGTAAACAGTAGAGAGTTTATTACAGATTTGAAAAAAAAATTCTTGTCCTTTCTGGAGCTGATTTTGTAAACAGGCATGCAACTGGGCTTAAGAAAAAATCGAGGAAATTCTTAACCACATAAGACTTTGTACAGTGTTTGATAATTTGCAATGGTATTCATGAGAAGTGAAAAACGAGAAAATCTGAGGATCTGAGGAAAAAATGCATGCCAGTGTAATACGTCTCCTAGAACCCAATCTGATAGTTTGCACTTTATGGGTTATTTTTTAAAAAAAATTGGGGGGGGGGAGGGGAGGGGAAGGGTAGTCATGGCCCTGGAGGGACCAATCTTTGGAAAAGACAACTTTCCATTTTGTTTTTCAACAATTTTGTTTTTTGGTAAATAATAAAAAAATGAATAAATACATGTAATAAATAAAAAGCAATAGTTCTCATATCATTATAAATTTTTTTTAAAAAAAGTTGATGCGATTTGTCAAAAATACATTCGCCTTGGCTAATGGAAGGAAAATAGATTTTTTTAAGCAATTTGCACCCTGAACTACATTGTATTACAATGTATTTTTTATTCCCATTACAATGATATTTTCGAAAACTTGTTTTGCCTGACCAATTTTCTTGGACTTGTTTTAAGCACTTACCATGTTTGTGTAGTCCACCACTGGAGGCTGCACGGCGTGATCAGCAAAGTTGTCAAAGAACAGCTTCTGGACGTGGGTGACACGGTCGTACGGCAGCGGCTTGCTGGGGTCGTCGGGCACCGGGGGCGAGGGGTCGGTGGTGTACCACAGGGGGACCTATGGAAGGGGGAAGGGAGAAGATACAACTACTGAATATACTGGTACTGCTCATGTTTTGTCTGTAGGGAAATACGGGGCCTTTGCGAGTAAATTTCAGGAACAGTCACATGTTGCAAAGCGGCTTTTCCGCGATACCCCTGCTTTTTTTTTTTTGCGACCTGAGCTGTCCTGATTTTTTAGCCTCGAGTCTTGTGCATCTTTTCATACTAAAAACATAAAATTCGGACCACGGGTAGCCGCGCAGCGGAAACTTTTCCGGCGATACGCGCCATGAAAACTGAATTTCCCCATATACGTAGTGTACACAAAGCAGAATTGGCATTGGTGCATATGAATAATTAATTAGGCATAATTCCAAAACACTTTGACCTATAGTCATGAAATTTCTTGGGTATGTTCGTATTAAGTTGTTCTATGCATGTACCAAATTTCATAATTTTTGTCACTTGATGGCCGAGATCTGAAACTAGACTGGTCAACTAGACTAGTCCAACTACTGTTGACTCGACAAGGTTTTGGCGGAAAGTCAGTCTATTATACAAATATTGAGTGGCTCAGAGTGAAATGGGAGGAATATTATCGCAAGGTAAAATCTGGACTTTTCCATTTCACGAGGCGAAGCCGAGTGAACTGTAAAAGTCCAGATTTTACCGAGCGATAATATTCCGTCCATTCACAATTTAAAGCCACTCAATATTTGTTTTATATAACTGACATACAGATCCTTGTCATTTGATATATTTGAACTTTTATTTCAATATAAAATTGGTGGACAATGTATTTCTCTCTTCCAAACCACCCCTTCACGAAAATGTTTGAACCCAACTCTGTAGCGCTGGCTCTTTGAAACAATACACAACATGCGCAACGCTGAATGCATTTGCACACAAATACTGCGTCATGGAACAAGAATGATCATAAGTGTTGAATAGTATTTCCCATTTTCCATGGGCAAATGGGACTTTTGGAGCCTGGGAACAGAGGTTGGATGGATGGAGGACAAGTATGATTAGAAATAAAATAATGCTTGATAAATCGAGGCAGTACCCACCTGTTCAAACTGTTCCCTGGTGACGGTTCCCATATTCAGGGTGTCCATGGCCCTGAATCCCTGCAAGGCGTCCAGGAGCTGTGCCTGGGAGGGCTGGGGCCAGGGCTGGGCTACCTGCAGCATGAAGGTGCGCCAGTCCACGTACTCGCAGTCTGGGGACAGGATGGCGGCTAGCTGCTCCAACTAGGGACAAACAAGGGAGGAAAATAATGAGAGACATAAATTAAGAAAAGATGAAAAAATGAAGACAATTTGGGCTTGTGATTGCAGGAAAACCCCCAAGTTTAGGAAACCCTGAGAAATATAAGTAAGAATTGAAAACTAAAAAACATGGACAAGTACTGAGGAAGACTCTCTCCTTACTTCCCACTTACAAGAAGTCTATTAAAGACTCAAGGAATTTGATGTATGAGGACCTATTCCTTCATGGGCGAAACTACTTTTAGGCCAAACAAAAAAATACCTCGGTCTCTGGTCAGCGCGCGCGTCGATTTTAATCATGCGCATCAACCTTTTTTTTCTTCTTCAAATTAACACGGAAGCTACAACTGCGCCCTCTATTGCCGCACCTCCTCAAATTTTTGTACCAAGGAGCACCAAGGAATGGGGAAATTGCACCAAGGCAAATGATAAAGGGCACCAAGGCAAATTATGGAGGACACAAATGTATAATGAGGACACAAAAAAACAAAATAGTACCCACCTTGTCTGTACAATACAAGCTTGAAAAAAACAAACAAACCGCGTCGCCGCATCAATTCCGGAACTTCGGTCTGACCAGAGACCGACTATTTTTTTTTTGGCCTTATAGACACAACTACTTTCCATATAATAATTACCGGCAATGGGTCATTAGGGAGACCTTCCCATTGACTTGTGCACACAATTTCTTCCAACTTAAATGTGCCCTGACCCAAATTTCCCTTGACATTTTTCCACGAATTTCGGTTTTTTACTACTTAGACCATGAGCAACAAATATAACCTAATTGCGACGGCAAAATGTTGCCTCTAAAGGGGGGCTGTGCCATTAGGGAGACAGTTATGTGTCTCCCTAAAAGCCGGTGTCTCCCTTTTATCAAAAAAATAACGATAAGGTGTCTCCCTAATGATACATTTAGTAACATAACTATTTGCTTATACATGTATCATGTATATCAGTTGCGTATAATGACAAGCTGTGTTTAGGCTGTCATATTCTTAAAATAAATGTGCGAGTTCATTTTAAAAAAAATATAATCTCTAAAGGAAACATGAAAAGAAGTGCACAGAATTCTTGTCCTACCTGATTCAAGTTCAGACCCATCCAGTTATCTGGCAGTGCTTCAGTGCCATGCTGTAAGACAAACACAAACCAACTTCATAAATACATTTTTAAATGAACATAATAGCTCTTTTCTTCATGAGTAGTGAGTCCTTCCGTTTTAGGTAGAAAGGTAATGTGGTAAAACTTGGAATTCTTTCAATGTTCTACAAGAATATGACGATTTCCAACTGTGAAGACAAGCTGGTATGCTAAGTACTGATAAATTACTGAAGGTGGGTTATATCGGCATAAGGATATAAGACCATTCCGTGGTTGGAGGTTGCTGACACAAGACTTGCCATGAATCCAATTTAGAAATGAACAGTGCGCAATAAGCCTTGGGAATTCAACTTTGAATGCACAATAGTGTCATTCAAAACCATAGTTGGAGGTTGCTGACACAAGACTTGCCATGAATCCAATTCAGAAATGAACAGTGCGCAATTAGCCTTGGGAATTCAACTTTGAATGCACAAGTGTCATTCAAAGCCATAGTTGGAGGTTGCTGACACAAGACTTGCCATGAATCCAATTTAGAAATGAACAGTGCGCAATAAGCCTTAGGAATTCAACTTTGAATGCACGAGTGTCATTCAAAACCATAGTTGGAGGTTGCTGACACAAGACTTGCCATGAATCCAATTTAGAAATGAACAGTGCGCAATAAGCCTTGGGAATTCAACTTTGAATGCACAAGTGTCATTCAAAACCATAGTTGGAGGTTGCTGACACAAGACTTGCCATGAATCCAATTTAGAAATGAACAGTGCGCAATAAGCCTTGGGAATTCAACTTTGAATGCACAAGTGTCATTCAAAACCATAGTTGGAGGTTGCTGACACAAGACTTGCCATGAATCCAATTTAGATATGAACAGTGTGCAATTAGCCTGGGGAATTCAAATCTGCATGCACAAGTGTCATTCAAAACCTCAGGATTCCAGACCACATTCAAATTAAGGCTGTATTTGAATAAGTTGACAATGGCTAGCAATAATACATGCACCTATGGAAAGGGTTAAAGCCACTTCCCATAGACGCGTGTGTTACAGCTAGCCATAGTCAAGTATTTCTGATGCAGCCATATGACAAGGGTACATTTAGTGTGGGGAATTCAAATTTGAATGCACAGTGTCAAACAAAACCTCTGGATACAACATCCTGTTCAAATAAAGCTTATTGGCATTTTCTAATTTTTATGTAGACTTTTCTTTTTTTCTGGAATGGCCAGAATTTTTACCGTGAGTGCAGTCATGTCTGACAGGGTGTCCACGAATCCCTTATTGGAGATGAAGCCCGAGGGTGCCGAACAAACAAACTGCTGATGCAACACTCTCATCTGGTCGACGGTGAAGGTATCAGGTTGGGCTATCTCGGTGGGGGACGGCCGGGGTGGGGGGCTCGGGGTACGGAACACCTTGACTTCCTAATGAAAAAAAAAAGCGGGAAAAAGGTCAATAAAGTTTTTGTTTTATGGTTTGTTTTTAATAGATGACCTTATGTAGTAGTAACATTTATTTCAATGAGGTCATTCATTACAATTATGTCACTAGTATGTCTTAAAGGTAGAGTAGATCATTTGTCATTTGTGCATTTTATTTCATTCAAAGCAACAAAAGTGCTCAAAATCTAAAGAAGGGTGCTTTACAACTGACCTGATGAAGTTTTAGCTCAGTGAGTGCTGTATATTCCGAGAAAACAATATTCTAGGATCTCAATTTCAATTCAAAAGTTGCCTAGTTATATTTTGAATTGCACCCGAAATCAGCATCCGGAATACGTTCTCATTCAGCCGACAGCAGCTATGCGATGTTATGCACTGAAGCAACGAATAATAGCAACCACACACGAGTGTGCGTCGTGTCAACGCTTGCGCACACATATTCATGGATTCACCCAATTACAAACCAACTACAAACAGAAAACTTTCTAAAAAAACGTCACTTGACTCGGCTTTGGAAATGACCTTTTTTTTTTACTTCAAAATGACAGCATGCCAGAAGGAATAATTTCACAGGGAGTCTAGTATCATTAAGATCTTTAAACCAAGTAAGCTTTTTAACAATAATTTGGTCAGATACTTTTTGGTAGATGCATTTGGCACCTTTATTCCCCCCAAAGTCAGTGGGCAATGGTTTGTAAATCTTTGGTGCATTTTTTTTTACTAATTAAATTCCAAAGAACACTCTCCGAGTATGCTTTTAGGGTTATTTCAAGGACACACATTTTTTTTCTTCAAATGCACCAAAGAGCGACGCACATGTATTGTGTGCGCAAAAGTCCACAGATAATCAGTCACTTTGTGTAGTGCGGCAAAACTATCAATTTTCTGTTTACCTTGTTGACTATGAAGTCATCTTGAAGGGAGACTAGCTCTGGTTGGACCTTCTCTTTCTTCTCAATGTTCTCTCCGAGTACCTCAGCCAGCGTGTCAATGCTGGAAAAAAATAACAAATGCAAGGACTTAAACAATGAGTTACTCATTGCATTCCGGAAAAAGACAGGGCCAAAAATCACAGAGAATAGTGCTTAAGCCCCGGAAGAGAAGGTTTTATCTTGGCCGACCATCCAGGAACCCCGGAGTTGACTCACCTGTCCATCTCTTGTTGGAAGCGGCCTCCCAGCCAGTCATCCATGTCCTTGTAGACCTCCTCTGCTTTAGCCTTCAGCTCTTGGAGGACGGCGATGGCGTGAGTCTTGGTCAGCTCCATGCGCATCTTCAAACCACCCTCTGCAATAGACACACACACGCACACTTAGCATATGGGGTTTATGGGGTACCACTTTTGTTCGACCCTAATCCCCTTCTTTTGTTCTCCTTTGTCATGTTTGTCCCCTTAGAAATCTCAAAACACATAGCGTTAGGGCTATGGGGCACTTCAATTTCTAAAGACAGACTTGCAGTGTACTATTGTCCCTATTGTTGCCCTTTGTTCCCGGTACCCCATAAGTGCCAATATGTAAGTGCACACTAGCACGTTTGTTTATGGTGTAAATCAAGGTTTTTCTTTTGTTCCTCTTCCCTTTTCCTTTGTTTGTACTTTTTTAGCAACAGCTCTCATTTGTTTTGTACCTGTCCTCGATTCACCGATGAGATAGGAGGGTGTTATTGGGGAGCATCTTGTACTGACCTTCATGTGAGATGGCTGCCAGGTATTCTTGCTTCATCCTGTCTCTCAACTCCTTCTTAGCTCTCTCTTCCGGGGTGTCTTCAGTTGCTAATTTGCAAAAAGAGAGGCAGTTGTTTAACCCATTTCTTCCATGTCATCACACCACTATCAAAGGTACATTTACTTGTCTAGTCCTACAACCACAAGATAAATCCCTTTCACTTACTAATTCACTGAAGGAAACTCAATTTAAACATTAAATTGAGACCCAAAATCGGATAGCGAAACGTTCAGCATTATGGTAACAGGTTAGTAAAAATTTAGATTTTGTTTTGAAGGCTTTCCAGCACTTAATGTTTCGGTATCTTCAAAACTTTCTCGGTGCAAGGGGCTACAGTTTTATACAAACAGGAGTTTGTGACATCCTGTTTATTTTTTTGCACAGCAGATTTGCATAGGTCGAACACATTTTAACTCTAGCAGAATTTTGCTGTGAATGTTTTATGCCGTCAAATTCACTTCACATTTGCATTCACATCAAGCGTGAGCCGGTCTGAACTCTGTAAACAAAGTTCCAGCTTCTTACCCGGCGGTGGTGTAGGCGGAGGCGTTGGAGTAGCCGTCTTCTTTCCCTTCTTGGGCGACTTCTTCCCCACGGGTGACTTCTTGCCGCTGGGGGATTTCTTCCCGCCGGCCGGGGACCGTTTGCCCGAGGGGGACTTGCTCTTGCTGCGTTTCTTGCCGGGCTTCTTGGCGGCTCCTTTCTCTTTCTCCTTGTAATTCTCGGCCTCGCGGAGCTTCTCGGCTTCGTCCTCGGCATCGCGGGCTGCTAGCTCTGCCGCTGTCTGGTTTGGTGACGTTAACAAAAAATGTTCAAATCAAGATCCGGCTTCTGGTAGAATATATGTTCAAATCAAGATCCGGCTTTTGGTATTATACTGTGGGCTTCCCAAACCCTTTAATATGTGGCCTTTTCAAACTATTTTTGTGCCTAACCATTTTAAAGTTAATGGGTCCAATGTGGGTCAACCTGTGTTGGATAAAGCGCGTGTGCCCACAGGGTTCGACCTTAACTTATTTTGTTTCACTAGCCATCCCAGCTACTGAAACAGACTCTTAACTAGCCTGCGGGCATTTTCACTAGCTCGCATGTTTTTCGCTTATAGAGTGTCTCATAAACAACAATGTACATACATCTAAAACGTGTACGTGAGGAAATCTTGCCAGTGTTTTTAATAAACAGATCTGATAATTTAGTCCTAAACAGTTTATAAAATTAGACACACATTAAATACAGGTTTGCTTTCTGAATTTAAATTAATTTTTTTCCTGTCCTTTCATCTTTGCCATAGCCCAATAATTTTTGACCCGCCAACTGGGCTACTTAAGGAGTGGTTTGACTAGCTGCTGTTTTGACCAGCATTTGGTTAGCGGGCTACCGCTTAAGTCGCACCCTGGTGCCCACCATTCACACTTTTACAAAATTTGCTTTAGCACAAAAACGTCTTGCTTAATAATAAAATCAAGTTACCGGCCAAAACTCCATGCGATTGTTATGCTATTAAAGTAAACAACAGCTAAATACCAGTCACAAGCAATGTACATCACATGGAGTTTTGGCCGGTAACCTAATTTTACTAAGCAATGTTTTTTCGTGCTTAAGCAAATTTTGTGCTTAAGCAGCTCTATGAAATTGAGCCCTGGGGCCAATTTCATAGAGCTGCTTAAGCACAAAATTTGCTTAAGCACAAAAACGTCTTGCTTAATAAAATCAGGTTACCGGCCAAAACTCCATGTGATTGTTATGCTAAGTAAACAACAGCTAAATACCAGTCACAAGCAATGTACATCACATGGAGTTTTGGCCGGTAACCTAATTTTACTAAGCAATGTTTTTTCGTGCTTAAGCAAATTTTCTGCTTAAGCAGCTCTATGACATTGAGCCCTGGCCTGGACACGGGTCAGGATGAATTTTTGGCTCACTACCAGGGCCAAGTTTTCACCATGTAGAGAATCGGACAAGAATAGAAGCCTTTTGGTGAAAATGGCTGCGAAAAATCTCATGGTTCGACCCAAGTCCAACATGGAGATTTTGGGCAGTGTGAAAAGGCCTATAGATCCATCAATATCCACTATACAGACTTTTTAAAGATGTCTCTTGTTAAATCCAACAATATCCCACAACAGCCAAGTGCGACAAGTTCTGACAGAAACTGCACATTGGATCTTGTTGGATTCAGTGCAGTTAGGGTTAGGATTAAAAACCAAGCATATACACCACAAAAAAGTTGATTTTACTTAAATTATAGCATTAAACCTAAACCGTTTGAGAACTCAACCCATCAAACCCCTACAGCATGTTTTGTTGGAATCTGTCAGGATGGGTACAGTACCCCTATAAACTGACAGTCTTTTACATTGGGTTGGCACACCTCCAGAATCAACATCAGAAATATGTGTGTGCAGTTTCCCATGTGGTTTTGGAATTTGCCAGGATGGGTATGGTTTCGAGTAAATCATGCTAGGGAGTTAGGTTAATATCTTTGCTTGAGGGGCAGAAACCATTTCGATTTCACTCAGTGCATTATCATAATTTTGTTGTTAGATTTGTGCCACTCCAATGAAAAGAAAAACTGACACACGGTGCTAAGAAGTGATGAAGTAACCGATGCGGTGCTCCCCACTTACCATGCAAGCCCTGGAAAAACCTTCCGACTGATTTAGCAACAAAAATGGAGGAAACATTTTTTGGAGTTACTGTTAAATTTTTTTGGGGGTGAAGAATTAATTGACAACTCAAGTTAACATGAATCTGTCAGTTTACAAATGCCGTATTAAGCAGAAGTTGAAATATACAATGGAACTGTTTAATTAATTGAAATAAATTTGATGTGTCTTGTGTTCATGAAAACAAACGACAAATATTTAAGTGTTACTTACCATCTCGGATATTTTCATCATCCCAAATTGGAAGGCATCAAAGATTAACTGCAAAGTATAGAAAAATATAGATTTATAAGTATAGCCCTGTCCGCACTGGACTTTTTTTGGTCAAACTAACCGAGACTATGGGTACTTTTCCCATTTTAAGTCCAGTGCGGACAGCCTAGGACGTTTTCCTCTCGGTTACTTTACCTGAGTCCAGCGGTTACTTTTACTGGCCAACTGCTGCCCAGGAAAACTTCCCACGCGCCCAGGAAAACTGACCAGGTCACTTTTCCCGAGATGATAAGTCCAGTGCGGACAGTGCGAGTTGGTAAAAGCGGCTCAGGAAAGCGTACATCCGGCCCGAGCGCCCTGTTATGCATACAGGGACCGCACGAACCTGCACGTGCAGTGGCCGAACATTTTGTAGAAACACGCTGCGGTGTATCATCAAGTCCGAGCGGTAAAATCTCGTTAAAATATATATTTCAACGGACAAATACATACACAGAGAAGAGAGATCACGTTCTGAGAATTAATTTGCGGAAATTCTCTTTCTCCACCGATGTATGTTATTTTCTACGATCCAAATTTGCCCTGATAAGCTACTGTAGTCATGCACGGAACATCATGGTCCGGTACCGTACGTAGGCCGTAGTCACTGGTTCCTGGCCCACATCATAGCTTCGATTCTGTAAGCATGCGATGGGAACCAACGAATACTGATGGCACTGCTGCCGCACGGAACATCGTTCAGCGGCATGGCTTCGAAGACATGCGTCAGAATTATAGGCCTTTTCGTCAAGATTTAGCGTGTCAAGATGAAATAATATCGTGTAAACGATTATGTTGTGCATGCAAATGGCGTGTGTAATATTACTGTGCGTATCGGCGGCTGAAAATGTGATCGCCAATTTGTTTTCTGTGTACGGTGAGTCATTATACTGACACTGTGACAGCTCGGTTACTTCTCCCACGCGGTCAGGGTAAATTTTCCCATGTCGAAAGTCCAAGTGCGGACAGTGGTCACATTTGACCATTTCTCATTTTACCATCGTCTCGGTAAAACCTTCCAAAAAAAAGTCCAGTGCGGACACGGCTCAAGACGTCAACAGATAAGTGCTACAATTTTGCATCGTGTGAGTCTGGAAAAAAAAGTGTGAATATCGGTTCATACTGGTGCGAAAGTGAACAGAAAGGCCAATTTCTGAGCAAATTTGGGCAAGGACTCTTAAGCCTAGTTTTGATGTACGAAACGCAAGTAAAACGCAAACAGGACCCAAACTGCAACGCAGAGATATGGAAACTTTTCATTGGGAAGGGTCGCCGACAACCCAGACAGAGGCAAACTACCTCGCAGACGATCGGCAAAGTTGAACCCGGTTCAACTTCGCATACTGTCTGCGCAGTCTGCATAGTCTGCCTAAGCTTAACGTCGTTATAGAACCAGGCTTTAGTCAAATAATGGTTAATTTGTGACATAACTATTGCCTACGCACTAATAGTAATGCTCGAACGCCTCTAGTCAAACTCTGGTCAAAAGCTTGGCTCCCCGTTGTGGTTTACGATGCGCGTAGCTATAGGTCTCTCTTAAATGACGTCATTTTCTACAAACCGGCCAAGTGCATTGGCATTCTGAGCGTCAACTTGCATGACACGTGTCGGCCGCGTTGTATATCAACACATTTCGAGCAACAAGTGTGCGTGTTTGGAACTTTTTCAACACTGCTCAATGCGTGTATAATTGCGTAAAATACGCAGTTGCAGTTCTCCTACCAAGATGGCCGTATTTGAGAGACCTATTGGTAACAAGCGATGGAACACATCTACATCTCTTGTTTGTACACAGAGCCCATAGCTTTGACTGGTGACCTACAATCCTGGCCAAATCTCGCTGGCCCGCAACCCCCCCTCCCCAGCCCCTGCTAAGTGTTGTCTCTCAATGCGTGGTGTGCGCTCCATCAGCTGGAGAGAACAATATTGACTAGGGGAGGCTAAGAAAGTGTCCCAACCATTTTGGCTGGGATTGTAGTTTGCTAAGCCAATATTTTGGGGGGCTTAGTACATTTCGGTGGCCTGGTCTTACCTTCTCGTCTGCGTCGGTCGGCGGCAGTGGGCTCTCCTGGGTCTCTTCCAGGCTAGTCACGGGAGCTGGCTTCTCTTTCTCCTTCTTGCCAGCACGGCTCTTGCTTCCCTTCTCGGCTTTGCCCGCGGGAGTCTGACTCGGGAAGAAACCCTCGGTGGAGGTGGGACGACGAGGGACTAGGGGAATCCTGCAACAGAGAGAGAGTAGCCAATAAAAAGTTTCATTATCTAAGTATTTTCTTCACTAAAAACAAGGTAGCATACGATTACATAACCCAGATTTTCTTTGCAGTTTTGCTTGAAACACGACTCACTCCTAAAAAAACCTTCACTGCGCAGAAATGCAATGCTACAGAAAATTACACAGAGCAGACAACAGATAAAAGGCAGAACCAAATACTAAAAGTCACATTATCCAGAGGCAAAACTTCATCAAAATTTTGATTTGTGGTTGTCACATGCTTCGCAGGATTAGAAACCAGACTCCTTCAGTTATTACTTGGGGAGTCAGGTTGGTGTAGCGGTACTTTCCACGCCTTCCACCGCTGTGACCCGGGTTCGAATCCCGCCTGGGCCAAAAGTGGATTGAGTTTTCAGTCCCTGCCTGATTCCGTGGGTTTTCCCCAGAATATTCTTCTGGGCTTTTCCTCCCACCTCTAAAACTGTAACTTCTTCTCATTGTCTTCTCTCTACAGGTTTCTTCAGGCTTGCGAGCTACAGTGCCTAGGGCGCTTTTGAGGAATCCTTGGTTTCATTACCATAAATGCATAATACTACTCTGCTACTACTTCTAGTAAATTACACCATCTACTACAAGTAAGCAGGAGCATGCGGGATCGAAATCCACCCGAGTATTAGTTTGTGACTTTTTTGTTTACTCAAGCGCACACCACAATATTTCATTTCTTTCTGGTAATGAAACCAAGGATTCCTCAAAAGTGCCTTAAGCACTGTAGCTCGCAAGCCTGAAGAAACCTGCAGAGAGAAGACAATGAGAAGAAATTAAAGTTTTAGAGTTGGGAGGAAAAGCCCAGAGGAATATTCTGAGGAAAACCCACGGAATCAGGTAGGGACTGAAAACCCAATCCACATATTGACCCAGGCGGGATTCGAACCCGGGTCATAGTGGTGGAAGGCGAGGAAAGTACCGCTACGCCAACCTGACTCCCCTCAACCTGACTCCCCACAGTTGATGTCAAGTTCACACAAGTCAATCACGAGTGTTTCACAAATCAATCACTAGTCATCTTGTCTGAATAGTCAAGCAAAAAGCTATTCAAATGAAATGCGGCAACAGCGTTTCTCTTGCATCTTTTATCCCCAGTTAATTGGCAATTGGACTTTGTGATGTTACTTCTAATTGATTTGTGATTTTACTTGTGGCTTGCGTTGGACTCAGGTAGAACTCTGGTAGAAACCAAGGAAACATGCTGGAATTATTTTAGTGAACAGACAAAAACATTTGTCCAACATACTTTGGTTTCTCCTCCTCCAGTTCATCCTTGGCCTCCTCGGGGGGTGGTTCCTTCCCCTTCTTCCCCTTAGCGGAGGGCGTGGTAGGCGTGACGGCCCGTGTGACTGACTCGCTAGCCTGGGCGCTGACAGGGGCCGAACTGGGCCTCTCTACGGCTGTGGAGAGATCGATGAGGGGGATGCGGACGAATGCCGAGTCGAACTCCTCGGGGATCTTGCCTTCCATGCCTTGGTAGTAGTCCTTCAGGAGGCGGAGGGTGTCTTGGTAGCGGTCTACCTCAGACTGGATGGAAGATTTGAAGTAAGAGAATATAATGGACCAGTACAGGAGAATGGCACAACTATTCGTGAAAATCTCATAATTACTGTTAGGTGAGGGAACTTCAAGACAATTGACCTATCATAGTTTGCGAGTTAGCCACGCCCCTTAGACAATCCTATGGAATTTTGTACGTTAAGTTTTGTTTGTCTCAGATTTTGCGCATTCCGCGTCTATTTGTATATCATGTAATTGAACAATATTTCACAAGCTGCATTGACGCGATTCTACTGCAATATTGTGGAAGTTTGATAGAGGAACATTGGTCAACTACTTTTACGATTTATGACATGTTAGATTAAAGTCCAATCACATCTCTAGTCGAATGTCATCACCAAACCTCTCGATCCTTGCTCCCTGCCGTAGGTTATCATACACACAGCTATCAGTAACCAGCTATGCAAAAAACATTGTAAAGTAAAAAAAAAAAGTAAGTCTGTCACGAGTCAATGTGGCCCATCAGGCCAGCATTTATCTCCGGTTTCAGTGGCATGAAACAAATGAGAAATTTTCTACTCCCCCTGGATGGGATGCCAGTCTATCGCAGGTTACTCCCCAGTTAATGCTAGTACCCATTTATAATCCTGGGTGGAAAGAGGCGGTGGGGGTGAAGTGGCTTGCCCAAGGACACAACATATGGCCAGCAACTGGATTCAAACCCCCGACCCTCTGATAATGAGACACGAACCCTAACCACTAGGCCACAATCCCCATAAAAAAACACATGGTACCTATGCCAAAAACATGGTAGTTTGGTCCAGAAAAGTAGACTAGACTAGTCTAACTATGGTCTGCTAGAATGGGTTCCAATTAAGTTATTTGTACTACCGCAGCAAAGTTTACTATCAAATATGTTCATTTGCGTTTTTCTTCTATGATCTAGAGCTGTTTCATTATACAAATAGAACATGGTTTGAGGGTGGACAGTCGATATTCGCTCCCCGAGGTATTGGAAATTGACAAACTAGTTCCCGAGGCGAAGCCGAGGGAACTAGTTTGTCAACTTCCAATACCGAGGGGAGCTAATATCGACTGTCCACCCGAAATAAACCATGTTATATTAGTTTTACTATACCTCATGCATATTCAGTTGCCGATTTTTTTTAATATCTAATCATGCACCTAAAACAAAATTTTCGGAGAAACTTGTACAGGTCACCAAAAGAATATTGTTGCTTAACTTCACTAGTTCGGTTTGTCTGCAATACAGTGACTACAGTTGTAAATAAAGTTGCATCTTTATTGTCCATAAATTTTGTCCAGTCCGGCAATTATATAATTTCATGAATTTACGCGAACCGTGCAACCAAGCATCTCTCTTGGGCGATGTTCGCGCGTGCGTACTACACCCATGCGACAGTTCCTCGATTGCTTTGTAAAGCGCATGCGTAGTAGACTGTCGCACGGGAAACCCGTGCGACAGTCTACTACGCATGCGTATTTGGCCTGTGCGTGAATCCTCGCGCGCGCGTTTGGTAAACAGCAAGAATAACATCTGGCACGTGATGGTGAATTGACCAGTGAAAGTTTGGCTCTCGGTCATGAATATGTATGAGGTATAGTAACACACAATGTTTGACTAATGGGTACACTGTCCTTCACTGTTTTGTGTACATCCTATGAAAGTTGAGTGAGGTAGTGGGTTCACAAGACTCATGACTAACGATAATCTGATATGGACTCATGTATCTAAATGCTACTTCCAGTGATTCATTTTTAAGGTCAATGAATGGGAGGTTTGCGGTAACACCATGTGAATGATATCCCTTAGTGAGTTGTGTGGTTCAGAGAAGAACCAGTTGGCTTAACTCGACATTTCAAACAGTATGCTTTTTCGATGTAACTCACCTGCATGAGGGTGAGGTAGTGATTAGTAAGTAGGCCCAGTCTGTCCTCCAGCCAGCCTTCCTCCATGACTGAGGTGCGCTCTGTCTCCGCGTCCACCTTGCGATTGTCAGACATCTCCCACAGCTGCTCCTTCAGATCCTACACGTCAAGAAAAAAAAAGAGATATCTAGGGGTCACTGTCAAGTATGCCACTTTGCCATTACTGAACCACGACAAAGGCAACCTTTTGTCATTATTCAATCCCCTGTTATCAATGGACATGTTATTGGACTTGCAATGACTTATGTCATGTGCTTTGATATTGTAATTTCATTCGTCTAGAACGACCACGTGTCCAGTATGTAAAAAGAAACTGTTTACTTCATATACACTGTGTTGAATATAAATTACGTCATATACACAGCGTTGCATATAAATTACCTCATACCTCATATACACAGCGTTGCATATATAATTTACCTCATATACACAGCATTGCATATAATGTACCTCATATACACAGCATTGCATATAATTTACCTCATATACACAGCATTGCATATAATTTACCTCATAAACACAGCGTTGCAAATAATTTACCTCATCTACACAGCGTTGCATATAATTTACCTCATATACACAGCGTTGCCTATAATTTACCTCATATACACAGCGTTGCCTATAATTTACCTCATATACACTGTGTTGCATATAAATTACCTCATATACACAGCATTGCATATAATTTAACTCATACTCACCTTTTTGCATATAATTTACCTCATATACACAGCATTGCATATAAGTTACCTCGCACCGCATAAGTTACCTCTGTGTTGCGCTCTCTGGAAGGGCCGGCCCATGCGCCTCGCGACTTGAGAACTGCAATCGCTCAGTCTCATGTCCGAGAGGCAAGCTTGCACTTATCGAAGGTTAACTCATAAATTTGAGTTTTTTTTACTGTTTTCACTTCAGTCCTCCATTAAAATACTCACATTGTACTTGGAGGTCCAGGTATTCCGACTCAGCTTCAACAAAACTAGTACTCAAAGGTCCAAGTACTTGGACTTGGGTACCTGTACTCGTTCTCTTAAGGTCTAAGTACTCAGATGCGAGTATTACTCGATAGCTTGGAACTCAGCGGTACCTTGTACTCGGGATAAAAGTACTCGACTACAACACTGGAAGATTCATTTAAGACAAATTACCTGGACCCTCTGGTGAAGTTCCGACTTAGTCTCGTCGTCATCCCTCATATCCTCGGCGATCTCGTTGTACTCCTGCTGCCAGGCGGCCAGGAATTCCTGCTTGCCGTCCGGCCGGCGTAGGTAATCCTCAAAGTCTCGTCGCACCTTGTAGAAGTAGTGGTAGATGTTCTCGCGTTCATCGCGGATGTTGTGGAAGACGTGCTTGGCGCTGGCCACGTAGGTGGCTTCGGTGTTCTCCCAGTGGGGGGCGATGACTAGAGCGAGAGCCTGTCAATGAAATGGAAAAAAATATTGATTGCGTTTGCAAAAAAATAACCAAGCAGACAGACAGTTGTGATCAATTACTTTTCAAATTGACATTTTGTGTTTTTTTGAGCATTCATGATTTACTGCATATAGACAATTTTAGAGGAAACAGTATCTCTCTGAATTTTGATCTGATGTTTTTGATTTTTGTCTGCATTTCATGCGAATATCAATGCAAAGCAAAGTCGACATCAAAACCACTTGCAGGGAAATTTGCCAGAATTGAAAAATGTGTTAATTTCAGCAAATTTGCAGCGCGAAGTGACATCACTAATTTGGGTTGTTGCTTTCATGCTAAGCATGAACCATCACTTAGCTTGCTAGTGTTCTATCAAATGGCAATATACAAAAATGACTGCCCAGATTTCTGCACCCAATAGGATAAGGATTACCCAATGGGTACCAGGTACTCAGGTTCTGGTGTGGGTTTTAAAATTGACCTGCTTGTAACCTTACCTCGTCAATGGGTTCATCAACATATACCCAGTTCTGTGAGTCCAGTTGGGGTAAGAGTCACCCAGTGGATACTGGGTGCTAAGGCTCTGATATATGGGTGTAATAAATTGATCCGCTCATATAATCTTATCTAAACAAGGGGTTCATCAACATATAGCCAGTTTGTTGAGCCCAGATATATTGTATGAGTCGCCCAGTGGGTACTGGGTGCCAGGCTTTGATATGGGTGTAATAAACAACTGCTCATGAGATCTTACCTCATCAATGGGTTCATCCACATGAGTCTTCTGAGCCCGGTTGGGGTGGGGGTGTTCCAGTGGGTACTGGGTGCCGGGCTCTGATATGGGTGTAATAAACAACTGCTCATGCGATCTTACCTCGTCAATGGGTTCATCCACATACACCCAGTCTTCAGAGCCCGGTTGGGGTGGGGGTGGCCCAGTGGGTACTAGGTGCCAGGCTCTGATATGGGCGTAATAAACAACTGCTCATGCGATCTTACCTCGTCAATGGGTTCATCCACGTACACCCAGTCTTCAGAGCCCGGTTGGGGTGGGGGTGGCCCAGTGGGTACTGGGTGCCAGGCTCTGATATGGGCGTAATAAACAACTGCTCATGTGATCTTACCTCATCAATGGGTTCATCCACATACACCCAGTCTTCTGAGCCCGGTTGAGGTGGGGGTGGCCCAGTGGGTACTGGGTGCCAGGCTCTGATATGGGCATAATAAACAACTGCTCATGTGATCTTACCTCATCAATAGGTTCATCCACATACACCCAGTCTTCTGAGCCCGGTTGAGGTGGGGGTGGCCCAGTGGGTACTGGGTGCCAGGCTCTGATATGGGCGTAATAAACAACTGCTCATGTGATCTTACCTCATCAATGGGTTCATCCACATACACCCAGTCTTCTGAGCCCGGTTGGGGTGGGGGTGGCCCAGTGGGTACCGGGGGCTCGGGTTCTGGCTCAGGTTCGGGCGTTGGCTCCCTCTTGGGTGACTTACGCCCAGATTTACCTCGCTTAGGTGAACCTATTAAAAAACACAAACAATATTAATTAAACTTAAGTTAAACAAAGTGGAGATTTTGTAATATTAACCACTTTTTAGGAAACAGCACAGCACACAGTTAAGTTGTCAAGTTCATGCAAAGGTTGTAGACTTCAGAGATACTTTCCAAAACTTGTGCGTGAAAAGTGCGAAATATAAATATTAAAAATTCCAATGTGAGGATGCCAGGAAAAAAAAAAATGAAAAGCAACAAAGGACTGTAGCAGCATGCACCCAGTTGACCCTCCTGCTACTTAAACAGTCACAGACAGTCAAAATTTCTTAGAGCTTCCCCTGCTATACTTTTAATACGGGCTAGTCACCAGCGTCAAATCATGTTAAGCAAGCACTGTGACTAGTCAAACTCAGTCAACAGACCATGAACAGACATAGCAGGCAAGTTGTGGGCACAGCTGGCTTATCACTCACCAAGAGTCAAAGCATAGCTGTATCAAGTTAATTAAACACTCCCAGCCAGTCAATCCTGCTTTGTGTAGGCTGGGAATTCTCAACTGTTGAAAACAGTCACTTGATTGATTTTGACTGAAAGGACTTCTTGTCACAGAATGTATATGTTTGCATAGGAGGGTTAATACATTTATCACTTTTGAGATGTAAAAGGGGTTTCCTGGTGAAAAAGTGGAAATTGTTTTTTCAAAATGGAAATTCAATACATATGAAGGTCTGTCGTAAAAAGGCGGTTCCTGGTAAAAATATTTACTCAGGCATCAGGAATAAGCTTTCATTGTTTAAACTGCAAGATTTTTCCTTCATTCGAAAGGTCCACAAAAAAGTCCAAAACAATACAAGCGAGTCTGTGTGACACCAATGAATGGTTGAATGAATGGTTGTCCAATAAGGTACGCCCCAAGTGATGCATGTTATGAATAAGTTTAGTTCCTGTGAGATGGTCTTGAATCCTCCTATAATTTCTGACTTGAAGCTCTAATGTTGCATTACTGTACTGGTTTAACTTTGTGGAATGATCGTATGAGCGCCGTAGTCTAATGGTTTGGGTGTCTAGCTTTACTTGCGTTTGTTTATGGTGTAAATCGAGAACACACACGTGCAACATCATCGGTGAATCGAGGACAGAAACCGAATTGAGGACTCCTTGATTAGAAACTTGTACAAAACTAATGAGAGCTGTTGCGAAAATGGGTACAAACAAAGGAAAAGGGAAGAGGAACAAAAGAAAATCCTTGATTTACACCATAAACAAACATGTGTGTATGTGTGATAGTATATAGCTTTGAACCCTGGATGGGAGCATGGTGTTTGTGTTCTTGAGCAAGAGGCTTTACTTCAATCATCCGCTTCCAGCCAGGAGTATAAATGGGTACCTGTGAGGGTAGAGACCAGATTGCGCTGATCTCAAGCTGCTGCGGAAAGCTGGTCTAATGGCCTGATGAACAGGGGTAATAATTGTGAAGCGCTTTGGGTACATTTGTATGAAGCCCTATATAAGCACCTCATTGTTATGATTATAGAAATAAGTGTACACTCCACACTCTGGTGTTGATGTTAGTTCAAACCCATGCATTGGAAACACAGCTTCAATGTTGTGCTACCGTCACCAGTGGTTATACATTTTGGACTGAAAATTTGATAAAACAATAAAATAACAAAACAAACCTGACTTGCCCCTCTTGCCTAGATATTTCCAAGGAGAAAACAGGTAACATCATAATGAATAAAACAGAAAATAACACAACATTCAATAACTGCATCAACAAAAAAAAGTTCAATAAAAAATTAAAGACAATAGAAAATAACATTTTCAATTTTAACATCAACTTGAAACATTTTGTTATTTTGTTTATACAGAATTTTACGTCTACAAATATGAGCAAGCCATATGAGCAAACTTTTTACTCACAATTTTTTCTAATGAACAAATGTTTGGGTTCACAATTTGAACAGAAAACCCTTAAAATGAACAGTGTCTTCCTGAAATGACATCACAGCAACAGCGCCCTCAGGTGTCAGGAAAAGCATGTAAAATGTTAAACGGTTAAAGAAGTGCACTTTTCAATAAGGCCCCCCCAAAAAAGTCTCCGGTTTCTGGTATGGAGCTTGCCCAAAAAGTGGTGCGGCGACGCGTCTTCTTTTTTTTTTTACCTGATTTTTTTGCTTCAAATGTCGGCTGATGACTGCAAATGGTGCCCGACTAAACTTAGTGCAAATATATGGGAGTCCAGAGAGGCCACATGAAGCTTATTCTCGACCATAACCCAATCTAAAAACCAGTAAATTGTGCAGCAGCAGGATTCTAGTCAAACCAGTGAGTTTGGCGGTTTTGAGACATCATCATTCATTGAAAAAAAAACCTTTTTCATTTTGCCGACGCGCATGATGGCTACGACGACGCGCAAGCATACTAGAAACCGGAGACTTTTTTTTTTTGGCCTAACATTAAGGGAGCGTTTCAGTCAGGCTGAGAGCGGTATCCATTGGGGTACCGGTATTATTCTTTGTGGTACCGCACTCCATACCCCAAACCTGCCTGATGAATGGAAAGCCGTCAGGCCTGAACAACTGAATATTTATGAGGTCAAACATGGAGCGTGGAGCTCATTAAAAGCCCAGTAGGCTTGTCAAAGATTTCAAGTTTGAATATGCCTTGAAGTGTTGAATAAGCCTTTTCGGAGTTCCAACTGCGCATTCGTAACCTGTGACAACGCGCATTGTTTGTCTCAAATGGCCTTTGACATCATCGCGCCACTGACTTTACAAAAAGGCTGTTTGTGCATTGTGGGTACTGTCCAAGGGCATTTGAGACAAACAATGTGCGTTGTCACAGGTTACGAATGCATGCAGTTGGAACTCCGAAAAGGCTTATAGGCATGGGCCAGCCCCTGTTCAAAGAACCCAGCATGCATGACAGGGATTAGCTTGAGAGCAATTAAGGGATTAGTGCTGCTGCAATTGCATCCTTTGTGAAGGAAAATCCCTCAGCAGACTGCCAGCAGACCACACACTCCTCATGAATATTCATGTGATGAAACTGCCTGTGTGCACTGACTTGTATATAATGAGCTCATTATCATAGCCAGCTAGACTTAATCCTTGTACCACAAAAAAACACAGGTACCCAATTCATACCGCTTTCAATACCAATTGATACCGCTTTCAACGGTTCCCTAACCAAAAAGGATGTCAAATAATTTGAGGCCATTTAAGAGGAGTAGAAAGTTGCACAAAATACGTTCCTAACAAAAATTCATCTCGTGGCCCCTTTATAAACTGCAACACTGGTGGTCACAAAAGCTATTTACTGTCCCAACACAGAGTCCACATTCTAGTTTGTCTTCTGAGGTTTCTGCAGGACATATTTTACCTTTGCCACTAGATGGGGATCTCTTGGCACTCCCCGATCGGGACCCTTCTCTCTTCTTCTCTCTGTCTCGCTTGCCACTCTTTGGGGACTTCTCCCGTTTGGGGGAGTTCCCCCGTTTGGGGGAGCCACCCTTTGGTGACCTGCTACGCTTTGCTGAACCTGTAAATTAACAAAATGGGGACAATTCTTGAAATGCAAAAGTCCCGTTTGGGGGATAATTTCCAACGGAGGGGCCTCAAGTGGCAATTTCAGTGTGCTTCCAAGGTGAGCCTTCTGTAGGGGAAATATACCTCATTTGGGAGAACAACTTTGATTGAGGAAAAAGGGTTTTCCGAAAAATCCAATTTCTGAATGAAAATGTCCATAGTGCTCTATGAAATCCACATTGTAAAGTTTCATGTAGTTGCTGTTTTGCAAACCCCTGCATGGCATGTGCTGTATACACAAATGTAAAGCCTAAGAGTAGATTTCTCTATAAGCAAATGTTCAGCAAAATAAAATGCATCATTAGTTTTGGTTGCATTCCCACACTTAGGTCAAAACAAAAATAGTTGGTCTCTGGTCAAGCGCGCGCATTGATTTTGATCATGCTCGTCAAATTTTTTTTTTCTTCAAATTTTCCGCGGTAGCGACAACAGCGCTCTCTATTGCCGCACCGCCTCAAATTTTCGTGGGCAGCTCGACTCCAAATGATGGAGGGCACCAAGGTACAAAACGACAAAAAAAGCAAAATAGTACCCCTCTTGTCTGTATAATCCAAGCTTGAAAAAAAAACCCAAAAAACCGCATTGCCGCATCAATTCCGGAAATCTGGTCTGACCAGAGACCAACTATTTTATTTTTTTGGCCGCAGGTGTATTCTGCTGATATGTCCCATTGTGAACAGTCAGAGAGATTATCATGCATATTCTGGTTTAGAAAAAAGCTTGTTGCAATGTTGCCTCTCTTGCGTAGGCTGTTGGACACCCTAAACAGTTACCATGCAGACAGGATGAACACATGAAATAATAGTAAGATGAATTATTTACCAGCTCGGGATCCTTTGGGAGATCCTGGTGCCACTGCGGGTGTGGATTCCTTGCCTGCTTCAGACATGACACCATCACCAGTCTATCAAAATAACGGAAACACTAGGAGTAAGTACATTTTGATAGAAATTCAGAAAGAATAATCTGATGGTTAACCAGGGATGGAAATTGGACTCCCAAAGTTATCTGATCATGACGATTGGACAATTGCAGGTTTCCTCTGCTGTGAGCAAATTCCTTTCTGGTGTGTAAGCTTTCATGAAGTAGCCAAGGTTCATAATTGTTGTTATAAGTTCATGGGACATATTTAGGCACAAAGTCACCGTATGATATTGTTCATACATGCAGAAATTGAAATTAAGTCTTAAAAGTCTGGGGACAACTTCATCATGTTCATGGCACTGCAACACCTTGAACACAGAAATTTCTGCTTACTGCAACAAGCGTTATTATTTTAAATAGAAATTTTAAGAAGTAAGCCCAACAGAGAATGTTACAGTAACTTTAAAAAGGGTGATGCAATGCTCAAGTGTAGCAGAAATATTCGGTTATGGTTCGAACACCTTTTTTTGATCATTGTTATGCTGTGCCCTAACAATTATCAGATTCGAACCAGCTAGCCGACCGTGGCAAGTTCATTGGTCGAGTGGTAAGACATCTGCACTAAGACATCTGGGTTCGAGTTCCACCCAAGTAGTTTCTGAATTCATTTTTCACAATCACTTGCGACAACACTTGAGCATACAGTGTTTAGAAAAAAAATGTATCGCCGGTGAAGGGCAAAACCCGACACTGAATTTACATCACATATGACACAAGTTCCTTCTTATGAATTGTTTGGCTGCGACATCCGTTGCTATATCAGATTTGAACCAGCCAACCGACCCCGCAAGCTTGGTGGTCGAGTGGTAAGACGTCTGCACTAGTAAGCAGGAAGTTGTGGGTTCGAGTCCCACCCGATTCAGGAATTTTTTTCACAACCACTCAGGACAACACTGAGTATAAAAATACGTTGGTGAAGGGCAAAACCTAATATTGAATGCTCTGCCATGAAATTGTCCTTGGATTGTGAGTAAGTGGTCACACCAGTCTGGAGTTTGCCTTTCATACCTGAGTATCGCCGCGCTGTGTTGCTGTGGAGTCCATGCCTTCAGTGGGCTGGGTCGTCGGCACCTCAGACGTGGGCCCCGCTGTGCTGCCCTCAGTGGCAGCTTTCAGTAACTCCTCCTCTTGCTTCTCTGCGTCTTCTTTAGCTTTCTGAATCTGAACACCAAGGGAAAAAAATGAAAATAGAAAGATTACTTTGTGTAGTGTGTTGATTTGTTTGAACAATGGCTTTTTTGTGAGTGTGGAGTAAAACAGTGCAGTTTCATGATTCACAAAAAAACTGTCTGTTTGTTCCGTTTGAAATGCTTCTTTGTTCTTGGTATGTCAATGTGTAAAGAGTGGACTGTTTTTAAGCTTTGGAATGGGCAGGGTCTGGCAACTTCCTTGGAGCCTCTCCAAGTCTAACACAGGATAAAATTCCTCAGACTTTTCAAGGACTTGATCATTGGATGTGCTCAGAAGGGCCTCTTACTTCACATCCCTTTTTATACCTGCTTGTATTTGTACCGGTAGAACATGATTTTCAGCCTCCTCCTTTCTATACTTCTCTTTCAAGAGGAGGAGCATTATTCAATTTTTTATCCATAACAAAAACTGTCTATCACGCTTTGATCTTTCTTTTCCTTTCTTCTTTCCATTCTTCTATACTTTTTGCGATGGCAATTTAAGTAAAGTCTGTCATGAGCCAATATCACGCTGGTGTTTATCTCCGGTTTCCTTGGCATGAAACAACTGAGAATATTTCTATTCCCCCCTGGATGGGATACCAGTCCATCGCAAGTTACTCCCGGCTAATGCCGGCACCCATTTATACTCTTGGGTGGAGAGAGGCAATTGGGTTAAAGTAGCTGGCCCAAGGACACAACACTGCAATGGCAACCCTAATAGAAAAAAGTAAGCTTAAAAAAATATTGTTATACAGCATGCCACATATCTGCATTATCAGAAAATTCCTTGTTCAAAAATTCAGTACAGTGTATCATAAATTGTGATCAAGAGGGAACATAAATATTCACGCAAAGGTCCTGAATAAAAAGTCAAGGATGAAGAGCAAGTGTCTGAGACAATTTATCACTGTACCTTGTCTTTTGTCTCAATCATGACGTCTTCCACACGGCAGTAGGCTTCCTGCTGCTCAGAGGCCACGTCCACCTTGCGCAGGATGCCAAAGCTGCTGAACCACTTGTCCAGTTTCTTCCAGGCGTCCTGGAAGCCCGTCAGTCTAGTGAGGAGTAAACACAGAAACACAACGAAGAATTAAACAGAGAGGAATTTACAGGTTGCAATTTGTAGCAGTGCCTGGGGCCAATAGACAAAATTTTACAATGTCACAATCTTTATTGTTATATGTAGCCTGCTATGGCAAAATGAGGAATGTCCCCCAAAACCTTGTTTCGAGTAATCGACGCCTGAAGTTGCGTATACCTGAAAATTCCTGTCAAAATCGCTATTATATTTTTGGTATTTTTGAGCAGCCAAGGTGTCCAAGATTCACACTATAATTTTTTGTTATGAAAAAATACCCCCTTAAAGTTGAAAAACTGAAGTTTTTTTTCACTGCCGTTGGAGGCGCAATGCATAGCTTTTGTTGCAAAGGAGTTTTTCTCGAAATGAGGTCGACGATGTTCGACAGGACACTGTTGAAGTTTCTGCTGCATATCTTTGGAATAAATTAAGCTACAGAAATCAATTCGGTATCACTTGAAAGCCAATGACTTGCGCTTTAACATGATGTATGTAACTGGAAAAGTCAAAAGTGGGGGTTATTCCTCATTATGATATGGCAGGTCACATATCAAAATTCAAAATAAAATGCGATGAGTTATTGGTGCACAGGGGTGGGTCGAATGCCACTTAATTGTGACATCACCAAATTAGGTCCAGACGGATCCATTATGCGTAGCACACTACGGCAGCTGCAGGCAAGATGCGCCGCTTCAGTGCCACAATGCATGTTCCAGCCCGCCATATTATCATGCACACCAGGGAGCCGTGGCCTTGTGGTCCGGAGCATTGAATTTGTGGCCTGCGGGCAATTCTGCAGGTTGTGGGTTCGAGTCCAGCCTGGGGTTATGGCGCGTGTACCCTTGGGCAAGGTACTTTGTCACTCATTGTTTCTCCCCACCCAGGAGTAAATTGGGTACCTGTGAGGGCAGAGATGGTTATTGTGATTGACTTTAGCTGCTTTGCGCCAAAATGGCAGCATCAAGCTGTTCACTCCCCAGGGAGTTGAGATTGTCTTTGGAATGTTTCATTGGCCCAATGAGCATGGTAATAATGATGTAGCGCCTTGAGCACCAATACTGATGGATACATGTGCTTTTGGGGGGGGGGGGGGGGGAGAGGACGAAGCTGTGTTCACAGGAACGGAGTGCCCATCTCTCTTTCATTAGCGATTGGGCCAGACTCATTATGCTGCTGTGGGGGGATCGCCACACCTCCACAGCGAGTCTGTTACCTTCCCAGCATTGAATAATGCCGGTACCCATTTAACACCTGGGTTGAGAGGAGTAATTGAGGTAAAGCGCCTTACTCAAGGGCACAACACGCATGGCCACGGCGGGCTTGAACCCACAACCTCACGATCATGAATCCTGTGCTCTGACATTAGACCACACGTGCCCACAAATGCGATTTATGAACAGGCACTATTACTATTATTTACCAGGAGATATTTGTACATTGCTATTAGAGCACAGGCATACTTTAAGATCAAGAGTCAACCACTAATGGACCAGTAATGCTCAATTGGACTAGCGCGGTGTCGACTGACCTGTGTTGGATCTGTTCCTGGTCATGGGCTGCATCCTTGACAGCCGATACCTTCTCCTGCTTGCCTACCCCGGTGCAGCTCCCCTCCGGTGGGGGCCTGAATTCCTGCTGGTACTGCTCACTGGATTGACTGGCATCTGAATACAGGGAGGGATGAAATGTTACTAGGATATATTAATGTTCCAACCAAATGTGTGCACATAAAAGGTCCGATAGTTTCCTAATTGGGATAGATAACCTGTCATATGCCTGGAAAATTCATTAGTCATCAATGAAATTACAAATGAAGTACAAATTCAAATTTATTTTGGCCTGCCAACATTTTGGGAATTTATTCGATGCTCTAACCTGTTATGTGAACTGTACAGCGTGTCTCAAAAAAATGTAGCATTCAAACAACATTTTTTTCTGAGAAAACTAAATCTGGTTTTTTTTTGGAAAAAAATTAGCAATGCTTGTGAAGTCTGTGAAAATCTCCACTTTCTTGGTATGTGAATGCCCTTTATAAGAGACCACGTGGCCCAACTTGGAATTCAAGTCCTTTCATTCAATTAGCTGTATCTCTAGACTGGAGTGTCCAAGTGAGATGGGATAAAGACCATTGTGTAGAGTATTTACTACACCTTTAGACTCTGTAGTTAAGTTTCGCAAACAGAAAGTGCTAGTATTTTTAGTACTTATGGATTGACCACTTCATTTTTTGAGACGCCCTGTATATCTTTTTTCGATTGTGTGCAAAACTGCAGCTTGCAAATGTGGTTACTACTGCCTCAGCAGACTTGTGTAAATTTGTTTGCTGTGTGTTATCCTTAGGGTGTTATCCTTAACTTTGATGTGCATATGCACAGTTAGAATACCAATCTGGCTTGTCTCAAAATTTGGACATGGACAAATGCCAAATCCCTGAGCAACCATGTCATAACATGCAAGTTTGACAAACAGTACAAGTTAGCTGCCAAAATGTACTATGGTAAGGCCCCCCTCCAAAAAATCCTCGGTCTCTAGTCAGACCAAAGTTCCGGAATTGATGCGGTGACGCAGTATTTTTTTTTTTCCTTTTTTTTTTTTTAAGCTTGGATTATTACAGACAAGGTGGGGGGTACTATTTTGTTTTCGTGTGTGTCCTCATGGACATTGGTGTCCTCCATAATTTGCCTTGGTGCTTTCGATCATTTGCCTTGGTGCAATTTCCCATTTCTTGGTGCTCCTTGGTACAAAAATTTGAGGAGGTGCGGCAAAAGAGGGCACTGTTGGAGCTACGGCGCAAAAGTTTTGAAAAAAAAAAGTTTGACGCGCATGATTAAAATCGACGCGCACGCTGACCAGAGACCGACCATTTTTTTTTTTTTGCCTAATGAACACTTTGACACATAGTTTCAGTTGAACTTTGATGAACAAATAAATGTGTTAAGCAACATTTTTTTTGCTTAGCTGGTCTATGAGTTTGTTGTGAATCAGGTTGGCTTTTTAAAAGGCATTCCCCAAAGTTTAGGTATTGGCTAAGTTTCTACTTACATGTACGTCCGGCAGCTCTCTTGAGCACCAGCTCGTCGGGCGACTCAAACATCAGCACCAGGTCGATGCCACTGACCGGCGGGGGTGGATCCTTGGGAGGGTTGGGGTCCAGGGCCAGCCGGCTCTGCCTCAGCTTGGACCGGGAGGGCTTGGCGTTGGCGTCGTAGCCGCTCAGGGCCTTCTCTAGGAGCTTGGCTTGGGCCACGGTGGAGGGGAAGCCGTCCATGATCCAGCCGTGCTCCTCGGTGGTCCGTCTGGGGGAAACACGGTGAGGAAAAATTGTTGAGTGAGGCTGACGCAGTGTTGGTTTACTCACATTTCACCTCTGTGGCCACGATTCAAATTCCATCCAAAGGTTTAATACAGTCCCTATCTGATTCAGTAGTTTTCCCAGATCAGGAGTTTTCCCTTCAATTTCTTAAGCTGACTATTTATTTATCATCCTCTCAGCTACAGTGCCATGGGGCTTTTGAGGTTTCAAGACAAGAAATAAAAAATACCAAATAACCAAAACGAATGCATTTACGAAGTTCGCTCGTCCACTTGGAACCAATTTAAACTACATCGTTTTCGTAGGTCATCTGGCCGATACAGCACTCAAAATGTCATCTCAGCTCCTTGAGGAGACTACAGCTAGATGAGGTTAGGGGTTAGTTCATACACAGTTAATCTGAATAGCTTATGACTTGACGTGAGAATGGAAGACTTATGATTGACTTGTGAGAGACTTGACTACAATACTTGCTCACACTTTGATTTTTTTTTTACAAATCTGGATAAACTTACTTGACAGCCTCAACCATGATGTCAATCAGTAGCTCATCCTTGACCGGTTGACCCTTGCGCAGGAACTTGGATGCAAGCTTACCCAACTTGGCTCGAGCTGTCGGCTGTAATGGAACCAACAATGAAAACAAAAACTAGAAAATGAAGATGTCAGTTAGCCGAGTGAGCTGCATAATTGACCTATCGCCGTTTGCAAGTTAGCCACGCCCCTTAGACAACCCTATGGAGTTTTGTACGTTAAGATTTATTTGTCTCAGATTTTGCGCATTCCGGGTCCCTTTGTATATCATGTAATTGGACAATATTTTCCCAGCTGGGTTGACGCGATTCTACCGCGATAGGTTAATTGTTTTTTGTTTAATTTTCATAAATGATTTCACATCATCTTCTTTGACATAAGTTTTTTATGATGAGGATGTATCCATGAAGAAGCCGTGCATGTTTCCAACTATTTGTTCATTTTCCAATTGTTTTTAAGTCTCCAGTGGTCTACAAATTACAAAACTACCAAACTGCTATTTTTCCCGAACATATTCATGTGGCGATGATACAAACACTGAAACAATCAATGTTGTAGTTGAGGTGCATGTGATGGGTCACAAGTAAATCACAAGTCCAATTCACAAGTCCAGTTTCAAGTAACAAGGGATGAAAAATAACAAAGGAATGCCTTTGTCACAGTTTCACTCGAGTTGCTTGTGAGATGACTTGGGACTGGTTAACTTGTGATTGACTTCTGATGGACTTTCTGTGATCCATCACAAGTCCCTTAACTACAACTCTGGCCTTTGTCACAATAGGTCTCTCTCAAATGACCTCATTTCCTACAGACCAGCCACGTGCATCGGCAATTTGAGTGTCAACTTTCATAACGCACATCGGCTGCGTCGTATTTCGAACACATTTCGAGCAACATTTTCAACACTGCACAATGCGTGTTTGATTGCGTAAAGTGCGCAATTGCAGTTCTCCTACAGAGATGGCCGCCTTTGAGAGAGACCTATTAATTTGAATAGCTTGTGAGTTGACTTGGGACTGGAGGACTTGTGATGGACTTGTGATGGACTTGTGATGGACTTGTGATGGACTTGTGATGGATTTGTGATGGACTTGTGAGGGACTTGTGAGGGACTTGCGATGGACTTGCGATTGACTTGCGATTGACTTGTGATGGACTTGTGATGGACTTGTGATGGACTTGTGATGGACTTGTGATGGACTTGTGATGGACTTGTGACCATCATAAGTACCACAACACTGGAAACTAGTGTTTTTTTTTGTCAGGTGCTAACCACCACCTACCTCCGGTTTGGCTGAGCCTTTCTTCTTGGTCGGACTAGGTGGTTTCTTGACTGTCTTGCTCTCACTACTCTCCCCCTCTGTGGCTTTGTCTGTCCCTTCCCCTGCCTCCTTGACAATGTCAGACTTCTCTTCGTCCACTTCAAAATACAACAATTAATAGTAATGATATAAGATTTTAGGATTTGCGTGATTAGTTCTAAAAAAAAACCTTGTCCTGCTTATTATACACTTTCGCTAAGTAAGTTGGAAGTTGGACTTCTCGCAGTTATCTGCACTGAGGCTGAGTGAGCTAAGTTTCGGTCTCAACGTTTGGACTAGCCTGCTCTCGTCAGGAGACCGAGGAGAGTAGGAGATGTCGCTCCTTATTGTTAGTAATGGAAGTACAAAAAAAAATACCCATAACAAAATAAAACGAACCCTCCCTTCCCCCCCACACCAAAAAAAGAAAGAAAAAGAAATAAAAGTTAAACTCAGAATGATAGTCATATTTGGTAGAGACTGTTTTCCAAGAAATGGACAAAAACAACAATTTTAGAAAAAAAGCCTAATCTTTTTGCCTGTGTGCCAAACCAGTGAGACAAATAACCTAAATTAACTGAAGATTCAACTCTTGGAAGTAAATGAATAGTTTCTACATTCAGTGTATTATCAAAAGACAGGAGACCCACCTTTCTCCTTGCTGTCTTTAGCTTCAGGGTTGGGTGTCACTGCATTAGGTGTGGCTGAGGTCGCATTGACTGAAAACAAATAATTTTTTAATATTGATCCTTAGATAATTTTTTTAAACCTTATCTTCTTCACAAGATGGCCCTGTATGAATGCGCTGCTGGAAATTCACAAGGGAAAAAGTCTTACTAATTTAGGCTTTGAACCTGCTATTGGACAAAGTGGTTGTCCTTCAGCAAAGGGCTTTAACATACTTTCTGTTCCCCAACAAGGAGTATTATGGAAACTTGCAGTTGTATGCATGGGTGTCAATCGGTGGGGTGGGGTGGGGGGGGGGGGGGGACGTGGGGTGGGGGGGGGGGGGACAAGTTCGACAAGTTCCCCCCACTTTGGGGGGGGGGGGGAGGAGGGATATCACATCGTTTGTCCCCCCCCCAATTTTTTCGTCCCCAAATAAAAACTGTAGCCTACTATAATGATTCTATAGCTCAGAATAGCTGATTCAATGTCTCCAAAGTCGAAAATGATGTTTAACAGATGATCTTTTGCTTAAAAAAAAAATGGTTTCACTGGTCAGAATTTGCCTCAGATCGCATCACATTGCTGGAAATTTATAATTTTTTACTTGTTTTGACTTTTGGACCAAAAAGTTTTGATTTTTTTTTACCAAAAAGGTATTTATGAATGAGTATAAATCTGTGCTTGGCTGGAATTAAACACTCTGTTTAAGAACGGTTGGAGTCTGGATGCTGATAAGTACCCTCGCCTTCAGCTCGGGTCATTATCAGCATCCAGACTCCAACCGGTCTTAAACACAAGTGTTTTAAATCCGGCCAAGCACAGATTTATTCCCTTAATAACGGTTATATTACACGATGCATAATTATTTCATATTTTATTCTCCATTACAGCCTCTCCAGAAAAACATGAACTTACCATCTCCAGGGGTGCCAGGTTGTCCCGAGGGGCTTCCCTCTGTAGAGATGGGCACTGCTGGCTGCTGGTCCCCTCCGGCACCTTCCACCGTCTCCCCCTCCTGTGCAAAAATGGAATAAGCTAACATTAGACCATAACGGTAATGTGTCATTGGTACTTAGTACTTGGTACTTGGTGGTTGTCGTCTTCAGAACTCCTTGAGGAAGTCTAACTAAGAGGCTTGTTTGGTATTTGACTGTTTAAGACTTTGTATAAACATTTCTGACTGTTTCTTACGGCTTACAAATTCTCAACATGGGTCAGAAATTGCAAAAAGGGGCACTTATGAAATATTGCAGGAAACAGTGCTTTTGGAAATTTACTTGCAAAAATAACTTGAGAACCTTACGTAAATTATTTTACAACATGACATTTCGACCTGGTTGGTTTGTACGTGTGGTTAACCCAATGGCTCCTGTGTCCTAAAACACCCTGCCTGTTATTCCCTGTACCATCCCAGCACTGCCTGGGTTTATGGAATAAATACAATGTATGAAATACAAAAGCTTACAGGGATGAGGCAAATATATCCTACCCTCAGCAATATTTTGAGCTTAATTAAAAACAGACTCGCTGTGGAGGAGGTGTGGCGATCCCCCCACAGCAGCATTTCATGGACTCGAGTCTGGCCCAATCGTTAACGAAAGAGAGATGGGCACTCCGTTCCTGTGAATACAGGTTCGTCCCCTTTACTTTTACTTTACTTTACTTGATTCACTTAGGTGAAGGACGGCATATTTTACGTGATACTCACCGTTGGTGCAGGTGACGGTACATCCATGACCTCGCCATCCTTGTACGCATCTACTGCATCGCGGACGAGATCGTCGATGTTCAGAACAGCTAGGCCATGCTCTGTGGGTCAAAGATAAAAAACAAAACAATAAGACTGACTTGGTGGTTTACTTGTTCCCCTAACTTCCATCCAGTGAGAGTAACACCTGAGCCTAATTTCAAGGAGTTTTTAAGCTGAAAACATTGCTTAGCAATTGTGTTAAGCAAAATTTAGTTGAGACCCAGCCACTAACAATAGACAGTGCATGACATTTTGGCTAGTAGCCTGTTTTTGCTAAGATTGTTTTTCGCTGTTCTTAGCAAATTGTTTCGTACTTAGCAGTTGTTCTATGATCTGGCAAGTGTTTGCAACTTTTCAAAGTTATTTCAGAACTTTTTTTGACCCAAAGGCAAAGGGTGAAAAAATAAAACATTTTTATAGAATAAAAAAAAAAAGTTGAACTAAAGAAATTGAATGGAGTGGGGTTTGAACCTGCGACCTCCGGATTGCCGTTCCGGTGCTCTACCAACTGAGCTATCCAGCCATATGTTGAGGGTTCCCTATTTTGTCAATGTCAAAGATTAGGCTCAGGCGTTCCTCTCCCTGGCTCAAGGGGCGCTAGTCAGAAGCCATAAAACTGTAGATGCCTTGTAGCTAGGGATCACGCCAAGATCAAGTCACAATTTCAGTTTCTCTTTGTGGCTTATTTGAAGAAGAAAACAAAATCTCTCAACAGAACTATGCACTGCACCTACCTTCAGCCAGCTGGGAAGCTACGGAAGATTTTCCAGTGAACGCTTTCCCCAGGAAACAGGCCTTGACTGGGAATGGGGGAATCTCTGGAGCTGCTGGCGGGGGCTGAAGGACAAAAATGAGGGTTAATCAAGCAGTTCAACTCTGGCACAAAAACCCATTCCATTTCTTCAAATATTCACAAAAATGTACGGGGTATGAAATCAAAAATAAGCTGTCAAAGATCTAATTTCAGAAAATAAGTAAATATTTTTTAAAGATATGAATTATAAATGGGTTGTTGAAACTTAAATTTAACCTTTAAAACAAGTAAAATATTTTAGCAAGATAAAAAGTGGTATTGGCTTACGGTTGGGGGCGAGACGATGCTGAAGATACGAGCCAAGATGTGGCCCAGCACAGCGTTGTTCTTCTGAGGACCCTTGATGTCGCAGTCAACAGGCGGCTGCCACTCACCCACCATGTTCTATAAATCATGACCAAAAATGAGTAGGTTATTAGTAAAAGATGCCGTCACAATGTGCATGTGTTGTTAAAAAATAAGTGTCATTAAAAAACAGTGAACCATAACTAAAAATGCGGTCAACTAACGGACGCACATAGGCCACTTTATCAAAATTGGTTTTTGAGTTAAGAATTAATCTTGTGTCAAACTCTGTTTCTGCATTTATTGTATAGAACACAAGATCAGCGCTAAATACTTCACATATATTTTATTATTTATTTCTGGTTTATTGAAGCCACTCTGGCAGCCCTAAGGCTGAATTAATTAAAATGGCAGTACTATAAAACACCGCACAAAATACTTAAAATTTAATTTAAAAATCAATTTATAAAAAAAAAAAAAAAATCACTTAAATATAAAATTGAAATATTCAATAAATAAATTAATAAATTAATAAATAGCTTATATTAAAACTAAGACTGGCATATCATACAAAGACAACAAAACAATCGATATTTGAGTAAAGTTGAAAACAACAGTATTATATAAAGTTTAACAGAAAAACAAAAAATCCCAGGAGAGATGGTCATTTTAATGAACTACTATTGTTTGACGTGACAGTGAAACATCAATGTGCCATGAAATTTTCGCAGTTCTCTAAACTGCTGCACATTACTACTACTACTACTACTCAGTCGACCGCTTTTGCACAGAGTAAGTCTTTTTACACTGAGGCAATAGGCCTTTTGACAATGATCATGCAATTCTAGCATTAACACTGAAATGAAAAAATTAGAACTTCTAATGGTCCTCACCCGGTATTCCAAGAAGTCTCCTTCGTCCAGCAACGACTGGCGCTCCTTCCCCAGTAACTGGTCCTCCGCAGATTCCACTGGTTCCTCATCCTGCCCTTCCTGTAATAATAGCACATTGGAATGCATGGACACATCGGCTTCTTATTCTTTTAAATTCCAAAATCTTTTCCAAAATCTTTTCTTTTCCAAAATTTTCACAAATATCTGAGCAACCATTAAACAAGAACAGTTTGGATATACAGGTTGTACAAAATCAAAATTTCGATGTCTATGGGCTGAGCGCCAACAAAGGAGGGCGCGTTTTTACCACTGTTAACAGCCCCATGGATGGGACACACAGCTTGCGTGTACTGTACTGGTTTGCGCGCGAAGTACGCACGACTTTGTAAATGTGCCAAAGCTATTAGCCACAGCATCTTCCCGTGAGCGTCAGGCGTCCTAAGCGCGAGAATACGTTTGAATTTAACTCCCGATGGTCTCCCAGACTAATCCCTGCCCCCAAAAACTTTGGATCATTCGAAATATGCAGTGGATGGACCGGGAACCAGTCTAGGTCTCCCCCAACTCTCCTTTTCTGGCCGTTGAAGGAGTACTTGTGCACAGAGCCCATAAGATTGAGCTAACTTAAATCTCATAAATTGGGTCTTTTTGTTTTTAAAACTTACAATTGGTTGCTCATACAACGGTTTGCCAGAGCTGAACAGCATTTTCCATTCTCTCATCAGTTTCGCTGGAAGTTGTCTGTTAAGGAAAGAAAATGTGAACTTAAATTACGGTTAAACATATTACTGTGCTACCGTTGGTAAAAAAGAAAAAAAGAAAAAAAAGAATTGAGAACTGGTAATAAGCATTTTTAAAAAAATTACAAAAAGGACTGGATTAGTTTGACTTATTTACCCATTTGATCCAGAACACCAAATACAATGTCTGCTTACTTTTCAGTGAGCTCCCTATATTTGCCGACTTTGCAGGACAGGTCTACTAGGTCCAGCAATATGTCCTGGCAGATGTTGTATCGCTTGAGGTACTTGGCCTCGGCCCGCTCCTGGGCGATCTTGTCATGGAGTTCCTTGTCCTGCTTCGTCTGCTCGATGTACTCCAGCTTGGCAAGGCGAGCAAGCTCCTAGAATGTAGAAAGGCAGGGAGACATTGACTTTATAAATTTCATTAAATAAATCATGGAACCTGCGGCTTTATCAAATTTGAACCAGCCAGCCGACCCCGGCGAGCTCGGTGGTCGAGTAGTAAGACTTCTATGGTAAGTAAGCAGGAGGTCGGTTCAAGTCCCACCAAAGTTATCTTGTGAATTTTAGCTCCAAAGCGCCAGGACAACACATTAATATACAGTGCTTTTAAATGACATCAAAGAAGAAAATAACCCAATGTTGAAATTTCCAGATCCATTATTCTCCTCGGGACATTTAGAGTATATATTGCATTGTTCCAACACATCGAGAAAACTTCTCTCCACTGGTTCTTTTCAAAACTACACTTCTTCACAGAAGAGATTAATTCTATAGTGAACAATAAACAAACTTAATTTTCCATGGATACAACAGGAAGGCACTAGTTTTTGGAATGGGTTAATTTGGGTAAATGAAAAAGAATTTAACCACTTCAAATACTAATTCTCAGAAAACACTAGTAAGCTATTTGAGAGTTAAATTTCAATAAAATCTGGAACGCTGACTTAAGCCCGGTTCATACTTCATGCGAATCGAATTTGACGTCATAAAACATTCGCTGCGAAATTCGCCCGAGTTGAAACATGTTCAACTTTTACGAATTCGCAGCGCGAATACTTGCCACGACGTCACAAATTCGCGTTCGCCTTCGCTTTCGTGCAGAGTATGAACCGGGCTTTAATCCAATGCTATGCACGTTTTAACTTTGCATTCTCCCGACCAAAGATACTGTTACTATATCACGTGATTCAGGGCATGCCTTATGCTAGCAACCCCCAGCTCCGGCATGGTCTGGTGTCTTTGTGCCATTCTCACCCATTGTGAATAATGTATTGGTGCTGAGCATCTCCGTCTCTTACGTTAAAGTATTTAAGAGCTTGCCCTGAATCGTGTGATTAGCAACAGTGCCTTTAGCCTGGAGAATTTCAAGTTAATATGTGCACAGCATTCTGAGCAAGTCAGTGTACCAGATGTTTTTCAAATTTAAATCCCAAAGGGTATAGGTCACTCGCAAATGGCTTATGCCACCATGTAAATTGTCGGGTCAAAGCAGAAAGGGCTTATACCATGCTTTAGGTCAATTTTTGTTTTTTGATGGTAACTGCTTACTCTCAGTACAGTCTTTATCCCAAAGAGGTTTTATGTTAATTATTCATCCAATTAAGGAGTAATTAAGAAATTTTAAAAGGACTTACACTGATCTTGGCACACAACTGGGAGCAAAATGGCCTTATAAGCTCATAAGCCTTTTTTTTTCTTTAAACAGGCAGTCATTACAGTTTGAAATAACTGATATTGTTGGGAAATGCAAAAAGGGCTTAAGAGCTTGTAGGACCTTTTTGCACGCACCCTTTTGTCCTTTTGTCATTTCTTTCAGTGTAATATTGGGAAGCACCAAAAAGGTCTTATTTTATTAATTAGCTGTAATTAAATAATTAAGTTACAAAAATGGCAAGTAATAATAAACTGTTAAGTTAAAGAACCCCCTTTAACAATATGCATAATTCAAACTATTTAAATAACATTTTGCAATTTTCAAAGCAGTGTGAATCTTCAAACTCGATTATCTTGAAATACTGGAAAATGCCGAATAGGGCTTATAAGTCCTTTCTGCTTTGACCCGACGAAATCTCTAAATTGAATTTAATTTACAACTCCTTGTTGAAAAAAATCCATCACATTCTGGCTTCCTGTGGTTCAAATGATTACTTACGGCTTCCTTGTCCAGGGCCTCTTGGAAGTCCCGCTGTCGTCGCTCCTCGTACTGCTGCTCCCGGAAGATGCGATTCTGGCAGATGACAGCCTTCTCGTGCCGCAGCTGCAGCAGCTGGGTGGCGATGCGTCGCTCCTGCTGGGACTGGCGCATCAGGCGATTGACAAGGAGCTCCTCACGTCGGGCTTCCTGAGAGGCGAGAGGCGGGAAAAAATTAGATGATGTTAGAGTAAAACATTACAATAAAACCGCTGTATACTCTTTGCCGCCTGAGGGCTAGTGAGAAAAAGTGAAACAAGGCCTGAATTAGTTGAAATAAATAAAAAGTCTACAATTTGGGTACTGCCCATCACTGACGTAATGTTCTAAACAATACATACTCTGTGATTCAAAATCCAGCTACGACAAAGCAGTAGTTGTCCATTGATACATGATCAATGTTTTTTTTTAACAGATGCCAAATTCAGTTTGTCGTCTGTTTAAGGCTGAATCTTTATCTCAATTTTTGTTTGTAATATAAAACAAATTTCCATGATCCTGACCTCTTGCGCGTCATGCGCCTTGAGCTGATCCACCAGCACCTTGCGGCGTCGCTTCTCCCTCTCCTGCCGAGCGGTGGCGTCCTCCTGAAGACGCTTCCTGATCTTACTGATGTACTCGTCATTAGAGGCCGGCTGCAAGCGGGAAAATACACAGTCAATAGAGGGCGCTTCAATCATTTAAATAAGAATAGGTATTCAAATAGCAATTTTCACAAAAATGTTCATTACGATTGTCCATTGCTCATTGGACCAATAAGAATTCCTGATAGCATCTCAGCTCCCTCGGGAATATCCAGCCATTTTGGCACAAAGTACTGTAGAGAAACAAAATAACCATATCTTTCTCACAGCAAGTGGTGATAAAGTGTCTTGCCCAAGGACACACGTATCAACACCCCACAGGCAGGACTCGAACCACAATATGCAGAAATACTGTTCTGGCACTCTATATATTAGCAATAGGGAGGTGAATATAAAAAAAAGTTCTCTACGTACAAATCACACAATAAATAAAAATAAATTCATGATTTGTAAGAATCAGAAAATTCCAGGCATCTTACCCTGATTAACTGGACCAATTCTGGCTTAGACTTTTCTTCCTCTTGTTGCTGCTGTAGATAGGTGGCTACCTCCTCATCAGCATCTCTGAAGTAAAACAACACTCTTAATTAAGATGGTCCAAATTTGAAGAATCCAAATAAAATCTGATGATTTCTCAACACAAAGGCTCATCAACTCACTTTTGTTCAACCCACTGGTTGCAAAAATAAAGCGTTTCTACTTGCCACTGCTCATAATTATTATTACTTAACGTTGCATTTTTTTTTTTTTTACACAAGGTGCACTTTAAACCTTACTCATGAAGGAAAAATGAGGGCTCTGTGCTGCAGGCAAAACAGAGAGGTGATCCAGTAGCAACAGCTGTATACCACTTGACGTTAATCAAATCGACGTGTCCGTGCAACAAGGTCGTATCTCCTAAATTGGGCCATACGTGAAACGGGAGTTTCAGAATGTCAAAAGGTTGAATCTCACTTAAAATAACTCGGATGTACACTCAAAGTCAATGGACGTCGAGATACGACCTTGTCGCACGGAGTGTAGTCGTGCGAGATATGACTTTGTTGCAGAATGGGGTTACGACCTTGTTGCACTGACGCGACAAAATGCTGTCTCCGAGTAAAACGTCTCCCTCTCCAATGCTAAAGCATGACTTAGGGCAAGAATGACAAACTGTATGCAATATACCAATTACTTTTGACTGAGGAACGCTGCAGTCCAGTGGTTACAGTGTCTGACTCATGTGTGATAGTACATTGTTTGAACCCTGGTGGGGAACATAGTGCTTGTGTTCTTGGGAAAAGACTTTACTACAATTGCCTCTCTCCACCCAGGAGTACAAATGGGTACCTGTGAGGGTAGAGACCAGAACTGCTCCAGAAAAATGGTCTCATGGCCTAATGAACAGGGGTAAAAATTGTGAGGTGCTTTGAAACTTTGGTATGCGCGCTATACGAGTAGAATATTATTGTTATTATTATGACTGTAAAGAGATAGCTTACTTGTCCTCTTGTGTCATGTTCAAGGAGCGGCTGAGCTGGTTCTCAAACTTGGCAATCTGCTTTCTCATCTCGGACGCTTCTCGTTTCAAGGAGGCCTCTCGGCGGGCCGTGATGGCCTTCAGGGTCTTGTTGGGTGGGGGCTTGGGCATCTCAACAGTAGCAGCCCTGAAATGACAAAAACAGGACCACTCAAAGTTGCCGTATAAGTTTGTTTCCCATGTGGTTAATTAGCAAGTACAGGATTTGATCTCTTTTGAGAGTGTGTAGTACCGACGGGGATCTTTGGGATCTGTTTAGGTGGTGGGTGCGTCACCATTTCACCTTTAACCCTCGTAGGCATTTCATGGCCAAGTGCCTACATAGTAGAAACCAGTACATGGATGGCGTGGTCCACAGAGATCATGTGAGACCTGTTGTGATTGGCTTGTGTACATGAATCGTGTCATGTGTAGATTTAGGTAGGAACTATTTATCATTGTTTGTTCGCGTCCCTTCAGAGTTGCGTTGGAACTGGAGTTTTCAAGTTCGAGTTTGTTTGTTTGTTTTATTTCTATTCATACATGTACATACCTAAACAATAGTTTACATGGTGTAATATAAATAAATGTAGTTCAATAAATAAGTAAACATGGTAAATAAAGCAGAATTAGAGTATGAATGGGGGTGCCATCCAGAGAAGGACTAGCCTTCTGTAATCGGAGCACCCAAAACTGTCGTCAACAATCATCATATGGTCACATAGCATTTCAATATACAAAAAGTAATCATAGTATAGTTGTGTTGGATGTTTAGCTTGTGCGCTGGGGTGTACTGGTTCCTAGCTAAGAAGCCACTGCTATGGCATTGGGAAATGGTATCAACGTGGTTGGCGGGGTTGTTGGAAGAACAGTAGAATGTCACTCTAATGAACACAGGGAAATCCACACAAGATGGTTTGTTATAGTGGTAATTTGTTACTCAGGGGTGTGAGTGGAGTAAAAAAAAAATAGCTGAATATAGCTGAACCTGTAAATAACCGAACCTGCGAGCGCGTAGCGCGAAGCCCTTACGGCGTGGGGTTTGGGGCCCGCCGAAGGGCCCCTGAAAAATTTTGAAATGTGGACTAGCCTTCTGTAATCGGAGCACCCAAAACTGTCGTCAACAATCATCATATGGTCACATAGCATTTCAATATACAAAAAGTAATCATAGTATAGTTGTGTTGGATGTTTAGCTTGTGCGCTGGGGTGTACTGGTTCCTAGCTAAGAAGCCACTGCTATGGCATTGGGAAATGGTATCAACGTGGTTGGCGGGGTTGTTGGAAGAACAGTAGAATGTCACTCTAATGAACACAGGGAAATCCACACAAGATGGTTTGTTATAGTGGTAATTTGTTACTCAGGGGTGTGAGTGGAGTAAAAAAAAAATAGCTGAAAATAGCTGAACCTGTAAATAACCGAACCTGCGAGCGCGTAGCGCGAAGCCCTTACGGCGTGGGGTTTGGGGCCCGCCGAAGGGCCCCTGAAAAATTTTGAAATGTAGATGCTCTGTGGTGCATTTTAACATGATTTTAAAGCCTCCTGGCATGCCTGGGCCAACTATTGGAAAATGTTTTGCAAATTATGCATGTTTTTAAGTTAACTTTTCCTTCATATTGGCTTGAAACTGCCTAAATGGCCAACTTGTATATGAAAACTGGGAAATTCGACCACGTTTCGACCACGTTTTCCATATTTGAACTCCTTACTGCAGATGATACACATCGTCATCGCGTGTCCCGGTTTCTGATCGAGTCGCCTAATTTCTGCCCATTAACCATGTGTTCCATCCAAATCCATTTCCACGGATTCGTAACCTGAGGATCGGTCTTGTCAATGTCCGTATCAAACTCCGAACCTCTTTGGATAATAACACATTTGTGTTGCACTGACATCTTGCGGAATTAATAATGTCAAAATATGTTCGAAACATTTGAAACGGCACACTAACGTACACGTATGATGTACGTAATGCAGCGGAATACACGCAGCAGGCCAGGATGCGTGCATGCAATGAAATGCACACATGAACTTTGCCCCGCATGATGCCCTCTACCGGCGTGGCATGGTGACAATTTACTAGTCTTATTTCAAGGCTTTATATTTGCAACAAGACGATGTTTACAGCGAGTTATTGTGGAGATCATCGCGTGTCACTACATGCATAGACACAGGAACGGCCGCAAAGAGTCCCAACGCGCTTCATGGCGCATGTGTGAATATTCATATTTATCTGCAGCCAATCACAGCGCAATGACTGTTGGTTCCCCGGATGCTGTTTACATGTTGTGTACAATACATTGTACACACGCGGCTTCGAGCTGAAAAATGCATGCACATGGTATAGTACACACGTACATGTACGTACTGTACATGTACCGGTACGTATCATGTACATGTACATTGAATACTCGCTTGCGATTGCACGCACCCCAGAGCTTGTAGAGAGTGGATCGCGTGCGTTCGGCAGCGGCGGAAAATAAAATAAACGGAAATAAAATCAATGCTTACGCGCGGGGGAAAAAGCGGGGGGAAATCTGGACCATCGGAAGATAAAAAGCGGAAAACAAAATGTGGCACGCTGAACAAAAAAGCGGAAATCCGCTAAATAGCGGAGATTTCACACCCCTGGTTACTACGATGTGGATCGCCAATGCTCAATATGCTGGTTCATAAAGTATATACTCAATGTTGAGTATAGCAGATTGCATGATAGCGGCATTCCACTGCACTTTATAAATACACATTATAATTTTTATTATTTATTGACTTATTATTTTTTACTCACTTGATTCTTGCCACAAGCTCCGTCTGTCTCTTCCTGGCATCGGCGGCTTTCTGTAGCTCCCTCAGCCGTTCGTCCTGCTGCCACTGCCGTTGCTTCTCCTCCTCCTCGTACCGGGTCCGGAACTCCACGTCCAGGTGTTGGCGCTTGCGTTCACGGAACTTGTCCACTAACTGGTCCAGGTTCAGGTCTGTCTGTCGGGGGGTCAGGATCTTCAGACGCTGTGGTGATGATGAGAAAGGAACAAGGGATAGTTCAATTCACTCTCACATCCATATAAAGTATAGACCACTTCGTGTTGCCCACTTTTTGTGATTACTGGGCTGGGCTCGCTTAGGTATTTCACATAATGCATTGCACTCCCCTTCATGTTTAGCGCTATTAACAAGTGCGAGTGCACAATAAGCTCTGGCGAAAAATGCTACGCTGATGGCACATTTGGAACACCATACTTTTTGTCAATTTTGGGGACATTTCCTCCTTCTGGATACCGTCCAACCACTACACGAAATACCACATGACTATAACATTACTGCACATATTTTGCCTCCATTTACACACTTTTCATAAACATCTTTCCGAATTGTTACAAAACAATTTTTTGTTAAGTATTATATTAATTTTGTTGTGAAAATTTCAATTTGATAGTTAAATTTTGTGGGAAACTTATGGAGCTTATTTTGGTCAATTTTTCGGGGACAGACACGCAACCGATCGAAACAAAACCAGTTTTCTAAAAACGTTTGTCAAGAGTGCATTTTATGACCATGGCATGGCATTTGGTCAATTAGTCAATTATTTTTGGTCAATTTTCGGGGACAGACAGACAGACAGACCGACCGACCACCAAGGTAATTTGGTTATTTGTAATTGACACTAACTTCCACTTGAAAAAAAAGGTGTAAAACCTTCAATAAAATCCACTAATGAATATATGTACATATGAGGTTAAAATGAGAGTGTAATTAAAACGTGATTGTTGACAATACAGAATTTGTGGTGCAGTCGCAGTTTTTGCAGACAAAACAGAACAGCTAACTTTCTTGTTTGTGGCCTAAAACGACTCTAACAAAAATAGAATTAGAGTTGATCCCCCAAACAGAAGAGTCATGATCGCAATCCCAAATCTGGAATTGAATCTATCCTCGTCCAAAGTGGCTCATGAAAAAAGAAAAGAAAAGGAAATTATGAAAATGCGATCTTTTCATTAGCAAGTGCGTTTTGTCCAGTTGCTTTGTGTTACCATTCAGCACTCCAGACTCAAGAAACCATTCAGTTTTATGACAATGGGTCTGGGAACAAGATAACGAGATTTCCGTTATTTCCTGGATGTCCGCGCTAACCTATAAACTTCATTTCTCCCTTAACCCTAACCGCCCTGAATCCTCCAAAATCCTTTTTCCAAATTGGAGGAATTTGCAGGATTGAGGTTACATGGCAAAAGTGGGTTGCTGATTTAGGAGTGTGTCAAGGTCTTGGGCCGGACCTTGTGTTGTTTAGGCTCAGCCGTGCATAAATTTAGTCCTTGATTATTCTTGACATCCTCCGCACTGCTCCAGGATGTCACTGCCTCTGCCTCAGCCTATTGACAGTCATAGCCGGAGGAATTGCAGGATTCAGGCAGTGATCACCCCTCCATGGACCATATTCAAGAAATAGTGGAGGAATTTGCAGGATTGAGGCTACATCCTAGCAAAAAGGCCAAGGGAGTTTAATAGAGTTAATGGTCTACCACTAGAGGGCCACTGCTCGCAGAGCCCTACCTCTTTGTACGGCCCTCGTTCCAGGCTCTCCAGCTTAACCGGCGCCCCTGCCCGCATGGTCTGCATGGCCACGCCCGTCAGGTTGGACTGCCTCTTGTTGTGCAGGGCGATGTAGAGTTCGTACATGAGCCGTGTTGCCACGCCAGGCTGCTCCTGCATGATGCCGTGGGCCGTGTTGGTGTCGAAGGGCACCTCCAGCAGGTGTAGCGTGGGCTCCAGTCGGGTGAAGTTGTTGAGCTTGGAGTCCGCCGTCCTGAAAATGATCAGCATAGTTTTTAACTTTCACTTTCAAGTTTCAAAGTATCCAAAACAAAACTTGAAGGCCCTCTAAAAAGTTGCCAACATTACTAACATTAAAGGGGTACTATGGCCTGAAATCCTCGAAAATTCAAGTTTTGGATTGTTTACTGAAAAGTTTGAAAGGTTAATTTGAAAAGTTAATTAGGCTATGCCTCACTTCACAACTGTTCATATGTTATTTTTTACCTGGACTGTGAAAATGATTCAAAGTCATCTTGAAGTTCATATTTCTTGAGCACTTCCCCAATGAGAAAACCAGACGCAAACTTCTCAGCAAAGTTTTTCTGATCTGAAATAAAACAGAAGACGCACAAGAAACATTTCATATTTACACAAAAAATTATCGTTAGGCTAAATATTCCGTGGGTAGGCCTTCACTTATTCTTTGCATAATGTAACATTAATTTAGGCTTATTATTATTAAGCACCGTCGATATATTGTCATTGATATAAATTCTATATTATTTTGATATCGAATTTGCTGATAGCAATTTTGTAATCAAACCGAAATATTGCAATTTTTCATATTGAGGACTCATATCGAAAATATGTCAGATTATCATCAAGTCCCCAAGATAAATCTCATGTTTGGGTTTTAACTCTTTATTAAACGTTTGATGTAGGCCTATAGTATAATGAAATAAATTATAAAGTTTGGCAACAACTTGTACTTGTGACTCAAAATAAAAACATCGCGAAATGCCAAGCGGTGTTGCTGTGTGCTCTGCATTTGCTGGAATTTGTGGTCTCTGTAATGTAAAACCTCAAAAGAAATTGCCTGTTCTGGACAAAGTGTCAGTGATGAGATTTGTATTAAAAAGTTTGAGCAGCGTGCTCCAGAGAAAGCCGTGGAAAATTGGGACTAAGCATGCTAAATTAAAATTGTTGTTAAGTAAGTAGGCCTAGGGGGAGGCTAGGGCCTAGGCCGTGGTAGGACTTTATTTCCCTGTTTAAAAAAATCCTCCAAAAAAGGCAATGCACTGTTACAAAGAAGAAAATAAAATCTACTTAAACAACACAAACATTCAATTAAAATCATTAATTGTTAAAGTTAAGAAAAATGTTGCAATTAAAAAAAAAATTGCACAGCGCGCATTCAATCCCAGAACCTTTGGCAGTAGGCCTAGACTAGTCGAACGTCTGACAATTGAGCTACTGAAGCACTCTGTTGAATAGTCCGAGTAACTTGGACCCAACTTATCGCCTTTTTTAACATTTGGACATGGTCTATCGCCAGACCATGTCCAAATGTTAAAGATAGTGGATATTTTGCCGGAGGTAATGACGGCAAACTAACGATTACTAAAGGTTTGCCAGCGGCAATCCATATCAACAGAGGGCGCTGTACTCTTTAAAATAGGGCTGAATTATAAGATGTATTAAATTCCCACCAAAACTTGTGTAGCACGTTTGGTGTAATGGTTAAGCAAAGGCTCTAGTAAGCGGGATGACTCGCGTTCGATTCCGACCGCACCACATTTTTAAGGTTTTTTTTCTCATCCCCAAATAAATAAGAATATTCTTCTTTTATTATTTTAACATGTCTCAAACATTTTTTGCAGAGTATTACATTTTCTTTTTCAGATTTGTGGCTCTGGAGGATTTTTTTTAAATGCAGTGGCTATTGTTACGGCAGCCGTAACGCATTTCCCATTTTCTATCGTTACGGTAGACTGCAACTTTTATAAAAACATGACAAGAAAATATAAAATTAGAAGGAAAAAAGTAAATTTGAACGTTATGAAATTCGGACTTTATTTCCCTTTTAAAAAAAATCCTCCAAAGCCTCAGGTTAGAAAAGGAAAAAAATTTGAGTGCAAAACTGAGATCCGAACCCGCAACCTTGCGGTGCAAAATCCTACCATCTATCGACTGAGCTGTCGCACTGCTCGCTAAAACGTGTGGAAACAAATAATTATATACCTGCGTGTGTATCAAAAAAGTATCGTAGAGGGCGCTAAACAACGACTGCCGTAACGATAGCCACTTCGTTTTTTAAAAGGGAAATAAAGTCCGAAATTATAAAATGGTCTGAATCCCATCTTGTGAATATGAGGTAACAACAATAATTTTGGCATGGAGCCAGACTAAAACTTTTCACCGGAAAATGTTTAAGTACAAAAAAACAGTAGGCCCTAACTGCGCATGTTCAGTGCATATCCGGCAAACTAACGTTTACTAAAGGTTTGCCGTCTCCGGCAAAATATACACTGCCAATGTTAAAAAAGGCGATAAGTTGGGTCCAAGAAGTTACTCGGACTATCTGTTGGGGTACCGATCTGTTGAAAGGGTAGGCATAGGCCTACTAGTTTGAGTAGTTATAAATGTGATAATATAGATTCGCATGTATTGTTGCAATGTCGTGATGATACTTGATAGCAGCTAGCAGTTGAAAATCGCGTTACGGCTGCCGTAACGATAGCCATAGCCACGACAAATTGTCAAATGCACGACGACTTTCTTCGTAATGTCATAAGATTCTTACCAACTGGCTGTGAAATATACAGATCAGAATTAAGCCATCGGCACAAAATCTCTGTCATCTTGCTAGCCTTGTCAAATCAAATTCCAAAAACGTTATGCGAAAACGTCATTCTGTGTAAAGTAGTGGTAAAATCGGTGCGAAAATGAACCGCAATTCAGTTTTGCAACGATAAACAGCAAAGGTCATTCGGTCACGTACCAGGCAACGGTGTTTGTTCGTGGACAGAATATATACATTACTCAACAAAACAAATTTTCAGTCGTTTATATTAATTTCGTGCTATTCAAAGAAGTACAAATCAACAATGACATCTTTTAAAAGTTGTCAAATTATTTAAAAAGACTAAATATTAAAATATGAATTCCAACACGAATCAATTTATCCAAAATGCTTTTCGAAATGATAAAAAAATGCACTTAAATTTATGAAATGGATTTTGAACGACTTGAAGTAAAGACTACTTACACCTTGATGTATGGTATCCGACTCCTTGTTGAGAAATACCACGTTATTCAACACAGTCTGGTATCCGGTATAGGCCGAACGCGACGAAACCCCAAATTAGCAGACGACGCGCTCACGATCGATCACACACAGTGCTGCACGAAGAAACACGGATTATGAAGTTTTGACAGTTGCTCTATGGTTTATAATGTTACCCTTAAGCCATGGATGGTAGGTGAATTGTGTAATTCTCTAAATTCCCATCATCAAAGAGCATGTTGTCAAATCAATGCAGACAGACAGACACAGTCAGTGTCAACTCAGATTCTCTTAACGCGGCAACGCCTTGAAAATGAAATGGAGAAATTTTCATTTGGTCACGGTGTTTGTGTGGTGGGTCAGGGCGGGGGGGGGGGGGGGGGGGGGGGGGGGCATGGGGGGGGGCATGGGGGGGGGAGTGGGATTTAGTTCAGGGCGTAAAGGAGATGGTGGGGAGGGGGGGGGTAAACATGGCATAAAGTGAAAAGTGCAGCTGTCGCAGTGTCGGAAGTAAATATACCACTGTTAGGCTCCACGTAGTGGAGCCTCATATAGTATACTAGCTCTAGTCTAGGACTAGTAGGAGTACCACTGTTTATACTGAAGAACTTGGACATAACTTAAGACCTTATTATTAGTTATTTTATATAATTTCTGTGTAGGGCCCCCCCCCCCCAATAGAAACTAATAACTGTGTCATGTTTGTACATGTAATGGGTCCGTAAAGTCCAGATTTATAAATGGGGATGTTTAGAGCTTGATGAAATTTTGTTTACTGCTTGATGAAATTTGGTTTACTGGGAAATTTGAGGAAAAAAATAGCCTGCCACTAGACGCAAAAAAAAATATGAAAGGGCGCAACGTTAGGGGCCACACCACGTTAGGGGACATTAACAATACCTATTGTTTACATAATGCATGAAGTCATAAATCATGATGTGAGAAATGATGCGAACCAGAGCAAAGTCCATGACTGAAGTGTGCAAAGAATACTGCACGGCTGATATAAGTTGTGTCTCATTTTTTGTCGCACAGATTCCAGGAAGAGAAAACTGGCTTCAGACGACGAATCCCAGAAGCGTGTCGTGAAGGAAGGCATGTCGTGGTGGACATGCCTGATGCTGGGCATGGACCAGAAGAACAGTCGGCCTAAGGCAGTGCCGGTCAAGCAGGAATCTCCAACAACGAATACCTCCAAATCTACGCAAGGCTAAAACTCAGAAACCCATGGAACTCAGAAACCCATGGAACTTCGGAGACATGGAACTGTGGAGACACCTCAGGAATTCCGACCTGAATTAAGATACTGTTTGATTGACCCTAACCCTCCTGATTCCTTCAAAATCCACTAGAAAGGTTGTTGAAGAAGATCTTGCAGGATTGCCAAAGATAGAGCCAAGCTAGCCCAGGTGGACCCCCTTACCTCCCTACGTTACGGAGACCTGGGCCAGAGCAGAGCTAAATTGGAATGCTTAGCAAATGCTTCAAATACAAGGACACATGTATTCGTACTCGGTGAAGGGCATTGGAAGTTTGTGAAAGTTAGATGCAAAGCTAGTAAGGGCTGAAGCCTAGTCCGAAAATTTGGGACTCTCATTCAGTACTGTGTATGAGAGTCCCAAAACTTAAGGTATTGAAAACATGCAATACAAGAAAATTGACTGGCATCTGAAACAACCAGTCCAACAACTCTTCAGTACTGCATCTATCAACTGTCAGCTGACTGTGCCAAAAGAAATATCTAGGATGTTGGGTAGTAGGTCACTATTTCTACACATTTCTCCATAGATAGGCACCTGACTAAATGACAATGAATGAAGAAGTCAGTCTTGTCAAACAGTTGGACCATGGATGGACATGTAGAAGTCTAGCCTTTAGCCTCATTTTGAAATCACTTGACTTCCCTCTCATGTGCAAGCCACTGCCAAATATTGAAGAAAAGTCTCCTTTAAAAAATTAATTGAAGCTTCAAACTTGGTTGGTGAAATACTGAGGACCTTTTCTTTCCCACAATGACAGTTTAGGAGAAGCCCTAAATTGTCAGCGAATTAACAGCCCTTTTTTCGCTTACCGAATCTGAAGCATGTCTGGTGATGAGGAACCTGTGGATTGCGAGGCGTGCATGGCCCAGAAACCCACCGAGCCACTGGCCAGCGATTGCTGTGGCACAGGATGCAGCCCCTGTGTGTTGGACTTGCATGACACGGAGCTTGCGACGTGGAGGAGGTCATGTGATAGGTGCCACGAAGGAGGGGCACAGACGGAGCATCGAGAGCCAATGGAAAATAAGCAACAGGTCATTAAATTTGTTACAAGATGATTTTTTTTCCAAAAAGAATGTAAAATTTCAATAAATTGTGATGACTTACTGATATTACTTACTGAAAGGTGGTGTTAGACACTGTAATTTGGCATTATAATGAGGGCCAAATGTTGACATGCACTGCTTACACCTGTCTCTAATAATAGGCATAATTTCCAGCGCCTTGAGTACCTAATTGTTGGTATATATGACTTCGGTATTTATTTTATTTATTCTTTACCTTAGTCCCGCAAATTTTCCAAAAGCCTCTTGCCCAGTTAGCGTTAACCAACCATTCATGCTTCGCAGTTTGTAATTCACTGATGTGATTCCTTTTTTTTTTGCTTCTTCTCTTCAAAGGCAACAAGCTGTCAGGATGCACTAAGTCCAGACGAATACAGAGCCTTCAAGCTACAGGCTACGAAGCAAATAACCCACGATACAGCTATCTATACCTTCCGCCTTCCCGGTAACAGCAAACTCAATCTAGGTGTTGGCCAACACATAATTCTCCGGTATAGTGAACTTGCATGGAAACTTGTCACCTTTGTTTCAGCCTTAAGGCCAAAAAAAAGTCTCCGGTTTCTGGTATGGAGCTTGCCCAAAAAGTGGTGCGGCGACGTGCCTTTTTTGTTTGTTTACCGGTTTTTTTCTTCAAATGTCGGCTGATGACTGCAAATGGTGCCCGACTAAACTTAGTGCAAATATATGGGAGTCCAGAGAGGCCACATAGAGCTTATACTCGATCGTAACTCCATCTGAAAACACGTTAAAATTGTGCAGCAGCAGGATTCCAGTCAAGCCAGTGAGTTTGGCGATTTTGAGACATCATTTTTCATTGAAAAAAAACCTTTTTCATTTTGCCGACGCGAATGGCTACGAGAATTTTCTTTGAAGAACCAAAAAAGTTATCAGTAAGGCCCCCCCAAAAAAGTCTCCGGTTTCTGGTATGCGCGCGCGTCGCTGTAGCCATGCGCGTCGGCAAAATGAAATTTTTTTTTTTCAATGAAAGATGATGTCTCAAAACCCCCAAACTCACTGGTTTGACTGGAATCCTGCTGCTGCACATTTTTAACGTGTTTTTAGATGGGGTTATGATCGAGAATAAGATTTATGGCTTCTCTGGACTCCCAATTTCATATAGGCCTATTTGTACTAAGTTTAGTCGGTCACCATTTGCAGTCATCAGCCGACATTTGAAGCAAAAAAGTCGGGTAAAAAAAAAAAAAGCCGCGTCGCCGCACCACTTTTTGGGCAAGCTCCATACCAGAAACCGGAGACTTTTTTTTTTGGGCCTAAAAGCCGTTTTTATATTAGTAAATTCCCTCAAGGTGATGGAATTATTAGATTAGATAGATAGATAAGAAATAACTTGATTACCCTATCAATATAAATTACATTTGCTCTCCAAGGCAAATAAAAATATGCAATTGCAATTGGAAAACATCATAAACATGACTAGTGAATGAATGTTGATCATGAATATTCATGACATACTCTTGTTAGCATCCAATGTTTGTTTTCTTTTCATCACAGGGGTCCTGTGAATGGCAGATTTATCACAAGACAGTTCACGCCGATCAGCCCTCCGGGAATGAAGGGCCACTTCGATGTCCTTGTCAAGGCAAGTTATAAAAAGGAGAACACATCACATTGTTCTTTATTGGAATAAAAAAAATTGGCGAGGCAACATATCAAGCAAAACAAAAGTCTTGTGTAGAAGTGCCAATAGTGTGATTTTACAAAGGGAGCCATTTCCAAGAACGAAGTTGGGCTTTAAGCAAGATGTCAAGCTCACATTTTTGCTTTCACGTTGAGTTTACTGTTATATAATTGTGCCAACATCTCCACATTTGTACATATTTTAAAATTATAGAGAATCATTATGCAAGTATTTTTCCGAAACTAAGTGATGTTAAAAGTGGTACAAATTATAGCAGGGTAGCTAAAATTAAGCAGGACAACAAATTTCTTTGCAGGGTAGTCTGCTTTCCCCAAATCTCTCATCAAGAATACTGCGAATGTGAGGAATTTTTTCGTTACCAGTTCGCGCCGGGAATATTTTGACAAGAACTGAACGAGGCGCGGGCTTAATTTTCACTCGACCTCAAGCCAGGTGGGTTGAAGCCATACCCTCGGGCAGCAAACTCATATTTCCAGCCTGGCTCGCTGTGAGTGGGTCGCTGACAGATATTTGCGGCCTCGCTCCCTGCGTGTTTATCTGTTCCGAATACCGCAAAACCTTTGCGTGTATACATCCGGCTCGAACTGGTTAGAATTCTCTTAGTTTTGCTCGACAGTTTTGTTTGTGTATTTTTGCTTAGGTTTACAATGATGGTGCAATGTCTCAATACATCACGGTATGGAAGGAAGACGATGACATCGAATGGAGAGGACCGTATGGAACGTTCTCGTACCAACCCAACCAGGTAAATATTTTGAAAATTTCTTTACAGAAAAGGGTGTCATAATGAGGTTTGGTGAAAGTAATATAACTCAAACCATCACCAAATTTGAGATAAGTACCATTATGGTAATATGTGCAATCTTGCCCATGGGCAAAATTACTGTGTGCACACTCTCAATTTAATGCTTTCATGTTTCCAAAACTATGTGATGCGATCAAGCTAAATGAGTCGTTTGTCGGGAATTTTTATTTGGAGATTCAGGCCAAAATAGGGCCACTTCATCACATCACTTCATCACATCTATTGGTGTTCCGACTTCCATAACTTTGTTAACCAACGATGGTATCAGTGTGGGGTTTTCACAGCAGTAATGCTGAGATTGTGCTCTTTTCAAATCTGTAATAAAAAAAAATTGACTGAGTCTACAAACGACTCAATTAGCTTGATTGTATCACATATGTGCTTGCCCCCAGAAATGCATGTTGTTTGGAAAAGAAATTGTTCGCATAAACAAGATGGTGCATATTACATTTTTCCCCCTCGATAGTATCGTCGTATCGTGATGCTTGCAGCGGGCACCGGTATCACCCCAATGCTCCAGGTGATTCGACACATAGTCATCAATGAAGATGATGAGACGTTCGTCCGCTTGGTGTATTCAAGCCGGACTTACAGCGACATCCTGCTGCGAGAGACGCTGAATGAACTGACCGCCTACTGGAACTTCACTGTCTTGTACGCACTGAGCCGGGTGAGTAAAGTAAAACAAAAAAAGAACAGTGAACTTCACTGTTCTTTTTGAGTGAAGTCTGTCATAAGCCAATATGTCCACCAGGCAATATATCCCCGGTTTACTTGGCATGAAACAACTGAGAATAATGTTATTCCCCCTGGATGGGATGCCAGTCCATCGCAGGTTACTCCCAGCAAATTCCGGTACCCTTTTATACTCCAGGTTGGAGAGAGGCAAGTGGGGGTGAAGTGGCTTGCCCAAGGACACAACATTTGGCCAGCAGCTGGATTGGAACCGCCGACCCTCTGATCACGAGCTAGAGGGCGCCCTTTTACCTAGTAACGACGTCCCATGGGCGGGACATTCAGCTGGTTGACGCGCACCGTTCCTTGTGTGTGACGCACGTACACCAGGGGATTTGTACTATGTACACACAGTGCTACGGCTGCGCGCCTCGGCAAAATTGCAGTCGGGCAAGATGGCGTCGGTCGGTCACCCCCAACTGTGCTTTCTTTGCCGGTGAGGGGGTACATGTACTTGTGAACGGAGTGGATAGTTGCCTCTGAATTGCTTGGCCATGGCCAGCCAGTAACACACTCGTCTATGGAAAGGGCTTCAGCACCTTCCATAGTACATGACTTAACCAAGAGTTAATAGCCCCTTGAACATTATTGAACCAAGTTTTTAACTTGGTTGCACTTCACAAATTTTGGTATTTCCTATATCAATTTGCTAGGAGACACCCGGAGAACATCCTACCTCATACGGAGAAAGTTTCCACTACGGCCGCATCCAGCGGGACACACTGGCGGCTGAGATGGAGACTAGTCCCCAACCGGAAACCCAGGTCCTCATTTGCGGTACAAAATCCTTTGATAAAGACATGCTCAATTTCCTGAAGAAGCTAGAATTTAAAGGCAACGTCTTCAAATTTTGATACAAATTTCAAGTCCGCCTTTTCTATCTGTAATGAAATATTTGGAAAACAGTGGGTGTATTTGTCGGAAATTTGTTACATTTTTCTTAGAAACCTGTTTAAAATTTTAAACTGCTGCAGTACACCACTGGTTCAAAATGAATTGTATGAGGTATTAAAAAATACAAACATTTGTCTAGTAAATGTACAAGTCTACATTATGTGCACACTTCACTAGGCCTTTAAATTATAGCACTGCTGTATTTTTCAAAACAAGGTATTAAACTTGGACTATGCAAGCCCATGTTGGCTCCCAATAACGTGCAAGTATATCCTTCTGTAGACTATTTCACAGATACGGCCTTCTTGGATTTATTTCCAGGCTTCCCCCCCGTCATGGAAATTGTGTGAAACATGGAAACATGTCATCCTCTTTCCACATAAAAGTTCAAGTTTCCCTTGCCTACGTGAGGGCTGGCAAGTCCAACGACTATAGTGAATTTTGTTGGTTTTGCCAACTCTTGCCAATGCAGGTTTATGTTTGTCCTGTAATTTGTTTTTTTCTTGTATCATTTATGTTCCTTCCTAGTAGTGTTTGTATTGTATTTTCTCGACTGTTATTGTTTTATGATCTTTTGGTTTTTTTTTTTAAGGCAAAATAAATAATAATAAAATAATAATAATAATGTAATTTAATCTTGTGAGATTTGATAGGAAGAGGACCAACTGCTGAAAACGTAGTTCCGTTTGTCAGCATTTAAAAGAAAGATTAACTGCACATACAGGGCGAGTCGGAATGATCTGGACCCAAGTTCACCATTTTTGTGTGTGGCAAATAAGAGTATATTGAGAAAAAAGTTAGTGTTCATATGAAATGGTTATTTCCTTGTCTTCCACGGGACTTTTGAATTTTGCAAATTAGTGGCTGTGGTGAGGAGTTATGCCATTTTTATTGAAGTGGCTCATTTTCCAGTCTGCACACGGAATTGGTTTTGCCTTTTTTTAAATGTGTCAATAACTTCAAGTGAGTCAGTCACCATGACTAGGTTTTTATTTGTTATTACACTGCTTCACATCAGTAACGCGATTTCAATAAATTTGTTGAACCATGGAACCATGGAACCGTGGTCAGAGTGTTTTTTAGCGTGTGTTCTGTGCTAGCGCTTTTCTTCAAAATGGTACAATGGATATACATGAAACTTTCACCAATTTATGTCCAAAATACCAGGCTATAACATATCTCCTTCGCACTTGTTTTAATAATTGCTACATGTTTTTAATATTTTCTTTAATTTGGGTCCAGATTATTCCGACTCGCCCTGTACAATGGTTTACTGCTTGGGACCGATAAATAAGCATATGCACATTGGAACGTACACGATAGGAGATAAGGCAGTGGTCGATGATTGCTACGGATGGTAAAAGATATGCGTACATGTATCCGTTTGGATCCGAAACCTACCAATTAATCTAAAATGCAGCAGCAGCTGCTGCTCTCCATAAAACACTCTGAAAGTCGCAGGACACTTCAAAACACACACTCAAGAGAAGCAGTCAGTTAAGGATGATAATACACCTTTATTATTTATATTATTCCTATAATGTGTTGAATTTTCACAATTTGTTGAAAAAAAAAATCCACCAAAAAAAATTTTTTTTCGGTCTCTGGTCAGACCAAAGTTCCAGAATTGACAAGGGGACGCGTCTTTTTTTTTTTTTTTCCTTTTTTTTTTTTCTTCAAGCTCGGATTGTACAGACAAGGTGGGGTACTATTTTGCTTTTTTTGGTGTCCTCATGTACATTGGTGTCCTCCATAATTTGCCTTGGTGCCCTCGATCATTTGCCTTGGTGCAATTCCCCATTCCTTGGTGCTCTTTGTTAAAAAAATTGAGGAGGTGCGGCAATAGAGCTATTGGAGCTACCGCAGAACATTTTGGAAAAAAAAAAGATTGACGCGCATGATTAAAATCGACGCGCGCGCTGACCAGAGACCGACATTTTTTTTTGGCCTTATAAACAAATATTAAAGTACAGGGTACTTTGATATTTGAGATTTTTTTAAGTTGAAGAATTTCTAGGACCATGTCTGTCTTTCCGTAGAAGTTTTAAAAGAATGTACAGAGGAATGTTTCATTTTTATCAGCATTTGGTGAGGTACACTTTTCACGGTGTCTTTGGTTAAATGGGTACACGGTCTTAAGATTTACAAGTTAAAAAAAACATGACAATTGAATTTTAAAAACTCGACAAAATAACTTAGACTCCATTCAGGAGCATTGGGTAGTTAAAAAAATGTCTTTTAAAATATGGTTAAAAAAAACACCAAACATATTAAAAAAAAAAAAAACTCTTGTTTATTTTTTTTCTGTCCATGAGATATTACATTGTATGTATTGTACAGCTACTTTTGAGTTAAATACTAGGATTTTTGTTAATTGAATTACAAATATATACAGTGAACTCAGGAATGCTTGGTAAATACATGTATTATGGTAGAACAAGTAAAATGCATGTGTTGGAGCTTTTGTGGTTCGATTTTTATTTTCTTCAATTTTTTGGGGGGTCAATGAAAATACAGGCAACATTCAGAGGGCCTCAGACTGGGTTTTGTTGACTACGACCCACACGCTGTTGCTTCCAGTGAAACAAATAAGGACCTTTCACAGTTTAAAGATGTAGTCCATCATTTGTAATTTGTGCATTTTTTTCGTTTGAAGCAACAAAAGTGCTCAAAATCTAAAGAAGGGTACTGAACAACTAACCTAATGAAGTTTCAGCTCAGCTTCAGCTGTATATTCCGAGAAAAACAGCATTCAAGGATCTCAATTTCAAATCAAAAGTTGCTGAATCATGTTTTGAATTGTGCCTGAATTCAGCGTCCGAGACACGTTCTCGCTGAGCCGATTGCAGCTACGCGATGTTGCGCAGCGATCCGACGAATTATAGCAGCCGCGCGTGCATGTGCGTCGTGCCAATGCTTGCGCGCGCTTCGCCGAATAACAAAACAAAATTTCTTATGAAGCACCGTTGGAAAGGCCTTCTTTCGTTGATTACTTCATAATGACAGCTTGCCAGAAAGAATAATTTCACAGGGAGTTTAGTCCCCTTACAAACTTTCAACCAAGTATGTTTTTCAACAATAACTACGCCAGTTACTTTTCGGACAGCTGCAAATGATGGACTATAGCTTTAACACTATCCAAAATCTTTGTGTTGATCCAACACGGAGATTCCGGTAACACCTTTCACATTAGCAAGATTCCAACACGGCTTCTGCACAGTCCAGCGCTCTAACCGGGTAGAAAACCTGCTTTTGCCGCAACTATGCAATCAAATTCAAAGTCTTCTTCACTTAATGTGTGTGTGTAACAATAATGACACAAGAGTTAACTGGCACTAACAATGCTTTATCTACAAGATAAATAAAACAGATTTTTTTTTTTTACACTTGCGTTGGAATAATAAGTTACAATTACAATCCTCAAGTTGTATGGTCTACTGTGGTCACTTGCAGCCCGGATGCCTATCTGTGCACCTTGCGTTTCCGATGCATCGACTTGTACACAGTTCTGTCGAAGAATATCAAATGAAACAAAATTATTCAGTTTACAAATTAAGTTTCTGCACATTCAAGATGCCTTTGCAATTCTTCGCATTTTCTGTCCTTTTTTGTGTCAATCCTTTATTGTATATGTTTTCATAGGCAGGAAACAGGCTGCAATCACTCAAGGCATGTCCACCCCTTTCCAGTATTTGGGGAAAACTGAGCTTTCTATGGGCTACGTGCGCCAACAAAGAGGGCATTTTGTATACTTTTTTAAAAGTAAATGGATAAGGCCAAAAAAAAAAGTCTCCGGTTTTTGGTATGGAGCTTCCCCAAAAAGTGGTGCGGCGACGCGGCTTTTTTTTTTTTTTACCTGTCTTTTTTGCTTCAAATGTCGGCTGATGACTGCAAATGGTGCCCGACTAAACTTAGTGCAAATATATGGGAGTGCGGAGAGGCCACATAAAGCTTATTTTCGATAATAACCCCATCTAAAAACACGTTAAAATTGTGCAGCAGCAGGATTCCAGTCAAACCAGTGAGTTTGGCGGTTTTGAGACATCATCTTTTATTGAAAAAAAAAACTTTTTCATTTTGCCGATGCGCATGGCTACAGAGACGCGCACGCATACCAGAAACCGGAGACTTTTTTGGGGGGGCCCAAGACACACCGCTTATTTATCCTGAAGGTACACAAAGCTAAGCCATAGCTTCTTCGCGTGAGGGTCAGGCGGCGTCGGCGCGCGAATACGTTCGAATGTCTCTTTCGATGGTCGCCTCTAGACTAGTTCTTTGCCCCCATATGAATATGGAAACATTCAAAGTCCGCAATGGATGGACCGGGAACCAGTCTAGGTCTCGCCGAACTCTCCTCCCCCGGCCGTTGAAGGTGTAGTTGTGCATGGAGCCCACTTGAAGAACAAACCCATTTAGGATCGCCCTCTCAAAAATGAGTCCCTTAGGCCAAAAAAAAAAGTCTCCGGTTTCTGGTATGCGCGCGCGTCGCCGTAGCCATGCGCGTCGGCAAAATGAAAAAGTTTTTTTTTCAAAGAAAGATGATGTCTCAAAACCGCCAAACTCACTGGTTTGACTGGAATCCTGCTGCTGCACAATTTAAAAGTGTTTTTAGATTGGGTTATGGTCAAGAATAAGCTTTATGTGGCCTCTCTGGACTCCCATATATTTGCACTAAGTTTAGTCGGGCACCATTTGCAGTCATCAGCCGACATTTGAAGCAAAAAAATCAGGTAAAAAAAAAAAAAAGCCGCGTCGCCGCACCACTTTTTGGGCAAGCTCCATACCAGAAACCGGAGACTTTTTTTTTTGGGCCTTAAGTATAAACCCCATTTTACAAGTTGGAGTCCAAGCTTGCCACCTCACACATATACCTCTTGTGGTTGGCCTACAGAGCCCCCTCTAAAAGTTTCAGACAGATGCATTACCATTTCGCTGTTTTTGAGTTTAAATAATACTTAAAATGAACATCAATGTGTCAGTTACACTTTGTCTGAATAATACTCTTTACCTGTTTCACATCTGGAGCCAGCGAAGCCGTAAGGGCAGTTGCATTGATAAGGAGCTATGCAGGTCCCTCCGTGCAGACATGGGAAGATGCAGACTGGGGAGTGATTCAGGGCTGATGACAAGTTAAGCCCTGGTAAACATGGGAAACAAAAAGATAAATTGCTTATCTAAGTGACAGTATGAGACGTCTAGGCATCGTCTGGTTAAAGTCAAGAACAGCCTTAGCGATCCGTACATCCAATACTTGCTCTCCATCAATTCATTCAAAACTAAGTTAAAAACCTGTTTATTCACGCTGCTGAGGATGCTTTGAAACACCCGCACAAAGTTCTAAATTTAAAAATCTTGTTTATATGATTATCTACTATTATTTTGCTCAATTTGCTGTAAACACAGATACAGATCTGAGTTGTCAATTCCTCACACGTTCACAGATGAGATGCTTCACATTTAACTCTGAAATGTTTTAAATCTGGGGGAAAGACATCAGTGTAGACGGGGAGAAATGCACCTATCAGACCTTTCATCCAGTTTGCAATTTTTTTCTCTCTTAAATTGACAATCGCACCCCTACATTGTACAAGTCCTCGAGTCAAATCAAATGTCATCCAGTCTCAGTTCAAGCAACAATCATTTCTAATGTAAAAAAAAGGCATTCCATCATGTCAGGAAGGACAACAGAACTTGAATATATTTTAACAAAAATATATTTGAGCATTCACTGTAATTGGTAATGTACATTTTCCTTGTCTTCAAATTGTTAGATTGTGTACAAATTGGTACACTGAATATCTGATGTGAATCATGTGCAGCATGTGGTTTCACAGTACAGTGGAACTTCGCTATAACGAACATCGCGGGATCCACAGAAATTGTTCGTAATAGTGATTGTTCAGTATAGTGATTTTAAGCTGCCAGTGCTCTGGTACTCAACTTTTCAATAAAAAGCGCCCTTCACAACTTCACCCTGCACGCCCTGGTAGTTACTGAAAGATGACTTTGAACATGTGCCGACTATTGATGTTACACAGTTTTTGAGCTTACTACCTAGAGCATTGGGTGGCTCTCCCCTTCTATTCCTTGGAGAAATAAAAGCCACTTGTCGCTCATCTGTTGACATTTTTCAACAACAATGTTCAGTACATTTTGTACATGAAAATCAGGAGTAAGGATGATGTTCAGGATAGCCGAATGTTTGGTATAGCGGTGTACGGTATAGTGACGTTCCACTGTATTGGACAATTTGACGGCATGGCTCCATTTTATACTTGAAATAGATGAAAGTTTAATGGGCAACCTGAAACTCTTCTTGTTCTTCTACGATGAGGTTGCAATAAGATTATTTTCTATTTTAATATCAAATTTAAATTTTAAAACTGAAGATATGTACTTACTGACACATTTAGGATCTCTGCCGTTCCATCTGTAGTCTGGCAGGCATTTCCTGCTGCTGGGACCGTCTAGGAGATACCCACTGAAGCAGCGGTAGCTGATTGTGTCTCCCGGCTGATACCGATGACCAAACACAACCCCGTTGTCTATTTTCACTGGCCAGCTGCATGACCTGGGCGCGCAGGTGGGGAGGGGCTGATCCCAGGTTCCGTCCGCCGTGCATCTGAGCTGCCGCGCGCCGTGAAGTTGTAAGTCGTTCTTGCAGCGGAAGGCAAGAGTATCTTGGTATCTGTGGCCATTACCGGATATCGTAGTATCGGGCGAGGCGATGATTTCGGGGCAGGAGATGTGAGTGCAGTTCGGGGTAGACGGATGCCAGGTTTCGTCGGCGAGACAGGTGAGGTTTGCGCTGCCGGTGATTTCATAGCCGGCGTCGCAGGTGTAGTGGACAGTCGAGCGGAACGTGTGGGTGTCTCCGATGGCTTGTCCGTTGTCGATTGCCGTGGGTGGAGGACAGTGCCTGATCTCGCAGGACATGTTGGTGGTGTTCCAAGTCCCGCTAGATTGACAGACGAGGGTGTCGCTGGAAGCCATCTTGTAGCCTTCCACGCAGGTGTACTGAGCGACGGCACCAAACACATGATCTGCCACGGTGAGCGAGATGTCGGTGTTGATGTGCACTGCGTTGCGGATACTCGGTGGCATGCCGCATGGTACCGGTTTGCAGGTTGGTGCCGTGTCACTCCACGCTCGCTGGGCAAGACAGCGGCGTGCACCAGGCCCATGGAGTGTGTAGCCTTCATCGCAGCTGTACACAGCCAGGGAGTTGAAGGTCGTCTTCGCAGTACCGACTTTACCATTTTCAATTTCACCAAGGTTGCCGCAATTGATTGGGTTACATTGGAACTGTGGGATGCTCCACGATCCGTCCGCAAGGCATGTCACAACCGGTAATCCTTGTGGCTGGTACCCACTACCGCAGTGGTATACGATGGAAGTATTGTACGTAAGACTGGGTGGCCGTGGGACAAATGTGTTGTCCACATGAGGGGGTGGACCGCACGAGATTGGCAAGCAAGCTAGATCTGAAACACTCCATGTACCATCGGCTTGGCACGTCCTAGAAAGCTCGCTGGTAGACGGCACATAACCGACGTCGCATCCATACAGCACCTTGCTCTGATACTGCAGGTTTCCCGCAGAAAGGACAACACCATTGGTCAACTCGGGAGGAGTCGGACATTTGATTGGTCGACAGATGGGTGGTTCCCCGCTCCAGTCACCAGTCACCGTACAAGTACGTTCTGACCTTCCCACAAGATCGTGACCCAAGTCGCACATATATGACAGCCTTTCTCCCAGTGCAAAGCTACTGGCAGCCCAACGACCATGACTGATTGGCTCAGGTCGGTCACATGATATCGGCTCACATCTTATCTCGCCATAGCTCCATGAACCATTACTCAAGCAGGTTGCAGTGTCAGGGCCAATCAGTATGTATCCAATTTGACAAGCGTACACAGCACTTGAGAGGTAGCTCTGGGAAGTTGACGTCACGTCCCCATTTTCAACTCTGGGCGGAGGTCCACACACCACAGGCTTACAAACTGGCTGCACTTTCCCCCACTGACCGTTAGCTTGGCACGCGACAGAAGAGGTCCCTTCCATGACGTGGCCTTCTCGACAGTGGTATGAAACTACACTCCCAAAAGTGGTTCCATTGTTTTGAGAAATATCCCCACTTTCAATTTCACTCGGGCTGCCACACGACACTGGAAGACACTCTGAGTCAGTCCGGCTCCATGAGCCATTGGCCAGGCATTCCAGAGTTATATTGTCCTCAGCATAGAATCCCTCCAGGCAGAGATAGGACACCAGACTGCCGTAAGTTGAATTACTACCAGATGGCACAGCATTTTTTATCTTCGGAAGCGCAGCGCAGGTAATGACTTCACACACTGGTGTCTCGCCACTCAAAATCCCGCTGCTCAAACAGGAACGTGTGGGTGTCCCCTGTAACTGGTATCCAGCACGGCAAGTATACGTCACCTCTCCTTCGTAAAAAATCTCCGTCTCTGTCACAAACCCATTCTCAGTCGAATCAGGAACCCCACAAGATATTAACTTGCAAAGTGGCGTCTCACCGCTCCATGTCGCATTAGCCAGGCAGTTCTGCTCCGTGTCGCCCTCAAGCCGAAATCCCCTGTCGCAGTTATAGGACACCTTGTCTAAGTACTGGTGTCCGGAAAACGCAGCTGTGCCGTTTTGGATTGACGGCACTGGACACGTCACTGGCCTGCACTCTGGTGGTGAGTGATTCCACGTGCTGCTTTCTGTGCACGTTAAGTTTGATGTCCCGTTTATGACGTAACCTTCGTCGCATGTGTAAACTGCCACACTGCCGTTTGTTATTAGTGGGGAGAACACAGCTCCATGACTAGGCGCTACGAGCTCCGGGCATGTGATTATCCTACAGACGCCGGTTGGCCGACTCCATGTACGATTCGGCAGGCATGTCACGAGACCGTTGCCATGTAAAAGAGCGCCCTCGATGCAAGCGTACTCAGCTGTGTCGCCGACGTAGTAATCCATATCTACAGAAAAGGTCACAAAAGAGTCAATAAATTCAATTAATTACCCAAGATAAAATAAAAGGACGGTTATCTGCTTTTGGTTGTGCATGCAATTTTTTCATCAAAGTGTGACAGGTTTATCAAATTAGCTTTTGCCCTTCACCGACGTTCAAACACTGTATACTCAGTGTGTTACCTCCCGAGTGAAAGTTGGAAAAAATCACTCGGGTGGGACTAAAACCCACGACCTCCTGCTTTCTAGTGCAGATGTCTTACCACTCGACCACCGAGCTAAAGGGATCGGTTGGCTGGTTCGAATCTGATGTACATAACAGCGGGTACCGCATAAACTATTTTAATGTGACAGGTTGTAGCTATGACCCAGAAACAGAGAAGATTGACAAGACTTATAAAATTTTGTGTTTCTCAATACCAAGCATTGCCAAAATCACATATGTCAAGAACATTCAGTTTTAAGTGTCAAACGGATACGTAAAGTTGTGATTTCTGAATTTGTTTTATTGACTTCAATTTTTTTCAGCAATTACAATTTCTTGCTTATTCACATCTATAGGTTTTCAAGTCGAAAAAGCATTTTGGTGACAAACAGGACATTACCCCTTTCAAACAATATTTTTTAAACAAATTTTCTTCAACAGGGGATTTTCTGACCAAAGGAAACGGACGGTAGCTAAAACGAAAAGCAAGCTCTTATGTTCTGTTAATTTCTAATGAACTTGTGGAAAGTACACATTTGCAAGGACCACTTAATCTACAAATTATGAAGCATGGCCTGCAATCGTCCACAGGCATTCAAAAAATGCAATCAATAATTTAAAAAATTGATCCAAGTATTTTACCCTTTGTAAATCCAAATTCCATTGGAGGCGGGTCATTGCAAATCATTGGTGTACATCGGATGGAGGCCCCGCCCATCCACTCCCCGTTCCATCGGCACTCTAGAGTCGGGCTCCCATCCAACCTGTACCCTTCCTGGCATGCGTAGTAAGCCAGGGAACCAAACAGGGTGGAGTTTACCGTGTGTGTGGTGTTGACGATGGCCGGTGGTGGTCCACAGTCAATTGGTTGGCACAGCGGCGGAGGTGAACTCCAGAGACCGGTGGATAGGCATGATGTGGTGGATGTTCCTGAAATGAAATATTAGCAATGATCATCTAGAGAAGGCATTTTCATGACGTCACAATAACTGTGTCTCACTTGTGCCTTTAAGCAAGGCACTTAACCATTATTGCTTCGGATGGGACGTAAAGCCGTAGGTCCTGTGTGTTGTGTTATGCACCGCACATAAAAGAACACAGTGACACTTATCACTAAGAGAAGGGGTCGCCCCGGTGTTTCTGGCCTCCTGTTAAAACTCCCATGTGGAGTATTTAGGAGAAGAACCAACCGAGAACCAAGAATTGTACCATAAAATTGAGTGGCAATGCAGCGAGCGATACATTTATACGTTTGGTGTGCAGACATGGCCTGATTAAGGACAAGTCCAAGAATTCACGAACGCCATGTCCATACGTAACCGATGTTTAACCCTCTAAGATATTCACAGATTTCCTGTGTTTTTTATTCTACTGTTGGGCATCTGCAAGGAGAATACCCTCAATAATGTTCATGTTATTAGTCTTAGCGACGTTTATGCATGTTATGTAATTAAAGGAAATGTGACATTATGTATGGGACAAAAAGGGGACCTTTTCTTGGACTTGCTCACAACATTCAAAATGTGACGTCCTGAAATTGGCGAAACTGACGAAGAGTTCACATAGAGGGAAGATTTTTTTCAGTTGTTTTTAGTTGCCTAGTTTCAGAAGACAGTTACATTTTGCATATGGTGCGCACTTTGTGCACATCAAACTAAAGCATCGTTCCTCAATTTTCAAATGATTGCCTAAAATTATCCCATCTTTCCATTAGTTGTTTCTGAAAACTTTAATTTGTTTAATCCTCCAAAGCCTTACACCAAAGTAAAATTACTAGCACAATCTTTGTGCTAGTTGGGGTCACAAGGCTCATTCAAAATAATTTGAGACTCGGTTCTGTGGTCCAGAATAAATTGAAATACTTCCAATCAAGGTTTTTCTTAGCTTGAATTTATAGGGTAGTTTAAAATTAAAATTTGAAAGGTTAATTAATATATGAAGTTTTGTCCACACTCACCATTTAGAATGTATCCCTGGTTGCACCAGTAATCAGCAACGCCCCTGTACAAGAAATTGTGCCCTGTAAATCTACCGTTCTCCGGTCTTGGTGGTTCACCGCAGATGACCATCTTGCATATAGGGAAATCCCCGCTCCACGTACCATCAGCCAGACAGGTCCTGACTGGTTTCCCAAGTAGCCGGTATCCGGTCTCACAGGTGTAGGTAACAGACTTGTTGTAGGTTTGATCGTCCCCGTTTATTGCTCCGTGAGACGGAATCGGCAAATCGTGGCATCCGATTGGCTGGCAGGAGGGCAGCGCAGCTGACCACTCGCCACTGACGGCGCAGCGGAGCTCCTGGTCCCCGTCTAACTGGTACCCGGGGTCGCACCGATAGCGTACCTTAGTTCTGTACGGATGGGATCCGTCTGCGAAAGACTCGTTCCGAGCCTTGACGGTGAATTTCGCGTGGGCTACGTCGGGAAGTCGCGGGCATGAGATCGGCAGGCAACGCGAGTCCACGCCGGACCACTGGCCTTCGGCCTGGCAAACACGGGTCAAATTCCCAACCAAGTAAAACCCCTCGTGGCATAAGTACGTCGCCGTGTCCTCAAAGTTGTGCCCAGTCCGTACAAGCCTGCCGTTGAGAAGCCCCCCAAGGCGCATACAGGTCACGGTTTCACACATTTCTTGTTCGCCTTGCCAGGTACCGTTCAAACCACACGATAGTGTACCCCTACCGTCTTGAAGCGTGTATCCGGCGCGACATTGGAAGGTAACATTACTTGGGTAATAATACACATCCTGATCTTTTGAAACTAAATCTGCATTTTGAATCGTGGGAGGAGAATCACATGTGACTCGCTCACAATGAGGGGCGGATCCATTCCATTGGCCGTCCGTGTCACATGACCGCACAAGCTGGCCAATCAGATTAAAGCCAAGTTGACAGCGATATTCGACAACTCCCCCAAACTCGAAGTGTTCCCCGTTGTAATAGCCATTTGGTATCTTGTCAGGGAGCCCGCATAGAACAGGCTCGCAAACTGGTAAGCTATCATTCCAAAATCCACTTGCAAGGCATTCTAATGTGGTACTTGGTCCGTCCAACTGGTATCCCGCATTACATGTGAACGTCACAGTTTCTCCGTACTGGAACAAATCTCCGATTAGATCACCGTGAGAAGGTCGTTCGATATCCGGACAGGGCTTGGGTAGACACGCTAAATATTCCCCTACCCACTTGAGGTTTTCAACACACTGCAGGGAACCGGTGCCATGCATTTGGTAGCCTTCCAGGCACGAGTACTGGGCAACGCTTCCGAGCGTAAGCCCGGTCAAACTGTACGTCGCAAATGTTATATTAGGCGGTGCTCCGCACTGAATGGGCACACATTTAGGACTGGTGTCCGACCACGAAGCATCCGGTAGACACGTCCTTGTGGCGTTACCGATCAACTGGTACCCTGCATAACAGGTATACGTCACTTGGTCTCCGAGCACGTAGCCCCTCGACAGTGTGAAAGAGGAATGCGGGCTCCGTTCCGGTTGGCTGCAAATGATGGCAAGGCATTCTGGGAGTTGGCTCCACTCTCCGTCCGGGCCGCAGGTGACGATACCCTGACCCTGAAGCTGGTAACCGTCTCTGCAGCGGTACACTACTGCCTGGGAGGAAACGTCAGATCCTCCTTCGTAATTGAAATAGTCTGAATTTGGAATCTCGGGGACACTGCCACATAAAACAACTGCAAATAAATGAAAAGAAATTGCTAAATATTTTAACAAATGAGAAGGTTGTTTAATTCCCCCTTGGTTGGAATGCAAGTCCATGCAGTGAGGCCAGTTGTGGTGAAGTGGCTTGCCCAAGGACACAATATGTCAACACCTATCTTTGAGCCCCTGACCCACTGATCATGAGGCACAAGCCCTAGCTACTGGGCCAATTTCCAATGTTGTAGACAAGTCCATCACTGGTTCACCACCCGTCAAAATTGTCTTGATGTGCTCCATGAAAAAGTATCCGGGGGTATGGCGGGGAGGTTAATCTTGAGATAACTTATTATTCGATCGTTTTTGTGTGAAAGCACACTTGGCAGTGTGTCAAGGACTAGACTTGATTAACAAGTGTGCTACTTTCAAGTCCTTTTATCCATTGTAATGCAGATCTATGGTTAAATCGTATGAGTTTTTTGGTTTATTTTTATACCGTCTTTATATGTGTCATATGGGTATAATAGTTCATTTGAATAGATAGTGGCTTTTGGGACTGGAGGAATTGTGATTGACTGGTGATGGAGTTGCAAGGACTTGAGACGGACTTGACTAGAACACTGCCAGACTCAATTTTTTTTTAAAGGTTTTAAAAAGAAAAGAATTATGTCTCACCTTCGCAGCGTGGCTGGTACCCACTCCATTCCCTGGTTTCCAGACACTCACGGACGGCAGGTCCGATTAAAGTGTATCCGTCACGGCATATATAGCTTATCTGGGACTCGTACGAGGATTTTGTACCAACGATCTCACCATTTTCAATTAGGTCCGGAAACCGACACAATATGCCTGCAATCAATAGAGTGATTAAAAAAAAAGATGTTCTTTAAATTTGTTTTACATAGTACAGTGCAGTGCCGTGGCCTCGTGGTCAAGCATTGAATTCGTGGTCTGCGGGTTCGAGTCCAGCCTGGGGCTATGGTGCATGTGCCCTTGGGAAAGGCACTTTGTAACTCATTGCTTCTCTCCACCCAGGAGTAAATGGGTACCTGTGAGGGCAGAGATGGTTATTGTGATTGATTCTAGCTGCTTTGTGCCGAAATGGCAGCATGGAGCTGTACACTCCCCAGGGAGCTGAGATGGTCTTTGGAATGTTTCAATGGCCCAATGATCAGGGTTAATAACGTTTCTTGTACAGCGCATTGGGACCTATTGTGAAATGTGCTTTATCAGCACGGTTTATTATTATTATTATTATACGAGTAATGGTACCATTAAGGAGACACGGTATCGTAATTTCTTCGAACGGTGAGAGACATCTTTCATTATAGGGAGACATTTTCATGCCTCCCTAATGTCACAGCCCCCTTTTACAGGCACAATTTTACTGTCGGAATTTGGTTATATTTGTTGCTCGTGGTCTAATTAGTTAACATACCGAAATTCGTGGAAAAAGGACAAGGGAATATTGGGATAGGGCACATTTAAGTTAGAAAAATGTTGTGCAAAAGTCTATGGGGATGTCTCCCAAATGTCCAATCCAGGGTAATACTTATTAATATTTTTATTACAGTCTTCAGTTTGTAGGCACTATACTCAACAACTTTTGACAGGTTAAGACCGGTTTATACTTCACGTGAATGCTACGTGAATTGACCTAAGGAAACACTTGTTGCTAAATTTGAGTTGAAGTCTGTTAAACTTTTGTGAGTACGAACTGGCCTTTACAGCATCCTGTGTTATATCAAGGCCCATATCACAACACACAAAACTGGCAGCTTCGTGTACTGTAAATGTGTTATAAAACAAACATTGATTTGCATTTGTTTGGTCACTAGTGCCTGTTTATGCCCCCTCAGGGCCCCCCACAGTCCCTCATGGTGTATAGATGTTTACTAATGACCTCACTACCAGTCAATAGGTAACTCATATAGACCATCCCCATAATCAATGCATAGAAGGAAATTATGCAACAATGACACAATGAATCATATTTTCAAACTTGAATGGTACGTGTGAAGGGGTTATAACAATGAAGAAATATGTGCTGAATACTGATACATACGTCGGCATATGGGAGGTTCGTATGGCATCCAGTCTCCCGAGATCTGACATGTGGAATAATTGTACATTCTGCTGTCCACTTCAAAGCCAGACTCGCATTCATAATACACCACGTTGTGTTGGGAGCCGGTCTGGTACCCCGTGTAGTAACCGTTCTTGGGATGGAACGGGGCGTAGCATCCTAAAAACACAGAACAGAAGCGATTACGAGACCTTGTAAATATTCATAAGGTTATATAAGGTTTTCATTCATATGTCATTTTGAACTCAGTACAATTAGTATAATGGATGACGTTAAAAATGAAGAAGTAATTTCAATGTGGTCAAATTTACTGGAACATGTCATGCACAGAGATAAAATCTGCTGTGCATTAAACTGCTTGTGCAATATATTTCAAAATGTCTACAATCCTGGCCAAATCTCTCTGGGCCCCCACCCCCCGGCCCCCGTTCAATGTTGTCTCTCATTGCGCGGTGTGTGCTCCATCAGCTGGAGAGAACAACATTGACCGGGGGAGCGGGGGAGTGGGTGACCGTGGCAGGCTCAGGAAGTGTCCCAACCGTTTTGGCCGGGATTGTATTGTCCAGGGATTTGTTTTATAATACTTTATTGATTAAACTCAAATTCTCTCCACTAAATAAAGTGTTGCTGTATCACATGGTTTGGGCCAAACCTTACTTCAACAACCTCTGGCTATGGATTGGTCCGACATCCTTATGGAACTCCAACCCATTTTTAACAATATGTCAAAGATTGGCATTTCTTTTGTGAATATTACAAAAGTTTGCTCCAAATCATGTCATACACCATTGCAGTCTTTAGTCTGGTGAAATCAATGCTAAAATGCATTCAACGATCAACGACACGAATAAGTCAGTGTACCAGATGATATATTCAAATTTTAATGACAAAAGGCAAAAGGTCACTCGAAAATGGCTCTGTATCACACGAGACAACTAAAGAGAAAATGGCACGACACTTTTTTTGGCAAAAGTTCTTGCAAACAGGACAGTTATGATTAGTATGAGTGCCAATGACTGAGCAGAATTCCTTAAATCAAATTAGGTTTTTGCCCTTCACCGACATTTAAACACCGTATACTCAGTGTGTTACCTCCTGAGTGAAAGTTTTTTTTTTTTTTTTTTTTCCAACTTTCACTCGGGAGGTAACACACTGAGTATACAGTGTTTAAACGTCGGTGAAGGGCAAAAACCTAATTTGATTTATATCACCCCGACGCAAAATTCCATCTTATATTAGTTTATGCGGTACTCGCTGCTATGTACATCAGATTCGAACCAGCCAACCGATCCCGTTAGCTCGGTGTTTGAGTGGTAAGACATCTGCACTAGAAAGCAGGAGGTCGTGGGTTGGAGTCCCACCCGAGTGCTTTTTCCAACTTTCACTCGGGAGGTAACACACTGAGTATACAGTGTTTAAACGTCGGTGAAGGGCAAAAACCTAATTTGATTTATATCACCCAGATGCAACATTCCATCTTATATTAGAATTCCTTAAAGAAAAGTAAAACGCGATCTCTCACCCTTGCAGAAGTCGTTTTTCACCTGTCGAACCTCTCCGTAGATGTTCAGCAGTACGTCGGGCCAGGCCAGCACAGCGCCCTCTAGGTCAGGTCTGTGGCAGTCCCGCAGCAGGCCGGCGATCTCCCGGCTGCTCAGCACGCGGGCCCAGACGTGCAGGAGGGTCAACTCGCCGACGAAGGCTTCGGAGCTGGCAAAGTCGCCGCCGATGGAATCTTGCTCCTGGCCCAGGACGAACACCCCACCGCCTGCACGACCAGGGAGAAAATAATGATGGTTTATACTATAGCTGACAGGAAACAAGATCATTCTATGAATTTGGGGTCCACTTTTTTCTCTGTCCCTGTTACATCTGTCATCGATGATTTTATAACTATGATACCCTCCTTAATGCAGCTGTCCTCCAAGAGCGATTATGAATAGCAAACTACCTACCCAACAAATTAAAAGAAATGTCTAAAGTCATTCTTACGGTCTTTGGACCCTAAAATTATAAAATGACCCAAATACGATTATGTGATGTCCAGCAAGTTTTCGTACTGTGAATTGACAAAAAGTTCAGCACATTTCAACCCAAGCCAATTCCGATGTGATTTTTTTTCGTGACGTCCAATTTGATTCTCTTCTCTGCACTCTAATTCAAATTCAAGTTTATTATCCACACTAAAAAGTATAGAGATTCAGCTTCCACTTGCATTTGTAAACAATGACATTATACAAACCACTAAACCAATATATAGCACAATATACACAGATCACTATAACTCACTAAAAATAAACCCATACAATATAGTTAAAATTGAGAGGACCACAATACATTGCACAAATAATTCTTAAGTAAAGATAGCAAACAACAACACGTTTATTGCAAGAATCTTACATCAGGGTTGTGTATATTTGGTATAACTCTGATGCACAATATGCAAACAAATACTGGAGTAGGCCTATCACAGTAATGGAGATTTTTTTTTTTTTAGCAATGTCAAATTTGGACTAGTTCATAGGTCCCTTTATAAGCAGTTTGTTGAATTAACACTCTTAGGCAAAAAAACAACAAAAAAAACTCGGTCTCTGGTCAGCGCGCGCGTCGATTTTAATCATGCACGTCAACCTTTTTTTTTTTCAAATTAACATGGCAGCTACAACAGCGCCCTCTATTGCCGCGCCTCCTCAAATTTTTGTACCAAGGAGCACCAAGGAATGGGGAAATTGCACCAAGGCAAATGATAAAGGGCACCAAGGCAAATTATGGAGGACACCAATGTATAATGAGGACACAAAAAAGCAAAATATTACCAACCTTGTCTGTACAATACAAGCTTGAAAAAAAAAAAAGCCACCAAAAAAAAACCCAAAAAAAACCGCGTCGCCGCATCAATTCCGGAACTTCGGTCTGACCAGAGACCGACTATTTTTTGTTTTGGCCTTATGTTTGTTTTCTCATTTTTGTGACTGTAGCCAACTTTTCTGTTTTCAGATATGCAGTGATGTTTGAAGAATTTTACAATTCTAAGCATGTGCTGGATACAAAATATCAAACAACTGCATAAGGATTCATCGTCTTTATGGCAACCAGACCCTTTTCTTACCTGGAATGACAGCCCCCTCAGCAAGCCCCTCCCCCCAATCCACCACATCCCCGTCTTTGTAGATGACCCACTCTCCGTCAATGCTGGACCATGTGACTGCAACGTGGTGCCACACGCCGTCGTTGGCAGTCACGTCCGAGACGTGTCTCGAGTCGTTGACGTATAGAACAAAGCTGTCAAGGAACAAGTGAGGATAGGTCAAAACATTTTTGTAAGGGGATAAAATGTGAAAAGAGGCACGTCATTCAATTAGGGTGTCAGTCTAAATACTGCGGATTTGGGTCGAAGAGGGATGTTAGTCTACTGGGGATGTCGGTGTACTGGGGATGTTGGTCTACCAGGGACCATTTGCTTTTCAAGCATTTTGTTCCAGTAATAATACCACTCAAAATCCAAAGCCAAATTTCAAAACCTAACCTGTTGAAGTTTCAACTTGGTGGATATCACACTGTTCGAGAAAAACCATGCACAACCTTTTGATCGCGAAACACAGTTTTGTTCATAGCACTCTTTACATTTTCAATAAATCAGTCAATTAATTGATTATTGGAAATCCCCTACCGTTCTTGATTTCTTCTAAGGCCAAAAAAAAAAAAATTCGGTCTCTGGTCAGACCAAAGTTCCGGAATTGACGCGGCCACGCGGCTTTTTTTTTTTTTTCTTCAAGCTTGGATTGTACAGACAAGGTGGGTACTATTTTGCTTTTTTGGTGTCCTCATGTACATTGGTGTCCTCCATAATTTGTCTTGGTGCTTTTGATCATTTGCCTTGGTGCAATTTCCCATTCCTTGGTGCTCTTTGGTAAAAAAAATTGAGGAGGTGCGGAAATAGAGGGCGCTGTTGGAGCTATCGCGGAACATTTTGGAGAAAAAAAAAGATCGACGCGCATGATTAAAATCGACGCGCGCGCTGACCAGAGACCGAGTTATTTTTTTTTTGGCCTAAAAGACAGCAAGCCACTAAAAAAAATTCACAGGGTGTTAAGTATCAGTACGATCTTTAAATCCAAGTAAGCTTTTTGATAATAATTTGGTAGTTACTTTTTGGGATAATGCAAATGCAATTTAATTGCTACATTACTGACCCGCTGTAGTCCATGAACGTAAACGCATTGCTTAGCTGGTTGCCGTATCCGTCCACAGCTCCGTACGAGAACGGGGAGCCGTAGTTAGTGTCTTCAGATCGCATCCAGAAGGCAACAGTCACCTCCGTTAGATCTGGTAAGGCACGGTCTATCATGACATAGTCCGTGGTGCTCAGGTGCTCAAACAACAGGTTGAAATCCCACGGTAATTCTGAGTGTTAACAAATAATCACACTTCCTCTGTGAATACATAGCAACTTTATTTTATAAGTTCGTATTGAAAAGACTTGTGTTCAAAATCCTCCAAATCGGTTGGTCTTTGTTCTCACCTATTTCGCACATGTCACCAGTGTAGCCGTGCTGGCAATTGCATTGATAGCCGTTAACATCGTCTTGACAGGTACCGTTAAACTGGCAAGGCGATGACACACACTCATCAATGTCTGTCTCACAGTGGACGCCGTTAAAACCAGACTTGCATTCACATCTAAACAAAAATAACACGGATGAGATTGTCAATTAACAATTAAAAGTCTGAAAATTGGATGAAAGGTCTGAGAGATGCATTTCTTTCTATAGTGATGTCTTTCTCTCCGATTCAAAAAATCTGATTTCTGTCAAAAGTCTGAAAAATGTCATGGCTGAAATAAATAAATTCAAATGGAATCTTTTTAAAAACAAATAACAAAATACCGCACGTCCAGATATAGCATATCATGATTTAAAGAGTGATATACGGCCACAAGGTCTGACCGCCACACCCCTGAAAGCACTGCTACAGTATTTCGGTGGTTTCAGGTTCAGCCCCTACTCTTGTCATTTCTTTAATCACAGTATGTTTTTTTTAATACCTGTAATTTGCTACCAGGTCGTGACACGTTGCGCCGTTCATGCACGGCCTGCTCTCGCATTCGTTCGTCTCCATCTCACAGAACGTGCCATGGTAGCCAGGCCGGCAGTCGCAGCTGAAGCTGGCCAGGCCGTCCACGCAGCGGGCGCCATGGTAGCATGGGTCCGACAGGCACTCGTTGACCTCATGCTCACAGAGGTCACCTGTGAGGGAAAAGGTCACAGAGAGGTCATACACAGGTCACAGAAAGGTCACAGAGGGCCACAAGAACAACATGTTGAATTGCCTGTTTAAGTACTTCTTTGGGAAATTTAAAAAATGAAATTCTGAAAATGAATTCTCTCTTCTTTCAGCACCTTACAGCAGCTGGTGTACGCACTGTATAGACCTTTATCATGCTGCCACCATTCCAGTCACGTTCCCCGTATCCAATAACAGTACTGATTGATAATAGTTTTTGTGCAAAAAGGAACCAGACTATTTTTCCTTCCAGCCTCGCTTTCGTTACATTGATTTGAATGGGAAAAAAATCAAGATGGCCGCAACATGATAATTTTCTATTGCTGCACACAAGAGCTAAGTACCACACTCATACAGTTTAACTACCAGAACCCATGCAGCTGGGCAAAAAGTGCCACAGAAAGTTCACTAAAAACTGCTAGACTTTACTATTACTATCTTAATATTTTCTGGCAAACAAACTAGCGATTCCTCAAAAAGCACACAGGCAAGTACCATGGACGACTGCAAACTGAGTAAAAAAGGAAATGTTCAGTTTCTAATTCTGGCAGGGAAAACCCCAGAATAATGTTCCAGGGAAACCCATAGAATCACATTATGACTGAAACCAACGCTGGCCTGCATTGGGTTCGAACCAAGGTCACAGAGGCGGAAGGAACGTACCACTTCACAAACCAGACTTCTCTAGTTCATGTGCAACATTTATTTTTTTTAACTACCTGCATATCCCCTAGGGCAGACACAGTGATAGCTGGCTAGGCCATCTAAGCAGGTTCCATTATGTTGGCAGGAACTGTGCTGACATTCATTGATGTCAACGCTGCATGTCTTCCCTGTAATAAAAAAATTAAAAAGCCAACAATTATAATCTGGATAAGTGGTGTGCACATATCCATTAGCAAGGTGGTCAGGAATCCTATTCATTTCTTTCCCCACTGATCGTCATGCCCAAGTAGACCTCATATTAGTCACGCTTGACGTTTTAACCCGTCAGCCGTGCCTGTGTATAAAAACATCCAGATTGTGTTAACACGTCATCCGACGCAAACTGGTTAAAGTTGAAATGACGTCACACTATATACGAATTGGATTGCACACTCATGTGTCATGCTAGCACCCTATTGGAACATACGTAGATATTTAAATCAGGTTGACCCCTACATCATGGGTCATTTCATGTGATGGCAGGTAGCAGACTTTAAATTGACCGCCATTTTGAGTCTGTGTTCAGACTACATGCCCATGAGGCACTTCAGGTATCTCTCAGTTTCCTGAAATCTATTGGTGTCTCTGTTGCTGTCTGCAAATTCATGAGATTCACAATGGACTCCATGCACAAGTACCCCCTCAACGGTTATGAAGAGAGAGTCGGGGGAGACACTGGGAGGGTCCTCTTGTATTGCTGACGACGCCTAAACTCACCCAAAGATGCCACAGATCTGTGCTCATTCAGAGTAAAACGTTGTGTGCCCGGCAGAAGGGCATATGGACATATGCCCTTCTGCAATAGAGCCTAATGACCAAAATGTTCCCAGCAAAAGGGCATATGCAGAAAACTGCATCCATTTTAATGAAATTTAGACATTTGATTCAAATGCGCGCATGGGAACAATGGAACCTTTCAATGCAATTTTCTTGAAAATGATTTTTACGTCGGAACGCTCATATGCCCTTCTGCCGGGCACCCGACGAAAATTAGTCATGCGTACTTCGGGCAGTACGCCTGCGAACCAGAGCACGCATGCAGTGAGTCTCCCGCACTGGCGCTCTTGAAAGTGGCTGAAAAGCGCCATCTACTGTTCGTGTACGGTGTCCATATTCAAATAAGGAACCATTCCTCGAATGATAGAACTGTCCATCTGAGAGATGTTAATTTTTGACGGATCAAACCAATACGAGACCACCCAAGTAAATGGTAGGGTGGTTCATTTGAAGAATTAAAGGACTCTTTTGGGGGTAAATTTGCAGTGAAATGTCCTCACCTTGGTATCCTTCAGGGCAGACACAGCTGAAATCGTTGAGACCATCCCGGCAGCTGCCCCCGTTCTCACAAGGTGTGCTCTCACAGTCATCAATCTCTGTATCGCAGGTTATACCTGATCCAAAATATCACAAAATGAATTTTTCTAAGTTGTTAATTACTTTAAGTTTGTTTTGATTTTTTAAAAGTTGAACAAAGAAATTGACTGAAACAGGGTATCAACCAGTAACCTCCAGATTGCCGTTCCGGTGCTCTACCAACTGAGCTATCCTGCCCTAATTAGGGTTCTCAATTTTCCAATGTCTTGTTCAACGCTCTGACTTCAGATTCTCATTAAATGTTAGAATTTAATCTACCTCTGAAGACCATTTCATATGACATGACATACCTGTTGTTTATACACAAGCAAACTAACCACTTTAGCATCTTTCTCATCGTTTCCTTTTTTTTCATTTGTGCAATGTAACGTCAACATTTATAATGTGACAACTACTTAATTATTGTTTACGCCGTTTTATCTTACCCGTGTAACCAGGCCTGCAGATGCACACATAACCAGCAGAAACACGCTGGCAGGTTGCTCCATTGGCACACGGATCAGAAAAACAATCGTTGTAGGGTAAAACCTCCAAGCTACTGATGTTAAAACTCTCAATGTTGGGTCCTAGTAAAAAATATATATATATATATAACAATCATTCGTCGGTATTATAATAAGAATAACTTCATTTTTTTTTTCAAAGTTGAACAAAAAATTGACTGAAGCAGGGCTTGCATCAAGCCCTATGTTGGCTGTTTCATAATTTGTCAATGTTTTTGTTCAAGGGGCGCTAGTCAGAAGCCATAAACCTGCATATGCCATGTAACCAGGGATCACACCCAATGTCATAATGCTGGCAACATTAGGAATGCTGCAAATCTGGTAAATAGCAAATGGGGATCACACGGAGCGGATACAGCTTTTTATTGGCTGTCAATTTTTAATCTTCAGTTCAAAGTACCAGATTTGCTAAAGTAGACTTAATTACCAATGCAATCTTCCCAGGTTGACACTGCGCTGTTGGCCAAGGTAGTCTGGGGACATTTATAGCAGGAGGTCTTGCTAATCCCAGGCTGGAAGTAGCCATCTGGGCAGGGAAGGCAGGGGACCAGACCACTTCTTGACACATACCCTGACTTGCATGGTTCTGTCGAGAGAATCATTCAGTTTTACAGATCAAAAGAAAATTCCTGCAGAAAGCAATTTTTTTCATGATCATCATTTGACAGAGCATCTTCCCGATACACATGCTATGGAAAGCCACGTTCTTGCCAATTTTTTTTTTTTTTGTACAGCCTGAACACATGATTTTTCAAACATCTCAGGCTGTATATTTGACCCAATTATCATGAAGACGGTAAACAAGAATATCGTTTGCAGGGATGAAATTGGTAGAAAATGAAAAATTGACGATCGACGAAGTGATCTGCAGAGAGTTTGAGGGTCAAGCGAGAGCCCCAGAGCAACACAACGTGTTGGCTGGCAACTAGTATTTGGTAAGCAACTTATTTTCTGTTCTAAGCAGGTTTCTGTGATCACAGTTCTTTGAAACTGTGCCCTGGAATTCTGGACCCATGGAAAAACTGTTTTTTAAGGGTAAGCAATTCTATGGGTGGTAAGTTCCTTTGAGGGGGATATCATCTCAGACAATCTGCTTCTTTATTCTACTAACCTGCACATTCTTTAACGATGGAGGAACCTGTTTTAAGGGTCGAGGTACCGGAGGGGCAAGGCAAACAGTCTGTGCTACCAGAGAGGGGTTGGTAAGATCCTTTGGGGCAGGCCTCGCACTGCTCCAAGCCTGTGTTGGAAGAGCTGCCCGGGTTGCATATATCTATAGACCAGGAAAAATTGAATATACAAAGTACAGAAAAACTACAAAATACACAAAAAAGTCAAATAATACACAGAAGCTACAAAATGCATGAAACAGTTTTAAGGAATTCACCAAATACTACACAATACACAAATATGTCAAATTAAATACGCAAATAAAGAAGAATATAAAATGAAGATAAAATAGTACGATCAAACTTAAATAAACACACAAAATTCCATAATATGCAAAAAGCTACAACTACACAAAAAGCTCTAGAATTCACAAATAATACAGACATTACAAAACAAAATGCAGAATATAACAAACAGCTATAAAATACACAAAAAGTGACAGAATTCACTGAAAGCTTCAGATTAGGCCACAAACAAAAAAAGGACTCCTGCTTCCGATTACATAGCATTGAAATAAAAGGTAGTATTTTTTCCCATTTTCCCCTAAAAAAAATGTAGGGTAGGGGCTGTCAAACTAGGGTAGGGAGGGTAACAAGAAGCAGAACTATAATTTGTTTTTGGCCTTATGAAAAAGGCTGAACAATTCCCCAAATCTATTTGCAAAACGCTGAGAATAAACCAATATACAGAATAGAGAACTGTGCAGATGTACAGGACACCAAGAAACCTTGAAAAAATGTGGTAAGTGCAAATCTTGTAACAGCCTTACCTTTACAATCCTGCACTGACTCTGCTCTGCCTTTGGCTGTTGATGTACCGGGGGGACAGGCGATGCACTGTATCTGGCCGAACTGGTCTTGGTAGGACCCCTGAGGGCAGCGTTCGCACTCCCTGGTCTGCCCATTGAGGAACGTACCGGCAGCGCATCGCACTAATGGAAAGAAAATTATAAAAATCTAATAATAAACTTGCACTGCATCTTATGGGTTTGAACATTTTAAAAAGAGAGATGATTGACCATTGAGTAGCATTTAAAGGGAAAATACAACATTTGCAAACATCAAAAAATAAAACTACCAAATCATTTTGAAATACCTTGCTGGACTGTTAGTGAATGACAGTGTAAAGCATCCTGTAAAATCATGGCACCTGCTATACCGTCATTTTCAAGAAAAGTGGTATTTTTGTATCTTGAATTTCCAACGCTGATCGGCCGACCAGCGTTAGAAAAAAACTGGCTTTTTTCAAATACTGGCCCCAGTTGACCATTGCACTTGTTTGCAATCGATTACACACCTATGAACGGGTACAAGCCAGCTAGACTGGTTCCCTGACCTTACAATTCCCCAATGTATGTAAACTACTCTGTTTCTTCTTAAATGGAGTCAGGGAGCCAGACTACAGGAAAATGATTGTTTTCTTGGTTTTTATTGCATTTTCAACCCAAAACCTCAAAAAAGTAAGTGTAACTATATTTGCTATATATTTCCAACCCCCCAATTCCATCCATTTCTGAAAACTACAGCAAAAGCAAATGATGTATATTCCCTTTAATGCCACATTGTTACTTCTAAAAAAAAATCAAACTCACAGCATTGGTGTTGCCCAACGACATTCCCTGGCGGGCACATAGGTATCGTTTCGCTCGGCAGCACGACAATTGAGTTGGCATCAAGCTGCGCTCCCATTCCCGAAGGGATGCTGTCGTCCACAATCACCGACTGCACCAGGGAGTTGGACGCGCTGGAAAGGGAAGAGCGGAGCTCCTGGTAGGCGTCTTCGTCAACTGATGTTTCTCCCTCTGGAAAACTGAGTTGACCTAGACAAAAGCAAGATTTTACGCATGCAGTTATACTCAGATGGGAATGATATAATGCCCTGGCGTTTTATCATAGAACAAAACTAGTTGATGAAAATGATCGAAACCTGAAAAAATAAATTGGTCCTCTGTTCAAGTTTAGAAAGCATACCATAATGCAGCCTCACCATCCAAAATGACAAACAAAGAACATGCCTCCATTTTATAATAATTTTATTTGTGGTCAGAAATGCAAATGTGATGCGATCAAGCTAAACGAGTTGTTTGTTGGCCCTTATTGAATTTTTGGTGTTTTTTTACATTTTCGAATAGAGCTATCTTTCAGTTTATATTTGGTGAAAACCCCATGTGAATACGACCTTCCGTTCAGAAGTTATGGGACTTAGAACACAGGCACATCAAGAAGAAGAAAACAGAGAAATCAAACAGAGAAATCAACGATTCAAAACTGAAGTGTTTATGAAGCAACAATAAACATGTTTTATTTCAGGTTATTGAATATTGACTCCATAGCAAAAATGTCACATTTTAACTACTTTATCTTGACTTTTTCTCAGAAACAAATAGTTGACACGAAAGAGGACATATGTAGCCTTCAGATTGTACAAAAAAAATTCAATTTTGAAATTTCCACCCCTACGGACCTATTTTGGGTCGTATCTTAAAATCATAATTGCTGACAAACGACTTATTTAGCTTGATCGCATCACAAATATCTTTGCATATTTTACACACACTGTATACTTGAACAATATGAACAATAACAATAAAACAATCAGAAAATTCTTAGAGTATCTTGTACATGATTATGATCCATGCCCAGATTTTGGTGGTTTTTTTGGGGGTGTAACTATGGGTTGGAGGGTGAGAAGTGGGACAGTGATGCAATAGTAGTTCTCACCGGTGATATTCATGTCCACCAAGACGCCTGGAAATTGCTGCAGTTTCTCAAACTGTTCCCGATTGAAGTTAATGTCTCCTCGCAGCTGTTGCCGCTGACCGTGTGACGAGGTGAGATCAGCAACAGTCGCTGATAAACTTCTAGTTCCTCCTATGGATTAATAAGGGAATAAAATGTGCTTGGCTGGTTTTAAACACTCTGTTTAAGACCGGTTGGAGTCTGGAGGCTGATAATTATCCGAGTCGAAATTCATAAAAACCTTTTTGGTCAAAAGTTCACAACTTTTCAGTCTAAAAGGTAAAACAAGTCAAAAATTATACACTTCCAACGATTTTGTTCAACAATTTTACACCACGTGTTTGAAACACCCCTCTAGATACATTATTGTATGTCCATGTCGTAAACAACTCCTTCTCTATAAATATTACGCTTGATGTGGCGCAGAATGCAGCTGTGCCAGTGTAGTGTGAATTTAGGACTGAAATACTGACTTACTGGTAGTATTGTGCGTGCCCATGTGTGCATTGTGAATGTTCATCCAATAAAACAGTAACTAAAAGCCACCGGATTTCAAAGGAGTCCAAATTTCATGTGACACTGGAAAAGTGTTTAAGGTCAGCCAGTCACGTCTTTATCATCCGTTTAAAACCGGCCACGTGACAGACTCTCGACCAATAGGAATGGGTAAACTGTCTGAGGTATTTATTAATCACGAATAAACAACATTATTCCAGACAAAAACACCAACAAATGATAACATGACAAATCATCGAGGGATAACCACAACATCTCTAAACAGAGTATTAGTAGCTAGAAAGCCTACTTTGTGGAGGAAGTAATTACCTTGTGGCAGACAATTGACACGGATCCCGGCAAATCTACAGTCAACTGGTCCGCTGCAAATCTGTCCCGCCTGAGGCATGAATTTGGAGAAGACAAATACTGACGTTATAATAGGCCTAAAAAATGGTATCAATGGAGACCATTATGCTGTGGTCCAATGGTTACGGTGTTCGACTTGTGTGCCGTGTTACATGAATTCGAATCCTGAACGTGGTAACATGGTGCTTGTGCTCTTGAGCAAGGCACTTTACCACTATTGCTTCGTCCTTCAGATGGGACGTAACGTTGGGACGTTGCTAAGAGAAGGAGTTTGCCCTGGTGTTTCTGGCAGTGGCTGCAATATGCGCCACAGCACCTTGTAAACCCTTATTAGGTGCTACTTAATGGGTTTCATTTTCTCATAAGCTTCATACCTGTCTTTAAAAGAAATAGACATAATTACCAGCGCCTTGAGTACCTAATTGTTGGTAGTTACGTGCGCTATATAAGACTCCGGTATTATTATTATTATTACTTTGTATAGTTCTGTCAAAGATTCTGCGGCCCTGTCTTACGAGTTTGGAGACCTACCCTGTGGGAAACATGGTGCTAGTGTTCTTGGGTAAGACACTTTACTACAATTGCTTCTCTCCACCCTGGAGTAAAAATGGGTACCTGTGAAGGTAGAAACCCGATTGCGCTGATCTCAAGCTGCTGCAGACAACTAGTCTCAGATCATGGTCTGATGAACAGGGTTATAATTGCAAAGCGATTTGAGAAGTGCTAGAATCATGTAAGCAGTTCATTTGTGTTAGTATTTTTATTGACCTTGTTTTCGTGATTCCTTCGTATGTTGTCAGCCATTTCGTCTGCCAGGTTCTGGTTGCAGAAGTCGACAGGGAATGTGAATCTCACGGGAAGCGTTGCGTTTGCTGGATTCTCTCTTTCTGCGACAAAAACATTTATGAATCCAAAATAATATAAGTTTGTAAGAACTCCTGCATTAACAGAAACTGATGACAGACATTTAAATAAAAGTTTGTCAACATTTATGACTGACGACATATTTACATTCACATCACAGACAGATACACAGAGAGGCCATAAAGCACAAACAAACAGATGGAATGTGGGTAAGGACATACTAGAACAGTCTTCCCAAGGCATGGCGTGGGAGGGACTCCATCGGCCGTCCTCCGAGCATCGATAGACTGGTTCCGGTTCGATGGGGAACGCGTAGCCATCATCGCATCGCAGGGTGCACTCAACTCCCCCGCCGAGAGACGTGCAGTCGGCCCGGCCATGCTGGGGGTCTTCTGGTATCACACAGGCACTTTCTGTGGAGCAACAAAATTGGCATTTGGTATGACACATGTGCTGTGTTGGTTTCTCCATTCTGCGTGATATTTTTTTCAATAAGCCAAATCGGTATTCCAATTGCGCTTGTGCACAACTAGATTCCACAATTTTTACTTCAGGATAAATGCGGCAGATAAATTCACAAAACTCTATGGAGGACGTGGTAACCAAATCCCAGGCATGCAACTGGGAATTTAGAAAAAACGAGGAAATTCCAAACCACACAAGACTTTGTACAGTATTTTTTCAATTTGTAATGGCATTTGTGAGAAGTAAAATGAGGAAATCAGCAGATCCGAGGAAATGTTTCATGCCTGAAATCCGCATTCTCCAATTTTTTCATGCAATCAAAAGTTGGGGCATACAAAACACCTTAAAATATTCCCTGTCTAAAATTTTAGAAATTTTGTGATTTCTTTGATTTCAGAACAAGACAATTTCTTTAATTTTGCTGGTAGCCGCTGTAATTTTGCACGCATACGGCAAATTGTTTATCCTGAATGAAAAACGTCAAATCTTGATGTGCACATGTGCAGTTGGAATACATAATTGGCTCATTGGCTCGTGTTGTAATTGTAATTGATGGCATTTCAATACTTGAGGTACTATTATCCCTAAAGGGTGTGCAAAACCATTTGACCATATTGCAGTATACAATATTGTATTGATTACAATGACATTTTATTCACATGTAACACATAAAATAATAAACCCAGACCACCCTTTATAGTATACTATACATATAGCCACATCTAAGGCAAAGTTTGGGCAAGGACCATTCGTCGACTAGTGGTTGATTTGTGACGTACCTTACGTCTGCGCACTGATAGCAATGTGCGAACGTCTCTAGTCAAACGCTGGTCAAAATATCATCGCAAAACTTCTGGATCCTGGCTCTCTGCTAGCGTTATGAATGCGCGAGGCTATTGGTTACCAGCGAAGCAACCAACCCCAGTAGGCTGGTTCCAAATAGTCGACTAGCGTAGTCAACCACCGTTGACTAGACAGAGTTCGGGCAAACGTTAGTTAACCATTGGTCAACTATAGTCCTTGCGCGAACTATCTCTCCTGTTGACGGTTACTGTCTAGGTCGGTCCACAATAATTAAAATTATGTGGAAACACTTAGACAATAGGCATAGCCACAGCTCTGGAAGCATGTTTTGTAGACATGGCCTAACCATGTCAATGACTACTGACCACTGAAAGCCAGTCTAACAGTGGCTAATCATAGTAACAGATCTCACTTACTCAAAGATGAGTGTAATTTGAATGGAGCAAAGTGGAACTATGCTAGTGGGGTCCTCACTTTCTGGAGGGGTATGGAACGGGTCGGGTTATTATTATTATTATTATTATTAATCATTTCTGGTAATGAAACCAAGGATTCCTCAAAAGCGCCCTAGGCACTGTAGCTCGCAAGCCTGAAGAAACTTGTGGAGAGAAGACAATGAGAAGAAGTTACAGTTTTTAAAGGTGGGAGGAAAAGCCCAGAAGAATATTCTGGGGAAAACCCACGGAATCAGGCAGGGACTGAAAACCCAATCCATATATTGGCCCAGGCGGGATTCGAACCCGGGTCACAGTGGTGGAAGGCGAGGAAAATACCGCTACGCCAACCTGACTTCCCTACTTTTTTCCTCTCCAAATTCCTCCTAAGGGGGCACAAGGGGGAGGCAGAGCCCTTGAAGGGGGGGGGGGGGGTTAGGGTTTGTGCCCTCCGTTCCCCATCTCCCCTTTTAGTTAAACCACTAGTTGTCATTCAGTGCTTTTAACTCATTACAAGCTTCACGTTGCTTGGGTGGCTTGGGGCGGTATTAGGAGTAACAGGCAGGTGGAATCAGGGGTGTATTAGTGACCACTGATAGAAACAGCTGAAAACAGCTCAAAAAGGTGTAAAAAAAGCTGAACTTTGGAAATCTCCTATACTTTTGTACACAGCAAGTGAGAGAAAAAAGCTGAAATCCAAAACAAAAAAACTGAAATCAGCTTTAAAGCTGAGATTTCACACCCCTGTGGAATGTTGGTTTTGGGCTGTACAGGGACTAATTGATTGCCAGACTCACGCTGAACGTTGACTGTAATGTGACAGCTCTTGGTGTTCCCCGTCTCGTCCCGCGCGATGTACTCCACGTTGGTCGTGCCAAAGGACAGGGACAGACCAGGAGTGTGGGAGCGCGACACCGTGACTGGCCCGCCCGAGTTGTCCGAGAATTGCGGCTCCTCCCATGCCACCTGCGGGTTGTGGTCATCAGTGGCTAGGACCACGTTTGGTGACCGGCACTGCTCGATGACTGGTGGCTGGCTGTCTGTTTTTTAATATTAAAAAAAAGTGGTGTGTCTATTATATAAAATATTAAGACCATACCATTATAAGCTCTTAAACCTCAGGAATTTCATGTAATATAATTGCACAGCAGAGCTTAAATTGTCCATTCTCTCTTTCAAACATTCACTCATCTCTGTGTAAACTATATATTGGGTTAAATGTGTATGTAAAATCATTTGCTTTTTAATACTGTATAATATAATTTGTTGTGATGTATGGAAATAAAACAAAACCAATACCAATACCAATCAATATAACTACTCAAATTCTTGCCAAAAATTTCGATTTTTGAAAAAGGCAAAATTTTCCAGCCAACTTCTGATATACAGCCAAATGCCACAAATACTGATTCACAAGAGTCATTTCAACAGTATTTGTGCGATATTTTTTGCCGAAAACATGTTTCAATACTGTGCACTGTGAGCGTAAATTGTACAACAATAGGCCAATTCAAGATCAACACACGGTCCGCCTCCACAGACTTCGTGTGTGTACAAAAGACACGAGGGATTAGCGTGTTTAGACGTCACCTGGAGGCAAGTCGAGGCAATCTCGCCGTGCCTGTGCATAAAAATAGCCAGTGCGCGTTATCATGGCCTCCGACGTGAACTGTTTAAAAAAACTTACCAATAACTGAGATGACAAAGCTGCAGCTGCCGCTGTTTCTTGCCTTGTCTGTCGCGTAGTACGTGATGAACGTGTCTCCTATAGGGAACAGCCAGGGAGATCGGACAGCCGGCGTGACGGTCACCGCAGGGACCTCCCCCGAATTATCGACAGTCAGTGGCCCCACCCACGAGACATTCGAGACGCTGTCGCCGGGGATGGCGTCGACTGTGATGTCATCAGGACACATGATATCTGGGGTTGTCACGTCTAAAGGAACGAGATAAAATGAGTTCTATTGAAGGAGACCTTTGCAATGCCTTGAAATATTCAACGATTTCACACAGATCTGCACGCAGATGTGTGCAACTGTTTTGGAAATGCAGTAGCGTATGGCCGAGTCCAAAGTGGTCACTGTTGCATATGGCTACGGCTATTCTGCATAGCACTCTACTGGCAAAAGCCAAAGTTGCAGCAATAAAATACATTATGTGGAAAGGGCTCTCACGTAATATGTGGCCTCTGTTTGAGCTAAAGCACTGCCAAAAATGATCTGGTTGTTAAAGCATACTTATCGAAACATGAAGTTCTTTCAGGATTTGCTCTTGATCATGCGAAAAGCTCCAAGCAAATTAGACACTTTTGATGAAGACATAACTGTTCTTAATAAATGGTAATGTATGGTGATTGTTTTCAAAGCCCTCAAGAGCCATAAAATTAAGAAATTTCGAAAAAGTTTTGGCCATCAAAGACAAGTTGACTAGAATCAATTGCAGTTGCCGTGCCAATTATATAAAGGCATTCAAGTACACTCACCAAGGCAGACATTCGGTCGGTCTGGTTTCGGACTCCACATGCCCGACTCCAAGCACTGCCGTGCACTCTGGCTTTCGTCTTGCAGCTGATAGCCTGGATCGCAGACTGTGACGCACTCGGTTCCATAGGTCTGCCTGTCTGAAGTACAGGAGGCCGGCTGCAGGGAGGTATGGAGGACAGGCTCCAATGGGGGACAGGTCACGGCTGAGCAATAAAATCGGCAATCAGCGAAACAGATTTGTTAACCTAACGTACCTGAATCCATCAAAATCCACACCCCTGTTTCAGGGGATTTCGGTGGATTCAGGATACCTGAAAAAGTTGGTGGATTTTGATGGATTCAGGACATGAAGCCTAGTGGTACTGCAGGATTTTGATGGATTCAGGATACCTCCATATTGAGCAGTTGGGGGACTTTGATGGATTCAGGATCTCAACAGATTTACTCCCGGCTAACTGGTGGATTCTGATGGACTCACTGGCCGCCCAATTTTTTTGCATGGCAAAATTGCATGGTGGATTCAGGATACTTTCTAGTAAATATACCCAAGGGGTTAGGGTTACTGCAATTTTTTCTTCATTTCTGCAAACGGGTCTTACTGTGGTATGGTGCTGTCTCTGATATCTCATCTGCTGTACATGTCATTGTTTCTACACTTAATTTCTACGAGTGTAACAATGTTAATCCTTATAGTGTGCATACTATTTCAAAAATCTCAGCTTGTCATCACCAACATTGTATACGGGCTTGGTTTAAAGAAACTACAGTGAAATCTGGATAAGTCAAACCTCAGGGGAATGAGCTCAAATTTTGAGTTAAGCAGAGTTTTGAGTTAGCAAACGGATTTTTTAATCAACAGCAATTGATGGGAATAAGTTTTTACTTTGAGTTAGAAGATTTTTGAGTTAGCAGGTTTTGACTTAACGAGATTTCACTGTAAAAAACACTCGGCTTTGATTTTTTTAATGAAAAGGTTTTTTTTATGAATAGATCCACGGACATGAAACTGCATGAGATTAGTTTATAACATTCCGGCCTTAGATGTGGATTTGGTTTTTTTTTTTGAAAAATGTAAATTGTTTCTTTTGGTTTAAAGGGAAAATACAACATTTGCAAACATCAAAAAATCAAACTACCAAATCATTTTGAAATACCTTGCTGGACTGTTAGTGAATGACAGTGTAAAGCATCCTGTAAAATCATGGCACCTGGTATACTGTCATGTTCAAGAAAAGTGGTATTTTTGTATCAATTTCCAACGCTGGTCGGCCGACCAGCGTTGGAAAAAACTGGCTTTTTTTTCAAATACTGGCCCCAATTGACCATCGCACTTGTTTGCAATCGATTACACACCTATGAACGGCTACAAGCCAGCTAGACTGGTTCCCTGACCTTACAATTCCCCAATGTATGTAAACTGCTCTGTTTCTTCTTATATGGAGTCAGGGAACCAGACTACAGGAAAATGATTGTTTTTCTTGGTTTTTATAGCATTTTCGAACCCAAAACCTCAAAAAAGTCAGTGTAACTATATTTGCTATATATTTCCAACCACCAATTCCATCCATTTCTGAAAATTACAGCAAAAGCAAATGATGTATATTCCCTTTAACCAAAACCCTGTACTGCCCCTGTTACTCCATATACCGCACAAAACAGCCCCAGCACTGCATGGTTTCATGTATTTACTAGGGTATAAATACAATACAATACAGTGTATAGGGTCGCACCCGAATTACTTGGCTACGACTGGAAAAATACACACGCTTCTATGGAAGCGGCTGCAGCAAGTCCCATAGACTGGTGTGCTATTCCGCCCGTAGCCAAGTCATTTGGATGCTGATTGAGTTACTTTTTGTTTATTCCTGTTATTTTGTTGGATAAGTCTGACTGTTAATTTGTTTGCCTGTTAGGGAGTCAAGTTTTACCTCGACAGGCAGAGGGCAGGCCATCCCATCTGGCTATCGGTAAGCACCTCCGCATCTTGGACCCTACCAGGATATGACCCCTGCTGCACAGAGTGGTACATTCCGTGTCAAAGGCAAAGTCATCCCTTGTGCAGTGGAATGTTCCACCTGAGATCTGCTGGAGGGGCTGACACTTCTTCACTGTCAAAATAAAAGGGGGTCCAAGAAAACAAATATTTGATTAAATTTAAAGTTTCTGAGTCTTATATGGACTAATTTTTTGGCAGAAATTATAGAAAATGTCAACCGAATGAAAACTTGTGGTTGATTTGGAAATTTAGAATTGCTTAGAATTTATAATTATGATTTGTTAAATGTGAAATGGAAAATCAGTGGTTCAACATATATCCAACTTTCTATTGTCAGTGGATTTGGAAATTTGAGGGAGAAATTTTAAGCAGCTTGCATCAGGAAAGCAGCTTACTAACAATAATACTAACAGCTCACCTCTGCAAGTTGCTGGCTCGCTACTCCACGAACTGTCAGCAGAACACATGACGATGGACCGACCAATCAGCTCGTAGCCGGGGGAACAACGTAAGGCACAGGCACTGTGAATGGTGTTACTACACTCGCCTGAGACAAAGAACCCATTGGTAGGCGGAGCTAGGACAGGACAAGTCATCACTGCATAAAGGTAGGGGGAGGAGTTAAAAGAATTCAAGAGCTACACAATTTAATACAACGAAAAGAGTGAAGAGGCACACAGATCTTTTGTCACGGTCATCCGGACGTCGCAAAATCAAATAGTGGAGGAGTGGGGAGGGAGTGGGGAGGGAGTGGGGAGGAGGGCAGGGGGGGGGGGGAGGGCTGTACACTACGTAAGCGGTGTTCAAAGCAGATGATCATGTACCATCGGACAATTGGTGGTGCTCTTCATTGCAACAAGTCAACAAAGCTATGAAATGCCCATTACCTTTTTTGGGGGGACTCTTCCGAGGGTGGAAATACACCACTGACCAGATGAAAAGTGAAGAAAAACATGCTCCCCACTTCACATGATTTCCCCCTTGTATACCTTTATGTTCAGTGATGTTACAAAAACAACTAATGGCGATAACTAATGGCGATTTCCAATCGACATTTTAAAGAAAAAATTCAAACAAAATTTTGCAGACTTTTAAAAACTCTTTCATTGGATGCAAATGATTGTGATGTCATCGCAGAAAAGTAATAATTTCATATTGACAATCATACTTCACTGTGAAAGAGGGGACAGTGCAGCTTAGCTTTCTTCCGAAGCTTCTTGAGATTTTTGAAACTCATAGCTATCATTTTGTTTCTAACATTCCATCGAAACTGGAATAAATTTGGGGTCCTCCTTTTTTTTCCTGTCCCTGTTTCATCTGACATCTATTCGTTTATAATTTGGTTGCACTCCTTATATTGCAGTCATCCTCCAAGAGTGATTATGAATAGCAATCTACCAACCCAACAAATAAAACAATAGTTTAAAGTCATTCCTAACGATACTTGAAGTACCAAGGTAACAGGGACAGGAAAAATGTCACACTTTGGACCCTTAATTTATACAATGACCACAATACCACTCAAAATTATTTCCCATTTGTCCAACATACCATGGAGAATTCCTCAATGAACATATATACTTGCTCAAACAAGTATACAGGGTGAGTAAAAAAAAAACGAAACCCAAATGTCGGGACCATTGTTTTAGTGAATTTCTGCATGTAGCACCTCCAAAATCTAGGATATGAATGCCCAATTCATAAGGTTTCCTTTAGCATAAGAATCATTCAAATCTCTCATGTACTTTTCAAGTTACTGAGTTTTAAACACAACCTCTGTTTTAAGGTTCTGTCCACGGATCACAAAAAAAGTTCAGTGTTCTTTCAGCAAAACGAAAACAAATCACATAAGGATGTGTGTGAATTGTTTTCGTTTTGCTGAAAGAACGCACATCTTTTTAATGATCCGTGGACAGAACTTTAAAACGGTGTTTGTGTTTAAAACTCCGTAACTTGAACAGTTCATGAGTGATATGAATGATTCTTGTACTAAAACAAAGCTTGTGAATCTGGCTTTCATATCCTAGATTTTGAAAGTGCCACATGCAAAACTTCACTTAAACAATGGTCCCGACATTTGGGTTTCGGTTTTTTTACTCACCCTGTACAGTAACTACAGAAGCCAATCAACAAATAAAGACCTTTTCCTAGTTCAGAGGCCTTCACCTATCAGGTGTAGACCCACAAACACGCACAGTCAATTACTCAAGGACGCTTTTTCTACTTAAAACCTTTCTGGCTGACTTTTATCGCTACGGGAAACCATCTCCATGGAGAGCCAATAATAACCTTCCAGAGATTTCCTGCTGCTCCGATTGTGTACGTTTCATCATCGGCCTAATTGCTTTGGAGCGTACAAATTTCCCCTTCGGGAGTTTTTTTTACCCAAAAAGTGTTTATTCTACCAATTGCTGAGTGCTCGAGGAATGTACAGTTCTGTAGCTTTTTTTACAAATTCTGTTGACATTGGGACCATTACAAAGGTCTGGTGCCAAGACTATAATAACAAGCCGACATGTGTTGTCAGTGTAATGCTGTGTCAGGGACTATCCCTCAGGGGAAAACAGTTTCTTGCTGTTTGCATTTACGCTGTTTTACACAATGTATCATGTACTTATTTTGCCATCCTTGGTTTAAAGCCAAATTCCTTCATGCTTCTGAGCTACACTGCCTGTTCCCCTAGCCCTCTGAGGAATCCTTGATTTTGTTACAAGAAAAAATTAAATAAAAACTGAAAATATTCACACATTAAATGAGCAAACCATCCTTCTTTCTGGGAACATTCGAGTTTTTTTTTTTTTAAGGGAATGTACATTATTGGCTTTCGCTGCAATTTTCAGAAATGAACTATCTGGGGGATAGTAAAATAGATCAAATATTGTTACACTGACATGTTTGAAGTTTTGTGTTCAAAAATGCTGGAAAACTAAGAAAAAACAAAAATGTTCAAGTAGTCTGGTTCCCCGACTCCACTAAAGATGAAATCGATCAAAAATGCCGTAAAATTGTAAGGTAAGGGAACCAGTCTAGCTAGCCTGCACCCGTTCATGAACATGCAACCAATAGCAAACAAAATTTGGATTGAAATAAAAAACCGGTAAATTTGGATCAGAAGTTGAAAAACAGTTAGGTTTTTCCAACGGTGGTTGGCCGACCACCGTTGGAAATGTATACAAAAGTACAATTTTTCTTGAAAGTGACTTCACACCAGGTGCCCCAATTTTACAGGATGCTTTAGACTGTCATTTACCAACATCCTGGTAAGGTATTTTGTAGCAACTGGGTAGTTTTATTTTTCGATGTTTGCAAATGTTGTATTTTCCCTTTAAAGTCTTTTTGAAATAGATGTTGAAAAAGCTGGGTAAGAATGGTAATAAGTTAAAAATTAGTTATATAATATTTAGTTATAAAATCAACTGGTACATTTTTTTTCCATATTATTTCAAAAAAGACATCTGCTTGGAATAATCTTATTTCTGGGTTTCATAACCTACTCAAGGTGGTCTTAGTCAATCCTTGCTTTATGCATGATGCGGTCTCTCTGAGTTCCAGAGAGTGTTAGTCGAGACAGATCCTGTTTTCCATGTGTTAATGCACCATAGAAAACTAAAAATTGAGTTTCCAACGAACTGTGTATCTGTTTGTAATGCAGGTGAGACTTATTGCTTGGAAAGCATACTCACTCCGACAGGCTGGCTCCCCGCTTACGGCCTGGTACCCGCTCCGGCATGTGCAGTCCTTCACACTGATACTCCCCGGCCCGCTGGTGTGGTTGGGGTCCGGGCAGGCCTTGCAGGTACTGATGCCTCCCGGGATAGCGCGGGGCTTGTACGTACCCGCAGGACATGCTAGCAAAAGAAAAGAGCGGAAATTGAATAGAACCAGTAAGGCATGGCTCTGTTCTATAATACTAAACAGAAAATGATAAACCTATCTCATATTGGGTGTGTTCGTTTAGCTCACCCATGTCGCCACAGGTCAGCCCCGTGCCGTTCGTTTAGCTCTGACGTCATTCTCGGGGCTCACCCGGATCAGCCACCATAGAGGCACAGACCCTGCTCGTGGAGTAGAGTCACTGGTGGAAGTACGTCACGTGCATGTATTGTTCATTCCCAAGAAACTGGCCAGACAGCAGGAATCTCAAGCGGACTCAAAAGTTGACTTAATGTGAAGTCTAAAGGTAATCATTAATTGAGTTCATTGCAACTTTTGAGGCTATAATTTCAGCACCACCTTTTTGAGTTTGCAACTGACTAAAAAGCAGTAAATCTCAAACAAAGACCCAATCCGAAACTGGCGTTTTGTCAGTGGCTATGGCCTCGCGTGAAGATCGTGATGGCCTGCGGTTGAGCGTTCAATTAGCCCGGTTGTCATGGCTGACTTGTCTGCCTTTACCTGTGTCAACCCGGGCGAGCTAAACGAGTGCACCCACTAAGTATCCTCATTGGGGATGCACTTACCATGGCAACCGTTGACAAACCCGCTTCCATAGTAACCCTGCGGGCATATGCATTCGTACTGGCCGTTGGTTGTGCCACAGCGACATGTTGCCAAGGGGTGACAGCAGTGGCCGCCTTCTGGGCACAGTGACGAGCACAGCCCTGCACTCTCTAGTATAAATTCTCCAAGACGTAGATCTAAAGAGGAAAGAAACCAAAACATTAAGTTATTACTTCAAGTGTGTACAAATGAAGGGTTTATATTTTCAAAATGCAATATACGCCATTTTGTTCCCTTTTAGAACATTCTCTCTTGTGGCTGCCTAAAGACGTTGTTGATGAATTTTTATATATACATGTACATTGTGTACATCATTGGCTTTCGCTGTAATTTTCAGAAATGAACTATTTTGAGGGGTTAGCATAACACATGTAGATCAAATATTGTTACACTGACATGTTGGAAGTTTTGTGTTCGAAAATGCTGGAAAAACCAAGAAAAATAAAAACGTTCAAGTAGTCTGGTTCCCTGACTACACTAAAGATGAAATGAATCAATTTATAGATGACGGAAAATTGTAAGGTAAGGAAACCAGTCTAGCTGGCCTGCACCCATTCCTGAACACGTAACTAATAGCAAACAAAATTTGGACTAAAAAAAAGGTAAATTTGGAGCAGTAGTTGAAAAATAGTTACGTTTTTCCAACGGTGGTCGGCCGACCACCGTTGGAAATTTATACAAAATACCACTTCTCTTGAAAATTACTTCTCACCAGGTGCCATCATCTTACAGGATGCTTTAGACTTTCATTTACCAACATCCTAGTAGGGTATTTCGAAAAAATTTGGTAGTTTTGTTTTCCGATGTTTGCAAATGTTGTATATTCCCTTAAAGATTACAAAGGTTTTATTTAGAAACAGCTGTTATACTGTTTTTATTCTTTAAAGTTTCAAAGAGCTTCGGTGTTAACCAGTTAGCGCCGGGATTATTTTGACATTGACCGAACCCAGGCGTGGGTTTGTTTTCACGAACCTCGATGCCCAAATAACCCAACTTATACCAAAAAATAATATCACAGACGTTTTTCTGCCAAAAAAAATCTATTTAGAAAATGGTATTCAGTTATTCAGTGGACTGGATGATTGACGGTTCGGATTCATAAATTCCGCACAAGCCTAACAGTAACAGACTTCTTGGGTGGGAGTGAAGGCAACCCCCTGCCTGTAGCAGGTGTTTTCATTCAATCAGGGTGTTGGACAACCCATGACCCTGCACACAAGGTCAAACACACAAACAAAGCAGGAACTACCGGACTGGCTGATAGGAAGGAAGGTAACAATTGGAAGAGGATATACGTGTCAAACTGTGAGAATAATAACAAGTGATTGCTACCAACTTTGAACCTAAAAAAAGGTTAACAATGGGGTAGAGACTCAATAAGTACTAGCTTGAGTAACTCCAGCTTAACAAGCTCATCAGGAATTCACATCGACTGCTAATTTTCACGACAATGCACCAGACGAAAATGGAACCCACTATATAGCGGCGCTTGAAAGCGGTGTGGTACCCACATACATCCCGCAATTTTTTTTCGGTAGGCCTAATCATCACGTGATGCATTTCATTTGTATAATTAACTAAACAAGATGGACGACAGCCGTTGGAACTGGACGTACGACAGCCGTTGGAACTGGACATTTTTAATGGACCAGCCGCCGAAATCGTCAACAATTTTCACATTTTAGTTTTGTTGGTTCTGAATTCTGTTTCAAGTCGATCATAAGCTTCGTGAATGACTGCTGAATGTGTGAGGTACGGCCATAGAATCTGCATGGGGTGGGATTATACTATTACTTACTATTAATTATAGAGGTGAAAATGGACCATTTTGGGGAGGCCCATTTTTAGGGTCTCTTACGACCACACTCGCACGCCGTGGTGTTATGTCTCCAGCGTTACATGTGAATTCCTGATGAGCTTGTTAACTTAAGCTGGAATTTATACTCAAGCTAATGAACCACCACCACCACGTTCAGTGACGTTCATGACGTTCACGGGTAGTAATCCCATAATCCAGAGACTCAAGCAAGACTACGAGTGTGAGCATCTAAACTTTCCAAGCTAGCTTCTTCAAACTCAAAGATCAAAACAAAATAATTTACAAATCAAATTCAAACCTTCAAGTCTGTTTACATATTTAGGAATTTTCAAAGCTGGAGTTTTAAGGTAGGCATGCACTTCGCCCCGCCGATCTGTGTCACCATGGAGGAAGGACTTCGTGCACGTGGGCTTTTCAGTCTGAGTACACTCATACACGCTATATCAAAACGAGTTTGTACAAGAAAGGGACCCGACTACTTGTCAGCCATGACTTTTATCAAAAGGGGGCGCTCAGACGAAAACGGTACCTAGACTTCTCTAACGTGAAACTGCATAATGCTTCCATAATTTACAGGCACCTGCCACTTGGATAGCAGACGACAGCTTTTGAGCGGGAAAGTTTGTGGTGGACTTTTAAACATGTGCTTTATGCCAGGGGCGTAGCACGGTCTTTGTTATGGGGTTATGGAGGGGGGGGGGGTTAATTGTTTGAAAAGGGCACATCAGTTGTGAAATGTAGACGGGGTAGACGGGGGGGGGGGGGGGGGGGGCTTGTACCATATCTGTTGATGGGGGCGCTGTTCAAAACTGACAATTATGCACACAAAGCGCCAATATACAAGCCGCCGAAATCGTCAACAATTTTCACATTTTAGTTTTGTTGGTTCTGAATTCTGTTTCAAGTCGATCATAAGCTTCGTGAATGACTGCTGAATGTGTGAGGTATGGCCATAATCTGCATGGGGTGGGATTATACTATATAGAGGTGAAAATGGACCATTTTGGGGAGGCCCTTTTTTAGGGTCTCTTACGACCACACTCTCACGCCGTGGTGTTATGTCTCCGGCGATACATGTGAATTCCTGATGAGCTTGTCAACTTAAGCTGGAATTTATACTCAAGCTAATGAACCACCACCACGTTCAGTGACGTTCATGACGTTCACGGGTAGTAATCCCATAATCCAGAGACTCAAGCAAGACTACGAGTGTGAGCATCTAAACTTTCCAAGCTAGCTTCTTCAAACTCAAAGATCAAAACAAAATAATTTACAAATCAAATTTAAACCTTCAAGTCTGTTTACATATTTAGGAATTTTCAAAGCTGGAGTTTTAAGGTAGGCATGCACTTCGCCCCGCCGATCTGTGTCACCATGGAGGAAGGACTTCGTGCACGTGGGCTTTTCAGTCTGAGTACACTCATACACGCTATATCAAAACGAGTTTGTACAAGAAAGGGACCCGACTACTTGTCAGCCATGACTTTTATCAAAAGGGGGCGCTCAGACGAAAACGGTACCTAGACTTCTCTAACGTGAAACTGCATAATGCTTCCATAATTTACAGGCACCTGCCACTTGGATAGCAGACGACAGCTTTTGAGCGGGAAAGTTTGTGGTGGACTTTTAAACATGTGCTTTATGCCAGGGGCGTAGCACGGTCTTTGTTATGGGGGGGGGGGGTTAATTGTTTGAAAAGGGCACCTGCACATCAGTTGTGAAATGTAGACGGGGTAGACGGGGGGGGGGGGGGGGGGGGGGCTTGTACCATATCTGTTGATGGGGGCGCTGTTCAAAACTGACAATTATGCACACAAAGCGCCAATATATGGTGCTTTTCAGGGCGATACATGTGCGCATTTCTGAAAAAGGCACCCAAAACGGCAGATGCCACAAAAAAGGGCACCACTTCTTTTTTGAAAAGGGCACTTGGCCAGAAAAAAGGGGACTTCGTAAAAAAAAATTCTTGGGGGGGGGGGGGGAGGTTAAGCCCATTGAAAAAAAGGCATCATTGAATGGAAAAAGGCAGTCTGTACAAAATACGCCTTTGCTTTATGCGTTCCATAATTGATTATGCAGCTATCTCCTACGGTTATTATAGAAATTGTACGGGAAATGTTCACTTGAAGCTGCATGATTGGACACATCTGTCTAGCTGCAGGCTGACCGAGGCATGTGTTTTGATGTTGGACTTGAGAGAACAGTGAAAAGAACAAACCGTAAAAGGTGAGCCACCAGTGCTTGCTTTCATTTCCCATGAACATGTTAAAAGTTGACCTTCTGGTTGTGTCGTATAGGTGACGACCACATGACTTTAACGAAATCCCGGCACTATATGCAGCCGACTCGGCATGCAATAGCCTTGTAACTGACGATTTCTACTAGACTTTCTGTTAATCTGCACCCACAAAATGATAATGATTAATATACATTAAAGAGTAACAGTTTTCAGGCGGGAGAAGCCATATGGAGATATTACGACTACGGTGTGTTGACAAACATGGTCTTAGCCTTCGTATGGGCCTTACCTACATTACGGCCGTTTTTAATTGAAAATCTTCAGTTTTGGAACTCAGGTGACGAGTAATGGAAGCAACGACATAACACCAGTCTGCCCTGAAGAATTAAAATGTGTAATTAAACATAGGCCTACCCTAATGTCTTAAGCAATATTTAAAAAGAAACGAAAGTGCCGGGTTAGAATGTTAAAATAGTCTGACACCATCCCGTTCAACAGTTCACAGTTTACAAAATACATACAGGGAACACGACAGAAATGGCTTCCTTAGGCCCCCTATGAGTAAAGTCCATGGAAAAAAAGTGCATGGTCTTTGGCCTTCAGGCTACAATGTGACGTAAAAGCAACTGAAAAACAAGAACAATCTACCTTCATGAAGTGCCCTCCTCGCCAGAGCTTCAAACTCCTGGAAAGTATCCAGTATGTAGCAGTGCTGCCGTTTGGGTACGGTCGCCATCATGTGCAGCTCTTTCACGTTGCCGTTCTTGATCCCAAAAGTGAAAATCTCCACGTTGTTTCGGGCGAGGTTTTGGGCGATCGGGCGGGGGTCGCCGCCGTTGGAATAGCCGTCCGTAATGAGGAACACGGCCTTGGTGGCGTTGGGACGAGCAAACGGCGATGACAGCGCTTTCTGTGAATGTAACAAAGTGAATTTATCAATAAATGTTCACAAAGTCAAAGGATTCAGTTTTAGTCTCATGAAAAAGGCAACACAAACTAATTTCTTTTAAACACCCGTCCCTTTAATTTATTGTAACATAAAAGTTATAATGCCCAATTATTTAGGGAACAAAGGCTGAAACTTGTAACGTAGGCCCTACATGATTGTGTTTCAATGTTTTTGCGTATAGTACACAATCTTTTTGAAAGACAAAACTAGTGAAGTTTGTACTAATTTGGAGTTTTGTTTTTTCATAATTTGTCAGCAGAAGTTAAGAAATCCATCATTAATGATTTTTTTTAGTGTAGGCCTGGAACCAAAAAAAGAAAGAAAGAGATTTATATTTCTTTGCAATGATGTCAAGGTCATGTATATGATGTATAAATTATACGCCTACAATAAAGTTCAGCTTGCGTTGACCCAGCGTTGACCTTGAAGTCATAAAAACAAGTTCAGCTGATTTTGTTTTGATCTGTGAAATGAAGGTGAGGGCTTTGGGTCAAACAAAGATACTGTAATTATTTATAAATATCGCTTTTATGTCCGGGAAATATTTACAGATAGACCCAATTGTTATTCATTTTATGAGGTTGAGCACATAGCATGCACTGAGGACTGGGGAAATAATGTGGCAGAACTATTATTTCTGTGCAGTACAACATTTAATACGGAAAATACATCTAAAGTAAGACATGCATGGCGTGTGACGGTATATACGCAAAGTGGTGTTTACTTCTATACGTTTATGCATATAAAAGGAAATATACATGATCCACCTTTTTTACTAAAAAGATTCATTTGAAATTGAATGAACTAATTTTTGAAAGAAAGAATGCAATAATTAAGCAACGGAAGTGAATTAGGCCTACCCCTTTTCAAGGTAGAATGTTGATTCTAAACAGCTTTCAATATCTAATGAAATGGATTTTGCCGGGCTACGACATATTTTGTTGGGTCCGGAAAACACATTTAATTTAACACGAAACAACAATGACAGGCCAATGTAGACTTACGAAAAAATGGGAGGAAAAGGGGAGATGTGTGTACATGGTCTGGCTACAGACTACGGAAGTCGTTTGTGGTTTAATTGTCACGGCCACCTGAAGTTCAAGGCGGCATCGTCTGGTTGCGGGGTTTGACTGAGGTAACTTTGTTCATGGTTGGTACGGTGATGCAATATACTGCGGGACTGCCGAAACAGTTATATTGCGCCATATAATCTTTATCAATTTTGTTATCGTATGCATGTTTTTGGCAAAGTTTTTATATGAGGCTAAGTTGACTTATCTTTTTACAGGCACGGGCTTTAAGCACCAACCGAATCCTCTCCAAACACAAAATTGTTGCTTGTTTAGTTGAGGTTCTACGGCCGGATGTACTATATAGGCCGATATCATAAATTATACTTGAATTTTTTTCCATGACCATGTTTTTGACAAAGGCTTTAAAGTTCACCAATAAAACAATTTCACATCCATGATCAATTGTATTTTCATCATCGTTATCTATGTTATCATCACCGTCAGAATTCTATATCTTAGATTCTTATAGCTATAGCTATTTGTCAAACACTCACCTGTGCCAACAGAAACGCTCCCCGAGTGAAGGTGCCACCGCCGACGTAAGTTATTCCCGGTAACTCGGCATTCAGCAAGGAGCATTTGTGCTTGGTGGGACTGGGTTCCCCCAGGTGGTCAATGTTGGCCACCACTCGGTGGCGGCTAGCGAAGGTGATAACGGTGACTCGCGTGGCCCACTCCGCCACCTCGAAGCTGGCCAGGAGCTTCTTGACGAACTTGAGTTCGTTGAAGAAGTTGGTGTTGCCGACGCTGGCTGAACTGTCCACCAAAAAGACCAGGTCCACCTGCCCGTTGGCAGTGTTGCGGAGTTTATCCACCTGCCCCTTCAGGACCTCGGCACTGGACATGTTGGAGCATCCAGCCTTAGCTTCGGCGTGGGACAGCTTTCGTGTCTCGCCGAACTGAAACTCTTGGGTTTCGAAGAGTGCTGCCGCATCGTCATATACATTTCCATCGTCAGATATCGCCGGCTCCTCAAGTTGCTGTGGACTTTGCTTATCGTTCGAGCTGTGGATGTTTTTAACTGAAGTTGCGTCTGGTATCGAGGGACCGGTTTCGTTCAGAAATTGTTCTTGTTCCGTTTGAACTATAGACATTGAGTGAGTACAAGGCATGCATATCCATAGCAACAGAAAGGGCAGCATGATTGTGACACACCGCAACCTACCGCCTAACCTTAGCACTGCAGCAGTCACCACCACCATTTCGTTAACCGTTGGCCTACCGTCTAACTTAAGCGACTCCGTGCAGAGATATGACATCTTGGCCCTGGGTTCGTAAACACACCCCGCACCGCTAGAAGGCCGCCAACTTTCACTCCCGCCCGGCACGCAGCATGCACTGCAATTCACACACCGTACAATGACACCTCGGCTCTTCACGACACTTCTGTTGCTGAAAGTTCACATCGAGTAACAGCACTTTATTTTGAGCTACAAGCTGTGGCAGTGAAATGGAACAAGAATCTTGGCTTGGCTCATGATGGCCTATTGTTCCATCTCTTGGCTGTGGGTGCTGAAGACCAGGAGATTAGCAAAGAAAGCCAGCTGATGATACAGTGCTTTGTCAACGTCAACCGATAGAGCCCAGCTGTGAACTGTCAACTAACTCATCCCCCACGCATGCCACGCAATAGCCCTTGTTCTGAACTGATTGCCTAACTCTGAATACCATTACGACTGGTCTCCAACCATGGAAGATGGTAGCGGATTTTGTAACGGCCCAGCTCGAGCCAGGCTGCGCGGGACCACGGCTTGTATCGACGGGCTCACTCAGTCACAGAGACATGACAGACTTCGGAAACGGCCTCATGGTCTCTCTGGGGTCATCAAGATATAAATGTGGCGAGGAAGTCCTCTTTCCGGGATTTGTCTGCTATGGTCCACATTCTCTTTGTACCGACAAATCCGGTTTGCAATCAACTTCCCCATTTTGCTAAAGTGACACTTTGTGAGAGAAAAAAGTGTCAACCGACAGCGTTTGATCACGCATTCTGCTCATGCTCACGGTGCTTATAAAAGAAATGTTCACTATGTGTGGGACTTGGTCACTAGTCTTGTCCAGTTCACAAATGCTTCTACCTAAGGCCCCCCCCCCAAAAAAAGTCTCCGGTTTCTGGTATGCGTGCGCGTCGCCGTAGCCATGCGCGTCGGCAAAATGAAAAAGTTTTTTTTTTTAATGAAAGATGATGTCTCAAAACCGCCAAACCCACTGGTTTGACTGGAATCCTGCTGCTGCACAATTTTAACGTGTTTTTAGATTGGGTTATGGTCGAGAATAAGCTTTATGTGGCCTCTCTGGACTCCCATATATTTGCACTAAGTTTAGTCGGGCACCATTTGCAGTCATCAGCCGACATTTGAAGCAAAAAAATCAGGTAAAAAAAAAAAAAAAAAGCCGCGTCACCGCACCACTTTTTGGGCAAGCTCCATACCAGAAACCGGAGACTTTTTTTTGGCCTAACAAACCTGTTTCATGGTCACAAACGTAAGGGTATTCTGATTTAAGTGCTTGCGTGACACGAATTCGGTCATCTGTACACAGATTAGCTATCTTCCAGGGAAAGGGTTTTTGCACTTTTGCGAGCTGCGCGGTCAGCCACCTTGTGTTCGCATAGGCCTACCCACGTGTTGTAATTATTAACATGGTACAAAAATGTAGTTGCATGTTTTAAAAAAAATCGGACCTATGCTGCTTACTGTTTGAATTTTGAATTAAATGCATCCCCAAAGGCTTGTTCCTTTTACAAAAAGAGCTTTCTCTTTTTGTTAATTACTGTGCTTTGCTTTAACTGTCATTTACATGTAAAATTCCTTGTGAAAATAAGGACATTCTGAAAAAGTTTAGAGGTCGAAGAAAGGGTAAGTTGAGCAAAACCTTAATTGAAATTCAGCCAGGAGTGATTCGATGCAGTGAAATAGACACGCATTAGACCCCCCAAAAAGTCTCTGGTTTCTGGTATGCGCGCGCGTCGCCGTAGCAATGCCCGTTACGTCGGCAAAATTAAAAAAAAAAAAAAAATGTAAGATGATGTCTCAAAACCGCCAAACTCACTGGTTTGACTGGAATCCTGCCGCTGCACAATTTTAAAGTTTTTTTAGATGGGGTTACGATCGAGTATAAGTTTCATGTGGCCTCTCTGGGCTCCCATACATTTTGCACTAAATTTAGTCGGGCACCATTTGCAGTCATCAGCCGACATTTTGACGGAAAAAAAGTTTAAAAAAAAGCCGCGTCGCCGCACCACTTTTGGGACAAGCTCCATACCAGAAACCGGAGACTTTATTTTTTGGCCTTATTAGTTCAGGGCTCATAATGTTCAACGGCAGAGGGAGTATTACAATTAGGCATTCACAGATTTAGCCGTGTCCGCAACCGGCATTGTTTCTGTGGTTATTGACGTAAAGCCAATGACACAGCCGAAGCCGTACATAAAACCCAATTCGTACACATAACCGAGGTTTGTAAGAAGAGGTTCCTATCATCCTTACTTGTATAAAAACTGGAAAATGTGCTTAGTTTGCTAAGGTTTCTTCACAATAATTTTTGCGTCCAAAGTTGACACGCAGCTGAGATGCCGGCCGCCATCTTTGTCATTTTAAAACATGAACAATTTACAATAAAACTATCTAGCAGAATTAATATTGATACACTTTGCTTTATTCGCCTCTTTATTGATTTTAACGCGTATAAGTTAAAAAGTAATTTTGTTAGAAGTCCAGTTGACATGTCGGCTACACATTTTGATAATATGCTCAATATAGATGAAACGATAAATCGATGAAGTATTTTTGCATCATTACAGCGTTGAGTCATCTGATGTTAATCACAATATCAATCACAATATAATTCATTAAGAAAATTACATCACAATATTAATCATTAAGGCTGTACCGTTTAAATTATTTGAAGTAACAATTAATATAATGTATCGACTATCGACTATCGACTAAGACGCTACAGTGCCTCGTCAAATTCCTTTTTACGACAATCATGTTTTATTTTTATCGTGGTAACTATGTATATTATACAAAACTATCAAACTACAATCTTAATTTTAAATATTACTCAGTAAGTCAAACCTATGATATTTTAGCCCTTCTTCAACTTCAACAGTCATTCATGAAGTCATTTTCTGCCCTTGTGAAACACAAGTTATGAGCAAAATTTTAATATTTAAGTCCTATATACAGCTTACAGAAAACGCAGTAGACAAATTATAATGAATATACCATATATACTCGTATCTGAACACTTTAATCAAAGTACATTCCTTCTGAGTATTTATACATTAACTTACATATAGGCGTACATATATAAGTATACAGCTGTACTTCGTGAGTCAAACTCAGATCCTTTGTTCAACGGAAAACAGACCAAATTGAAGTTTAAAATATGCCTGTCATTTCAGGGTAGCATGTTATATATTCACCTTCAACTCAATTTCTTATTCGCCAACGGGATCTTGCAATCTTAACACACCACCTAGCGGTGAAAAGCCATCCCAGCCTGGTTCACAGTAGATATATCCGCTCCGTTCACAAGTACCCCCTCACCGGCAAAGGAAGTACAGTTGGGGGTGCGCGGCCACTGCGTGTACATAGAACAAATCCCCTGGTGTACGCGCGTCACACACAAAGAACGGTGCGCGTCAACCAGCGAAATGTACCGCCCATGGGACGTCGTTGCTAGGTAAAAGGGCGCCCTCTTTTGGTAGCGCACGGAGCTCATAGGTAACCGTCACATTCAAATCTAAAAATTTGAAATTTGAAATTTGGGATTTGTGCGTCCAAAATTTGACGCACAAATCCCAACCCTCGTACGAGTCCATATTTGATGCACAACAACAGATGGGCATTTTATAAAGATACTTGGAAGAACGCCTTGCACTTAAAAACCCCCGCAATGAATATGTTAACGCAAAATTGGCAAAACTGATTGCCAACATATCCGAGTGTCAACGAATTTTTTCTCCAAACCCCCCCCCCCCCACATTTTCGGAAATGGGCAGGATTTTGACCGCTTTGGATCATTTTATGTTTAGCCGGGTTTTTATCATTTTATTTTTAACCTGACCTAATGTTCGTCAGAATAGTCAGAATCTTTCGGTACGGGAGCCAGACTAACACAATACCGACGCAGCCGCATTACTCACATGGAAAGAGGGGCGGGGTGAACAGCGCCCTCAACCGTTCACGCAAAATCAGTTTTTGTTTATCTAAATTCCGACATTACGACACTTTAGGCCAAAAAAATTAAGTCTCCGGTTTCTGGTATGCGCGCGCGTCGCCGTAGCCATGCGCGTCGGCAAAATGAAAAAGTTTTTTTTCAATGAAAGATGATGTCTCAAAACCGCCAAACTCACTGGTTTGACTGGAATCCTGCTGCTGCACTGAATTTTAACATGTTTTTAGATGGGGTTATGATCGAGAATAAGCCTTATGTGGCCTCTCTGGACTCCCATATATTTGCACTAAGTTTAGTCGGGTACCATTTTGCAGTCATCAGCCGACATTTGAAGCAAAAAAAAACAGGTTAAAAAAAAAAAAGCCGCGTCGCCGCACCACTTTTTTGGGCAAGCTCCTTTTTTTTTGGCCTTGGCCAGTCTTATTATACTTTACATAGTAGAATTTCCTTTTTTTTCTGTAATTCATTTTGTGTCCAAACTCAGTGCAGACCTACGGAATGACTGTGTTTTCGTAGTGGTGCGCACCCCGTGAACGGCCGCCATCTTAGGCTTTTTGGTTGCCTTGGTAGTTGATCGTTTAGTGGATACTCGAGGTGCTGACGCACGTGTTGTTGATTTCCCGGACGGAACAGTGGATGCCCCAGTAGGTGATCCACAGCTTGTTGGTGTTGCTGATATCTTCTTCAATTCGACTGTGGACAAAATACATACCGGAATAGGGTTAGTCACAGGTGTAGCGAATATCCTGAAGTTTTAATGCTACCTCTTGTAATCACAGTAAAATTCCCTTACTATCGTCCTTGATGTCAAAGTATATCGCATCGGAGTCATCAGGGGCAGGTGTATGTGGATTTTTTGTTGCCTTCTTTGTTGAACGTTTAGTATATGCGTGAGGTGCTGACACACGTGTTGTTGATTTTCCGGACGGCACAGTGGATGCCCCAGTAGCTGATTCACGGTTTGGTGTTGCTGATGTCATTGTCTTCTTCAATTGGACTGTGAACAAAACATCACAGGTTTAATTACAGAGGTGGCGGATATCATTAAATTATAATAGTATGTCTTGTAACCTCAGTAAAATTCCCTTACTATCGTCGTTGATGTTGAAGTATATCGCGTCGGTGTCATCAGTTGCATGTGTGTTGGGCGAGGTGCTACTATCCGGCCTCTTGTACTGCAGACAGCGTCTTCTGCACGTTCAAGAAAAGAGTATTAGACAATAAGTGCAAATGTATCAATATGTACCGCAAGGTCACAACATATACTGGCTATGTTTTTCTTTGTTTCATTTTTCTCTTTGACTAATTTTGGCCAAATACATGTATAACTAAAACAAGCGATTCTCCTTACCGAAAGTGTCGGGCACACGTTACCAGCAAGGCAGCAGTCACAGTAAATATGATGCCAATGACGATTCCTACTCCGACGAAGGCTGGATTAGATACACCAGTACTTCCAGATGTTTCGCGATTCCCTGGGTACACTAGAAGAGATTGCCATGATCAAGTCTTCAAACTTCTTATGGTGTGCCAATTTAGATACTTAAAACTGCAATAGGGGGCTACTCAATTAAAATCATGCGATGGGCTACTTTTTTTAAGACCTGCGGTTACATTACAAACCAATGCAGTACAGTATCAAAGTGGCAATAGTCCTAAAAAAAGTTCCGCCTGATTATCATCTTGCAACACAAAATAATATGAAATCTTCGTGAATTGATTGGATTGTCCACTTGTTAACTCTCCAATTCTAAAATGGTCCCTGTCAAGTTGCCAGCATGACTCCCAACTCATCCGTTAGTGTTAATGCATTGTATGTAATATATTTCTACCCTACATTTTAAAAGCATAATTCTAACTTCAAAATTCATTTTGTCGAGAGGTTCGCATAAACTTTCAAATTGATGAGCACATAGAAGAGGATAAAGAACAGTAAAGTCAATCTTTACTCTGAAGTAACATGAGTATTTCATTATACCAGTAGGAATCTCAAAGTCGACCTCCTTCCAGGGTCCTGGGCCTACACGGGTGAACGCCCACAGCCTGAAGGAGTAGGACGCCCCCTGTGACAGACCATCGACTTCAACAAACTCTGCCGTGGTGTCGTCTGTTTGTATCATGGACCCAGATGCGTCACGGAGCTCGTACGCGTAGCCTGTGACGTCACCACCTCTTTTGCCGCATGGAATCGGATACCAAGACACTCGAACGCTCTGACTGGATGGGAGAAAGTCGTTGAATTCGGGAGCAGCCAACGGCACTGCAAGAAAAAGATTTCAATTGAAAGTCAAAAAAGAAATAAAGTTATCACACTACAGCTGATAAAACCATGCATGTAATCAGGCGTCCAAAGAATGATTCTATCGCTGTATCCAACAAAGGTACTTAGGCCTATCTACAATCTTTGCAAAGGTTATATGAGTTGTAATAATAATGCAAGATGCAATGGAACAGAAGCAATAATTTTGACAGAAGCGTAAAGCGAATGGGGTAAAACGCCCTCTTATGGTTATAATGCACTCGTACTAACCTCCCTCATCAGTCGTTACTGTCTTGCTCTTCAAGTAATTTGCGCCATCATTATTTGCTGGTACGACTTGCACACTGTACGTAGAGTACGCATGCATTGATGTGATGCTGATGTCATTGCCATTTACAACTCCCACATTTGTCAGCGAAGGATCGGTCTGTGGTTGGCACTGCTCCAAGTTGAGAAGTTGGTAACTCACGCGGTACGAGGTCACAGGGCAAGGGTTGTCCTCGTTCCCAGCAGTTGTCCAAGAAGCCTTGATTTCATTGGTTGCGGGTTGAAGATTGAGTGATAGGATTTCATCTGGAAGATAATACAAATAAAAGTGAATCTCTAAAAGGAATTTGTAGCATAATTAATAAAGACCTACAGTTACTAATTATGATTGTGGCTCTCGGCTAAACATATTGATTATCTGCGGACACCAAAACAAAACATGGTCATTCTGTACGCAGTAATCTTATTTAAATACACATTACTTCTTATTTTCCGATTCTACTACCTGATCAATCTTAATATGGTAAACCAAGTGTTCGTTTTTAATTCCAAGGGAAAACAAAAACCTTTGCTGTTATGTATAACCGACCTATGATGGGCTGAATGAAATGACCTGCAAAATGAAGTTGCTACTTACCTATCACGACTGTATCTTGCTGTGTCCAGTTTGTCCACGGACCAGCTCCTATGCGAGTATATGCGCGAACTCTGATTGAGTAAGTGGTGCACTGTGATAAATCACGGAAGGTAACAGACAGCTCTGAGACATATCCCTTCTTGCTAGGTGTGGAGTCTTCTTGTGGTCCCAGCCCTCTGAATGCGTACTCGTAGTGCGTGACATTGCCACGTCTACTGCCACAAGGGATGGGATCCCAGGAGAACGTGATGCTGTCATTGGATGCTGTACTTCGGATAACCGGTGCTGCCGTTGGTACTGAAAGAAAACAAACAGGCAGACAACAAACAAACAAACGAACAAACAAACAAATAAATAAGCTCAGGGCAGAATATAAAGTGATTTCCGAATGAAATCCAACGTGATTAAAACTTTGTCTTAATCTTGTTCCAACTAGTAAGATTCAAGTTTGGAATTGACGTACAGAACGTATTTAATTAGCGGTATTTGGTACGCGTCACACCTGCGTTTCAGAACGACCGATTATTTCAATTTTAGATCTACTCCCGTCGACGATATTGGCAGTATTATATTTGCAAATTAAAATCAATATTTGAGTAATTTCAATCCTTAAGGTTACTGCAAACCACTTACTCTTTTCGTTTGTATATATATACATGGAATTTTCTTCACCATGTCCAGCTTCATTGACTGGCGTGACATTCACTCTGTACTTGGAGTAATACGCAGGTAGGTGGATCGCAACGTGAGTGGTGTCGACCGTTCCTACATCTGTTATGATTGGTGGATTCTGCTGCATGCATCGGTCCATCTTGATAAGCTCATACGTTACACTGTAAGATGTCGCAGGGCAGGGTCCTTCGGGGGAAGTCCAACAAACGTCGAATTCGTTTCGTTCACGTGAAATGGCGTGGATGGATATATCTGATATAGCGTCTGGAACTGTATGGAATGAAGGCATAACAATATATTATAATATTTCCCCAGAAAAAAACACATTGGTAAGTAACTATTTTTTAATCGATTATCATTTGGGAGAATTGGAGGATGTCGATTTGAAAATCCAACGTACAGTCTTATTATCAATGTTTTTATCGTGTAATATACCCAGCTCCGTTAAACATCGTGTAATGCTCATCTCTCCCGTTAGGTATTGAACAAACTCGGAGACCCTTACATACCAGCAGTGGCCGTTTGTTGATGCAAAGTGACCGATGGTCCTCCTCCTTCACTGGTGTATGCCTGCACAGCAAGAGTGTAAGTTGTACAGGGTTCTAAAATTGTGTATGTCACTGACGTGGTTAAATCATCCCCTTTACCAAGTAGCCCATCGGGTCCAATCAAACATGTCCTGTAGCCAGTAATGTTGACACCTCTGCTTCCACAAGGGATGGGGTTCCATGTCCACGTGATGCTATCAGTCGTTGCTGAACTGCTTTTGAATTCGGGTGGAATCTGCGGAACTATAGTAAGTATAACAATAATCCATGGAGCATGTTGCACTTAATGGATGAGATTTAACGTTCATAATTTGCTATGGATTAACGTACTATTACAAATTTATTACGTATCATTTCGACTCCCTCCCAACGGCTTGATGTATCAAATAACTGGCATTTTCATTTTTGTCATGAACCCAGACCAGTGATGTAGTGCCTTGATGCTGGGCCTTGGCCTTAAGGCTGCCTTAAGGCTGGATTTTAGGGCCTTGGCCTTGGCCTCGAGGCTTGAGGGCAAAAGCCTTGGCCTTGAGGGTTCAGGGCCTTGCAATTTTGAGTCAAGGCTCTTCAAGGCCCATAGATTTTTGCATTTTCCAGATAAATCTGTTCGAAATTTTGCTGTTACCATTTTAATCGTATTACGATGGAGGAGGGAAGCACCATATAGATTTGTGTGTTGGGCACACTTCCACTTTTATAGCATCACATGTTGTTACCATTGTAGTAGATTTGCTGCAACAATATTCCGTACACTTGTGGGGCTAATGAGATGATCACTTTAATTGCATATAACTATGGAATAGATCTGATTGGTTGTATATGTCTCCCTGATAAGTGCTACAGATTTGCATGTATCTGTTTTAGATAATGTTGATATTTCTTACCATGTTGGGCCAGCAAATAAAAATTTCCCAAATCAGTTTCTTGGATCCCCCTTTTGTTACACTTGGGAGAATTGTGTGTCAATATAGAAGTAAATCATTATTTTGTTTAGTTAAACCATATTGAAGACCTGAACTTATACTTTAATAGATACAGTGCAGTCATAAAACGGTGAAGGCCTATGCGAGCATGTTGATTGCAATTAAAGAAATGTTGTTCTTCGTAACGAGCAATTCGTGATGATAAGGGCGGATCCAGGGGGGCCAAAAGGGGCAATGCCCCCCCCCCCCCCGCCCAAAAAAAAAAAACGAAACCATTTTTTTTTATGTGACGTCGTAATAAAGGCAGGCAATGAGTACACCACCATCTTTTCCTAAAAAAACATCGGTTAAAATGGTCAGAAATTGCCTCAAATCGCACCACAGAGCATCTCGAATCCAAAATTTTTTCGGGGCCCATAAGCGGGCACCGAAGCCCAAGCCGTAATTTTTTGACCCACTTTTTTTGGGGGGGGACCAAAATTTCTTTGCCCCCCCCAAATTGTGTTCTGGATCCGCCCTTGCGTGATGATGTGTCACTCATGTGACTATAATTAGTTCTATATCAGTGGTCATTTCATAAAACAGGGCCTTGGCCTTGGCCTTGAGGGTTAAGTCTTGGCCTTGGCCTCGAGGCTTGAGGGTCAAAGCCTTGGCCTTGAGGGTCAAAGCCTTTGCTCCAACACTGACCCAGACCTTAGAGAATTCCAACTTTAACAGATTTGAAATCGTTCAACCTGTTATTCAGGATGCATATCCAGAGCAAATATAAGAATATACCGAAATCGACAACTCTATACCACATAAGAGTGGAACCATTATGGAAGAGGTTGATGCAGGCTACCTGTTTCTCCAGTTGTAATTTGAGTTGAAGATGCCGTGCCGTTTCCAGCCTGATTTCGTGGTGTAATAGACACATTGTAAGTAGAGTACGCCTTCAGTCCTCGTAGAGTGATGCTGGTGTTAGTGGTGGTCACCGATCCGCCATGTTGATGAACCTCCAGACACTGCTCCAGGTTTATGAGGTCAAAGGTCACCAAGTAGTCGGATGCAGGGCAGGGGTACTCTTGGCTGGTTCCAGGTGATTCCCACAACAGCGTGACTCCATTGTGACTGGTTCCCTGAACGGTCAGTCTGTCAACGGCATCTGGGACTTCAACAAGAATGTAATCGCGTCTGATGAATCGCTTTCAAAATTGTCAGTTAAATCCATTTTTTTAATGCCAATAGACAATTTGTTAATAAAACGGATGCACTACCGATATTTCTGGAAGGTATCGATATCCAATTTTGATATGCAGTTAGAAATCTCCTTTTATAATAATAACATTCACAGGAAACATCAACAGGAATAGATGAAGTTGTGTACCTTCCCCAATATACATAAACCTTTGTTTATAGCTGAATGGTCCGATGCCTTTGGTAGTTTCAGCAGCTACCTCAAATTCATACAGTGTACCACACAATGGCAGGTGTACAGATACTGAGTCGCCTTCAGTCCGTACTGCTTCAAGTTCCTGTTGACTCTCAACTGGCCCGAACTTGAACACGTAATTCACAATCACCGTGCCGTTTGGACAGTTCAAGGGTTGCCAAAAGAAATTCCGAGTCATTCCATTATCAAAGGAACCGAAAGATGAGACCATTTGTGGTGCGAAAGACTCATCGGTGTGGTCTGAAATGTAAAGATGAACAGTTCTCTTAAATGAGCAACTTTTTTCCGATTTCGTGGATGAAATGTAAAACGGTTACCAATGACATTCACAGGCACTGTGCGGAAACAGGATTGCAGTCTGCTTAAAAAGAGGGGGGGGGGGGCCATTAGGTGTGGAAATCAGCGTAGACATGAGACGACTATTGGCATGGTAATTTTGACATAACGATGTTTACATATATACGTGGCCGAAATGCTCTTTTGTAGTTTTAACTGAAAAAAAACCTCAGTAGACTAAGTTAATCTATTTTTAAAAAAAAATCACAAAGAACAGTAAAATAACCTTAAAATAGTAAACGTGATGAACTCAAAGCTAGAGCCTTGATGCAATCAGATATACGATAATTTATACTAAACAATGTATCTACCAAATTGACAATGAAAAAGCACATCGTTGTAATATAGGCCTACCTAGAAATTCTGTGCAGGTTGTGTTACACGACGCCATATTTCCATTAAACGGCAGGCATTTATCTGCAATCAAAAAGGGAGAATAGGTATATAGAATAAATCGTTTGCACTGCGGCCATCTTTGGGGTACGCATAAGTAGATTTCTTGTGCATGAATTGTTAAAACATTAACATTCCCTAACAAAACAAGGGCAAACCGTTGCCATTCAATTACCTTGACAGTTGATGCCCATGAATCCTAAGGCGCACTCTCCAGGACATTCGCCCGTGATTCTGTCGCACGCAACCCCGTTCATGCAGTGACAGTCTTGACCGTATGTGTCAATGTCACAGGCTGAGGTAAAAACGAAAACGCCAAACAATATCGTGATGGAAGTTTCAAGAACATTTAAAGACGAAGAAAACAAAAACGATCAAAGAGTAAGTTACCTTGGCAGTTGATGCCCATGAATCCTGGCGCGCAATCCCCAGGACACTTGCCCGTAGTTCTGTTGCACGCGACCCCGTCCATGCAGTGACAAAGGCGACAGTCTTGTCCATATGTGTCATCGTCACAAACTGAAACAAAATACCCGTATTGGGTTTGTAATACACGTGTTACATGTGCATTCAAAGGATCTGACCTAGTGTGAATACATCATTAATGTTCATTAAAAAACACCCAGATTGGTTAAACATAACTGTCTAATCGTTGATTGAAATTACTAACAATTGGTTAAATTGGTTGGACACATATTTAACAATTGTTGGTTATTTCAACCAATGATTGGTTATGTTAACCAATGTTGTTTCAGAGTGTACCTTGGCAGTTGATGCCTGTGAATCCTGGCGCGCAGTCCCCGCGACACTCGCCCGTAGTTTTGTTGCACACGACCCCGTCCATGCAGTGACATGTCTGTGCACAGTCTGCTCCGTAAAAACCCTCATCGCATGCTACATACAGCACCAGATAGGAATTATTGTGTTGGGTTGAAAGTGACGGTAAATAAATTCAAAAAGCTTGAAATGCCAACCCCTCCATAGTATACAAATATTGAACGCGCACACCAGCATGCATTTGCACACAAATACCGCGCCGTGGAAATAGTACTTTGGTTGCTAATGGTATAGTACTTTGGATGCTATGCGCATAGTACTTTTGGCCGTGCACAGAAAGATAGCAAAATTAGAAAGTAACATGTGACTCGCTCTCGGCCAATCAAGACACAGAATCTGTGGGTGAGGTGTTATAATATCAATAATAAAAGTCGTTATGGGGGTGGGGTTGGGGTGTTGGCACCCCAATAGTAGTTTTTGTTGACAAACTCAAATCACTGTCTACAAAATAAACCAACATAAATATGGAATATTTATATAATATACGAAACAATAAATACCTTATAATGGTACCGGTAACAATTAAAGTTCTAATAATAATAATGTCAATGTCTTTTGACTTAGGCCTACTTTCATCGCAGTCGATTCCTTGGTACCCTGCAGCACACGAGCAGCCATAAGGATCTGGTAAACAGAACAACATCCCAGCACACGTGGGACCGCCTCCTAACTCAGGTGAGTCGCAGCCAAAACTTCCCGATTGGCCAAAACGGTTGGGGCCTTCAGCTGAGAACGATGTAAACCATTTGTTTTTAAAATCAAATAACAAAAGAAATGGGACCCATAGTAAAACTTCCAAAAACAATGAAAATTATAACTCGGTTAATTTGTTGCCGAGTTTTGTGGGCGAGTTGAAGATAATAAAACTTTGACCATTAAATACGAAGGGAACACAACAGGTTTTTTTGCGGTGTAAAATCACCCACATGACAGGCTCTCGATCAATAGGAATTGAGTAAACTGTTCCAGATATTATGAATACATATAGTTTTCTTATATAAATTTAAAGATTTTGCATCATTTATTTCTAGAAAACTACGATAATAAATTATAAGGCTCACGAGTTTCGCAAAAATCGCCACTAAATCCTGGCGGGCAAATGCAGTCTCCACTCCAGTCGTCACACACACCGCCATTGAAACAAACTGGACAGTCTCTGTCACACAATGGCGCCTTCCATTGACGCTTTTTGCATCCTATGAAACAAAACGTTTTCAAAGTGACTTCAGTGATTTTGCACCACACTCTTCAATACTAATTTCATTTTGTGGTGATTCGTAGGTTTAGGTCTTCGGGCCATATCCCATTCTAAGTCGGTCACATATACAGCACAAGAAAACCGTTTAAACAGGCGCGGTTCTACGGGGGGGGGGGGCTGTAGCCCCCCAAATATTGTGTGTAGCCCCCCCAAAATAAATTCCGTAAAAAAAAATTGCATTAGCAAAAAGAAGGATTGTGATGTACATGCAAACGGTCTCCCCCTAAAGAAGAAATAGCCGTGACAAGGGTGCATTAGTTTATATAGTGTGAATGATTTTAGGATTTTATTGGCGCTCCCCACTTAAAATATGGCATGCCCCCCCCCCCCCCCACCTATTGATTTTCGGAGGCCTAAGTGTCTGGAAAAACATAACCGGTCTACATTTCAGCATGCCTCCCTTAAAAACATCTGGATCCACCGTGCTAGCCCCCCCCCCAAATATTGGTTCTAGAACCGCGCCTGCGTTTAAAGTCAAAAAGGCTTCTTCTATAGCCCAATAGAATAAACCCCTAACCTCTGACAATCAATCGCATGAGTGCCTGGTTTCCAAGGCTACGGTATCCTGCAACTAAAGCCTCATAGATCCCTGTGTCTGAAACATCGGCATTGAAGAACTCAAAGTACAGACTGTCGCTTTTGTCATGGAAGACTCCTCTGCCATCCTTTGTCCATCGAATGTTGGTACGGGTTTGGTTGATTACAGTGACGGTCAGATTGACTGCATCTCCCCAGTTTACCGTCTGACTCACTCGGGTAGGGAGGAAGTCAGCTGTAGTACAAAACAAAAATCAGGCAGGCTCCGGCCAATAAATAGAAAATAAACATGTCCTGATTGCTTTGTATATCTCTTGCATTATGTCCAAGTCCAACTTGTTCAGTTTCTTTTTGGGAGGGAGTTTCTATAATCTAGTGCAATTAAACTTACCGGTTTTGCTCATGACGACGGTACCTATGCGGATGTTACCACTTCCTGCTATCCTAGCATTACAGGCAAAGGCTCCAATCCTTGTCTTTCCTCCAGCCGCTGGCAATCGAAGAATAGAGATCTCATCTCCCTCTGATGACGAGTGTGGTTCCAAACGGTGGTCTAAAGGTAGCCCGAAGCTTGTGTACGTGTAGGTTGTTCGAGCGAAGGTTAGCGCAGCGTTACCGCCATGTACATAGGCAGCGATGTAGGTGTCTTCACTGTCGATATCAATACGGGGCTTGGTGATACAGGTGAAATCAACGACGGTTGAAACACCTGCAGTGCAAAACAAGATGAGAAAAAAAAACAGAATGGACGGCATGCTGTTTTTATTTTTGGAATACCATCACTTTTATTCTTTAATAATAATGTCCACTTTGTGGATGTATCATATGACCTCCATTTCAAATCTACATGTACATGGTTTATGCTGATGACCTTTTATTTTGCTGTGTTCAGAACTAATTTCATCTCGGGAAGAAAATTAGCTTGACAGATTTATTGTTTTCATTTATAGCACTGAATGGTCATTATTTTCAATCTGTTTGTTTCTCTGGTGTTGTAAGACATCGCAGTCATTCTGTTTTTAGGGATGACCGGTGGTGGCGTAACAATAAGACTTTGACTTTCTTAAAACTGAACAAAACCTCAATAGATAATATACACATGCGCCCATTTTGTTTATCACTTATTGTACTTCAATACCTCAATAACCGCCCTAGCATTCATTCAATTCCATGGTGACTCAGTTATCTTTCCCTCATAATCATTTTTGAATAAAAACAAAACAAAACATGCAAACCATTCGAAAACTTACTTTTGCATTGTCCAAGAAATAGCAACAATTGCCAAGCGAGTTGGAGACGAACTTCCATGATCCCCGCCATGTTGTCAAGCTCACTATCCAAACTGTACTGCGCTGTAAACCTGATTTTAATTATTATTAATACTTTCATTTTCATGGTTGAAGGAAGTCTATAATGCATATTAAGGGAGAAGGAAGTGAATTATATTATTTTTTTAGTAAGATTCAATTTGTTCAAGGCTGTAGAAGAAAAAAAATGTCAGCAATTTTTGGTTGCCAGCTTCCTCTTTTACCTAAAACGTGATAATCTGTCACTGACAATGTGCAGTATATGTATTTTTAGTTGACTTATGACCTTGATTGAATGCATTGTGGTCGCGTTGTAGAGAGCTTTGGCGGATCCAGGAGGGGGAGGAGCATGGGGGGGGTCGAACCCCCCCTTTTGCTTAGTACCCCTCTTAGCCACGCCCCCCTCTTCGAAAATTGGAGTTCCAGGTGTACAATATTCTGACTTACGGATGATTAAGAATTAAGGCTGTATCATGAATTTCTGGATATACACTACCGGTATTTAGTTTTCTCGACTCAGCCCCCAATCAGAGAAGAAGGCTTTGTTAAAACACCAAAATGGCTTTTTAAAATTTAATCCTAAATTTATTGAAACGTCGGGAGTTCACTTTTTGTATGTTTCCCACCAAGTCTCAAGCTTGTTTTGAAATCCACATCTATATATACTGAAGTATCTGTCGGACTCAAACTTGAACTCGGACGTCAGTTTTGTGGCATTTATGATAAATATTCCTGTGCATGCATGACCTTAAAAACATTTCTGAAGGAAGTAATTTTCGTTTTTTCAGATTCATTATCTTAAACGAAATCTCGTTACGTGACAAGCGGGAAAAACAAATTCGATTGATAACCATCAGAGTTCCTTATCACTAGTAGGCCTAAACGGAAATAGTCCTCTCAATTGGACAGTAATGATGAAACCAGTAACGACACAAAATTATAATATTAGCCATGTCCGATGCGGTGTAGCGTAAAATTTGGACTCCATGAAATACGGACGCATTGGTTGTATTGCGCATGCCTCAGTGAACAATCAGGACAGCGAGGTCACGTGCGAGCGTTTGAGTTCATGAAGGGTAAAATAGGCCCGAGTTCATAGGAGCCCAAATTTCATATGACACTGGAACGGGCGCGGGCTTGCGTCCTCGAACTCGTAGCCGCAAAAACTTGATTCAGACAAAGCCATCAGGCGCGGATCCAGAAGGCCCCCCCCCAGCTCTGGTTTTTTTCCATAGAAATTCATTAAAAATAATGCTACCCCCCCCCTACTCTGACACTCCAAAACAGTTATACTGGTATAAATGTACGCCTGTGCACAAAATACGGACAGAGCCAGCTGGGTTACGGGGATATTTGTACACAATTCTGTAATAATGGTGTTAAAAATCGTCGGATTTGAAGAGCGCCCCCATTGATTTTACGGAGCCAAATGTCAGGACAAAAAACCTGTCTACATTGCAGCATTGATTTGCTGATGACAACCCCCCCCCCCCTGCAAAAAATCCTGGATCCGCCCCTGGCCATGACTTAAGGTTTGTGAGAAGTGGTCATGAAAATCTGGACGCATGAAATATTTTGTAGTGTAGCCTTCGTGTTTTTGCTGGTCATATAATATACAATAATTATGTGCAAGTTATTTTCATTTCTTTTCAAATTGACTATATTTTGGGATGCTAGTTGTTGCAACTCCATGTTTTTAAAAAGGCCAAAACATAAGAAAACGACAAAAGTAGTCAAAAAGTCTAATTCTACAATGAAACCTTTATTTAACTTTGAGGCTGTTTAAGTATTTTACGCGTAGGCCTAATTGATAAGTTCTCTGTGTTACATTTAATTTAATTACTACATAAATTTAATATAGTATGAATAATATAAAGAAAACATCACATTGACGAAAAAAGGCTAAAACAAAACGCAAACGGGGTGGGGTGGGGGTAATATGAAGGGGACTGCTGCTGGGGGGGGGGGGGGGGTGTCCGGGGCATACCCCCTGAAACTTGTGAACTCTATTTAAGACCTTTAGCATTCCATTTGTTTTAATTTTTCTCCCCATTTTTACAAGTATCATAAAATTAGTCAGTGGCTGAACGGGGGTTGCACACCCCCCCCGAGATTTTCTGCTGGGCTTGTTATGAAATAAATAACGCCAGTGTTTCTCACACATAAATAACACCAGTGTTTCTCAAAGACGGTTTGTTTTTCTAACATTTCCGGATAACAATTTGTTGTACATTGGTAATTCAATAATATGATGATAATGAACATGAAAGAAGCCTTCGACGCGGGAAAGTTAATTCAAAAACTAGTCCCGATTACCGAGGAGATTTGCCTATTATAAAATGAATTTAGAAGGTTTCGTTTGTTTTCACATTAAGTCTTAAAATACGATTATCTCTGCATACATCCCGACAAACATTTTTATTCAGTATGCACTGTGCTCTGCAAATGTATCAATTTGCAGATTCACAAAAATATTCATCACTTATTTAATAGTCAAATTTATGAAAGAAATGTTGTATAGAGCCGGTATTTACAAGCATAAATACAGTCTACTCTCGTTTAATAGTACAAGCACTGTTAATACAAATTCTGTTATAGAAAGTTATAGAAGTTATAGAAAACACAAAGCCTTGGTCCCGACTGTGCATGTATGTGCACAACGAATGGGACTGATGTTCCTCTTAATACAAATTCTGATAGGCCGGTCCGAACGACTTTGTATAAAAGAAAGTCGACTAAATATTCGTTTTGTTCTACACCAGAACTAATCTCAACGTTGAATTCGCTTGACTCACTAATTGACAACATGTAATTAGTCTGACTAATAGCAGCCAATCAATTCAAACCTTATGCTGGAAAACAGGTGCCATGCAGCAGGGTTGATGCGCAGGATTCTGGTGCGCAAGGCAAACGGGAAACGAGCGGTTACCAGCGTGTTCCTGTCCATGTTACCGGGGAACTGTTCAGAAAAAAAAAATAAGAACGGTGTTCATGTAGAAGTAGTCTGGATAGTTTCATTATGGCGAGAAAATAGTAAGCAAGCGACTTTTTACATGTTTGGTGTACATAGGCCCTATTGAATATTCATACCTTTATTGGTGTGCCAAATGCATCAGTCACGTTATGCCAGGACTGAGCGTCATCGCTGTACGTCACTCGGTACTCTGTCACCCATTGGTCGTCATCTTCGCGCCCCTGGGTGATCAAACCAGTGATGGTGACTGTGCCATTGAAGTCAACTTGTATCCATGTACTGACATCACCAAAGTCATGGACCCAGGCTCCAGCGTATCCTGTTGAACGAAATAACTCACATTTCTTACTGCATTCAACGGTATAGCCCTATTGCAGGAAATCTGGCTCGAATCTGAAGTTCGAGCGACTGCTATGTTTAAACAATCTCAGTTGCCGACAATCTTTGTACGAACCAAGGCTAGACGACTATTGGACTAGAGTACTAGCTTCTCCAGACCGACTACATTGTACATGTATAGGTTCAACCCTATATTAAAATTCCCATAGACACTAGTGCTGAATGCCCATAAAGAATGCCAACATTCTTTTTATAATACTCAGAACTCTCACATGTATTGATGCTGCACAGAAAAAATGATGATCAGCATGTCATTTTTCATTTTCTTTTCACTTTTTGGTGGATTGACCATTGACTTTTCGAGATATTCTCACACAAAGAAGATGACCCCTAGTTTCCCCAAAGCGGAAAAGTAGCACTGAAAATGTGTAATTGTTATTTATAATTCTAAATAAATTAGTGGATTTCTGCCCTTTTAATAGAATGAGCAGTACCTGCTTTTAATTTGAAGCAAAATTAACACTTGTTTATCTGTACTGGAGATTTCCAGATGTAAACAAAGCTTCTTTTTTTTTTCTTATAGTTCACCATGGAATAAAGTTCGAATGGTAACCGAAGCCCTGAATTTTGGCCATTATGTTTTTTTCTGTAGTTGGACTAGTTCTGGTTGAACCTAATAAGTTATCGCTTCCACGAAAATACACTATCGCAGATGCCAGAACAGCCTGTTTCTCTATACATGTATATTGTTCGTTACAGTTTTGCATTTAAGTATGAGCATGCCCCTAAAAGCTTCGGCTTCATGTTCTCATGATGTTTTAACTTTGCTTGTGATGGAAATAAAAGTGCACTTTCATCACATTTAAATTGACTTGCCTTGAGTATTCAGTCTTGCCCTTACTGGGGCATGGTCAGCGCGGTTTGACCAAACAGACGAAGCTGAGATGCTTTCATCCGGGATGCGACCATCTTCCATCCCAAGAGGTCCCTCCACAGAGCAAGAAGGGCTACCTGAGGAAAATGTGCGATCGTTCCGAGAACAGGTAAATTTTGTACCAATGTCCATTTTAATAAAAGAAAAATAACACTGGGTCTATTTGCCACCCGACTCAGGAACTATAGTAACGCAATGATATTGGGATGCAAACAGATACATGTGAATGCTTGCAATCTTAATGGCCAATTCCTCGCATAAGTGGACATGGCTGAGTGTGGAAGTTTTTCAAGGACTTCAAATAGAGTATTGAAGAATTCCCCTCGCAGTTCTAGTTTTCAATCAGTGATGGATCTACGAGGGGTTAGGGGATATACCCAGCGGCCTAGCTACAGGGGGGGGGGGGGGGCCTGGGGGCACGCGCCCCCCCCCAAAGTCGCGCCCCCAAGTCCCCCCCCCCCCCCCCCACTGGAAATATGGCATCCGGAGAAAAGCACAGCCGTATGAGTTACCATGACTAGCTGGAAGAACACAAAGTCCCCTTTTCCGCGATTTATTGCGTATGTCTTACCCCAACTCTTTTGTTTTCGTGAGTGGCTGTTTTTTGTAACGTCCCTTGGAAAGCGAATAGCGGTAGTTATTGTCTAATGTAGCCGTGATATACGTTTCCCCATGGGAAGATGTGTCCAAGCCCACCCCCACCTCCCCACTCTAGTTGATTTTATGGAGGCCGAGTGTCAGAAGAAAAACACTGTTTACCTTTCAGCACGGATGAAATTTTCTGGGCGCCCCTCCATGCATTGTTACCTCAAGCCCCCCCCCCCCCCCCACGCCTCTCTAGGATGAGAACCCTGGCTTCGCCGCTGGACATACCCGTAGTACGTTGCCTGCGAAACCCCTCCCGCCCTTGACAGCACCTGAGCCGAAAGTTAAATGCAACAGCAAGAACACAAAATGACTTACTGCTTTTTTTGTAGTACTTCAACATCTCTTCGTTGGTTGCAACTATGGAGTCATCGCACAATTCACACTGTTTGGTATCTTTGTTATATCTGAAGTATCTGCAGTATACTTCCGTGAGGCAGGCCGCGGCGCACCTGAGGTGAGATCCGCGTCGGCTTGACCGAATCACTCGATATTTGACGGTGCTGTTGTACTGTGAAGCAGCCGTGAATTCCGAAGATGTCACGGTAGGGGGATTACAGGCAGCTCCGCTCTGGACCACGCAAACGGCCAATAGAGCAGAACACCAAACAACATATGGGCCATATTGCTGAAACATGGGACAATTCATGTTGTTTCGCTTGTTCAGTTGTAAAATGCCTCGCGTGTTTCAGGAGAAACTATTTCACTCGGAGACTATGCTGCCAACGGCCGACGACATACGACCGTATACCACACGAGATGGGCAATTTGCGTAGACCTCTCATATAGGCGGGCAATGAAACGTAAGAGCTGACTTATCGATCGCCAATTGACTTGGTGTCGGTCAACAATAAATAACGATTATTATAAGCAATAATTTGGTCATTGAATTTACGCAGGCCGTAAGAAAGCAATATAAGCCATAATTTGGTCATTGAATTTAGAAAGCAATTACTGCGCGCCCCAGCCTTCTTTCATACATTTTGGCAACTGAACCAATAAACTTGCTCATAAAATGCGTGCACGGTTCAACGAGTAACGTTTACGGACGTTGTCAGCAATAATCGAACGCTTGTTACGGACCAGAATTTGGTCATACTAAATTTACGCAAGACTAAGAAAGCAATTACTGCGCTGCCCAGCCTTCTTTCATACGTTTTGGCGAACGAACTTGATCATAACGTGCGTGCACGGCTCAACGAGTATACGCTCACGTCACAGGCGTTGTCGCTCAACTACATGTATGCATAGGGCCTATGTCATGCGTATTGAAACTATTGCATATGTCTTGAAACTAAGCACATTTACATTGGACGGTGTTGCATTGTGAGACAACTGTGAGACATATCCGAAGATGTCACGGTAGGGATATTAGTGGCAGCCCTACCTCGGACCATGCAGATATATATACCTGGGCATGCCATAGCTGCATGACAAAAATATGAATCTAGCAGAATTAATATTGAAACACTTTGCTTTATTCGCCTCTTTATTGATTTTAACGCGTATAAGTTAAAAAAGTAATTTTGTTAGAAGTCCAGTTGACATGTCGGCTACACATTTTGATAATATGCTCAAAATAGATGAAACGATGAATCGATGAAGTATTTTTGCATCATTATAGCGTTGCGTCATCTGATATAATACTATATAATTCATTAAGAAAATTACATCACAATATTAATCATTAAGGCTGTACCGTTTAAATTATTTGAAGTAACAATTAATATATTTATCGACTATCGACTAAGACGCTACAGTGCCTCGTCAAATTCCTCTTTACGACAATCATGTTTTTTTTATATCGTGGTATGTATATTACAAAACTGTCAAACTACAATCTCAATGTTAAATATTACTCAGTAAGTCAAACCTATGATATTTTAGCCCTTTTCTTCAACTTCAATAGTCATTCATGAAGTTATTTTCTGCCCTTGTGAAAAACAAGTTATGAGCAAAATTTTAATATTTAAGTCCTATACAGCTTACAAAAAAACGCATTAGACAAATTATAATGAATATACCATATATACTCGTATCTGAACACTTTAATCAAAGTACATTCCTTCTGAGTATTTATACATTAACTTACATATAGGCATACATGTATAAGTATACTAATAAAATTAAACAGCTGTACTTCGTGAGTCAAACTCAGATCCTTTGTTCAACGGAAAACAGACCAAATTGAAGTTTAAAATATGCCTGTCATTTCAGGGTTGCATGTTTAATATACTCCTTCAACTCAATTTCTTATTTGCCAAGGGATCTTGCAATCTTAACACACCACCTAGCGGTGAAAATCCATCCCAGCCTGGTTCACAATAGATAGGTGACCGTCACATTCAAATCTAAAAATTTGAAATTTGAATTTTGGGATTTCAAATCCCAACCCTCGTACGAGTCCATAATTGATGCACGACAACAGATGGGCATTTAATAAAGATACTTGGTAGAACGCCTTGCACTTAAAAAAACCCCGCAATGAATATGTTAACGCAAAATTTGCAAAACTGAATGCCAACATATCCGAGTGTCAACGAATTTTTTCTCCAAAAAACCCCAACATTTTCGGAAATGGGCAGGATTCTGACCGCTTTGGATCATTTAATGTTTAGCCGGGTTTTTATCATTTTATTTTTAACCTGACCTAATGTTCGTCAGAATAGTCAGAATATTTCGGTACGGGAGCCAGACTAACACAATACCGACGCAGCCGCATTACTCACATGGAAAGAGAGGCAGGGTGAACAGCGCCCTCAACCGTTCACGCAAAATCAGTTTTTGTTTATCTAAATTCCGACGTTACGACACTTTAGCCAGTCTTATTATACTTTACATAGTAGAATTTCCTTTTTTTCTGTAATTCATTTTGTGTCCAAACTCAGTGCAGACCTACGGAATGACTGTGTTTTCGTAGTGGTGCGCACCTTCGTGAACGGCCGCCATCTTAGGCTTTTTGGTTGCCTTGGTAGTTGAACGTTTGGTGGATGCTCGAGGTGCTGACGCACGTGTTGTTGATTTACCAGACGGAACAGTGGATGCCCCAGTAGGTGATCCACAGCTTGTTGGTGTTGCTGTTATCTTCTTCAATTCGACTGTGGACAAAATACATACCGGAATGGGTTTAGTCACAGGTGTAGCGAATATCCTGAAGTTTTAATGTTACCTCTTGTAATCACAGTAAAATTCCCTTACTATCGTCCTTGATGTCAAAGTATATCGCATCGGAGTCATCAGGGGCAGGTGTGTGTGGATTTTTTGTTGCCTTCTTTGTTGAACGTTTAGTATATGCGTGAGGTGCTGACACACGTGTTGTTGACATCCCGGACGGCACAGTGGATGCCCCAGTAGCTGATTCACGGCTTGGTGTTGCTGATGGCATTGTCTTCTTCAATTGGACTGTGAACAAAACATCACAGGTTTAATTACAGAGGTGGTGGATATCATGAAATTATAATGGTATGTCTTGTTACCTCAGTAAAATTCCCTTACTATCGTCGTTGATGTTGAAGTATATCGCGTCGGTGTCATCAGTTGCATGTGTGTTGGGCGAGGTGCTACTATCCGGCCTCTTGTACTGCAGACAGCGTCTCCTGCACGTTCAAGAAAAGAGTATTAGACAATAAGTGCAAATGTATCAACATGTACCGCAAGGTCACAATATATACCGGCTATGTTTTTCTTTGTTTCATTTTTCTCTTTGAATAATTTTGGCCAACATGCATAATTAAACCAAGCGATTCTCCTTACCGAAAGTGTCTGGCACAAGTTATCAGCAAGGCAGCAGTCACAGTAAATATGACGCCAATGACGATTCCTACACCGACGAAGGCCGGATTCGATACACCACTTCCAGATGTATCGCCTTTCACTTGGCCGACTAGAAGAGATAACCATTATTAAATCTTCAAACTTCTTATACCAATTTAGATACTCAAAACTGCAATACTCATTTAAAATCATGTGCTGGGCTGGGCTACATGCACGCAGCGGTTATATTACAACCCTGTACAATACAATTACAATACAATTACATTTCAATGTGGCAATTTCGCAACACGAAATAGTATGAAATCCTCGTAAATTGATTTGATTATTAAACTGAGCGTAGGCTACACTTGTTAACTTTCCAATTCTTAAATAGGGTCCATGTATCAAGATGCCAGCATGACTCCCAGCTCGATCCCCAGCTCATCCGTTATTGCATTTCGTCCCTACATAATCTTAACTTCAAATCCATTTGGTCGAAGGGTTTGCATAACATTTCAAATTATCGGCATACACATAGAAGAGGATAAAGAGTTGCAGATTATGCTGTGAAGTAACACGAGTATTTCATTTTACCTGTGGGAATATCAAAATCAACTTCCTTCCAGGGTCCCGGTCCTACACGTGTGAACGCCCACAGCCTGAAGGAGTAGGACGCCCCCTGTAAAAGGCAATCAACTTCAACAGACTCTGCCGTGGTGTCGTCTGTTTGTATCATGGACCCAGATGCGTCACGCAGGTCGTACGTGTAGCCTGTGACGTCGCCGCCTCTTTTGCCGCAGGGAATGGGATGCCAATACACTCGGACGCTCTGATTGGACGGGAGAAACTTGTTGAATTCGGGAGCAGCCAATGGCACTGCAAGAAAAAGATTTCAATTGAAAGTCAAAAAAGAAATAAAGCTCTATCACACTACAGCTAGTAAAACCAAAATGCAATGAAACAGAAGCAATAATTTTGACAGAAGCGTAAAGCGACTGGTGTAAAACGCCCTCTTATGGTTATAATGCACTCGTACTAACCTCCTTCATCAGTCGTAACCGTCTTGCTCTTCAAGTAATTTGCGCCATCATTATTTGCTGGTACAACTTGCACACTGTACGTAGAGTACGCATGCATTGATGTGATGCTGATGTCACTGCCATTCACAACTGCTGCGCGAATCACTGCAGGATCGGTCCGTGGTTGACACTGCTCCAAGTTGAGAAGCTGGTAGCTAACGCGGTACGAGGTCAGAGGGCAAGGGTTGTCCTCGTTTCCAGCAGTTGTCCAAGAGGCCTTGATTTCATTGGTTGAGGGTTGGAGGTTAAGAGAATGGATTTCATCTGGAAGAGAGTAAAAATCAAAGTGCAATAGTGCATCTCTAAAAGGAATTTATAGCGAAATTAACGAAGACTTAAAAGAACTGCGATCGTGTCTCTCGGCTTAAAGCTTAACATACTGGATATCTGCGGAAACCAAAACAAGACATGGTCGTGAGTAAAAGGAACTTGTTTTGCGACATCACTCGGAACCTTGCAAATAAAATCATTCTGTATTTATTTGTGTAATTTAATTACACATTATTTTTTCAGTTTTTTACTAAATATACTAACATATCAATCCTATAATGTGGTAAACCACGCGGTTGTTTTTAATTTCGAGGAGAAACGCACAACCCTTTTATGCCTGGCCCATGCATGGGCTGAATGAAATGACCTGCAAAATGAAGTTGCTACTTACCTATTACGACTGTATCTTGGTGTGTCCAGTTTGTCCACAGACCAGCTCCTATGCGAGTATATGCTCGAACTCTGAATGAGTAAGTGGTGCACGGTGATAAATCGTGAAAGGTAACAGACAGTTTTGAGATGTTTCTCTTCTTGATAGAATTGACCTCCTCGTATGGGCCTGGATCTCTGAATCTGTACTCGTAGTGAGTGATATTGCCACGTCTACTGCCACAAGGGATGGGATCCCAGGAGAACGTGATGCTGTTATTGGATGCTGTACTTCGGATAACCGGTGCTGCAGTTGGTGCTGAAGGAAAACAAACAAACAAACGAACACCCCAACACCCCAACAAACAAACAAACAAACAACAAATAAGCTCAGTGCAGAGAATAAAGTGATTTTCGAATGAAATCCAACTCATTAAAGATTTTGTCTTAATTTTGTTCCAACTTTGGAATTGATAGAACGTATCTAATCAGCGGTATTTGGTACGCGTCACATCTGAGTAGGCTGATCGACCGACTAAAACCAACACTATTTCAATTTTAGATCAAATTCCCCGCTACGATATTGGCAGTATATTTTTAAATTAAATCAATATTTGAATAATTTCAATCCTTAAGGTTAGGCCCCTCCAAAAAAATTCGGTCTCTGGTCAGACCAAAGTTCCGGAATTGACGCGGCCACGCGGCTTTTTTTTTTTTTTTTTTTTTTTTCTTCAAGCTTGGATTGTACAGACAAGGTAGGTACTATTTTGCTTTTTTGGTGTCCTCATGTACATTGGTGTCCTCCATAATTTGCCTTGGTGCTTTCGATCATTTGCCTTGGTGCAATTTCCCATTCCTTGGTGCTCTTTGGTAAAAAAAATTGAGGAGGTGCGGAAATAGAGGGCACTGTTGGAGCTACCGCGGAACATTTTGGAAAAAAAAGATCGACGCGCATGATTAAAATCGACGCGCGCGCTGACCAGAGACCGACTTATTTTTTTTTGGCCTCACTGCAAACTACTTACTGTTTTCTTTTGTATCTATAACCATGGAATTTTCTTCACCATGTCCAGCTTCATTGATTGGCGCGACGGATACTCTGTACTTTGAGTAATACGCAGGTAGGTGGAGAGTAGCGTGAGTAGTGTCGACCGTTCCTACATCTGTTATGATTGGTGGGTTCTGCATGGTGCATCGGTCCATCGTGATGAGCTCATATGTTACACTGTAAGATGTCGCAGGGCAGGCTCCATCGGAGGAGGTCCAACGAACGTCGAATTCGTTTCGTTCACGTGAAATGACGTGGATGGATATGTCTGATACAGCATCTGGAACTGTATGGAATGAAGGCATAACAATATATTATAATATTTTCCCAGAAAAAACAGATTGGTAACTAACCATTTTTTTAATCGATTATCATTTGGGAGAATTGGAGGATGTCGATTTGAAAATCCAACGTACAGTCTTATTATCAATGTTTTTATCGTGTAATATACCCAGGTCCGTTAAACCTCGTGTAATACTCATCTCTTCTGTTAGGTATTGAACTAACTCGGAGACCCTTAATTACCAGCAGTGGCCGTTTGTTGATGCAAAGTTACTGATGGTCCTCCTCCTTCACTGGTGTATGCCTGCACAGCAAGAGTGTAATTTGTACAGGGTTCTAAACCTGTGTATGTCACTGACGTGGTTAAATCACCCCTTTTACCAAGTAGCCCATCGGGTCTAAACAAACGTGTCCTGTAGCCAGTAATGTTGCCACCTCTGCTTCCACAAGGGATGGGGTTCCATGTCCACGTGATGCTGTCAGTCGTTGCTGAACTGCTTTTGAATTCGGGTGGAATCTGTGGAACTAGTATATATAACAATTAACGTAGTCGAACTACAAGGAAAACAGCAGCAACACATCGGCAACAACATAGATAATAATAATAATAGTAATAAAAGTGGATATTTACAAAGCGCACGTATCCACCAGGACTGGTGCTCAAGGCGCTACATCATTATCACCCCTGCTCATTGGGTACATGAAACATTCCAAATACCATCTCAGCTCCCTGGGGAGTATACAGCTCGATGAAGCCTGTTAGGCGCAAGGAAGCTAATTCGATCACAATAACCATCTCTGCCCTCACAGGTACCTATTTACTCCTGAGTGGAGAGAAGCAATGAGTGACAAAGTGCCTTGCCGAAGGGCACACGCACTATGACCCCGCCAGGACTCGAACCCACAACCTGTAGCTTTACCCACAGACCACGAATCAGTTCCCTTAACCACGAGGCCACAGTACTCCAGATGGAGTATGTCTATGTAGCTACCGGATGAGATTTGTCAGTCATACTTGTTAATGAACGTATTATTACACGTTCATTTCGAATTATTTCGACTTTTCCCCTGAACGGCTTGATGTATCAAAGAGAGCCAAGGACTGGTAATCTTAAAAAAAACCACGAGCCCCGCACTAAGAGCAGGGAATGTCTAACTTTAACATAATTGAAATCGTTCAGCGTGCCATTGGGGATGCATATTCAGATCAAACATAAAAAAAATGGTGCCGAAATCGACAACTCCAGCACATAAAGAGAGGAACAATTATTGAAGAAGTTACAATAGGAGGTAGGTCTACCTGTTTCTCCAGTTGTAAATTGGGCTGAAGATGTCGTGCCGTTTCCAGCCTGATTTCGTGGTGTAATAGACACATTGTAAGTAGAGTAAGCCTTCAGTCCTCGCAGAGTGATGCTGGTGTTAGTGGTGGTCACCGATCCGCCATGTTGATGAACCTCCAGACACTGCTCCAGGTTTATGAGGTCAAAGGTCACCAAGTAGTCAGATGTAGGGCAGGGGTACTCTTGGCTAGTTCCAGGAACTTCCCACAACAGCGTGACTCCATTGTGACTGGTGCCCTGAACGGTCAGTCCGTCAACGGCATCTGGGACTTTAAAGAGAATAAATGCTCACGACTCATAACTTGGTCTCAAAATTGTCAGTTAAGACCATTTTTTTTTTAACTGCAAAGAAACATTTTGATAACAAAATGTTTATGTGCCACTAACAAAATTCCTGGAAGGTATCGATATCCAATTTTATTATGCAGTTAGAAATCTCCTTTTGTAAATAACATTCAAAGGAAACATACAACAGGAATAGACGAAGTTGTGTACCTTCTTCAAAAGACGCAAATATGGATTTGTAGCTAAATGGTCCGATGCCTTTGGTGGTTTCAGCAGCTACCTCAAATTCATACAGTGTACCACACAATGGCAGGTGTACAGATACAGAGTTGCCTTCAGTCCGTACTGCTTCAAGTTCCTGGTCACTCTCAACTGTCACGAACTTGTACACGTAATTCACAATCACCGTGCCGTTTGGACAGTTCACGGGTTGCCAAATGAACGTCCTAGAACGTTTTCCAATCGAATAAAAGGATACAACGTTCTGTGGTGCTAGGGACTCCGCTGTTGGGTCAGAAATAAATGGGTTAACAACTTTAAGGGCGGACCCAGCTTTTAAGCAAGGGGGGAGTTGAGTGAAGGCGTATACTGACAAGGGCGGATCCAGAGCACAATTTTTTTTGGGGGGGGCCAAAAAAAATTTGGGTCCCCCAAAAAAGTGGGTCAAAAAAATTACGGCGTGGGGTTCGGGGCCCTCTTAAGGGCCCCTAAAATATTTTGGATTGTAGATGCTCTGTGGTGCGATCTGAGGCAATTTCTGACCACTTTAACCAATTTTTTTTAGGAAAAGATTGTGGTGTACTCATTGCCTGCCTTTATTGCGATGTCACATAAAAAAAAAGTTGGTTTCGTTTTTTTTTTGGGGGGGGGGGCATGGCCCTCTTTGGCCCCCCCCCCCCTCGGATCCCCCTTGTATACTGAAGTCAATTTGAGAATACATTTAGAACTTTAGCATGCCATTAATTATTCTGTGTCCCCATTTTACTAGTATCACAACATTTATAGTCAGCAGCTGAACTTAGGGTGGGGGGGGGGGGGGTTGGAACTCCCGTTCTCTCTGTTTCCACTTTTGTTTATTGGTATAAGTATAGGTTCCCAACAACATTCGTATGGCCTTTGAAGAAGTAAAAGGAATGCAATATGTTTGTAAAGGGAAAAAACTCGTGGTTGGAAACCAGTGTAAACGCGAGACCACTGAGCAGGGTTATAAGTCGACATAACAAAGTCCACGCTTACCTAGGAATTCTGTGCAGGTTGTACCACACGATGCATTATTTCCATTAAATGGCAAACATTTTTCTGCTGTAGAAAATGAGAAAATGTTTGAGTTATTTGAGGTAAGCTCGTCACAAAACAGACCGACCGAAATAACTGAATTTTTGATTTTACTTCTCTGTGAAACAAGGGCAAATAAAGCGGCAGTTAATGATTCCCGTGAATCGTGGCGCGCAGACTCCGAAACACTCGCCCGTAGTTCTGTCTCGGTCTATACAGTGACAAATAAGACAGTCTTGTCCACGAGTGTTTATTTCACAGGATCAGATAAAAACACCATCAGAACAAAATTATTTTAATGCACTTTAGGCGAAAGCGAAAGAAAACATAGACAACGAAATGGTGCTACCTTGGCAGTTGATTCCGTCACACGCGACCCCGTCCATGCAGTGACATGTCTGTCCACAGTCTGCTCCGTAGAAACCATCACCACATGCTACGAAACAATCATGGTAGAAATCAAATGGGTTGATGGCAAGTGACGATAAATGAATGCAAACATTTTGAAATAATCACGTCTCTTGTTTTACACTGATGGGCGCGCTTTTTTGGTCGGCAACATAAAATCACTGTCGGTAAATAAGCCACCCAATGAAAAGGGGAATGGATGTATTACCAATTAACCATTATATTTAAGGATTAATAACAATGACACTAGACATGTACATATACTGTTAAATTTCCTGTTACTTACTTTCATTGCAGTCGATTCCTTGGTACCCTGCAGCACACGAGCAGCCATAAGGATCTGGTAAACAGAACAGCATCCCTGCACACGTAGGACCGCCTCCTAACTCAGGTGAGTCGCAACGAAAACTTCCGTTTTGGCCAAAGCAGTTGGTGCCTTTCGCTATATAGGAACGAAAACAATTCCTTCGTGTACATCGAAATTCACATAGTTTTCAAAATAATGGATTTTTCTATATAGGGCCAAATACTGAATTAAAGTCGTTTGGCGCTACAAAACAGCAGGTATATAGTTATTGAATTCGACAGTTTTCTAATTTAGTTTTAAAAAAAATATCTTCCAATAACGTTCCGGGGGAGGATAGTTCAAAAATCTGGAATTTTTATATAATCACGTATTCCGCAGAATTGGCCGCTGAATCCAGGCGGGCAAATGCAGTCTCCACTCCAGTCGTCACACATACCGCCATTGAAACAGACGGGGCAAACCCTGTCGCACGAGGGCGCATTCCATTTATCTTTTTGGCATGCTGTGAAAAGAATATACAAATTTAGAATATGCAGTGATTGAACAGGCTTGCAAAATATTTACATTTTGAGATATCTCACGTGGTTTAGGTCCACAGTTCGTGACTATTATAGTCACAATGTTTTTAGTCGAAAAACCGTACATGTGAATTTGTAAACACTGCTTTGGTTTTGTTCAAACTTTTTAAAAGATATAAAACATAATGAGCAAAAGTACCCCTGAAAATCAACCGCATGAGTGCCTGTTTTCCAGTGCTACGTTCCCCGGCAGAATGGACCTCGTAAACCCCGCTGTCTGAGAGAGTTACATTTGCAATGTCAAAGTTAAAACTGTCCCTTTGGTGCAGGTATGGTGCACTGCCGTCCTTTCTCCAGCGAGTGTTGGTACGGTATGGGTCTGTTGCAGTGACAGTCAGATTGACTGCATCTCCCCGGTTTGCGGTCCGACTCACTCGGGTAGGGAGGAAGTCAGCTGTGTATAAAATTGATAAATAGAGATAGTTAGAAGACTTAATCGACTTCCGAAACAACGTCTAAAACACCGCCCTGCAGGCTACGTCTCTTAAGCTTTTTATCACTCATCGAAATTTGCCCCTAATACGGCTATAATGTGCGCCAAAGTGACCGGGGTGAGACGGCAAGATAGTGTTTCCTCTACCAAATCGGACAATAGCAAATTTTAAGCCCACAAGAAGATCTTGACCTATCTAAGCGTTTTAAAAAATGTCATTGCTATTTTAAATAAAACACGCTCGGAATGAAAAAAAATCACACACCACCTACATGTTCAAAACCAAACATTCGCACCGTCGTCTACACGTTGGAAAACCAAACGTCATTATCCCATCTTCACAATGTCAACACTAAGATGGTGACAATGTTTTCAAACGTGTAGGTTGTGATATGACTTTTTTCGAACGTTGAGATGAATGATATTGATGATATTACAAAATAATACCATCTACAAAACAAAAACATAAAAATTTTCCCGCCACGGCTAGTACCATTACATTCACAACATATATACATAAATAATGAAAGGTTTGCGGAAACACCATGTGCGAATAATTTCTCAACTAAGAGAATGGTTCTGAAAAGAACCAGAGGTATAAATTCGACGTTCCGGTCAGTATGCTCTGACCGTCTTCAGGAGAGTGCCTAAACTCTAAGAAAGTGAATACTTAAGTAGCAAAAGGCGAAGTCAATGAAGTGAGAAGTTGCATCCTGTAAGGATGCCAAGTAGGCAGGATCCTAGAACAAGCTTGGTGCCCACTGAAGTGGAACAGTAGGGTTGCAGTGTCAGCAGAGGGAGGACCTAGGGTATAGGAGACCCATCAGTCTAAGGAGGTAGCTGAGGACCTAGGGTATAGGAGACCCATCAGTCTGGAGAAGTGGGGAGCCAGATGTCGTTGAGGTGACATCATACCATACTTTCAACCCTACTGTTCCACTTCAGTGGGCACCAAGCTTGTTCTAGGATCCTGCCTACTTGGCATCCTCACAGGATGCAACTTCTCACTTCATTGACTTCGCCTTTTGCTACTTAAGTATTCACTTTCTTAGAGTTTAGACACTCTCCTGAAGACGGTCAGAGCATACTGACCGGAACGTCGAGTTTATACCTCTGGTTCTTTTCAGAACCATTCTCTTAGCTGAGAAATTATTCGCACATGGCGTTTCCGCAAACCTTTCATTATACTGACCGGAACGTCGAGTTTATACCTCTGGTTCTTTTCAGAACCATTCTCTTAGCTGAGAACTTATTCGCACATGGCGTTTCCGCAAACCTTTCATTATTTAGTATCTCCACCATGCAAAGCCTCAAATCTTACTTAACATATATACAGCTCAAGGCAGCTATAGAATTGAGGCTACGGGAAATGAATTTGGGTGCGACCAATAAGCCTAGCCTTAGTTTGCATCGCGTTGTAACTCCGTAGTTCATTTCATTTCTCTGAGAACAAATGTAGTTTTGTAATCTGGTGCCATTAAACTTACCGGTTTTGCTCATGATGACAGTACCAATGCTGATGTTAGGCCTACCCCTTCCCGTCATAACGGCTCTACAGGCGAAGGCTCCAATCCTAGTCTTTCCTCCAGGCGCTGGCAATAGAAGAATAGAGATCTTACCTCCTGTAGATGACGAATGCGTTTCCAAATAGTAGTGGACTGAAGGTAGCCCTAACTGGTCGTTTATGTTATCGAAGCTTGTGTAGGTTGTTCGAGCGAAGGACAGCGTAGCATTACCGCCATGTAGATAGCCGGCGATGTAGGTGTCTTCGCTGTAGATATCAATACGGGGCTTGGTGATACAGGTGAAATCAACGAAGGCTGAAACACCTGCAGGGCAAGCAAAGTGAGAAAAAAATACAGAACGGTGGCATGCTGTGTATATTTTTTGAGTACCATCACTTTTACCCTTTAATAATAATTTCCACTTTGTGGATGTATCATACGACCTCCATTTCAAATCTATATGTACAAGGTTTATGCTAATGACCTTTTATTTTGCTGTGTCCAGAACTAATTTCATTTCGGGAAGAAAATTTGCTCGACAGATTTATTATTTTCATTTTATATTTACTGATTGGTCATTATTTTCAATCTGTGTGTTTCTCTGGTGTTGTAAGACATCGCAGTCATTCTGTTTTCTGTAGGGGTGACCGGTGGTGGCGTAACAATAAGACCTTGACTTTCTTAAAACTGAACAAAACCTCAACAGATAATACACATGCGCCAATTTTGTTGATCACTTATTGTACTTTAATACTTCAATAACCGCCCTAGCATTCATTCAATTCCATGGTGACTCAGTTATCTTTCCCTCATAATCATTTTTGAATTAAAAAGACATGCAAACCATTCGAAAACTTACTTTTGCATTGTCCAAGAAATAGCAACAATTGCCAAGCGAGTTGGAGACGAACTTCCATGATCCCCGCCATGTTGTCAAGCTCACCATCCAAACTGCGCTGTAAACCTGATTTTAATTATTATTAATGCTTTCATTTTCATGGTTGAAGGAAGTCTATAATGCATATTAAGGGAGAAGGAAGTGAATTATATTATTGTTTTTAGTAAGATTCAATTTGTTCAAGGCTGTAGAAGAAAAAAAAATGTCAGCAATTTTTGGTTGCCAGCTTCCTCTTTACCTAAAACGTGATAATCTGTCACTGACAATGTGCAATACATGTATTTTTAGTTGACTTATGACCTTGATTGAATGCATTGTGGTCGCGTTGTAGAGAGCTTTGGCGGATCCAGGAGGGGCGGAGCATGGGGGGGGGGGTTGAAACCTCCCCGATTTGCTTAGTACCCCTCTTAGCCACGCCCCCGTCTTCGAAAAAAGTTCCAGATGTACAATAGTCTGACTTTAATACGGACAATTGAGAATTAAGGCTGTATCATGAATTTTTGGACATACACTACCGGTATTAAGTTTTCTCGATCAGCCCCAATCAGAAAAGAAGGCTTTGTTAAAACACCGAAATGGCTTTTTAATATTTAATCCTAAATTTATTGAAACGTCGGAAGTTCACTATTTGTATGTTTCCGACCAAGTCTCAAGCTTGTTTTGAAATCCACATCTATATATACTGAAGTATCTGTCGGACTCAAACTTGAACTTGGACGTCAGTTTTGTGGCATTTTATGATAAATATTCCTGTGCATGCATGACCTGAAAAACAGTTCTGAAGGAAGTAATTTTCATTTTTTTCAGATTCATTATCTTAAATCAAAGCTCGTTACGTGACAAGCGGGGAAAACCATTTCGCTTGATAACCATCAGAGTTCCTTGTCACTAGTAGGCCTCAACGGAAATTGTCCTTTCAATTGGACTGTAATGATGAAACCAGTAATGACACAAAATTCTAATATTAGCCATGTCCGATGCGGTGTAGTCTGAAATGTGGACTCTATGAAATACGGACGCATTGGTTGTATTGCGCATGCCTCAGTGAACAATCAGGACAGTGAGGTCACGTATGAGCGTTTGAGTTCATCAAGGGTAAAATAGGCCCGAGTTCATAGGAGCCCAAATTTCATATGACACTGGAACAGGCCCGGGCTTACGTCCCCGAACCCGTAGCCGCAAAAACTTGATTCAGACAAAGCCATCAGGCGCGGATCCAGAAGGCCCTCCCCCCCAGCTCTGTTTTTGTCCCATAGAAATTCAATAAAAATAATGCTACCCCCCCCCCCCCATTCTGACGCTCCAAAACAGTTATACATGTACTGGTATAAATATACGCCTGTGCACAAAATACGGACAGAGCCAGCTGGGTTACGGGGATATCTGCACACAATTCTGTAATATGGTGTTAATAATCGTCGGATTTGAAGAGCGCCCCCATTGATTTTACGGAGCCAAGTGTCCAGATAAAAACCCTGTATACATTGCAGCAATGATTTGCTGATGACCCCCCCCCCCCCGCTAAAAAAATCCTGGATCCGCCCCTGGCCATGACTTAAGGTTTGTGAGAAGTGGTCATGAAAATCTGGACGCATTACATATTTTGTAGTGTAGCCTTCGTGTTTTTGCTGGTCATATAATATACATTATGTGCAAAGTTAATTTCATTTCTTTTCAAATTGACTATATTTTAGGATGCAAGTTGTTGCAACTCCATGTTTTTAAAAAAGGCCAAAACATAAAAAACGACAAAAGTAGTCAAAATGACTAATTCTACAATAAAACGCTTTATTAAACTTTGAGGCTGTTTAAGTATTTTACGCGTAGGCCTAATTGATAAGTTCTCTGCAGGTGTTACATTAAATTCAATTACTACATAAATTTAATATAGTATGAATAATATAAACAAAACATAACATTGACGAAAAAAGGCCAATACAAAACGGAAACGGGGTGGGGTGGGGGTGGGGGTAATACGAAGGGGACTGCTGCGGGGGGGGGGGGGGGTGTCCGGGGCATGCCCCCTAAACTTGTGAACTCTATTTAGGACCTTTAGCATTCCATTTGATTAAATTTTTTCTCCCCATTTTACACGTATCATAAAGTTAGTCAGTGGCTGAACGGGGGTTGCACCCCCCCCCCCCCGAGATTTTCTGCTGGGCTTGTTATGAAATAAATAACGCCAGTGTTTCTCACACATAAATAACACCAGTGTTTCTCAAAGACGTTTTTTTTTCTAACATTTCCGGATAACAATTTGTTGTACATTGGTAATTCAATAATATGATGACAATGAACATGAAAGAAGCCTTCGACGTGGGGAAGTTAAGTTCAAAAACTAGTCCCGATTTCCGAGGAGATTTGCCTATTATAAAATGAATTTAGAAGGTTTCGTTTGTTTTCACATTAAGTCTTAAAATACGATAATCTCTGCATACATCCCGACAAACATTTAAAATACGATAATCTCTGCATGCATCCCGACAAACATTTTTATTCAGTATGCACTGTGCTCTGCAAATGTATCAATTTGCAGATTCACAAAAATATTCATCACTTATTTAATAGTCAAATTTATGAAAGAAATGTTGTATAGAGCCGGTATTTACAAGCATAAATACAGTCTACTCTCGTTTAATAGTACAAGCACTGTTAATACAAATTCTGTTATAGAAAGTTATAGAAGTTATAGAAAACACAACGCCTTGGTCCCGACTGTGCATGTATGTGCACAACGAATGGGACTGATGTTCCTCTTAATACAAAATTCTGATAGGCCGGTCCGAACGACTTTGTATAAAAGAGAGTCGACTAAATATTCGTTTTGTTCTACAGCAGAGCTAATCTCAACGTTGAATTCGCTTGACTCACTAATTGACAACATATAATTAGTCTGATTAATAGCAGCCAATCAATTCAAACCTTATGCTGCAAAACAGGTGCCATGCAGTGGGGTTGATGCGCAGGATTCTGGTGCGCAAGGCAAACGGGAAACGAGCGGTTACCTGCGTGTTGCTATCATTGTTACCAGGGAACTGTTCAGAAAAAAATAAGAACGGTGCTCATGTTGTAGAACTTCGGATAGTTTCATTATGGCGTGAAAATAGTAAACAAACGACTTTTTATTTTTTTGGGGTACATATAGTAAATATTCATATACCTTTATTGGTGTGCCAAATGCATCAGTCATGTGATGCCAGGACTGAGCGTCATCGCTGTACGTCACTCGGTACTCTGTCACCCATTGGTCGAGATCTTCGCGCCCCTGGGTGATCAAACCAGTGATGGTGACTGTGCCATTCAAGTCAACTTGTATCCATGGACTGACATCACCACTGTCATAGGCCCAGGCTCCAGCGAGTCCTGTTGAACGAAATAACTCACATTTCTTACTGCATTCAACGATACAGATCTATCGCAGGAAATCTGGCTCGAATCTGAATTCGAGCGACAGCGATGTTTAAACGGGGTCCGCTCATAAATCCGACGCTCATAGGTCCGACGCCTCATACGTCGGACGCCTCATAGCTCCGACGCCTCGTAAGTCCGACAAATTAAACGCCTCGTTTTTCCGTTGTCGGACTTATGAGGCGTCGGACTTATGAGGCGTCGGACCTATGAGGCAGAATAAATAAATGTTATGCCTCATAAGTCCGACGCCTCATTAGTCCGAAATTTCGGACTTATGAGGCGTCGGACCTATGAGGCGTCGGACTTATGATACGGCCCCGTTTAAACAATCTCAGTTGCCGACAATCTTTGTACGACCCAACAACGCTAGACGACTGTTGGACTAGCGTACTAGCTTCTCCAGACCGACTACATTGTACATGTATAGGTTCAACCCTATATTAAAATTCCCATAGACACTAGTGCTGAATGCCCATAAAGAATGCCAACATTCTTTTTATAATACTCGGAACTCTCACATGTATTTATGCTGCACAGAAAAACGACGATCAACATGTCATTTTTCATTTTCTTTTCACGTTTTGGTCGATTGACCATTGACTTTTTGAGATATTCTCACACAAAGAAGATGACCCCTATTTTCCCCAAAGCGGAAAAGTAGCACTGAAAATGTGTAATTGTTATTTATAATTCTATATCAATTAGTGGATTTCTGCCCTTTTAATAGAATGAGCAGTACCTGCGTTTAATTTGAAGCAAATAAATATTAACACTTGTTTATCTGTACTGAAGATTTTCATAAGTAAACAAAGCTTTTTATGTTTTTTTTCTTATAGTTTACCATGGAATAAAGTTCGAATGGTAACCGAAGCCCCGATGACCTTTGGCCACAGTGTTCTTTTTTTTCTGCGGCTGAACTTTCTGGTTGAACCTAACTTCCCGAAGCAACACTATCGCAGATGCCAGAACAGCCTGTTTTTCTATATATTCTTCGGTACAGTTTTGCATTTAAGTATAAGCATGCCCCTAAAAGCTTCGGCTTCATGTTCTCATGTGCGTTAACTTTGCTTTTGATGCAAATAAAACTGCTCTTTAAATTGAAATTGACTTGCCTTGAGTATTCAGTCTGGCCCTGACTGGGGCATGGTCAGCGCGGTTAGACCAAACAGACGAAGCTGTGATGCTTCCATCCGGGATGCGACCATCTTCCATCCCGAGAGGTCCTTCCACAGAGCAAGAAGGGCTACCTGAGGAAAATGTGCGATCGTTCCGAGAACAGGTAAATGTTGTACCAATGTCCATTTCAATAAAAGAAAGATAACACTGGGTTTATTTGCCACCCAACCTCGTCCCCAGGGTGTCGAGCAGTATGCGCCCATCACTACCTGCTCACCCTGGTATTGGATCAATTGCATGTGCACTGAAGATGGAGGGCTAAGGGGGGGGGGGGGCGCACCCCCCAAAAAAATACCAAATCGCGCCCCCCAGTCGCCCCCCCCCCCCCCACTGGAAATATGGCATCCGGAGAAAAGCACAGCCGTATGAGTTACCATGACTAGCTGGAAGAACACAAAGTCCCTTTTCCCGCGATTTTGTGCGTATTTTTTACCCCAACTCTTTTGTTTTCGTGAGTGGCTGTTTTTTTTAACGTCCCTTGGAAAGCGAATAGCGGTGGTTATTGTCTAATGTAGCCGTGATATACGTTTCCCCATGGGAAGATGGTGTCCAAGCCCCCCCCCCCCCCACTCCCCCCACTCTAGTTGATTTTATGGAGGCCGAGTGTCAGAAGAAAAAACACTGTTTACCTTTCAGCACGGATGAAATGTTTTGGGTGCCACTCCATGCATTGTTACCTCAAGCCCCCCCCCCCCACGCCTCTCTAGGATGAGAACCCTGGACATACCCGTAGTACATGGCCTGCGAAACCCCTCCCGCCCTTGACAGCACTTGAGCCGAAGGTTAATCGGCCCCGTTAATACCTTTTAAATGCAACAGCAAGAACACTGGCAAAATGACTTACTGCTTCTTTTGCTTTTGTAGTACTTCAACATCTCTTCGTTGGTTGCAACTATGGAGTCATCGCACAATTCACACTGTTTGGTATCTTTGTTATATCTGAAGTATCTGCAGTATACTTCCGAGAGGCAGGCCGCGGCGCACCTGAGGTGAGATCCGCGTCGGCTTGACCGAATCACTCGATATTTGACGGTGCTGTTGTACTGTGAAACAGCCGTGAAATCCGAAGATGTCACCGTAGGGGGATTACAGGCAGCTCCGCTCCGGACCACGCAAACGGCCAATAGAGCAGAACACCAAACAACATATGGGCCATATTGCTGAAACATGGGACAATTCATGTCGTTTCGCTTGTTCAGTTGTAAAATGCCTCGCGTGTTTCAGGAGAAACTATTTCACTCGGAGACTATGCTGCCAACGGCCGACGACATACGACCGTATACCACACGAGATGGGCAATTTGCGTAGACCTCTCATTTATAGGCGGGCAATGAAACGCAAGAGCTGACTTATCGATCGCCAATTCACTTGGTGTCGGTCAACAATAAATAACGATTATTATAAGCCATAATTTGGTCATTGAATTTACGATGGCCGTAAGAAAGCAATATAAGCCATAATTTGGTCATTGAATTTACGCAGGCCGTAAGAAAGCAATTACTGCGCGCCCCAGCCTTCTTTCATACATTTTGGCAACTGAACTTGCTTATAAAATGCGTGCACGGTTCAACGAGTAACGTTTACGGACGTTGTCCGCAATAATCGAACGCTTGTTACGGACCAGAATTTGGTCATTAAATTTAAGCACTGTACTCAGAAAGCAATTACTGCGCTGCCCAGCCTTCTTTCATACGTTTTGGCAAACTAACTTGTTCATATGTGCGTGCACGGCTCAACGAGTATACGCTCACGTCACAGGCGTTGTCACCATAGAGCTACATGTATATTAAATTACTAGAGCGCTAACTTCGTGTACAAAGTAATGCCTGCTGGGCGCATCCATGTTTGTGCACAAAACTATGGAGACCTAGAAATTGTGTACGGCTTTTGTACGGCTGTTTGCATATCTGCGTTTGTATTCCATACCGGTGCGTTACCGAAGCCAATACGCCCAAAACCGAAACGCACGATCAGCAAATGAGCGTGTCATTTTGCTCTACGCAAACAGCGCAACGCGTGCGCGTTCGCTGCAGATATTTTTTGCCGTAACGTTTTTTTGAACCGTCATGACGCGCTTAAGTTTTTTGCTTATGTTCTACTTGCGCTTTGCATGTAGAGTACACTTTCAAAATTCAATCCAACTATGTTCTACAAACACGCACATGAATACAAAATGTCTGCGCCCAGGACGGCTTCAAAGCGTCTCCTCCGCGCGCGGAAAGACGAGTTAGCGCTCTATGGTTGTCACTCAACTACATGTATGCATAGGGCCTATGTCATGCGTATTGAAACTATTGCATGTGTCTTGAAACTAAGCACATTTACATTGGACGGTGTTGCATTGTGAGACAACTGTGAGACAAATCCGAAGATGTCACGGTAGGGATATTAGTGGCAGCCCTATCTATGCTTAGTCTGAGTATCACCCGTTCTATTACATAGACTAATCTATGCTTGGACCACGCAGATATACATGGGCATGCCATAGCTGCATGACAAAAATAGGAATCTAATAGCGACTCTGCTCTATAACAGCACGTAGTGGATTAGCCCTTTTCTATGGCCACGACATGCTGGCACAAAGTTCCAGGCTGTTTCAATCAATAGGCTTGCTTTATGACAACGACGTAACCATATTTATACAAGGCCTGAATAAACCCCCGTCATCTCATTGGTGGGTCGTTGATCACGTGTCATTGAAATGCAGTCGACTCTCGTTAATACAAACTTGTTCGGACCTAGATAAAGTGTTTGTTATATCAGAATTTTGTATTAAGAGGAACATCAGTCCCATTTTTCACTGTGCACATAAATACACAGTCGGGATCAAGGCTTTGTGTTTGCTATAACCAGAATTTATATCAACGGTGTTTGTAGTGACGAGAGTCAACTGTATTTGTCCCAGTACAATTCTTTTAGAAGTTCCATTCCGGAAATGCACATTACATGTATTACAGAGTAGTTGTCACCCTTTATTGTTAGTGCTGTAACGCAGCTCTGATAACTCTGATGCTGTACTTACATAGTTGCCAATTAGGCCAAGTTCGGGCAAGGACCATTAGTCGACTAGTGGTTGATTTGTGACGTACCTTACGCCTGCGCACTGATAGCAACGTGCAAACGCCTCTAGTCAAACGCTCGCAAAACTTCTGGATCCTGGCTCTCTGCTAGCGTTATGAATGCGCGCGGCTATTGGTTACCAGTGAAGCAACCAACCCCAGTAGGCTGGTTCCTAATAGTCGACTAGCGTAGTCAACCACCGTTGACTAGACAGAGTCGGGGCAAACGTTAGTTAACCATTGGTCAACTATAGTCCTTGCGCGAACTTGGCCTCAGATGACGAGGATTTATTCATCAGGCGTTGAACATTGTATATAACACTGATGAATTATTTACATGTACATTCGTTCAATGGAAAGAATTCTAATTTCATTCGGTTACAAATGGAATGTTCCATTCCACTCAACTTCGCCTCGTGGAATGGAACATTCAAACTGTCATGAAATTAATCTTACCATTTATTATTGTATACATGTACATGTAATATGCAAAGCAGATGCTGTTCCATTATAGGCCCCGCCCACTGGACACGTGGGCAACACGTGCGCCTATGTATCCAAGGACAAAATTGTAGTCAGGCAAGATGGCGTCGTTCGGTCACCCTCAACTGTACTCTGTTTTCCGGTGAGGGGGTACTTGTGAACGGAGCGGATAGGGGCGCTGTCTTCCCAATCCCCGCATAACGTAGAGTTGAACTTTCACCAAATCCACATCGAGTTTCCAAAGTAAACACAAGATCTGATCAGAATACCACTAGTGAGTGAATTCGACATAAATTTGAGCATACGTCCTTTTAATGAAATTGTTGTCTTGCCTTCTTTGTTTCTGATTTAGCGACCAGTGAGCACAATATTTGAACAACATCATTCAACCTACCGTGAGATTTAATGCAATTTTTATCTTGTTACTCAAGGGAAACTGCACCGTGTTTAACCTTGTCCACGGATCACATTTAAGGTACATGTACTTCAGTAAAAATGAAACCATACCGTTTCATGAAAACGATATCAGAATGTATATGTAATCCAATAAGTCTCCGGGGTAGCCAAGTAGAAGGCAGGGCCAGACTATAAACTCTTTACAGCATGTACATGTATACTTTATTTGATATTGGAATTGGAATCAGCATGCAGGTTTTAAAACAAATGTTATAATAAGTGCCGGCTATAATGGTTATGAGAGTGACTAATGTGGTTTTTTTTTCACATGTGAATGGTGTTCGTTTTGCTGAATTATCAATTACCTTATTGTGATCCGTGGACAAGGTAAAAAAAAATGTGTTGTGTTCAAAATTCCATAACTGGAGAAGTACAGCGATATACACTGTAAATGATTCTTTCACTAAAACACCTTATTCATTGGGCTTTCATATCCTTGATCTTGAACACGCTACATGCAGAACGGAACTTCTTTAAAAATAGGCTGCAGCATTGGGGTTTTCTTATATTTTGACTCACCTGTAAATAAAGCGAGCGTTTCTCTGAGGGTGTTTTACATCACAGTTTCAGGACCAGTTTATTAGCAAAACTTATTCCAGTTCCAATGGAACAACATGCTTCCTAACAATTAAAAAAAACCCAGATTTTAATCAACTAACTTGAAAAGTATGCAATAGTAATTAAAATAACTGGACGACAATCAATTGAACGTATTATAATATACTGTTTATCTTATGGATCCTGGTATTAGCAAGCCACCCCAAAAAAGTGGTAAAATTCCTTCCCTGTCATAAAAAAAATATTCTGCGGCGCTGTACACGTGCATTTAAAAAAAAAGCAATACATTTGTAACTGATTGGTTGGGCTAAACGGCGCCCTCAATCGTCCACATGAGTAACAGACCGTAACAATGTATGAACAAGTGAGAACTTGGGCATTAGTCATTTAGTGCTTGCTTCTTGATACTTTTAGCATTTCTCGAGCATTACGATTCAGGCGTTAAGGTTTCTTTGCATTACTTTCATTCATTTAGTCGAAAGTCAGTGTGGAGCTACGGAATGACAGTGTTTTCGTAATGGTGCGTGCACTGACCGGCCGCCATCTTAAAAGGCTTTTTGGTTCGTAGTTGATTGTTTAGTATATGCGTGAGGTGCTGTTGTTGATTTCCCGGACGGCACAGTGGTTGCCCCAGCAGCTGATTCACGGCTTGGTGTTGCTGATATCTTCTCCAATTCGACTGTGAACAGAAATCATATAGGTTTAATTAATATCGTGAAGTTATATTGCTAATACTTTTGCAGCAAAGTCACAATATGGAGGCTATTTTTCACTTTCTGTTTGAGGTGTGGCAGGAAATCTAGTCATTAATGAAATCACTTTAAAACAAATTACTATTTTCAGAAAACAAATTACTATTTTCAGTCAATAAATGTTGAAATTAAAAGTCAACAACAGTCGGATCATATTTTCAAGCAAGCGCTCTGACGAGTCAAATTCAGTCAACAGACAAAATCGGGCAGGAAGTAGGCACAGCTGGCTATTAAAATCAATCATCTGCAGTCAAAGCATAGCTGTATCAAGTTCCATAAATAGGGGTGCATACCTATTATGTTCCCTATAATACCTATGGTCCCCAACCCTAACCCTATAGCCCTAACCATCTTACCCTAACCCTAAGGATTTTGGGTATAGGTGTTGGAAAACATAGGTATTCGGGAACATCGGGTAAAAAATAGTCACAGCCAGTCAATTTATGTAGGCTGGGAGATCTTAACAGTTGAAAACAGTCACTTCATAAGTCTCTGTACTAATGACGTCACACGTTGCTTACACGTGCACTTTCCTATAGAGCCAGTGGGGGTCCTCGGTCCACTGAGCACTATAGGAAAAGCACATACGTAAACAACGTGTGACGTCATTATAGTATTGGTTTTGGTTTTGAATGAAGGGTAACTTGACACAAAATGCATGTTTGCATAGGAGGGTTCAAAAAGAAATTGAAAACTGTAACCTCAACAACATACCTTGGTGCAGAGCATCGGGGGCAGTGCAACCTAGGGACCATCAGATGCAACATGGTCTTCTGGGCAGGCATCACATGTCGTAACAATCTTCTTTGCAGCAGTGAAAGAATCTGGCAGACCGTTCTCATCAGGGAGGATGAAGTGGTGCAGGATGCGGAGTATCTCACTTGTCGCTCCTTGGTTCACCTGAGGTCAAAAAGGATATTATGAACACAAAATATACTTCCAAAGAACCTGTCTTGAAAGTGTATATACCGTTAGGTGTATTCAATTCACATATTTAACTACTCTAAATGAAACTTTCAAGTGACACTTTTTTTTAACATGTAATCCAATTCAGTCACTGTGAACGGTTTATGGTCCAACACAGGTTTACCCTTTGCGCACATTGCAAGGTAAGCAACGTAGGTAACGTCGGTGCCGGCCCGTTGCCGGACTGCGCCGACTCAGTAGTGTGACATTTTTGCGTGTCTTGGTGGTGAGTTGTATATAGAGAGAGCCTCGTGTAAAGAAAGTGGCAAGAATAAATGGCATAGAGCCCCGAAACCCTGAAGAAGAGTGGTTTCCTTCGTCTGGCGTGTGACAACCCAGGATCCGGTCGACGTTACAGTATGTGCAAGATGTATAATACGCATGCGATTAATGTACCACGCGTTTAAGACCCAAGGTAATGATCACTAGTATCAGTAAGATGTGAAGGAAATCAAAATCAAGGGCGGATCCAGAACCCATTTTTTTGGGGGGGGGGGGGGAGCAAACAAATTTGGTACCCCAAAAAGTGGATCAAAAATTACGGCGTGGGGTTCGGGGCCCGCTAGGGCCCTGAAATTGTTTTGGATTCTAAATGCTCTGTGGTGCGATCTGAGGCACTGACCACATTGACCATTTGGGGGGGGGGGGGGGGGGGGGGGGGGGGGGGGGGGGTTCGTGGGGGGGGGGGGGGTGTCATGGCCCCACGTTCCCCCCCCCCGATCCGCTCTTAATAAAAATGTGCTTACTTTTAAAAGACTTGAATGACGCATGGGCATACCTTTGTATGTATGGTAACTGTGTATTATTTACTGTAAACAAAATATTCACATCATCTCAACAAAATAATACATGTATAGTTGTATACAGAAATAAGTACAGTCGAGTCCTGATAAGAAGAGCACTGTTAATACATTATACTGCTTATAAGTTATAACAAGCAAAATGTTAGGTCCCAAGTCTTTGTTTTCCTTTGTTTTCCATTACTGTTAATACAAGGCTCTTGGTATAATTAAGGACCTTGTTATAAAGGTGTTCGGCTGTAATAACAATACATTCATTTGATTGTGATAAGCCAAGTTAAAGCATGCTTAGCCTGAATAATCAAGGAAACTTTGGGTTTTTGGTGGCGGTGGGGGGGGGGGGGGGGTATGACATGGTTTATTATGAAGGGTAAAAGTTCACTGTATTTCACGGTGGTTTATGTAGCTCCCAGACCCAATCAATTCTGCTTGGGCGGTATCAGTAACTGGTATGACAAAGCAAATGATGACAACAGGAGTGTATGGCTTGTGCATGTGCAAATCTAAACTTTGGATCCACAATCAATTTGCTAAACCATAGTACAATGTATTAAAATTCCCTAGGCCTTTATACAGCTGTAGCACGATTGCACCCTGATCGAAATTTCAGGGGAACACACCATATAGTGAAGTTCAAGGCGTATAGACCAAGGATATAGGCCTATTAGACGTAAGGAAATGCGACAAGTAAAGTTTGTTTGCGCGATCGCTGCGTGCGTGAGGTACGTTGACGTGACGCCATTAGCCAATTCGGAGTTTCGCATGCGCAAACTGAGGATTGTGAGACAGAATGTGTACAAGGGCGGATCCAGAGGGGGGGGGGTGGCCAAAGGGGGCCATGGCCCCCACCCCAAAAGAAACCATTTTTTTTTTTAATGTGACATCGCAATAAAGGCAGGCAATGAGTACACCACCATCTTTTCCTCAAACACAATTGGTTAAATGGGTCAGAAATTGCCTCAGATCGCACCACAGAGAATCTAGAATCCAAAAATTTTCGGGGCCCTTCAGCGGGCCCCGAACCCCACGCCGTATTTTTTTAGACCCACTTTTGGGGGGGACCAAAAATTTTTTTGCCCCCCCCAAAAAATTGGTGTTCTGGATCCGCCCTTGAATGTGTAGATAAACATTAATCTCCTGTGTATATGGAGATCAATCTAGATAAACAATGACGCGTTATGCTGGAAGCTTGCCGTCTATTGGACTTGGATAGCGTGACGCGTTTGTTTATCCATAGAGCAAGAGTGGTTTATCTTCTAACCATGATTGTGGTGAGTTGATGCATACGCTAGCGAAACCCTGAACTGCCTTGTGTTCGGCCCAGGGTGACCGTAAGGTCATGGCCAAATTCTGCCAAATGCACTTCAAAATCTGTCAGATTTATCAAAAATTTGCCAAATTGCCCAGAATTACTCGAAATACACTATTAACACTTAAAATCACAAGCAGATGTTGTAATATTGCCTTAATTAAGGTTCATATTACATTATAAATTAATTTGTGGTCACATGAAAATGTTATGAAATTGCGTAAATTTCAGGCAAAACGTGGTTATGTCACGACGAAGTCTCGCTCCAGTGAATCTCAGCGCCTAAACCAGGTAACCTGTCCTATTTTGCAATTAAAAGGGTTTGTTTGAAAAAAAATTGAGGCTTTTTAAAACAAACATACCATTTTTCAAACTTGCTATGCTTTTCTGTCGAATAACCATTTTTGCAAAATTCTGTCAGAAATCTGCCAAAAAAATCCATTCTGCCAAATTTTCTGTCAAACTCGTTTTGTTTTAACAAAAGGAAAATTGTCAAAGTTATAGCTGAAAATCGGCTAAAACGGTCACTATGATTCGGCCTGCAACACACGGAAACAACACACGGATCTATGGGAAGTGGCATGCAGCCGCTTCCATAATGTGCGTGTGTGGTGTCCAGCAGTAGTCGAGCACTTCGGGCACGACAATAAGGTAGCAGACCAGTAAGTAAACTTCCATAGACCCCAATGGTAAATGCTCCCACTTCAAAAATTCGGGAAAAATACTCCCAACTCTCCAAGGTGTTCGAGACACACATCAAATTAAAGCTTATTTCATCATCTTTCATTTTCTTTTCAATTTTCGGGGGGTCAACTGATGACTTTTAGGAGAAATTTCAATCTGAAGATGATCACCCCTGAAAATAGTCCTGAAGCCCATCGCCATTTTGAAAAACGATGCCTACACTCCATTGCAAAATAGAGCGCTTTTAGGGTCCAAATTACATCAAAATTACACAGAACTGCAAGCTCCCAGTCCTGTGCACGGCTTCCACCCATATTTTTTACAATCCCTCAAGTTCATGGCCCACAGCATGCTCAAATACCGAAGATTTTGAGGGCATGCAAATCGTGATTTGGCCGGCGCAGGCAATTTCGGACCGATTTACTGGTCTGCACCCATAATGGTCAGAATTTTGTGGTGTGAGAACCAGACTACATTGTGTATTTGAATTTGCTACGCGGGAAATTGTAACCACTCTCGTCATACATTAATAAAATAAATATTAATTCAAGCATGGAGCTATATAGCTCCATGATTCAAGCATGGAGAAATATATCTCCATGATTCAAGATGCAGATTTTTTTGTTTACAGATAAATGCGTTTAAATACACATGCTATGTACATTCATACCTCTGGAAAATGTTCGTGCAAGGACAAGATCTTTGTAGCAGCTTGCTGAACAGTGACTTCGCTGCCTGGGAAGAGAGGCGCGTTCTTCGGGTCGCTGGTGCGGAGCCGGTCGTCTTCCATTCTTTTCACCCGTGCCTCCTTGTTGTGCTTGTCCACTGTGCGTTGTGACAGCAACTTGCCTCCGTTAGGTTCACATTTTGGGCATAGACACAAAACTTTAGAGTCCATTGGGTCAACAACGCCCGTGTCCTGCTGACGTCCCGGCCCTTCTCGAGGGCTGCCTGGGATCGGGAGGGAAGACGCGTTCTTCGGGTCACAGGTGTGGAGGGGGAGGTCTTCCATTCTTCTCATCCAGATGTGCTTGTACCTATCTTGGAGAAATATCTCGAAGCTGAGCTTGTCCACTGTACGTTGCGACAGCAACTTGCCTCCGCTAGGCCCACCACATTTAGGGCAAACACACACGCCTTTAGAGTCCAGGGGGTCAACGCCCGTATCCTGCAGATGTCTTTGCGGTGCTTTCTCGTTCATGTTTAAGGGCGGGTTGTTGCACGTGCTCTACCAATTTGTTCAAGGAAATTGTAAACCTAACGAGAAGCTCACCGCGCCGCACGGCTGTGCGCTTCGACCTTGCTTCACGGGTCACACTATGCTTGACTACAGGGGTGTGAATGTGTGCGGTGTATGTGATCGCAATGTGGGCACATGATCGCCCCATAAAGCAATAGTGGTCGCGTCCTGCCACACAGCATTTACATGCATCTGGGGTTGAATAGTCCTGAGACGTATGACGTCACGCTTTGTTGCATGTGCGCTTTCCTATGACTATGAGAACCAGGTGGGCTCATAGGAAAGCGCACATGTAAACTAAGCGTGACGTCATTACGTCTTAGGTCTATTGGGCCTCAAATAAGCCTGAGAATTGGCTAATCGAGAAGAATGTCCATCAGCGAAAAGGGAATTTCACTATCTTTCTATCGGTGCGTGACCCTTCAAGTTCTAAAAGAACGTATATACATGTAGTTCGTAAGTTGGTTACAGCATTGAACACATAGCGCGGCTGCGGCCGCACCCAAAAGGGGATCCTGCCCCACACAAAACAATGGAGTATTGATATTTTGTGTCGGCGTTTTGACGGTTCTTTTTTATGGCTCAGATAATAATGTCTGTATGTCGGAAACTGAATTTCAGCATTCCGAGGGAACAGTTCTCGAGATAGCGTGAAAATGTCTTCAAAACGGCAAGACTTTTGGACCTTTTCCCCACAGGTTTATACTTGTAGCCTCAGTCACTACAAATCGACATGCCCCTCGTTTGTTGTGTACACCTGTTCCTTGCTCTATGTGTACACGTTCAACAATGGAGGAATAAGAACACTCTAAACCACTTGTGGTGGAACAATTACATTTACTATACCTCATACATATTCATGATCGAGAGCCGAACTCTCACTGGTCAATTCACCATCACGTGCCAGATGTTATTCTTGCTGTTCACCAAACGCGCGCGCGAGGATTCACGCACATTGTAAATACACATGCGTAGTAGACTGTCGCATGGGTTACCTGTGCGACAGTCTACTACGCATGCGCTTTACAGAGCAATCGAGGAACTGTCGCACAGGTGCAGTACGCACGCGCGAACATCGCACAGGAGAGATGCATGGTTGCACGGTTTGCGTAAATGTTTATTTCCAAGCTCAAATGATGCCGTACTGGAGAAAATTTATAGACCGTGTAAAGATGTCTCCTGTACAAAAGTTGTACACATTGCAAACAACTCTATTTACAACTGTAGTAACTGTATTATATTGCAAACGAACCGAACTTGTAATTCAAGTTGAGCAACAATATTCTTTGGGTGAGCTATACAAGTTTCCCCGAATTTTGTTTTACGGTGCATATAATAAAAAAAAAAATCAGCAACTGAATATGTATGAGGTATAGTAAAACAAATATAACATGGTTTATTTCGGGTGGACAGTCGATATATGCTCCCCTTGGTATTGGAAGTTGACAAACTAGTTTCCTCGGCTTCGCCTCGGGAACTAGTTTGTCAACTTCCAATACCTCGGGGAGCCAAAATCGACTGTCCACCCTCAAACCATGTTATATTTGTATATTGTATATTAAAGACTTTCAAGGTCTGAATGAGCAGAAAAAAATGTCACACGGCGCTGTGGTCAGCCACTGGGCCGCGGTTATCAGATCGCCCATTGCTGCAACGACCTTGTGGGTTATCCCATTGTATCCAAGTGGGGGTGGGCAACCCGAACAGCTCTAAACAAAGGAAATCAGACAAGTCACCTTAATTACTTTGTTTATTAGAAACACAAAATACATACTATTTTAATGTTATTTCTTTGTCATAATGGAAGGAATGTAACATGCAAAAATATACGTACACAGGTTCATTAGTTTATTGATAGCAATGAATTTAAAAAGTATCAAGAAAGTTACTCGGTAATGTAAATACTTATCTTAAACTACATCATATAAAAATGTATTTTAATATTACAAAAGAACACCACTTTCCATGAGTTGACAATATCTCTTCAGCAAAATAGCATTCTGCACTACTACACTTTGATAACATTTTTGAGGTTTCTTTCGTACACTAAGAACACCCTCCGTTTGGTAGCGTCCACCCGCTGAGTCAAAGAAGTTGCCTCAGAAATCCTTGCTTTTCTCACATCAAAAACGCTTTTACTACATCCAAAAGACACTGAAATGTCAACTGAATGCATTTGAACTAATACATATTGAATGAAAAATGTAACGTGGTGATTAAATTGACGAAAGCAACCGAAGAAAATATGTGAGGTGTCGCGTGGCAGTGTAGGCACACACGTCACACGTCCATACCACGAGTCACTGCACCGTGCTATAAAAAGCTTTCTGAAAAGAAACGCGTCTTTCAATTGGTTGCAAATTTACAAGACTTTCCTCTACAACAATCAAAATGTTTTTTACATGAACATCTGCAGAATTTTATACAGAATAAAACTGCGGCCGAGATAGATTTGTTTGTTTACGCTATTGAATTTAGTGCACGTACTTCATCAAAAAGTCGTACATTTTGCGTGTGAATCGTGCGCGAAGGGCGAAAAACTAGGAAAAACCGACTTAGTTTTAAGACCTTTTGCTTACCTAATTTACAACGTGTTCTGGGATAATATTGTTGCTGAATTTTAGTTCACTCTATATAGAAGAACTTAAGTAATACAATTCCAGACCGAGATGGTGTGAAATGTCACTTCAATCTCAGAATATAAGGACAGCTGAGGTTTAGCGTGGGGTGCATTTCGCATATGGTAGTTATGTGTTAAATGCCGCAACGATTTCGGTGAGCAGTATGGCGTGTTACCAAAACATCACCCATCCACAACTGCAGCATTGGGGCCATAAAACACAAGGGAGCATTCAACCGACAAAAGCACATGTATAAGCTGTATGTTTCAACAGGGGAATTCTCGCATTTCTCACATTTCTGTGTTTGTTTAAATGAACGGATTCAAAGAGTATCGATTCACCGACGCAACTATGTATACAGTACAAAGGGGTCGCCCACAAGAGGTCTTTGTGAGATTCACCGAAGTCACGATGGAGTCTGAAGATTTTAGGGCGACAGATTTTGCTAGACTGTATAATTTGGTAAAGTTTGGCTCTAATTACATACAGAATAACAAAAGCCAATTAACAAAATTAATGATTGTCATCCATTTCGTCCAAATGAATGGGACGGCTACATATATAGCATTCATATAATTTCCATTAATAAAATAAAAATAAGGTTATTGGTTTTTTTTCTTCAAATTCATGCGGAGTGCCTAGCCATCTTAGAAACCGCGCAACAGTTTACATCATTCAATCAACAATGAAGCGTAAATATCTTCTGAATAAATGTGCATTATTAGTATCAAACCATTATTTCAGCAGAACAATATGCAGATCCAATATCACATTTAAAAATCAAACATTACTTAATCGCAGCAAAACTAGATAGCCTTTGTCATTTTAAGCAGATCCTTTTATTTAAGGCAAAATTCACCCATTCCTTTTTCAAGGAAGCCGGCCAATTATTAAGTGGTTAAATCACTCCCCTGCGACAAAAAAAAAAAAGGATTCTGGTGTGATCACACACTCGCACGTGCAATTTGTTTGGGCTAAACAGCGCCCTCAACCGTCCACAATTGCCTGTATTTATGTTTGAAACGATTAGGTCTCGGGCTTAAGTATTGCTTACATATGGCACTTTAATTCAGCATTTCTCAAGCAAAATGATACAAACGTACATTTATCTTTGTAGTCTTGAAATCTATTTTAGTCCAATCTCAGTGTGGAGCTACGGAATTACCGTGTTTTCGTAGTGGCGCGCACCACTCTGACCGTCCGCCATCTTAGTCTTTTTGGTTGCCTTCGTAGTTGAACGTTTGGTGGATGCTCGAGGTGCCGACACACGTGTTGTTGATTTCCCGGACGGCACAGTGGATGCCCCAGTAGCTGATTCACGGCTTGGTGTTGCTGACATCTTCTTCAATTCGACTGTGAACAAAATAAATCGGTTTAATCAGAGTCATGCAGGCATAATTTTCACGTGCAGCTCTCATTCTAAGCTACGAGCACAGTAAAATTCCCTTACCATCGTCATTGATGTCAAAGTATATCGCATCGGCGTTATCTGGGCCGCCAGTGTTCGGCGAGGTGGTACCATCCGGCCTCATGGTCTGCAGACAACGTATTCTGCAAGTTCAAGAAGAGTATAAGACTATAAGTGCAAGTGTATCAATCACAAGATTGGGGTTTTTGTATAATTTTCCAGCAATTTCAAAATCCGGGCTTTTTTCTCTTTGCGTTTGAGGTGTGGATGTTAAATGAAATCACTTTAAAGCGCCGGTCAGTAATTGTTGAAATGTTGTTACTTCGACCGATTTTCAGTTGCATCCAGCCAATTCAGATGTTACGATCAGCCGGGATCCGTGCCTATTTTGACTAATTTTGGCCAATCCAACTGAAACTACATTTTTTTTCTCACCGAAAGTGTCTTGCAAAAGCTACCAGCACGGCAACAGCCGCGGAAAATATGATGCCAAGGGCTAATCCCACACCGATGAAGGCTGGACCAGCGACGCCGCTTCCAGACGTTTCCCGAGCCCCTGTGTCAACTAGAAAAGGTCGTTTTTAAATCTTTAAACTTCTTATTATGATGCATTATATGGGATGAATTGGGGAAAGCTACAATACATAAATAATTTTGCATTCCCCGTAATATTTTTCGAGCTTCCTAACAAAACCCGGAGGATATTTTGTGGGTGGAACTTAATGAACAAATCGAATGTGTTGAAAACCACGGGGAAAGCAACTTAAATCCAGTAAACAGGGTGAGTAAAAAAAGGAAACCCAAATGACGCCCCCCCCCTCCTTTATAAAGGAAGTTCTGCATGAAGCGCTTTTCAGATCTAGGATGTGAAAGCCCAATTAATAGCTTTCTTTTAGTAAAAAAAAATATTCAAACCACTCATGTACTTTTCGAGTAATGGAATTTTGAACACAAGTTTCAAAATTTAGAAGAGGATCAAGAACAGCAAAGTCATACTATTAAAATATTGTGATTATGTCATTCTACCTGTGGGAATATCGAAATCAACTTCCTTCCAGGGTCCCGGTCCCACACGCGTGAACGCCCGCATCCTGAAGGAGTAGGATCCCCCCTGTGACAGACCATCGACTTCAACAGACTCTGCTGTGGTGTCGGCTGTTTGTATAATGGACCCAGATGCGTCACGAAGCTCGTACGCGTAGCCTGTGATGTCACCGCCTCTTTTGCCACAGGGAATGGGATGCCAAAACATTCGGACGCTCCGATTGGACCAGAATACATTATCGAGTTTGGGAGCAGCCAATGGCACTGCAAGGAAAAATATTTCCATTGAGTTCTTTAAAAAGAAATAAAGCTATCGAATTACATAAGTTAGAGGTTTGCAGTAACACCATGTGGAACTATCTGTTTTGTGAGTGTGTGCGGTCCTGTTGGATTAACTCGACGTTTCGGACAGCATGCTCTGTTCGTCATCAGGAGAATTACAGTTGAAATTAAAGACCATGCAATCAACCGTGATAAGAATAATTTTCTCGCTGTATCCAACAAAATGTACTTATTTGCAATCTATGCAAAAAGTTATGAGTTGTGTAATATTAAAAGAAAATGCAATGGTACAGAATATACATGTAATATCTTGACAAGCGGAAGGGGTATAACGCCCTCATGTGGTTTATAATGCACTAGTACTAACCTCCCTCCTCAGTCGTAACTGTCTTACTCTTCATGTATTTCGCGCCAGCATTATTTGCTGGGGCAACTTGCACAATGTACGTAGAGTAAGTATGCATTGATGTCAAGTCGATGTCACTGCCATCCACAACTGCCGCATGTATCAGTGCTGGATCGGTCATTTGTTGGCACTGCTCCAAATTGAGAAGCTGGTAACTCACGCGGTACGAGGTCACAGGGGGGCAAGGGTTGTCCTCGTTCCCAGCAGTTGTCCAAGAAACCTTGATTTCATCGGTTGAGGGTTCGAGGTTGAGAGAGTGGATTTCAGCTGCAACAAAGCATTGATTGATGAAACGAGGCATTGATTTCTGTGTGTGCTGAACTAATCTACTTTTAAGGATAAAACCATTTAAAACAGTTAATTGAAGCAAATGATGATGATGTATACTACATTGGATCTCATGCTTCTTTCAATACCTCTCGTTTAAGACATTTTCCAGAGATAGCTTACCTGTATCTTGGTATGACTCATCAGTCCAAGGTCCATGTCCTTTACTATTGAATGCGCGGACCACGAATGCGTACGATGTGCAAGGTGATAAACCGCGAAATGTGACGGACATCGCAGTTGTGTCATCTTTTTCTATTGCGATCGTGTTGCCTCTCTTCATGAACTTGTACCGGTACATCGTAGTAGCGCTTCCTCTACCGCCACAAGGAACTTGGGACCAGGTGAAAGTAATGTTGTCAGACGATGCGGTGCTCTCGCCGAGTATTGGGGTTCCCGTTGGTTCTTGGGAGGAAAGAATATACAATTTTGACTCAGTTTATATTTGGGCGAAGTTTATGATGCAAATAATGGCTAAGATACAATCAGTTTTAATAAAAACCTTCGGCCTGTGAGGTTAAATGAAGGATATTGATGAAATACTTGGCATGGTTTTAAAGGCAGTCGATTCAAATGACGAATTATAATGAGAGGATTTCTTGAAACTCTGATATATCTTTATATATTACTTTTAATTGCGGTGTATCAAATAATATGAAAGTTGAAACAGTGGTGATTTTGAAGAAACAAAACATAATTATACTTACTTCTTTCACCCGTTTGAACTGTTTGATACAGCACTGGGCCGTACCCAGCCTCGTTTCGTGGTGTAACCGTCACATTGTACGACGAGTACGCATGAAGTCCATTTATCGTCATGGTGGTCACAGACACATTAATTGTGCTAACATTATGATCCAGCGTCTCATGGCACTGCTCCAAGTTGATGAGTTCATAGGTCACGTGGTAGTCTGTCGCATGGCAATTGTTGTTTGTATTGGACGAGGCACTCCATCGTACGACCAGTCGATCGTGGCCAAGGGGTGTGAGTGTAAGTCCTTCAACGGGGTCTGGAACTGCGAAAAATCAGAGAAATAACACTGATACGATAATAAAATGCTGAATTAGATTTTCCCGTGAGTAGCACAGCGTATCTTTCGAATTCTGTCATCTCTATGTGAGTAAATCATAATATTATCAAACTGGGAACTCTGCGAATTATACAGGTACATGTATTTCAAAATTGTGTACAATTGTTGCTATTCAAAAGTTACACTGACGTTTATAGTGACGTGTTCTAATCTTTGTATGCAACTACTCGATGGAGGTCACGTTCTTTTCCTTAGTCAGTACGGACAAATATTTTCCTACATACCCTTCTTCCCATTTATGGCACTATTCGCACACTGTGAGGTCTTATCATACCTATCATTTGTGTGTCTGCTTGCGTCTCATCTGTCCATGGTCCGAAATTCCATATTGCCGAACTGTATGCTCGAACTTTGAACCAGTATGACGTACACGCAGGTAGTGAGAGGAATGTTGCGGAATCACTACCGGCGTCCCTGCTCGTCATAGGTCTCCCACTTCCACTCTTTCCGAACCTGTAACTGTATCCTGTGAGCGGCCCGCCTCTCCTGCCACACGGGACGGGATCCCAACCAAATGAAAGGCTGTTAGCTGTAGCGACACTAGTAATATTCACAGGTGTTGCCACTGGTACTGCATGAAAAAAATCAAAACGAATGCCATATTATGCATGTTTCATCTTGATGAGCTTGAAATAAAATTACTTTGAGAAAGTTACGGTCTCTTCTATTTGAACACAAAAGTACCTGTGCGCCCAGTTTGCGTTTGTTTGGAGCGTGACTGGCCTAACCCTGCTTCATTTCTTGGTGTGACAGTCACGTTGTACGTAGAGTACGCTTTCAATCCTTGTATACTGATTGCAGTCCTAGACGTGCTTCTTGTCTTGATGTTTCCCTGCATCTCCTGACACTGCTCCAGGTTGGTGAGTTCATAGGTCACAAGGAAGTCTGTTGCGCGGCAAGAATTGTCAGGGTTTGTCGAGGCTTTCCATTTAACGTTTAGTTGCCCATAACGAAAGACTGTGAAGGACAATCCTTTAACAGCATCTGGGACTGAAAAACGAAGGAAAAAAATTCCAAAGATCCAGGTAGGGTCTTGAAAATCACATGGCTGAGTAAAAGTCAGCTCTAAGATAGTACTAAACTCAGCTCAGTAAAGAATTGAAGACGCCACCAATTCCCTCATTTGAAAACGAATTTGTTGCCTAGGAACATTGTGTCAACTTTTCTCTGAAAATGGACTTTCATCAAGCTACATTTTTGTTCAAGCTGTGTGAGCTACGTTTCCAGCGAAGATTACGACTGAAGAGAGATACATACCAATGGTGTTTGTTCGTTGCTGCACTAACATTGGAGGCCCTCTTTCGACTCTGATATGAGGCCACACTTGTAGGGTGTAGAGAGAACACGGCAACAAGCCATCAAATGTCACAGACTCGGTTATGACAGTCTTCCAGCCAATCTCTCTTCCTGAATGCGTCAGTTGTGCTTGATACCAGATGTTGCCGTCTGTGCTGTCATAAGGGATGGTGTTCCAGGTGAACTTGATGCTGTCGGGGGCTGGTTCACTCGAGTTGAATTCGAGTGCAACTGATGGGACTGGAGGGAAAGAACGTCAAGTAATTGTTATGATAATTACATAATGCTACATTTTAATCTGTGGGTTGCCAATTCACTATGGACTGACGCTTCTACAAGTTATAACCCAGTCAGGCTCTGAGATGTTTGGCTTATTTTTTTTTTTAAATTATGAGTGAACAGGCTTCAATACAATCAGGGGTTGCAGATTTCAAAGATATGAGGACTACCGGTAAGTATGAAACGCATTCCAGAAGGTATAGTAGGCAAACGTCTTGCGTGTAATGCATACCTGTTTCATGAGTCGCCAAGATAGATGAAACTGTTGTGCCATCTCCAGCAAAAGTTGACCTGCCTCCTTCAAATGCAAGACACTTTTCTAGCGATCGATGAGAAAAAATTAAGTGTATTGACTGTCGTTTACTCTAATATTGTGTACGTATTTTGTCAAAGTTCGGCGCACATTAATAATGAAACATTTCCACATAATTATTGTTCTGGATTGCATCGTCATTTTTTTCTGACCCTTTGACTCGTTCTTTTACTTCAAATTCAAGAACAGGGGCAACGATTCCTCGTCATTTTTTGAGGGGGGGGGGCATGGGCGTCGCGAGGGGGGGCACTTGCCCCCCCCCCCCTGGAAAAGCCAAAAAAAAAAAAAAAAAAAAGATAAAAAAAGAAAAGAAAAAAATAAGAGAAAAAGAGGCGCGAAGACAAATTGGTGTAAATTTAATGAGTTTGGGGGGGGGGGGCAACATGTCCCTGCCCCCCTCTAAAACTGATAAATCGAGAATGTGTTGAGAAATACAAGCATTTTTTGGCAAAGTTTTTTTTGCCCCCCTCTAGAAAAAATCCTGGCGACGCCCATGGGGGGGGGCTATCACTTTGGGCAATTCGAAGAGTTGGGGGTACCGGGACACCATGGCCATGCATCTACACCTGGGGCGCTTTTCAAACTTTAATCAATGTACATAACTTATCTGCGTTTTATACCCACTCCCTGGATTAAGCAACAGCGTATAGCCAGGGTTCTCACCCCCCCCCCCCCGGGGGGGGGGGGGCTGACATCCGGCCTCCGCAAACTAATGAAATAGTGGTGGGGGCACCATCTTTCAATGGGGGCGCTGTTCAAAACCGAATTATGGTCATTGTCGGACAATAGGATTGCCACATTTCCAGTGGCAGTGCATGCGGCCTCCACGCCTCCCCTAGCTACATCGCTGGGAATATGTAGACCTATACTGTTTAATACCTGCCTAAACATGTATTTAGGTAAAGTTGGTGGACGAGCAAGATCTTTTGAAACATGGTGGAAAAAAGTAGACTTGTTCAATTTATCATCCTTTTCAACCTTAAATAATTATATCACTTTGAGGATGTACCATGACCTCCATTTTATATCTATATGGTTTGAAATGTCAATTTCTTCTTCTCTGGAAGAAAATTTTGTTTCTGAACTGTTTACTTTGCCGGATTGTTTTTTTATTATTATTATTGCATTTAATATGCATTGAATGGTTATTGAGTATGGTTATTCGAGTGTTCCTCTGGTGTTTTCTCTTTTTCTGTAGGGATGTGCCAATATCATAAGACTATGTCTTCGTTCAAATTGAACAAAACCTCGCCAGACAGCGCCAATTTTGTTGACCACTTTTTGCTTTAATACTTCAATAACCACCCACAACCTTCATTCATTCTTGATTCAACTCACTTTCCCCTATATTCACTTCGGAATTGAAAAATAAACAAACAGTCAGAAACTTACCTTTGCATTGTCCAAGAAATAGCAACAATTGCCAAGCGATTTGGAGGCGAACGTCCATGATCCCCGCCATGTTGTCCAACTTGCCTTCAAACATGATTTACAATTATTAATGTTGTTCCTTTTTCATAGTTGAAGGAAGTGGAGGAGGAAGTGAAATTACATATATATATGTTTTTTTAGCCAGATTCAGTTTGTTCAAGGCTATGAGCGTGGCCGTAGATAACAACTTGAGAAAAACAGCTCGGCATTTTTGGTTGCCAGCTTCCTCTTTACCAAACACGACTATCTGTCACTGCAATACATGTATCTTTAGTTGACCTATGACCTTAATCGCATGCATTTTTGTAGAGATCTTCGGTGGCTCATGGAGGGGGCGGGGCCGAAGGGGCTGATACCTCCCTCATTTTGTTGAGTACCCTCTTAACAGCGCTCGCGTCCTCGATTTGGGTTTCAGATTTGCAATTTTCTGATTTCCAGACAAGGCTTTGTTAAAACGCCAAGCCGGTTATTAACATCTATTGAAACGACATTCACTGTCAGGGGAACAATACCTTAGGCCTATCATCAGGTAAAATCATCCGTCATTTTGATTCGCTTTTGTTCCGCTTACTTTAAAAATAATGATAAACAAAAATTAAACAAAAAGCTTAAAATCTTGCGCTCAAGCACTGACTGTGAATTTAATTTTACAACAAAACCAACAACATTCACGATTGGATAAACACGGAAATGAAATGTTACAATGCTGGTATATAATTATGTAAACCACAGAAAATATTGCTGTGGTAGAAAAATCAAGTGTCGTGCACAGATAATCTAAACCACATTTTTTGACATTTCGACTGCTTACTGACCGTAGCCATGATCTATACGTTTTCTGTCGTGATAAGATTTCTGTGACTGGCATAAAACAGCGTCAACATTATGGCGTATAGGTTTCATTGTTTGATTGCACCCATATTTACTCATCTCAAAGAAAATAGCCCCATGGGGATTAAAAATGAACCCTGATTTTTTGCACGAGAGGAAGTAGAGTAGGAGATAATCTTCGAACAACTTTAAAAAAAAGGACGACTGATGAACCATAAGATACGAACAACTGAAGGCGTGAACAATACAATAGGCTTACCATCCTTGCCTGGCTGAACAGCGCCACCTAGAGGTGGAGTGATGGACCCATTATAATTATGTTTTGGAAAGGAGGGGGGGGGGATTTTCCTTTACCTCCTTTTTGACGTTAGTTTCGGATTAAGCTTCATGGTCTAAACGATTTTAGGCAACTGTAATGCGAGTTACTGCTTTCATTACCAGTCGGGTCAATGCTGTGCTAAGCAACATCCAAATGATATGAGTCTAAAGTTTTAAAATAGCTTAACTTTTGGTTAAGCTCAAACGAACATCATAATTGAAAATTATCATCACCAAGGAAAAATACCTATAAGCGGCGTTCCTTTTATTGCTTGCAATACCTAAAGCCAAAAGGAACTATGGCATGATTTTGTTTTCGTAGTACACGCAACCCTCATTACGTGACATAGACGATATCTGAGGTGCTGATGTGTGCTTAGCGGATGGCACACGTGTTGTTGCCGCTTCGGTGGACGATGACGCCACACGGGGCGTTGCACGGCATGGTGTTGCTGACAGCTTCTTAAAGTTCCACTGTGAAACAAAAAATGAGCCACAAAAAATGACCACAATTACTGCACGCAAACTGCTTCCTGGCTGCACGGATTGACCTGAAATATACATATCAGAGGGTTAGGGCCGGACGTTATGTTTCGATCCTGGCAGGATATTAGATCCTTCTATAAAGGGAATATACAACATTGGCAAACATCGAAAAATAAAAATACCAATTTTTACGAAATACCTTACTAGGATGTTGGTAAATGACAGTCTAAAGCATCCTGTAAAATTATGGCACCTGGTGTGAAGTCATTTTCAAGAAAATGGTATTTTTATATACATTTCCAACGGTGGTCGGCCGACCACCGTTGGAAAAACCTAACTATTTTTCAACTACTGCTCCAACTTTACACTTTTTCAGTCCAAATTTTGTTTGCTATGGATTACTTGTTCATGAACGGGTGCAGGCCAGCTAGACTGGTTCCCTTACCTTACAATTTTCCGACATCTATGAATTGATCCATTTTATCTTTAGTTGAGTCAAGCTAGGAACCAGACTACTTGAACATTTTTGTTTTTCTTGGTTTTTCCAGCATTTTCGAACACAAAACTTCAAACATGTCAGTGTAACAATATTTGATCTGTTATACTAACCCCTCAAATAGTTCATTTCTGAAAATTACAGTAAAAGCCAATGATGTACATCTTCTATTACCATTTGATTTTGTTTTTAAATTGCAAAGAACACTAGCCAAGCTGATCACTTCAAAATAATTTTCTCTTCGAGAGCTCATTGAGAAAAACACCACACGCTTTTGTTATACCTTCATCACGGACGTAATCATAGACCACCTCTGCATCCTCAACTGCCTTTGGAATTCGATATTCCCGGTTATCAATATGCTGCTTTCGTCGTCTGTATGTGCGAACGGAAAAAAATTACGGTGACAAAAATCATTTGATAAGCTTTCCAAGAAACCGACCTTTCAGTTGTTCGTGGTTCAGCCGTAAATTTATTTTGTGAACTTACCGCCCGTATTTGGTAAAAGCTATCAGAGATGCAAGCGCCGCAGTGATGAGTAAGGCGCCAATGACGACTCCAAGAGTTGCTGCGACAATGACAGCATTTCGATACGATCCAGAGTCGGCATAGTTGACTGTAGAATCAGATTGAGACAGAGTGGAAGACATTTACAGCTCTAGCCCAAATGCAGATGAAAAGGAAAAGCTGTCAAATTCAATTTGAACTGAATCCACAGAAGGAACTAGCTCTAGCACGTTACTATTAACCCCTTAAGCACGGGTTATAATTGGGACATTCCTCCACAAATAGAGCAAGTGGCCCGCATGACTGCACAGCCTTTGTGTGGTAGCGGGACTGCACAAAAGCAGCAAGCTGTGGAACTACCCACTAGCTGGCAACTGCATTCCAATGAGGATTAGCGGCCGCGGCCATGACCGCTTCCCGGGCCTATGGGGTTAAGAATGCAATTTAATAATCTCCTATATAAATGTATACCTTTAGGAGATTCTACAGCAACCGTTGTCCAGGGTCCCGGACCTACACGTGTGAACGCCCGCAGCCTGAAGGAGTAGGGCGCCCCTTGTGACAGACCATCAACTTCAACTGACTCTGCCGTGGTGTTTTCAGTTTCTATCACAGCTCCTGAAGCGCCGCGCAGCTCGTACGTGTAGCCTGTGATGTTACCGCCTCGTTCACCGCAAGGAATGGGATGCCATGAAAAACGAGCGTTTTGATTGGACGAAGATGTGTAGATCAAATTAGGCCCAACCAATGGGACTGTGAAAAAAACCCCAATGAAGACTATTAAGACGAAGAGCATAACACTGCATGATAATCGCCTTCACTTTGTGATACTTGCTGCCACTTTGTTTCAGTGATTGCGAAGTTACGTGTGTAATACATGTATAATATATTCATACCTCCTTCTTCAGTCGTAGTCTCCATTGTTTGGATCAATGTGTTATTTTCGGAAGCCACATGCACCCTGTACGTGGAGTGTGTATACAGTAAGCGTATTACAATGCTGTTATCGTTTGCGATTCCTGCATCCTCCAGTATGGAATCGGTCTGCGGTTGGCACTGCTCCAAGTTGAGAAGTTGGTAACTGACGCAGTACGAGGCCCTAGGGCAAAGGGTGAGCTCGTCTCCGGCTCTTGACCAGGAGACACGGATGTCGTTTCTTGAGGGTTCCAGGGTGAGAGATTGAATCACATCTGAGGATGGGAAATTACATAGAAAAACAACACAACGGTGCTGATTTGATATACATACCATATTATTTTGTTGGTGTAAATTCGTTGACTTCGGAGGTCAATTTTATAATTGTGTTAAACAGTAAGGCGGTGTACTTTTTCTACATAACCCCAGAGGACAGACACGCAAAGGGAGAACAACAGCTCCTTTCAGTCCTCGGGAGTTGGGTCTTTTGTTCAAAACGGTCCTTTGTAGTAGGTTTGTGTGCTTATTCTGTGGGAGAGTGTTATATTACGGGGACAAAGGACAACACAAAGCATTGTCCTCGGGAGTACAGTAAAACATCTCTGTGTGTGAGTATGGAGGTGCGTATTTGATGGGCTTTAATTCAAACAAACAAACAAGCAAACAAAATGTGGAATACCTTGGCAGTTGATGCCCGTGAATCCTGGCGCGCAGTCCCCTCGACACTCGCCCGTAGTTCTGTCGCACGCGACCCCGTCCATGCAGTGACATGTCTGTGCACAGTCTGCTCCGTAGAAACCATCCGCACATGCTACGACACAAGAAGAGCGGGTTGGTTGAAAATGATAGTGAAATAAATACAAAACTGTAATCAGTATGGAATTTCGCCTAATATAATGCCTGCTACCAATAAATCGGACACCATAATGTTAATAACGCACTTTATATAGAAATAAAAAAAAAATCAGTTAAGTCAGATCAAACTATAGAATGATTTCATCTGGTTTGGACAATAAAGGCTTCTTATAATTATAGATTCTGGAACCAGATGTGAAGCCGAACCGATACCGGAGTCAAGGTTTGGAAAAGGCTCCGCATACTTGCACTTTGTTTTGACTTACTTTCATCACAGTCGATTCCTTGGTACCCTGCAGCACACGAGCAGCCATAAGGATCTGGTAAACAGAACAGCTTCCCTGCACACGTAGGACCGCCTCCTAACTCAGGTGAGTAGCAGCCAAAACTTCCCGATTGGCCAAAACGGTTGGGGCCTACCGCTGTAATAAATAAAGTAACATTAATCATAATTGGCATGTCATCTTATAATTACTTTTATCGCAACCGATGCCAAAACGGTTGGGCCTTTCGCAAAGAACGAAGTAAAATAGCTAGTCTGTCAGTTGAAAAGACATAGGAAGTACATGTATAACCCTATATTTTCTCCGATTATTATAATCGCCAGGATTATGTCTGGAGGGCTGGGCAATGTTTGGGGTGCTATGCCATTGGTTAAGACACTTTTTCTGCAGTTTTGTAGTTGAATACATTAATAATTACAATAATATAAAAGAAAATCATTTTCAATTATAATTTTTTTCTATTTCAAGTATTAAAGTGCTTGTACGTAGATGAGTTTGGGACTCACGCATTTCGCAGAGGTCACCACTAAAGCCAGGCGGGCAAATGCAGTCTCCATTCCGGTCGTCACACACACCACCATTGAGACAGACCGGGCAGTCTCTGTCACACGAGGGTGCATTCCATTTATTCTTTGTGCAAGCTGTGATACATAATAAGAAAAGCCTTTGCTGACATTGAATTTTGGCCTGCGGTTCACGTCTAGTTCATCCATACAGTTTTTAGTCGAGAAAACCATCTAAATTTTGTTCATTTTTGTTAATGATCATTTTAACTGATGTTTAAAAATCGTTCCTAAAAAACAATTAACGTTTTCGTATACCTGTGACAATCAACCGCATGAGTGCCTGGTTTCCACGGCTACGTTGCCCACTTAAGTGGACCTCGAAAACCCCGCTGTTCGAGCGAGTGGCATTGATGAAATCAAAGTACAGACTGTCGCTTCTGTCTGAGAAGACTCCACCGCCATTCTTTCTCCATCGAGTGTCGGTACGGGCTGGGTCTGTTGCAGTGACGGTCAGATTGACTGCATCTCCCCGGTTTACCGTCTGACTCACTCGGGTAGGGAGGAAATCAGCTGTGGTACAAAGAGACAAATCTGGCAGGTTAAAAAGAGAATATGAAAAGATCTGCTTAAAAAAAACCCTGAGAGGCAGTTCCTTCCGGCCACTTATCGCCAACTCCCCTCCAAAAATAATGCACGCTTGCGTGCCATAAAACTGAGCGACGCGAGATGTATACTATTCCCCTTCCAAGTCTAAGACAAGATCGCTTTCTCACAAAAAGGGCATGGGCGTCGCCAGAATTTTTTTCTAGAGGGGGCAAAACATATTTTTGCCAAAAAATGCCTGTATTTCTCAACACAATCTCGATTTATCAGTTTTAGAGGGGGGCAGGGACATCCCCCCCCACCATTAAATTTATACCACTATGAATTCGCGCCTCTTTTTTTTTCTCTTTTTTTTCTTCCTTTTTTTTTTTTTGGCTTTTCCAGGGGGGGGGGAAGTGCCCCCTTGCCCCCCCCCCCCTCGCGACGCCCATGAAAAAGGGTAACAGAATTACCTTTAAAACTGGCCGTGAAAGTTCGAAGCGGTTGCGGGCTGATTCGACGCTATGGGGCACTGTGCATAAAAGCATAGGCGTAGCCAGCGGGGGCGGGGGGGGGGGGGAAGACTGCTCTTTTCCATTGAAATGTCTTTTTTTCACCGGCGCTTACCCCCCCCCCCCCCAATATTTGTAGGAGTGCCCTTTTGTAGGGTTTTGAACAGGGCCCCCACCGACAGATGGTACCAGAGCCCCCCTGCCCCCTTCCCTGCTTTCTGATTTTACGGAGGCCAAGTGTCCGGGGGAAAAACGTGCTCACATTTTACCACCGATGTGAAAGTGCCCTTTTCAAAAAAGGGTTGACCCCCAAACAAAATGACCGTGCTACGCCACTGAAAAGAATGCGAGCACGGTGTTGCCACATCTCCATTGCCACATTAAGGCTCCATCATTGTTTGTTACCGTTACATTTACTACTGACGTTTAATATAACTAACTAAAATGCCGATTGGCCTCCCTGTTACCCCGTTTCTTCCCACACTTTTTTTTTCATTAGGGAGTCTGAATTCCCGCCTCTGCCTCCGTCGATTAGGAGAAATGTACAGTCTGATGTCATCACACTTACCGTTTCTGCTCATGATGACGGTTCCTATGCTGATGTTACCACTTCCTGCTATCCTAGCATTACAGGCAAAGGCTCCAATCCTTGTCCTTCCTCCAGCCGCTGGCAATCGAAGAATAGAGATCTCATCTCCCTCTGATGACGAGTGTGGTTCCAAATGGTGCTCTGAAGGTAGCCCTAAGGGGTCATTATAGTCGCTTGTGTACGTGTAGGTTGTTCGAGAGAAGTTCAGCGCAGCATTACCGCCATGTAGATAGGCTGCGATGTATGTGTCTTCACTGCCGATATCAATACGGGGCTTGGTGATACAGGTGAAATCAACGATGCCTGAGACACCTGCAGTGCGAACCGGGAAGAGAGTTAATAGCCAAAAAACAATGATTGGATTTTTTTTGTAAATTTAAATTGTCATCATTTTCGACCTTTCACCGCTTTGTCCTCTTAGTTTTTGGATGTATCATGACCTCCACAAATGGTTTATAATATGCTAATAATGTTTATATTCCTATTTACAGAAATAATGTCATAGTTTAACGTCTCAACTTTGTTTGTTGAGGGGGATGCCTAATGGTATTTAAAGTGTATTTCAATTTTTGGCTTTGCCTTGGGGCATCGCAGTTAAGGGGGAGTAGAAAATGTTAAGAATATTATACAGTCAAACTTATACACTGTAAAAAAAATGCCCGTAATTTTACGGAAAGCACCGTCAAATGGGTTGCCAGCAAAAAAAACCCGTAAAATTACGGTCAGTTACGGGTTTCCTAAAAATGACGGTGACCGTAATTTCAACACGAATTTCCCGTAAATTTTAACGGTAATTGGCCGTAAAGTAATGGAATACAAAGTGGGTTGGCGTCGGGGATGGGTGCAGGGGTAGGGAGGGGGATAGGTTCCAGTTACGGAAGCTGAGAGTGGGTTATAATACGCTCGAGTTATCTACAGCTTCTGTTTTAGTGGTTTCTATATCATTTTCAGTGAAATTATCTTTAAGTTTCAACATAACTTTTTACTGATCCCGCAATAATTCTGCATTATCAAAGCATTACCGCTTTGACAGCACAATGATTATAGCTTTGTACTATAAACACGTAGCGAACCTTGGATGTATGCACTAGCTCATGGTGTGTATACGAATCACAGCTTTAAAAAGGCGGTTGTGAGGATTTGACAGGGGAGGGATTTTGAAAGGTAACGAACACAAAAGCATTTTCAATCCCATGCGTCAGGCCACCAAGTTTACTGGAAATTCACGTAGCACATTTTTTTCGTGGGATGGTTCGAGCAATAACGGTAATAAACCGTAAAAATTACGGAAAATGGACAGTATTTTTACGGGTTTTGTTTATGTAGCAAAACCTCAGATTCAGATGATGCAAATTGTTGATCTCTTCACTTATTTTTTTTCTTGAGAACAATCATGCACAACTTACTTTCAATCCCCGGTGATTCAACTCTCTTTTCCTTCTCCATTTAGGACCTGCAAAATGCAAACAATTCGAAACTTACCTTTGCATTGTCCAAGAAATAGCAACAAGTGCCAAGCGATTTGCAGACGAACGTCCATGATCCCCGCCATGTCAAGATTTCTATAGACTGTGTCTATATTTCAAATAGAATCCCACTTTATATATTTTTTACATATTATGAAGTCAATGCATGAATAAGGAAGTAAACGTATTATGTTTATGCCAGATTCAGCATTGTCAAGGGTTATAAAACATGATCGAAAAACAAGACTTTCGCATTTTTTTGGTCTCCAATTTCCTTGTGATCCAAAGGAAGAAATCTCGTTACGGGCTATGATGAAACATATCTCATTAATAAAACTTCCTTTATAATATCAGTCCTTACTCTTCCGCTTAATTTTAAAATAATGATCAACCCCATAATTAAACTAACAGCTTGAAATCGTTCGTTCCAAGACTGACTGTGAGTTTAATTCTACAACAAAAGCAACAACATTCACAATTGGAAAAACACGGAACTGCAATGAAAATATGGCAATGTGGAAAACGCCTTATTTTCTTCTGATGTTAAAGTGGTGATAATTTGCCATATTTACACTACGGAACATTATTGCTGTGAAAAATCGTGCGGAAAATCATCAACAAATAATTTAAACCAGATTTTGTACAATTTTTGGCGTATACAATTTATCATCTACCTGTCGTTCGTTTATTATTCTCGAAAATGATGAAATATGAGTGGATTAAAACTAAATGCTGGATTTTTCTGAATCGTGAAAATACGAGTCCGTCCCTGTTCAGATTTGACAATTATGCTTTTGGGTCAAATCACTCGTCATTCAACCTTAAAAAATAAGCCAATTAGAGCTATAGTTTTCCAGGTCAATCTGACCAAAGTGAATATGGCTACTGGCTATAAGTTTCTGGATCCTCCTCTTACAGTCTGATCTCTGGATCCACCCATACACTCGCTTGATTCAGGAACTCAAAAAGGTCCTTTTCTCGAATGTCTGATCAGGACACGCTTCATCTTTCGTTACCACATTCGCTGCGAAATTCGCCCGAGTTGAATTATGTTCAACTTTACGAATTCGCAAGCGCGAATACTTGCCACGACGTCACAAATTCGCGTTCGCTTTAACTCTTAAAAAATTAATGGTCACGGAGAAAACCAAATGGGGGATATGGTTCCAACTGTATGCAACTGTGGCAGTCGCGACGGTCTTATGGATGGCCTCGACTGCGCCAATCCAATCTGCGAGAGTCATGTTCCGCTTGCCGTGCCAACGATGTCCTGCCTGCAACAGCGCGCTGACGCCCGCTCCTCATCCCACTGCCTCACCGGTCCGGCACGTCATCAAGGAGTTCTCGGCCAAGGGTGTCATCGCGTGCGGCTCAGTGTGCCGGGATGAGCCTCGATGCCGCTCCTTCAATCTGCGACAAGGCGGCCCCGGGCAGATGATTTGCGAGTTGAATAACATCAGTGACGAAGCCGAGGACAAAAACATTCGAATGGACAACGGCTGCAAATATTTCAATTTCTAAACGTATGACGGGCGCTTAATATATTTTTGTGGCGTAGGTTAAAAAAAATAATATCATGGTGTACATGTTCATTCAAATCGCGGCGAACGTAATCATAAAGCCCGGTTCATACTCGGTGCGAAAGCGAAGTTGCATTCTCCTCCCTCACCAGACTGCATCCACTTGCCTTCCTCCTCCCTGTCATTGCATCCGATCCAAAGATGCCCCACAGAAACGTTCGCCGTGAAGTTCGTGAACAGCTCCCAGATGAAATGATATTCCTTCAAGGAGTTTGGAACAGCCAATGCACCGCCCATCTCCGAACAGGCAGCATCACCTAGGTCCCACGTCAAAGACTTCGTTGGCAAGCCTCGGCGTGAAAACACGGCACACACAATCGCAGCATTCAGCCAAAGCAACTTCATCGTGCAAAGTTGAACAATCTTACAAATACAATCTCAAGTTTTGTACTGAAAGAGAAAATGCAACAGTCGACCGTCAGAAACTCTCTCTGGGTAAATTTTGAAATGAAAACGTCGTCGACAACGCCTTGAAATGGCTTGGCTGTTTGCAAGAAACAGACTGTTCATGATAACCATGATGAGAGGCCAAGTAAAAAAAAATGTCCAGCGCCCTGCCTTTGTAAATATTTATTTATTTTCCTCCAAAATGGCCGCCCGAAAGAAGATTTTTTTTTTTAAAGATGGCCGCCAGCTTATTTTTAGGCTAAATTAAAAAAATAATATGTTTAGCATTATTTTTCTTTTGAATTTGTTTTTTTTAATTACGAAAAAATGATAAAAAACAGTGACATCATTCTTGCCTCTCAAGTTGTCTGTTGCATCCATAATATAAAGCTAAATACGATGCCATTCCTGAGTCCAAGTGGCGACCATTTAAAAAAAAAAAGTGGCCGCCATCTTGAAAAAATAGTCGGGCGGCCATTTTGGAAAGAAAAAGGGCCTCCTCTTTTTTTTTCAAAAATGCAGGACGCTATACTGTTATAAACATGTTTTTTTTTAAAGTTTTAAGTGGCTGCCACTTGGACTCTGGAAATGACATGGGCACAACGGACAAAGAGGCCGAAATGATATCAATGTTTAAAATATATATTTTTTCGGTAAAAAAAAGAAAGGAGGCAGCCTGTTTTTTTATATTTGACCTTACAAGAAAATTAAATCCTTTCTGCGTATATTTTCCCTTAGAGATGCAGACCAGTAAATCGGTCCGAAATTGTCTACGCCGGCCGAATCACGATTTGCATGCCCTCAAAATCTTCAGTATTTGAGCATGCTGTGGGCCATGAACTTGAGGGTTTGTAAAAATTATGGGTTGAAGCCGTGCACAGGACTGGGAGCTATCAGTTCTGTGTAATTTGGACCCTAAAAGCGCTCTATTTTGCAATGGAGTGTAGGCATCGTTTTTCAAAATGGCGATGGGCTTCAGGACTATTTTCAGGGGTGATCATCTTCAGATGGAAATTTCTCCTAAAAGTCTTTAGTTGACCCCCCAAAAATTAAAAAGAAAATGAAAGATGATGAAATAAGCTTTAATTTGATGTGTGTCTCGAACACCTTGGAGAGTTGAAAGTATTTTCCCGAATTTTTGAAGTTGGAGCATTTACCATTGGGGTCTATGGAAGTTTATTTACTGGTCTGCTACCATAGGGACCGAGTTGACCTGGGACCGAGTTGACCTGTGACCGAGTTGACCTGGGAATATAGCTCTATGTCTAGGACCGAGTTGACTCGGGACCGAGTTGACTGCTGTGGCTGGGACCGAGTTGGTTACAGACCATAGAGCTGTGTTACAGACCGAGTTGACCTAAAACCGTACAGTATTGTACCCAACCCCAGCCTGCGTCAGACCAAGGGATTTTGTTTTTTAGTCAGTTGTTGTCATTGATCTTCTTGGCGCGCCACACTGGCACCGCGGCCAAGCCCCTTCATTCGCGCGACCTACCATTGCCCATTGGTGGAGAAGTCAGCAGGGCTGGGCTTTCAAAGGTATTTTTATCGAGTATTTTGCGTGATTTTGGCATCTTTTGAGGTTGCGCCGTGGTTGTGTATTTCCTAACAAAATTTGAAATGTATCTCAGTAACACAGATTCATGACTTTATTTTTGTATCTTCATTTTTGGGAGCAACTATAGAATGCAGGGCGCCACGCCGAAGCAAGGTTTTTTATTTCGCAGTGGCTATTGTTACGGCAGCCGTAACGCATTTCCCATTTTCTATCGTTACGGTAGACTGCAACCTGGCAACTTTTATAAAAAAACATGACAAGAAAATATAAAATTAGAAGGAAAAAAGTGAATTTGAACTTTATGAAATTCGGACTTTATTTCCCTTTTAAAAAAAATCCTCCAAAGCCTCAGGTTAGAAAAGGAAAAAAATTCGAGTGCAAAACTGAGATTCGAACCCGCAACCTCGCGGTGCAAAATCCTACCCTCTATCGGCTGAGCTGGCGCACTGCTCGATAAAACGTGGAGAAACAAATAATTATATACCCGCGTGCGTATCAAAAAAATATCGTAGAGGGCGCTAAACAACGAGTGCCGTAACGATAGCCACTTCGTTTTTATTTTGCGTGGAGGCGTGGATGGAATAGGAGTAATAGATATGCAAACCTGCAAAAAGTGCTAAGTATAGCGAAGGAATGCACTGCACTTGTCTTCTAAGCTTCTCATGAAGGATCGGAAGGGAGGGCGTGCTTGTAAATGTGTTGGGGGCACTGTCTGGAGTGGCGGAGGCGCGGTGTCTTGGAGTCGCAGAATCGCGGAGACGCGGGGCACTGGAGTGGCGGAGGCGCAGAGTCGCGGAGTCGCAGAGACTCGCGCCGATAGAGGGCGCAATTCTCGGCGGAATTTTTTTGAGAACGAAGCATCCATATCCATTTTAAATGGGCGCGCAAATTAGGAAGGGAGGAGGGCGACAGGGCACTGTCTGGAGTGACGGAGGCGCGGAGTCTTGGAGTCGCAGAATCGCTTTAAATGGGCGCGCAAATTAGGAAGGGAGGAGGGCGACGGGGCACTGTCTGGAGTGACGGAGGCGCGGAGTCTTGGAGTCGCAGAATCGCTTTAAATGGGCGCGCAAATTAGGAAGGGAGGAGGGCGACGGGGCACTGTCTGGAGTGGCGGAGGCGCGGAGTCTTGGAGTCGCAGAATCGCGGAGACGCGGGGCACTGGAGTGGCGGAGTCGCGGAGTCGCAGAGACGCGCACCGATAGAGGGCGCAATTCTCTGCGGCTCCACGACTCCACGATCGATTTTCGGAGGTAGGTCGACTGCGGTTCCACGCCTCCACGCAGCCGTACGGAGGCGTGGATGTAGAGTAAAGTGGCCCTGCATTCTATAGTTGTACCCATTTTTGCAGAAATGCCTTTAATAAATCGAAGTGGCTATCGTTACGGCAGCTGTTGTTTAGCGCCCTCTACTATACTTTCTTGATACGCACGCAGGTTTATAATTATTTGTTTCCCCACATTTTAGCAAGCAGTGCGACAGCTCAGTTGATAGTTTTTAGAGGGTAAGATTTTGCACCGCGAGGTTGCGACTTGCGGGTTCGCATCTAAGTTTTGCACTCAAATTTTTTCCCTTTTCTAACCTGAGGCTTTGGAGGATTTTTTTTTAAATAAAAGGGAAATAAAGTCTGAATTTCATAACGTTCAACTTCATTTTTTTTTCTTCTAATTTTATATTTTCTTATGTTTTTATAAAAGTTGCAGTACTAGGCCTACCGTAACGATAGAAAATGGGAAATGCGTTACGGCTGCCGAAGCGATAGCCACTGCATTAATAAATAGGCCTAGGCCCCCTACCTAAACTGTAAACATAACGCTAAGGATCATCCTAACTAGCCTACCTCTTCACTCCTTCAGCCTGTTTCATCATGTTCATTGAGATTGTTAATTTATAAAGTGGTGTCAGGTTGCAAAAAGGTTTTTCATATTTAGGCTATGCAATTTAACATGTTTAATGCAGGAATTGATTTCAAACAATAACATAAAGAAACAAGTCTTTTTGGGTAGAACCGTAAACATGATGACATCAAAGTCTTCGTAGCTTAACTCCAGCGTTCATGCGATAAGCATTAGAGCTGGAGTTACTCAAGCTAATGACATCGCCAAGTCAAGTGTTGTTTTAATCCGGTTCGTTAGTAAAAACGTCATACACGCGCGCACACCACTGATTCCTAGCGCCCATTGGCTGCAAACGCTCGAACTGCGTTAACTTCCGGTTCAAATCGTGCAGAAAGTGCTGGAGGTGACGTCACACTAACGAACCGGATAGCTCCAAGCTGCCAAGGTCTAGGTGCGGCATTGAAAACGGTGGGAAAACCAGAATGGAGACAAATTCTTCCCCTAGAACTATTACTCGAACTATTAATAGTAAGGCCAACAAAAAACATATTTGGTCTCTGGTCACACAAAGTTCCGCAATTGACACGGCCACGCGGCTTTTTTTTTTTTTTAGCTTTTTTTTTTTTTCTCTTCAAGCTTGGATTGTACAGACAAGGTGGGATACTATTTTGCTTTTTTGGTGTCCTCATGTACATTGGTGTCCTCCATAATTTGCCTTGGTGCTTTCGAATATTTGCCTTGGTGCAATTTCCCATTCCTTGGTGCTCTTTGGTAAAAAAAATTGAGGAGGTGCGGCAATAGAGGGCGCTGTTGGAGCTACCGCGGAACATTTTTGGAAAAAAAAGATTGACGCGCATGATTAAAATCGACGCGCGCGCTGACCAGAGACCGACTTATTTTTTTTTTGGCCTAATACCCATAGTTTTAGGGGTAGGCCTATCCATCTACATCATAACATAGGCCTAGGCCTACATAACATACATGTATTAATTTATATGCATACAGCAAAATTTACTATAGTCTGCAACTCTGCATAAATAAATGAGCTACCTGTTCAGCATGTTCAGTACATTTGGTTTCAGATTGCGCACATTATTCAATCTGCTTTTAGGTCAACTAATCCACAAATTCAGGTGAAATGGGATTTATAGTTACCTTGATTGAGTGATGGAGATACTAGATTTAAGCTCTTATAATATTGAAAATGCGATGTCAAAAGTACGTTTGCCACTTTTCATCGTTTTAGATCGGTTTAAACAGTTCCCCATCGGATCAAAAACTGTTTCTCTCATAAAAAAATCATCACGCCAGAAAATAATTTTTTTTTCCAGCCAGAATCACCCGGAATGAAGTGGATTTTCTGATAAAGTATTATTTGATTTTTAGAAATAGAGTTGATTTCAGAGAATTTCAGTAAAATTTTGAAAAGAAAACTTGCTTTTGAAATGATTTTGAAAATGCTTTTAAAACCTTCGTCTGAAGCACGACGGTTTAAATTAAAACATGTACGGACTGATAAACATTTGACCCATTACAGAACACGTCACATAAAAATTGATTACATGCATGAAGTTGGGTCGAACTTACACGCCCGATCCGGAACTAGGCAAAAACATGCGTGCTGTCTTTGAAAATGTTCAAATACTGGAGACTCTTCAACTTATTTTGATTCAACTAACATTCAATGCGACTGTAGAGTAGGCCTACCCAAAAATATTTGGAATCACACGTTCTGAGTGACGGACCGAGGAGAAAATTTATCGGACATTCACGGCTCCCGTGATTTTCTACAAACCGTCCACACATGTCAAAGGGCGAGTGGGAAATCAGGCCGAAATTCTTTTCTAGGGATTTTATCGGAGATATTTTGTTAGCTTACATTTTGCTTTTCAAAATGCACTTCATCAGAAAATATAGTATTGGAGACCAATCCAAAAGAGGAGAGGTAGATTTTCATTTGAAGCGATCCGGAACTAGGAAAAATCCGGAACTAGGAAAAAGACCATTCTTATCACGATATTCAATAACTTCCATTGGAAAAGGATCAGTCATTCGAGAAAGAAAAAAGAGCCGCGTTGAATGTGTAGAATTTTTGGTTTACCGATATTTCTGAATAGTCACGCAAGGTACCCTGAATCCCTTCCGCGCAAAACGGTAGGAGCCCTGGAAAAAATGTTGCACCCTGATGTCACTTTTTCTTCATATATCATCTCAATGAAGGTCAGTCATTGCAAAAATGATGATAAGACGTGAATCTGGGACTGAGAAACATTTCCAATTTTGTTAGGAAATACCAGTACTTAGTAAATTTTCTTGACTCTCCATAGACTTTGTACACAACCGCTGAAGTCAGGCTGTAACATTTTTTCCGGAGCCCTCCGAGTACCTGTCAAATCATATGCGCGTGCACTGGATGGAGGGAACGGGTACCTTGGCACTAGGGCTCCTATGAAATGTCTTCATCCAGGGTTTTGAATGTCTAGACTATCCAATGACATGTATGGCGATCTATATCGCCATGTTAGCTTGGAAAACCCAGCTCTGAGGCAGCATCTCCAAAGTCGGAATGCTCAGAACGTTCTCACTGGAACGACGTGTTCCGGGGCATTCCATTTGGTGAATGCTAGCTGTTGTGTGAAACTGTCTCATTTTTAGCTCTCTTTTCTGAGATTGGCGTTTTTTTTCCAAAGATCTCAAATTTTATCACATCGTCATGGGGTTCTGCGGTATTTCCCCAATTTTCCCTGCCGAAAGGATAGGAGTTACAGCTTTTCAAAGAGTTACTGAAGCTTGACAGATCTGCTAAAGCTACTGAAACTGGCAACGTTCTTTTGAAAAGCCTTTGTACATGTACATGTATATAGTTAAATACTTTTCATACATGTGTTCACGGTTACATGCGTAATGTACAATGTAAGCCAATCCTTTCAATGTCCTTCTGTATAATTGTTTGTGAAAAAACCCTGCATGATTTTTCACTTATACCCATTCCTTGTGCTCCATGTATTACCATAAAAAGGGTAAAACATTCCAGTTATCTACACGTACACTGCAGTTCAATGGTATATTTTGAACAAACATGTTGACGACTAAGAAAATCCGCCAACATAGGGCTGGAGATCTCAGTTGGTGGAGCACCGGAACGGCAATTGGGAGGCTGCAGGTTCAAACCCTGCTCCAGTCAATTTCTTTGTTTGAATTTTTAGTTTAAACTGTTTAACTGTGGACATTAACTCTAACCCCTTGAGCATTTTTACTAGAAAATATCCTGAATCCGCCAAAATCCACTTATTGTGTCATGCACAAAAATGTTGGTGTTGGTGACTACTCAGTATGGAGGTATCCTGAATCAATCAAAATCCTGCAGTACCGCCAGGCTTACAATCCTGAATCCATCAAAATCCCCCTGTTTTCAATGTGGAGGTATCCTGAATCTGCCAAAATACTCCAAAAGAGGGGTATGGATTTAGGTACGTTAGAGTTAAATATGAAGTTACAGACCACATGTACAATGTAATTCACTTCTGTTAGACGTGTGGCTGCAAAACGGTCGGACGTTACCACGAGTTGCTAGATGACCTTGATCTAGGAAGTCATTGCATTATTTAAATACAAAGGGCTTGTCGTCAGTTACTATTGTAAGACCATTCAGGAAACTAGAGTCTGATGAATATGTTGTGCTGCCTTCCTGTATGAAGGGAAACACCCTAGAATGGTTAACATGCATACATATACATGTACATAGTCTTCATATTTTCTTCATGAGGACAACAGGGCCCCCAGGGGAACAGTTCATTGACAACTTATGGGGCTTACCCTGGTAAAATAGCACGAAATAAATAAATAAATAAATAAATAAGACTCTGAAGAATTTTGTACTTCTGCATCAAAGGTCATTACATAAATTTGGGGTCCAAAGTATGACATTTTTCCTGTCCCTGTTAATTGCCATTTACTTTGCAATTTACCATTCAGGTATCATTAAGAATGACTTCAAATTTTTTTTTTTTTTTTTTGACAAAAATTTGCTATTCGTAATCACTCCTGGAGGACGACTGCATTACAGATTGCATCTGAATCATAAAATCGTATATAATAGGCCTGAGACCTAATGACGTCGCGCTTTGTTTACATGTGCGCTTTCCTATGTGGTAGACGGCCCTACTTCGTCTGGCGTCGTGACTTCGCTCCCATAGGAAAGCGCATATAATGTAAACAAAGCCAATACGTCATTAGGTTTAAGGACTATTTTCAGATGTTCATGTACATGTACGTAACACAGATGGGAAAAAGTTGACACCAAAATTATAGAATGACCCTTGCACGATTACGTGCCTCTTATTTTCACCGTCCTTAAAATTTAAAATCATTTCAAAATGTCTTCCAATAATTCATTTTGTATTTTGTAGGAACATTGTGGTAATTAAATCTTATTTACTGTTTTCTTTTGTTGTTGTTGGTATGTTTGTTTACAGATTTGAGCACTTGACATTGTTGTGTGCACTCACAGACCAGCATTGCCATGGCGTGTGGCTGTACTTGTGTCGGCTCAGCAGAAGATGTAAGATTTTGGCGATTTAACTTATCAGAAATTGTACTGGTAAACTGATTATGCTTAATATGGGTTTAGGATGGTCCGACTGTTTATGTGTACAGTTTACCATATGGTGTTGGAATTTGCATGAGTGAGAAAGGTTCCTAGTAAATCACTGCAGTGGATTGGTGTTTAAGACCAGGTAAACAGAAAAATTGTAACTACATTGTACATGCAGACGCCTACATATGATCGTACACAAAAAAAATTGCCAAAAAAAAAAAAAAAAAAAACCCCTACCTACCGGTACCTACCCTATTTTCAAATGCCATGTAATCGGAAGCAGAACTAGGTATTTTTTTTTGGCCTAATTACATCTTCATCCCTTAAAAATTCGTTAAAGAGCCATTTTCCCTTGAAATTACAGTTAACTAAATTTTCACAGATTTTTCAACATATTAAGCCAGATTAGGAGTCCGTGAAAACACCCTTAAGAAAGTCCTTTGTTTACCCATGGACCCAGTGTACCGTTATGTATAACCAATGATAATCCCCAGTGGCCAGGATCATTAAAAAACCGTGAAAATACCCTTACAGGATTAGTCCTATATAAGCCCCATGTAAATGTCCGTGAAACATCTCTTAAAGATTCTTTTCACAGGGGAAACGGACTTTTAACCCTAACCTCCCTGAATCCTCCAAAATCCTTTTTGCAAATTGGAGGAATTTGCAGGATTGAGGTTACATGGCCAAAGTGCGTTGCTGATTTCGGAGTACGCACTGTGTCAAGGTCTTGGGCCGGACCTTGTGTTGTTTATGCTCAGCCGTGCATACAATTAGTCCTTGATTATACTTGACATCCTCCGCACTGCTCCAGGATGTCACTGCCTCTGCCTCAGCCTATTGACAGTCATAGCCGGAGGATTTTGCAGGATTCAGGCAGTGGTCACCCCTCCATGGACCATATTCAAGAAACAACAGAGGAATTTGCAGGATTGAGGCTATATGCTATTTTTCCATGAGGCCAATTGGAGGATTTTGCAGGATTGAGGCTACATCCTAGCAAAAAGGCCTAGGGAGTTAGGGTTAATGAAAGTTTAAGGGATCAGATAAGTAGCCTCTGTCTTGACAAATCCTACCAAATCCACCAAACCACCTTTTAGAAATTGGAGTATCAGGGTTTATTTTGCTTTTTGTAGGCGCCCGACTCTGGGAAGTTGACGCCCATTGAGAAGCGAGGATGCACCGACTGCTTGTGTTGCATCATCTTCTTCCTTTTCTGGATTGGCATGGTGAGCATACTTTGAATAAATTCTTCTCAGCATTAGTGGTTGATTTGTGACGTAGTACACCTGCGCACTAAAAGCAATGTGTGAATGCCTCTAAGTCAAATGATGGTCAAAACTCTTGGCTGTCTGTTGCGCTTCATGATGTCTGCGGCTATTGGTAACCATGGATATTATATCTATATTACTCGATTAGTTGATATTACTTTGATATCAATGTCATCGATAACATTTTTTTTATCATATGGAGATATCAATCATTTCAATATTGGGGAATTATACCAACAATTTTGATATTTTTGTCCGCTGCACAGTTTGTCCAGGGATGACAATTTATATTTTGGGACTAACAGCACTGCTTTGGATCAAGCCTGAACCGGTGCATATTTTAGCTATTATTCATGTGGGTTTCCTTGATATCAATATAGTATACAAATATTGAATGCTTCGAGTGGTGTAGTAAAACGGGCCTCCCTCGCCTCGAGGGAAAATAGAATGGTCCATGGATCATCGAGGGAGGCTAGTTTTACTTCACCACGAGATAAAGCATTAAATATTTGTTTTATAACACTTCACCCACAGATTCTGCTTTGTACAATATTTTAAATTATTTAACAGTAAAAAAAACTTCAATTTCAATACAAATTGGTGGAAAGTGTATTTCTCTCTTCCTAACTACCCCTTCGCGAAATGTTTGAACCCAACTCTGTGGCGCGCTCTCCTTGGAACAAAACGCGCTGCGTGCAACGCGCACACCAGCATGCATTTGCACACAAATACCGCGCCGTGGAAATAGTACTTTCGTTGCTAATGGTATAGTACTTTGGTTGCTACGGGTATAGTACTTTTGGCCGTGCACAGAAAGATAGCAAAAATAGAAAGTATCATGTGACTCGCTCTCGGCCAGTCAAGACACAGAATCTGTGGGTGAGGTGTTATAATCTTTAATATGTATATAATGAAAACCGATATTCTCGATAATGGATTTCCAATATATCAATTATTGACAATTCTGATATCAACGGACCCTAGGTAACCAGCTGGAACCTTACCCCATGCTGCAGTTTCAAATAAGCGACTAGAGAAGTCCAAACATCCCTTGTTCGAGCAAAGGTAGTCGAGCGATGGTTAGCTGTGGTTACCTATAGTTCGCACCCAATCCTCTCCCCCTTTGTACAACAAGGCGTACTTGTTTACTTCTAAACCCTTTCCTTACCATGGGTGACTTTTTTCGACAAGGAACTACCCCTCTGCTTGCTTACCGTACGCGACTTTAGTCGACGACCAGGAAACCACACAGAACACCCTCAACACAGATTTATTCACAGCTTTTCAGAAAGCTGGCATGTTGGTTTGTTTGGCCTCCCATACATCAACCGTATGCCATCTGGAGTAGTGTTTTCGGATCATGTTTAATGGTGTGGTTTATTTATAGTGTTACCATTACAAAAACTTAACTCTTTCGCTACGGCAAGCCGCTGGCAGCGGCTCGGTGACGTCACTGTAAATAAATAGGGGTATCCCCATGGCGTGTGCCTTAGTTTCATAATTTATATCGTATAACCTCTGACCCTAGTTTGAGCCGCTGCCAACGGCTCTCCGTCTCGCCGGGGTCTGCTGCAGGTTATTTTGAGCAGGTTGTTTACAGAGAGACATTTAAAGATGGCGGCGTCCACATCGACACACGGCGGAATTTCCAGCGATTTATTACGTACCAACGTGAAAAAATTGGGAAATTAAATTCAGTAGCGAAAGAGTTAAGAGAAGTGCTTCAGATGTATCTTTCGTATACTGCAGTTCTTCATTGCGGGTTACTCTATCGCCACGGGCAACGTCCTCCGCCTCATCTATGGCTACGACAGCTATGGCAACATCTGCGGGATGAAGAACTCCAAGATTGAGAACGTGACCCAATCGGGCATGGACATGACCGACAGAACGTGAGTCCCTTGACTACATGACAGGCTAAAAAAAAAAAGTCTCCGGTTTCTGGTATGGAGCTTGTCCAAAAAGTGGTGCGGCGACGCGGCTTTTTTTTTTTACCTGACTTTTTTGCTTCAAATGACGGCTGATGACTGCGAATGGTGCCCGACTAAACTTAGTGAAAATATATGGGAGTCCAGAGAGGCCACATAAAGCTTATTCTCGATCATAACCCCATCTAAAAACACGTTAAAATTGTGCAGCAGCAGGATTCCAGTCAAACCAGTGAGTTTGGCGGTTTTGAGACATCATCTTTCATTGAAAAAAAAACTTTTTCAGTTTGCCGACGCGCATGGCTACGGCGACGTGCGCGCATACCAGAAACCGGAGACTTTTTTTTTTGGCCTAAACATCCATTTTGTAACGACTTCAAATTTTCTGAAATCTCATTTTAGTTTCTTTTATTGGACAGGGGTGTACACGGGAAGGTATTTCCTAAGCACTCGACATGGCTAATACTTACGACTCGGCGGGTATTCCTAGGACTATATATCACACTACAGACTTGTTCCATTTAACCTTGTATTCTATAGACACGTCTTTTTCATGGATGTCCGTAACCCGGCCGCTTCGTTGGAGATTTGCGTTTCCGAGTGCCCCGAGGTGATGCTGAATAACACACAGGACATCAAGGCATTTGCCGAGGAGACGGGATCCAAGCTCTGCGACTACGATGTCAAGGTTGCCGACTATGGGAGTACTGCACAGGGTGTGAATGGGCCTTGTCCAGCGATTGTTTATGGAAGGTAAAGCCAGGGGCGTAAATCCCGGTGGGATGGGGGGTATATATCCCCCACTTTTGACCAGGGGGTATAGGCTATTGAATCATCCCCTCACTTTTTCTAGATGAGAAAACGAAATGCGGATTTCGAGGTATTTTTTTGAACATCCCAACAACGAAAAGGTTTTCAATAGCACTGAAAAGTGGAGAAACAAAGTACAAAAGCTTTAAAAATGCGCCTTTTGATGTAAGCGCGATTATACATATTGATACATCGATATCCTGAAGAGCACCCCCTAGTTTTATGTGGTGTCCAGTGCCCCTCCCCTCCCTCCCCTTTTTTTTGAATTTCCACAGCCAGGCAGTTTTTGGATTATGGCTACTGGGTGAAGCAAAGTCACACCAGGGCTTAAAATTAGGCTCAAGAACTTCAGAAATTGGTACAAAAATTCCACTTTTCTTGAAAGTGACAGCCCGGCAGGTACCATGATTTCACTGGACGCTTGAGGCTATTATTCACTTACACTTACAGTCAAGTAATGTATTTCATAATTATATTGCGGTTTTATTTTTTGATGTTTGCAAGTGTTGTATATTATCCCATCATGCACTTGAGACAGCAGTCAACAATTTTTGCATTGCGCCATCAAATAAAAGTCACAAGGAGTTGTGAACTACTTTGCATGAGATGAGTCGAAACATTAAAGTGTGACCATTGATTTGTGTAAGCTTTCGTGCTGGACATGACATGGGGTGATTTGATGCCTTGCACTACGCATTACACCATTGTGACACCCAGTAGAATGTAAGACACCATTTTTTTGTCAGTATTAATAAAAGTAAAGGGGACGAACCTGTGTTCACAGGAATGGAGTGCCCATCTCTCTTTCGAAGCGATTGGGCCAGACTCTAGTCCATGAAATGCTGCTGTGGGGGGATCGCCACACCTCCTCCACAGCGAGTCTGTTCCCATCATTGAATAATGCCGGTACCCATTTAACACCTGGGTTGAGAGGAGTAATTGAGGTAAAGCGCCTTACTCAAGGGCACAACATGCATGGCCACGGCGGGGCTCGAACCAACAATCTCATGATCGTGAATCCTGTGCCCCACTGCTAGACCACACGTGCCCCAGTATTAATGCCAGTCCTAAGATTTTTGGTTTTTTTGTCTTCATAGTGACGAGTTGCTGAACCGCTGCGTGCCCAAGGACATCGGGAAGCTGAGCAAGGACGCTATTGAGGCTCTCATCAACTTCCTGAATTCCTCTCGGCTCATCTCCAAGATCATGGCGGACCTGTACATGGCACGCTGGGCCATCCTGGGCATGTGCGGCATTGCAGTGGGTCAGTGGCTCTCAGTCACAAGTCAAACACAAATCATCACAAGTTCAATTTTTTTTCTTCAAAATATGACCAAGTCAGTACAAGTCATCACAAGTCATAACAAGTCACAACAAGTACATCACAAGTTATCACATTTCATTACAAGTCACCAAAAGTCATCGCAAGTCATCACAATTATCATAAATCATAACAAGTCGATCACAAGTCACTACCAGTCATGTCCGTTGCAAGCCATCCATTCTCAAGTCAATTGACATGTTATTCAAGTATGACCGAGGTTCGTTAATATTCATTCCTCATTAATGTGGCCTTTTTATTATTGTCACTACTAATACAGCAACATTTAGCTTCCTTTGTTACATCAAAATTATAATGAGACGAAATTAAAGCTTAAAGTCATAACAATTTACCACACAAAAGTCAGTTAATAAAATCTAAGTATACATAAACGTATTAAATCCATTTTAAGTGACAAGTGTAAAACTGACATAATTGTTAATAATTGGTACAGCATTATAAGTTCCCACTTGTCTGTTGATGTTTCTACTTGCTCAAGATCTAAAAACAAAATTGAAGGGAATTTTTTTCTCTCACTTTTGACAGTGTTGGCGTTCATCATGGTATTCCTGATTCGCTTCCTTGCTTCGGTCATTGTGTGGATCATCTACATAGTCTCCATTGTAGGAGCAATTGGTAAGTGTACCCCTCTAGGCCCTGTACCGCCCCAATCCGCCCAATCCGCCCCAATCCGCCCTGCCTATTATGCCCTGTGCCGTCCTAAACTGTCACAGCACACTGGTTTTATGGATTCAGCTGGGACTAAAGAATCAACTTTTGCAACTTTTCCTTCACTTCACATTTATTTAATTAAACAAAATTTAAATTAGGTTTATGCAATTAAACACAATTTCAAATAGGTTTTGCCCTTCACAGACGGATAAACACTGTATACTCAGTGTGTTACCTCCCAAGCGAAAGTTGGAAAAAATCACTCGGGTGGGACTCGAACCCACCACCTCCTGCTTTCTAGTGCAGACGTCTTACCACTCGAACCACCGAGCTAACGGGATCGGTTGGCTGGTTCGAATCTGATGTACATAGCAGCGGGTACCGCATTAACTATTCATAAGATGGAATTTTGCGTCGGGGTGATGTTAATCAAATTAGGTAGGTAACACACTGAGTATACAGTGTTTATACGTCGGTGAAGGGTAAAACTTAATTTGATTTACATCAACCCGATGCAAAATTCCATCTTATAAAAAAAAATTGGAAAACACTGTATGAAGTCTTCTAAAGCTTAGAATTTCCTCAATTTTTTGTTACTTCCCAGTTCTATACCCTCCTGAAACATGTATTTGTGCTGGGTACCTGTACAGAATTTTGTGTATACCTCAAGTGATTTCCTTTACTTTAAAAAAAAATTGATAAAATATTAACAATTTGCCAAACAACCATTTTTTGTAGAATGCCTTTTTAATCGAAATGGTACTCTTCTGCAGAACAAACAGATTTATTTTTAACAAACTGGCCCCCTTTAAAAAAAAAACCTTTCCAGCTGGCACAGTGGCACTGTGGGTGACCTACGCCCTGAGGAAGAAGGAACTGGACGCCATGGACCCAGAGCTTGATGCCGCTGACCGCAATGTCACCACCTTTCTCGTCTTTGCAATCCTGGCCACCATCTTCACGGTATGAATTCAGACAATGATCCCGCAGCATGAGCAGTCACTGATAGTAACTTATCAAAATAGTCCTGGTTCTTATGTTTGATTCCTTCTTTACCATCTTATATTTCTGTAAACTTGAGGACTACTAAAAACCCATACAACAATTTTAAGGGGTGAAAAATTATCTGAACAGCTAGAAATGTGATAATCATTTCAGAGTTTAGACTAGCATTCTACAGTCCCGCCGAACCAAAACAGTGACTCAAGTCGACCCAAATAGAAGATGGTTTCAGACTCACAAACTTTATGCACTATTATTGGATTCTGTATTCGTTCAACATAACCTCAACTGTCATGACTGTCCATCTTTCTGCTTTCTGAACTTCTCATCCATATACTGTTGCAGTACCTAGGTGTAGAAACTAATATATTCCAAAAGCTTCTTTCCACGTGCTGCATCTCTTTGGAATTCCTTGCCTGGTGCTTGTTTCCCTCCAACCTATGATCTGTCCTGTTTCAAGAGGAAAGTTAATTCCTAGCTTCAGTTTTCCTGAGTACTCTTCTTTTAATAACTCTGGCAGTCCTGTACATTGAGTGGCTTTTAGCCTTGTTCAGGGCAAAAATGCCTTAAAAAATGTCACTCTCACTCCTAACTGTTTCAAACATTGAACTTTTGATAAAGGTAAATTTAAATCTCTTAACTCTTTCAGTGCCCGCGAAATTTGAAAAGTTTAACCCTAAAGTGCCCAACTTCGAGCGTTTTTGTTAATTGTTCAAAATTCTGTAAAAAATAAAGTAAATAAGTTTTAGTCACTAAATTTGTTGTTGTTGCTCTCTGGTATATCCTTGATATATTGGAAAGTCAGTAGTAGTCACAAACATAGTGATACACCCTGAAACACTAGCCTGAACACAGGGCAATTCCGCACTTTTTGCAGAAAATACGAGATTTAGTGCTGCGCCCTCTCGCAAGAACTCGAATGAAAAAATAAATACAGGTCATACATGCATGAAAATGGTACCATTAGAAAGAGCGAGAGCGCCCCCTTTTGATAACATATTTACTCTACCTCGTACATGTACGAGGTTTGGCAATTTTAAGTACGAACATTACCTCGTACATATACGAGGTTGGCGCTTTTGTACTAACAAATATACCTCGTACATGTACGAGTTTGGCACTGAAAGAGTTAAATATTTTGGCTCAGAACACTGCCAGATTTAAACCAATCACTCTCTGTACCTTGCCGCAGGTTGTTCTGCTCTTGGTCATCCTGGTGATGCGTAAGCGCGTCGCCTTCACCGTGGAGCTCCTTGATGAGGCAGGCAAGGCCATGGGCGCTATGCCGTTCCTGCTCATCCAGCCTGTCTGGACGTTCCTCATCTTGATTGTATTCTTTGTCTACATCGCCGTGGTGTTTATCGCCCTCTCTGCCACAGGTGTGTACAGCCAAGCGTAACAAATACTTAAGTGTAATATTGCAGAAATTTGTTAAGCTGAGAAAATATTTGCCTAACAGAAACAGGTAACCATCCAGAATGCCATGTTATGGTGCTCAGTGGTCTTGTGTCAAAGGGGAACGCAGAAAGAGAGTGGCGTACCTTGCCTCGGTGTGATGACTGGCCGGTGTATTGTTAACCCTAACTCCCTAGGCCTTTTTGCTAGGATGTAGCCTCAATCCTGCAAAATCCTCCAATTGGCCTCATGGAAAAATAGCATATAGCCTCAATCCTGCAAACTCCTCCGTTATTTCTTGAATATGGTCCATGGAGGGATGACCACTGCCTGAATCCTGCAAAATCCTCCGGCTATGTCTGTCAATAGGCTGAGGCAGAGGCAGTGACATCCTGGAGCAGTGCGGAGGATGTCAAGTATAATCAAGGACTAAACTTATGCACGGCTGAGCATAAACAACGCAAGGTCCGGCCCAAGACCTTGACACAGTGTGTACTCCGAAATCAGCAACGCACATTGGCCATGTAACCTCAATCCTGCAAATTCCTCCAATTTGCAAAAAGGATTTTGGAGGATTCAGGGCGGTTAGGGTAGGTTCCTACCTACCAATAGGTCTCAGAGAGACTTTTTGTCCTGGAATATTCATGGAAAAGTCCAGGAATTTCATTTTAAGACTTCTGTGGGAACCCTGCCACTCTAAACAGTGCCTTCTGTTTTTGTCCACCATTTCGCAAAATAAGGCTACTTGTGTTCATTTCTTTTATCAGGCACACCCAAGCTGGACCCCGAGACCGGTCATGTGATCTATGACCCACCGGAGCCCGTCAGCTACATGTGGTGGTATCACGCCGTGGGGTTCATCTGGACCGCTGAGTTCATCCTGGCCTGCCACCAGTTCGTCATCGCTGGCAGTGTGGTGGAGTGGTACTTCACCAGGTAATTATTGTTATTTCTTTGACGGGTATTCCCAAACACAAGACGTAGCGTCACTCAATTGTTTGAGCTACAAGCTGTAAAGAACAGAAAAGAACGAAAAGGAAGTCAAAGGTACAGTCGATTTAATCTTTGCATGGAACCTCCCCGAATCCTGAAATAAAAAAAAACCGAACAAGCACAATTACAGCCAAGCTGTCACATGTTGGGTGTCGGATTCCTACACTAACTTTGGAGTGCACTTATAGCACAAGATTCAACTTGTAATACTTTTTGTTCAAATAAAGCAGTAAACAGATTGAAAATTCATTCACACTCACATATTTTCTCTCAATGGCAAAAATGAAAATGCAAGTATTAGTTGAGATATCAAGGCCAGTAGAGGTGGCAACCACTTACAGTCAAAGCATGACAGTATCAAGTTACATAAACAGTCACAGCCAGTCAATCCTGCTTTATGTACATGTAGGCTGGGAGCTCTTAACTGTTAAAAACAGTCACTCAATTGATTTTGACTGAAAGGACAACTTTGTACAAAAGTGTTTGTTTGCATAGGAGGGTTTTAAACAGCATATGCCAACCCATTTAAACCCTTCATATTTCAAGAGATATGCATGCAGTGTAGAAGAGCAGTGTTTGCTGAAAGCTGGCATCACTTGACCACAACATCCAAATTGTAAACAAATGTCACACCATCCATTGCTTGGGTGACTGCAATTATAAGCAAGAAGACACTGGTCAACTCCTGTTTAATTGTGAAAAGCATGCACATTTTTATTTCAGTGGTAGCAGGGAAACCTTATTTACAAATCATGTTTGTTGTTGCTTGTGAAGGGACAAGAAGAGCCTAAGCTCTCCGATCCTGAACTCCATCGGTGTCCTGATCTGTAACCATCTGGGCTCCATGGTGTTTGGTGCGTTCATCATCCTGCTGGTGAAGATCCCCCGAGCCATACTGCTGTGGATTCAGATCAAGTAGGTTGGAACCGGTTGGATCTGGTTTGATCCAGTTCCATTCAACTTAAAACAAACAGAAAAAGATGTTGGGCTTTGAACTTTTGATAGTGATAATGTTGCACATGTTGGTGTGAGGACACCATAGGACTCTTGCTGGGGATCCAGATCAAGAAGTAGGTTGGAACAGGTTGGATCTGGTTGGATCCAGTTCAATCTAGATCCAGCTTGTTTGTTTGTTCCAGGGTCCCATTTAATGGAGCAACTAAGAAGGAAATACTTAGAACCATTCACAACATATCACATGATATTTTGGCTGGTGACTTTTTTACTGAAAAAAATTATTGTATGCTTTTGTTAGCAACACAATGAAATTTGCCCTTGTTTTGTCCAGTTAATTCAGACCTTATTAGGAGTGAAGAAATGCTGTCCTGTTTGCGAAACAAAAATAAAAAATCAGCCCAAAATGCCACACCGTATGCTTTTTGCCTGTGACTGGTTCACATCTGATTTGTACTTTCGACAATAAATGGCAACATGTAAAATATGTTTATGGCTGTCCGCATTTCATTTTTCAAGTCAAACCTTTATTTTTGCACTTGTGAGACACCTGAACAGCATTTAGAATTAAAAGAACTTAATGCTGAAGTTAAAAAAAACAATTAAAGTCTGTCGCGAGCCAATGTGGCTCATCAGGCCGGCGTTTATCTCCGGCTTAAGTAGCATGAAACAACTGAGAATATTTCTACTCCCCCTGGATGGGATGCTAGTCCATCGCAGGTTACTCCCCAGCTAATGCCGGTACCCATTTATACTCCTGGGTGGAGAGGGGCAAGTGGGGGTGAAGTGCCTTGCCCAAGGACACAACATATTACCAGCAGCTGGATTTGAACCCCTGACCCTCTGATCATGAGTCACGAACCCTAACCACTAGGCCACACACTCCCCTTAATGTTTAAGGCATTTGAGTAATTGCTTATTTCATCTGTCTCTGTGTGTTGTCCTCATTAAGGTTGAAGGGTTCAGAGGGCTCTATCGGCAAGTTTGTCCTGCGCTGCCTGTCCTGCTGCCTCTGGTGTCTGGAGAAATTCCTCAAGTTCCTCAACGAGAATGCCTACATTGTGATTGGTAAAGTAGAGCTAAAGTTTGCCCGTCTTGAGTGGGGAGTCTTTGTCATTGTGACTTAAAATCGGTTGTAATGTAGAGATGAGTTAAGACCAAGTAAAGATAAACTTGATGACAAATATTCCAAAATTGCGAAGTCCATTGCCGAGTCTTTAAAGACATATAGGATCATGTGCATTTGTCCCAAAAGTAACATTCAAATTATTATCAAAAATCTCACTTGGATTAAAGATCGTACTGGTGCTAAACACCCCGTGAAATTATTCCGTCTGGCATGCTGTCATTTAGAAGAAATCCAGAAATGTTAGTGATTTTCTAAAGATCAATCAATGGACTGAGTTTTGGAAATAAAGGGTGCTACGGACAAGTCGTGTTTCATGATCAAAAGGTTGTGCATGGGTTTTCATTATTTTCTCGAAAAGTGTAATATCCACATAGCTAAAATTTTCCACCGGTTCGGCTTTTAACTTTCTTCTTTGGATTTAGAGTGGTGTTATTATTTGGAACAAAAAAAAATGCATGAAAAGCAAATGATCCTATATGCCTTTAAACTGTTAATTTTAACACATGGTTATTTAGATTGGATTTGTATTTTTCCAGGTATTTCAGCCTTTGGCTAATATGAATAGAAGAATAAAAACAAATAAATTAAGTTGAGATTTTAAATAAGGACATCACCAATCCAGTTGTGCTATGGAATACCATTTTAAAGAGTTGATATGAGGTATGTGGGGTGCTGTGGTCTAATAGCTACGGTGTTCGACTCGTGTGCCGTGGTACATGGGTTCGAATCCTGACCGTGGGAGCATGGTGCTTGTGCTCTTGAGCAAGGCACTTCACCATTCTTGCTTCGTCCTTCAGATGGGACGTAAAGCCGTAGGTCCCGTGTGTTGTGTAATGCACGTTACAGAACCCAGTAACACTTATTGCTAAGAGAAGGGGTTTGCCCCGGTGTTTCTGGCAGTGGCTGCTATATGCGCCGCAGCACCTTGTAAACCATTATAAGGTGCTACATAATGGGTCTCATATTTCTCATAAACTTCATTTACCTGTCTTTAATAATAGACATAATTTCCAGCACCTTGAGTACCTAATTGTTGGTAGATACGTGGGCTATATAAGACTCCGGTATTATTATTATTACGCGTTTTGCAGAGGATATGATGCAAGAGAAATTGTCTTGTTTAACAGAATGAATATACATTTGTCTTCCCTTTTTTTTAGCTATTGAGGGTGGTGGATTCTGCAGTTCGGCAAGAAAGGTAATCAATTTGAAAAACAATTTAAGTTCCTAAAAGAGTTGTAAAAAGTGCTGATCAGCATGTCTTAAGCAGATTTCAGCTGAATTTTGTAAGTTAATTTTTAAGATTTTGACCTAACTATCCATACAGGTATTATACTGAAACTGCACAAGTGTACATGCACTTGGCATGGACATCTTTTTAAGCAAAATAAATTTGTATTAAAATCTGCAATTGCATGACAAAGATCCTAAGTAGGGGCGGGCAAACTCAGCAACCACACTTAAAGGTTAAAGTTTGGCTTTGAGAAGGTTGAAACAGCTTCTTGGGTTAAAGGGAATGTACAACATCTGTTTTTGCTGCAAGTTTCAGAAATAAATGGATTTGGAGGATTAGTATGTTATAGCGATTGTAGTTAAAATGACTTGTTTCACGTTTTGGGCTTGTAGATGTTGGAAAAACCAAGAAAACCAGTCATATTTTTGTAGTCTGGTTCCTTGATCCCACTTAAGATAAAACGAAGCAATTTATAGACTTTGGGGAATTGTAAGGGCAGAGAACCAGTCTAGGTGTGTAATCAATTGCAAAGAAAATGTGGACTAACTAATAATGCAACAATAGGAGCAGGTTTTGAAAAAAAGCCAGTTTTCTCCAACGCTGGTCGGCCGACCAGCGTTGGAAAAATATCATTTTTCTTGAAAATGTCAGCACACCAGGAGCCATGATTTTACAGGATGCATTAGAGTGTCATTCCCTAACAATCCAGTTAGATATTTTATGATATTTTGATCATTTTGTTTTGTGATGTTTGCAAATGTTGTATCTTCCCTTTAAATGTTGGACTGTGTGATGAATTTCCTAGGCCTTCATCATTCTGTTGTCCAACGTTCTGCGTGTTGCCGCCATCAACTGCGTGGGTGATTTCGTGCTGTTCCTGGGCAAGCTGGCTGTTGTTGCTGTCACGGCCGTGTGCGGGCTGGCCATCATGGGGGTAAGTTGATGACAGTTCTTATGCCAGTGATGAATTTGTTGTAGGAAAAAAATCAAAGAATTACAAGCAAAACAAAATGGAGTGAAAATAAAAATTTCACATTTGAACATGGTACAAGCTATGTAAATATAGCCACTGAAGAAGTTCTTGATTTAAAATTAAGTAAATATGGGGAAAGCATTTTCCAATGAATGCAATAATTCAAACTAGAATCTCTAAAATGCGATTTTGGTTTCTTTGACTAATTGCTAAAATCCATAGTCATTTTAAAAAAAGACAGTAAAACCTGATATATTTCTGTTTTCATTTTAAATTTATTGAAGTTTTTTTTTGGGGGGGGGGGGGGGTCAGTGAGTAGTTATTTTCGAATATTAAGAAGTAAAAATTTTGCTACAGCAAAACTTTTTGGCCACAGTGACTTGAACTGTATGAATTTTAAATTTAAAGTTTTAATCCGAGCAGAGTTATTCACAGAAAAATCTGAGAGATTATAAAGTGAAATTATGTATTCATTTTTGTCTTGATTTGTATTTAAAAAGGGATGTTCTATGAAGTTTGTCATATTGTCATCATTGCATTTCATAACTTCGTTCGTCCTCTTTTCTCTCATGTTCTGTATTAAAAGTGTTGTTTTCATTGTTCCAAAGACTAGGAATCGTCATAGAGGTTTCACTTTTATAAAAAAATGTGTTACTTGAACCCTCTGAATGCTTTGTTTAAATAGATGGGGTCATTCAATCTAGCGGTGAGTGGGTCTCGTACCCAGAATGCAATGGGTGCTGCTGCTCGGGAAAATGAGGCATTGTGATGCATGGGCCTTGCAATTTGCATGAAATTAAGTTTGTTTATTTGGGGTTTTTTTCCCCAAAAAAATGCAGTCAAGTAAAGTTCCTGTGGTACCTTTGATGAACATAAAGTCAGTATTGCATGCAAAAAGAATGCAAGAATGCAAAAAAAGTTTCACCGATTCATTGGTGGGCTAGAATCTGTTGTACCACCTCCCCTCCAGATGCTTTGAGATCCGCCGGAAGGATTTCCCTGGATTTAGGAAAGATAAAACTAGCCACTGTGTGACATACATGTAAATCAAATTAGGTTTTGCCCTTCACTGACGTATAAACACTGTATACTCAGTGTGTTACCTCCCGAGTGAAAGTTGGAAAAAATCACTAGGGTGGGACTCGAACCCACGACTTCCTGCTTTCTAGTGCAGATGTCTTACCACTCGACCACCACTTAACGGGATCAGTTGGCTGGTTCCAATCTGATGTACATAGCAGCGGATACCGCATTAACTATTCATAAGATGGAATTTTGCGTCAAGGTGATGCAAATCAAATTAGGTTGACATACGTGTTCTTGATAATAATGTCCCCATAATGACTTCTGACTCGCATGTCAAATTTTTTTTTTTTTAATTACCGTTTAAAATCCGATGTTTATTTTTCAAAAATACAACTGTAAGCAACGCTAAAAAATGTTAAAACAAACAAATCATACCGCACCGCTCTTCAGGTGGTGTTGCGAATAATAGTTTTGTTATTAAATATGCCCCTCCCTATTTCCTGTGACAGTGCATCGCGGCTTTTTTTACGTATGTGTGTCCATGTCCATGTTTATCCATGTGACTCAGACTCGGACTTGAAACAAATGACTTGTGACTTGAATTTGAACTTTAACCAAATGACCCAAGGCGTTAATTTTCAATTAATTAACCCTAACTCCCTAGGAATTTTTGCTACGATGCAACCTCAATCCTGCAAAATCCTCCAACTGCCTCCATGTAAAAACTGCGTACAGCCTCAATTTGCCAAAATCTAAAGTTATTTCATGAATGTGGTCCTTGGAGGGGTGACCACTGCCTCGATCCTGCAAAATCCTCCAGCAATCACTGTCAATGTGTTGAGGCAGGGCCAGTGACATCCTGGAGCAGTGCTGAGTTCAAGTATAATCTAGGCCTGAATTCATGCACAGCTGAGCATAAACAACACAAGGTCCATCCTCAGACCTTGACACAGTACATCCTCCAAAATCAGCCACACATTTTGGCCATGTAGCCTCAATCCTGCAAAATCCTCCATTTTGCAAAGAGGATTTGGGAAGGTTAGGGTTAATTAAGCCACAACACATTTGACAAATTTTGTCAGCTGTGTTTACATTTATATGTCATTGTCCATTGTTGTTCCATGTATATTTTCATTTCCCGTTCATTCATGCTTCATTTCGTTTCTGTTTTCTTTCTTGTTCCAACCAATTTTTTCCCCCTCCTTTGCACACGGACTGTGAATCGTACCACACTTGCTGGCACCGTGATCTTTTTATTTGAAAATGTCTGGTTCTTTTGCCAACCATGCTTTTGCTACCCGGATGTGCCCGTTTGGCAGACCATGCCGCAACTGAATTTCTATGCCGTGCCCATTTTTGTCGCCTGCATTTTCGCCTACCTGGTGGCCAGTGCGTTCATGTCCATCTACGAGGTATGGCTGCCCCACGAGGGCGCTGTTTACAGGCATCGTGGAGTCAAAAAGGAAAACATTGCATTGCATATTCATTTCTGGAAAAATCAGTCTGACTTTTCTCACTTTTTTAAGAGAAAGTTGTCAATTTATCTGTGCTTTCAAAACTAAAATAAAACAGATCTACTCATTACAAAATACAAGTATCCACTTGTTTTTTTAAGAGAAGTATACGTTGAGTTTTCCAAAGAAACAAATTGAACAAAAAGCAAAACAATTTTATCACCTGGTTATACTGGTTGTAAGAGTAGACTACTTTGAATCAATTGAAATTTTTTAAAACAATTGTCAGACTGTATCGTATACATAAGTATGCAGTGCTGTTGTTCCTTTTTGCCCTCGTTGCCTTCAGTCCAAACTGTCCTTGGTTGTAATGGTGACACATCAAAAGATATGGAGAAATTGGAGAGAGTGTGAAAAACTCTCACATCATAGTCATCAGGTTACCCTACTCGAGTACTTCGTGCAAGAATTGTGAGCCCCTTACAGTACCCTTAATGGCGCATAAGAACGAGAGGAAAAATGTCAGCATGTCTTCCGCATGATATGAGCATGTCTTCCTGCTAGCACTGCACATGAAAATGATTCTGTAACATGACACAGACAGAAAATCTCTAAAAAGTTGAAAAATACATGTACTTTGAATCAAAGTTGCTTCAAAATTTCCTTGGACTTTTCAGTTTCTGTATCTGGTGTATGGGCCACTACTAGCCCAGGACAGTTTGGCATTGCGGTCATCCAAAAAACAAAATGTCTTTTGTTTTTTGGATGGCTGCTGAACTTGTTAATAACTTTCTTATAAATTTGTCCACATGTTTATTTTTTGTATCCCCACCCCCTTCCCCCACCCTGTTCCCCACCATCTCCCCCACCGTGTGTGTAGACCAATGAGACTCTGATCTTCTATGCAGTGTCTCTGTTTATTGGGAGTGTTTTTGCGTACTTTACCGCCGACTGTTTCCTGAGTGTGTACGAGGTAAGGTGGGCGGAGCCTGAGGCGTGATTGACAGATATGCAAATCAGGATGTGGGGGGTTCTGAATAATGATTTGGTTTAATGGGATATTGTGTTGGTGGACTTGGTGGCCATACAAATCAAAATAGCACAATCCTCATTTTGATAAATTAGGTTGATGTGAACTCTGAAATGCATTTTATTGAAGAAAACGAATGGGGATTACAGCTCTAGTAATTGAAAAGCATGTGCTGGTACAGTAAAAAATATGGAAAGCTTTGTGAATTTTTCAAATTTTCCTTCCTTGAATAGGACTTATGTAAGATTCTTTCACATGACCGGTATAATTCTCAGTACATTTTCAATTTTCCCCTTTCCTGCCACCAGTTCCCATTTTGTCCTAGTCCTCAGTTTTAAAACTATTGTCACAAAGAGAAATTAGAACAGTTTAATGTTTCAAATTTGTGTATTCTCTGATCATTGAGATAAGGTGGTTTTAAAGATCTCCACTTCTCTGGATATAAAGTTGGAACTGGGAAATAAGGGGTGAACTGATCTCCGTGTTCAGAATGGGCCCAACGTGGCAAAAACAATCACTTTTGAAATCGATGTTTTAGTCATCCATGAGAGCAGGGGAGCAAGTAAGGTATCCATGGAAAGCTGATGATGGACAGTCAATAAGAGGAGAATGCAAAATTAAACTGGCGGTAACTCGTGGTTTACCTCAAGGTTTTGTGAGGTTTTCCTGGGTTTAACGGAGTACCTCAGGGTTCAGTAAGGGGAGCATGCAAAATTAAACAAACGGTAACGCGAGGTTTACCTCAGCGTTTTGTGAGGTTTTACTGGGTTTAACGGGGTACCTCAGGGTTCAGTAAGGGGAGCATGCAAAATTAAACAAACGGTAACTCGTGGTTTACCTCAAGGTTTTGTGAGGTTTTCCTGGGTTTAACAGAGTACCTCAGGTTTCAGTAAGGGGAGCATGCAAAATTAAACAAACGGTAACTCGTGGTTTACCTCAAGGTTTTGTGAGATTTTACTGGGTTTAACGGAGTACCTCAGGGTTCAGTAAGGGGAGCATGCAAAACTAAACAAACGATAAGTCAAGGTTTACCTCAAGGTTTTGTGAGGTTTTACTGGGTTTAACGGGGTACCTCAGGGTTCAGTAAGTTCAGTAAGGGGAGCGTGCAAAATTAAACGGGCGGTAATTTGTAGTTTACCTCGGGGTTTTGTGAGGTTTTACTGGGTTTTTACAGGGTAGCTCAGGGTTCAAACTCAAGTTACTGCTGGTTTAATTTTGCATTCTTCCCTAATTTCAACAGCAATCAGTTGCGGACATTGTTTCAGGTATAAGTTGCAGGATCCTGAACAACTTCCCCACAAATTTCCTGCAATGAAGTTATCAGTATTGGTGAGGCAAGCAGTTGCTAATGAAAGTTTCCCCAGAACATGTCAGGGACGCGTAATTTTTTTTCCTAGGAGGGTTAGGGGCAATGTCATGAATAATTCAGTTTTTCCTTTGAATCATTACAAGACTTAGGTTCTCGTTCTATTTTCCCCTTAATTTAAAATTATCTCAGTGATAAATTTGGAGAAAAAAATAGCTGATGAAAATGAGCAGCGACGACGTGGATTCGAACCAGGGATCTTTGTATCCATAGCTCATCTCGCTATCCACTAGGCTACTGTGTGGTAGCTCGACGACAACCGTTCTTTAAAATGCTTTAATGTATTGTAACTAGTTGACTAACTAACAACAATGCTGTTGATGTCATTGTCCGTTCATGAATTATTCATGACATTGCCCCTAACCCTCCTAGGAATAAAAATTACGCGTCAGGGACAAATGCAGAGCTTCTTCCAGACAAAGTGAATAATTCTACCTGCAACTTGTCTGGAACTTGTCCCGGAAATGAATTGAGATGGCCCCAACCATAATGCTTGAATTACCTTTTTTGACACACCCTCTTGAAAGAAATCATATGTAGAGGCGCCGCCGAACTTCTTCTTAAGTAACAGTTTTTTTTCAATGATTGCCCCCTCCCCGTCTCTAGATGGCAGTAGATACCCTGCTGTTGTGCTTCTGTGAGGATGTACGCATCAACGACGGCTCCCCTGAGAAGCCGTACTTCATGGATCCTGATCTCATGGTGAGTTACTGTCCCTCATAATTGATTTGATGAGTTTTCATTCGTTGAAGGCATGTAAGATTATTTGCATTTACCCCAATTTTAACCTACCAAATTATTATCAAAAAGCTTGAAGATCGTACTGGTACTAAACACCCCGTGAAATTATTCCGTCTGGCTTGTTGTCATTTAGAAGAAATCAAGAAATGTTGGTGATTTCCAGCGATCAGTCCATAGACTGATTTTTGGAAATGCAGAGTGCTATTTACAAAATCGTGTTTCGTGGATCAAGAGCTTGTGATTGGTTTTTGAACATTCTTGTTTGGATTTTGTAGGGTGTTGGAAGGTTGTTGGAAACGAACAAAATACGTGACATGCAAATGATCCTGTTTAAACAACCGTGACCCCTTTTTGGAGCAGATAATTGTCTAGTAGCATATTTCAGCTTATTTTTGGTCAGAGTTTCAATGACATTCTGGCTGATAAACCTCATATTACTAAGTAAGTACTCTGTGTGTTTAACGGAAATGAGGACTTAGTGGGGTGAAATTGGCTCCTGGCTGAGTGCTGAATGCTGAGAAAACTGTCGGGGGGGAAAAAATGTTGCAACCTGGCGCCACTTCAGTTTTTGTGTACAAAGTCTATGGAGAGTCAAGACAATTTTCTAAGTATTTCCTAACGAAAATGGAAATGTTTGTCAGTCCCAGATTCCCTGGTGGAATGAGTCCCTTCGGTTCTTTTCGGAACCACACGTACTCACAAAAGATATTTATTTACATGGTGCTACCGCAAACTTGTCTTGTCTTAGTCCCAGATTCATGTCTTATCGTCATTTTTGCAATGACTGACCTTCATTGAGATGGGTGGCATGGGTGGCTTGTGCGTAAAGCGCTCGCCTCTCACCAAGGTGACCCCGGTTCGAATCCCGGCCGCGGGACACATGTGAGTAGAGTTGTGCGTTGGTTCTCTCCTGTGCCACGAGGGTTTTTCTCCGGGCCCTCCGGTTTTCCTCCCTCCGGAAAAATCAAACACTTTCGATCTCAGGCTGTGCTCCGTGGTCATATATGGGTCGATGTGGCCGGCCGCCATAGGCGCCTTTGCGTGCCAGCGGCCCGACCACGTTGTAGCCGCGTCCTTCGCAATTCAGCATCCCAGCTGCCAGTAAGGATGATTAGCCTCCCAAATTATTATTATTATTATTATATGGAAAAAAAGTGGCGTCAGGTTGCAACATTTTTATTCAAATGTCAGTCTCTCCCACAGTGCTTGATGGGTCATAATTTCAAGGTCAAACCTTCGTTTTTTTCTGTGCAGGCTTTTGTGAGCAACAGCAGCGAAGCCATCGCCAACCTGAAGAAGAAGAAGAAGGGCAAGCTGCCCATCCCCGGGGACGATGCCCCGGATGCGGCCACGCCCGCCCACATGGTCCTGAAGGAGGACGAGGACGAGGAGAAATCTTCCCCTCCGGGGTCCGGGGAGACCAAGGAAGCCGAAGACGAGACGGCCCCACTGAAGACCGGGGAGGACGGGGGAGGGGAAGAGCTAAAGAAATCCCCAGAAGATCAGCAGTAGATGTAAGAAATTCAAACAGTGAGATAACACGACAAGAGTTTAACATCGAAATGTATTACATTTTCAGGGATTTGGAGTTTTCAGATGGGAGGGTTTGACGTTAATGTACAGAGGGGTTCAAGTATAGGTACCTGAAAAGATCACAGTCATAAGTCTCAAGGAAGAATCTGGAGGCCTCAGACAGGGGAGTAGGAGCAAAAAATCACTCGAATGGATTCAAAAAAAGTTCTGTGTTGTGGAAAATTTGGCTCTTCATTTCAGGGGTGGCGAGATCTTTCCGTGATATTTCAAGAAATTGGGAATGTGTCTTTGATGGTGGGTACGTACATGTACACGCGTGTGGGGAAAAGTACGGAGTCATTGTGCACGATGGAATTGGGAATTTCCGAAGGGCAGTATGTGCATTTATAAGGGATTAACGGAGAACAAGGGAAAAGGAGTCCAAGGATTAAGGCCTTTTTATAATTATATTGGATTACCGTACGCAAATGGTTGGTTACTTAGATTGATTTGGTTTGGTTTTTATGTTTTTTAAAAATATTTTGAACGGTTGTGTTTTTCAGAGGTGTTGAAATGCCTGTAGTTTTGAGTTTGGTAGTTGGACATGAAAGAGCTGAAGGTCATTTTGAACCAGTGTGTACCGTCGACGAAAGGTTGGGGTAGATTTTGTTAGTCGCGAAGCCATCAAATGGTCTCGCTGATCAGGTTGAGGGGAAAGTTTGGGATGAATAGTATAAATTGTATTACTTAAATTGTTACACGGTTTGCATGTCGGTGTGCATATTATCTTAAGGTATTTTAACTGAGTATTTTTCTGTATATGGGAGGGGTGTCTCACTTTGAAAATGGCGAACATCAGTTATGGCAAAAGGCAAGAAATATGTACATTATTTCGAACACAGCCTCAATCTTTCACCATGGTGTGGAGCCTGAGAAGGGCTTGGGTACCGACCAGCATGTATTGCATTTTGTGGGCTATGAACTTAAAAGGTTTGTAAAAAAAATATTGGTGGAAGCTGTGCACAGGACTGCAAGCTCGTATTTCTGTGAAATTCGGATGAAATTGGGCCCAAAAATTGCTTTTTTTTTGCAGTGGGAGGGCAGGTATCATTTTTCAAAATGGCGATGGGCCACATAACTCCTTTTAGGGGTGATCATCTTTGGATGGAATTTTCTCCCAAAAGCCATCAAATTACCCCAAAAACATTGAACGGATAATGAAAGTTGATGAAATAAGCTTTTATGGGTGTCTCAAAACACGAGTATGCATACTCGAGAACTAGACAAAACAGATTCTGTCCTCGTACACGTGTAAACATTTTTGATGAGGACAGATATCCAGTCCAGGAGTTAGCTTCAATAAGAGCCCCCCCCCCCCCCATTAGGTAAAGGTAAAGGGGACGAACCTGTGTTCACAGGAACGGAGTGCCCATCTCTCTTTCATTAGCGATTGGGCCAGACTCATATGCTGCTGTGGGGGGATCGCCACACCTCCTCCACAGCAAGTCTGTTACCTTCCCAGCACTGAACAATGCCGGTACCCATTTAACACCTGGGTTGAGAGGAGTAATTGAGGTAAAGCGCCTTACTCAAGGGCACAACACGCATGGCCACGGCGGGCTTGAACCCACAACCTCACGACCATGAATCCTGTGCTCTACAGCTAGACAACACGTTCCCCCATTGCTCCATCCCTTTTTCAGCAATTTTGGCTTATATTACATGTACATTAGTGAACAATTACAAGTATTTATCTAATCTACTTATTCATCAATGGTGCATAATGTATGTGTATAATCATGTAGCGAGATGTATAAAATCATGTCTTCATTCTTGAATGGTCACAAATGGATTGAGAATATAATCATGAGATTTTTTTACCTGGTATATATTCATGAATGGTTGTGCCTTCTATTAAACTTGGAAAACTTGTACAAAATGAAAAATAACAAAGAGCTATGGTGCGTCATGTTCAGCGGTGCGCACTATAAACATTGGTATTCGCTAGCCTACTAGGTCACATACAAAAAACCTTTGGTTCTCACAAGCAATTTGGACTATTGTATCTTGTTAGTCAAACCTAATTTTGTTTTCCATAACTTGACACTGAACTCACTCGTTTTGAAAACTGAACTGACCATGTGAACATGTATTTTCTTGATATTGTGATAAATAATATAATTCTACATAGCATAGTGCGCAATAAGAGAATAGTGCAGTAAAATGATTCTTCTCAAACTTTTTTAGGGAAAACGTTGTGATGTACATGTAGCAAAAGAGTATGTATATTAGATTTTCTTTATTTTATGTTGAAAATAATACGTTTGGGAAAGATTTCCATATACAAAGTTCACTCAACACCCTGTGTACAAACCCTATGAGATTGGACTGAAAAATTCTAAGTGTTTTCTAAGAAAATGCTTGTATTTTCTCACTGCTCAAATTGACTTTGATGACATGAAATTGCTATCTGGGGGCTTGTTAGTCAATACAGAGGAAAATTAGTGAACTTCGTATATGGAAATCTTTCCTACGTTTGTACTAGACTTGGTGTACATGTACTGTATGTTATTCAAGGTTGCTTTGATTTTTAGGCTAGTTTCTGGGACAAATGTTGTTATTGTAGTGTTGTTTTTAAGCCCAGGCAGGAGCTTTTACATGTCACTTGGTGGTCGGTTCGGTCCGTCTGTCCCGAAAATTGACCAAAAGTATGGTGTTCCATACATGTATGTGCGATCGGTGTCACATTTTTTGGCCTTGCATTTTTCAGCTCTGGCAGGGATCATTTTGATCAATTTCATGCAAGACTTCTTGCAACACAGCCAGAGCTTATTGTGCGCTTGCACTTGTTTATTGTGTTTGTTGTTGTTCTTGGTCAGACGGAACTTACTTCATTGACACAGAAATGCTTCATGGCCATTAGTTTAGCCATTTCAATTTTAGCAACTTTGTGTACTTATGAGTGTATTCCTATAGTACGTCAGTATTTGCAGTGAAAAAACGCCTTGCCTTTCTGTGGTGCATCCAACAAATCAACCTCCAAATGAATTTGTAATTTTCTTAAGAGACCGACTTAAAATGTAGTGTAGATTTCTATTCAAGTTCAAAACTTTGAAGTGTGCCATTCTTTTTGCCATTTTCTTTTAATTTTCTAAGCAATCTATTTTTTCCCTACTTCTTTATTTGTGATAATTGATGAGGACATTTTGGGGGTTTCAGTTTTGATAGGCAGAACAATTGGTAATGGTTTGAATTATTAAGAGCTGACCTTTCCAAAGTAAAACTTGATCCTTTGATAATTGAACTATCATTGTTTGCGAGTTAGCAACGCCCCTTATACAACCGCATGGATTTTTGTACGTTAAGGTTTGTTTGTCTCAGATTTTGCGCGGTCCGCATCCATTTGTATAGATCATGTAATTGGACAATTTTTCAAAAGCTGCGTTGACGCGATTCTTCTGCCATAGGTTAAGTCTGTATTCCCTGCCAAAAGAAGTGAGGGTTTTCAGTTGAATTGGGTAAAACATCGACCCCTTTCTGGCAAAATATCACCATTCGTATTTTTTTTTAAGGAATGATCCTCTATGATTGTATTGAAGAATGACACCCCATTGTCTAAGTAATTTTGTTCACCTGCATCTAGATTGCCTATTATGATATTGCTACTGCCCAGTTGTAACAAGATTTTCAAAGATATTTCTTACGAGAGTTTCAATAGTTTTTGTTCTCAATGTGTTTACAGGGTAAAAGTGTATTCCTTTCCTTTGTTTTTAAACCGTAGAAATTGTGCCCACTAAGTGGATCAGCTTAGTTCATTTGAACTTTAAAAAGTATCTTTATTGAGAATTAGCTTCAAAAAGTCCTTGACAATGTGGATGTTATTTATTCAGTACGATAAATAATGCCTATCGGATAAATTCTAGTTTTCTGAATGAATTTGAAAGGTTAACAAATTAATCAAATCAATTTTTGTAGTTTACAGTGTAGATGTAAGAAGTATGGTCAATTACACACAATGATTGATACATGTACTACATAAAATGCTATCTTTTTATATTTTCTATGTTTTATATTCTGTTTTTGCGTGAATATTTCTTTAGATTTAGCTTTTTTGGCCACCAATTGCTTTTTATTTTATGTTGCCTTTTTTTATTTTTGATGACGCACTTAAAAAGTATGAAATAAATTGAGATTTCCCGAAGAATCACAGTGACATTTGGTTGGAAATTGTCCATTTGTTCTACATTTATTTATTTTAATTCAAATAATTTTATTTGGCTTTGAAACCCAACGATTCTGCTTGAAACTATAAATTAATTAAACCTAAATCCAATTAAAATGTACTTTCTACATGTATTACATTATGAGATTAGTTGAAAATGTACTTGCCCTTTTCGAAACTACCCCTTCGTGAAATGTTTGAACCCAGCTCTGTAGCGCTAGCGCTTGGGAACAAAACTCTGGCCACAAAACTCTGCATTAATCCTCCAATGCAAACATACATCTGTGCCAAGTAGTCCTTTCAGTCAAAATCAATCAAGTGACTGTTTTCAACAGTTAAGAATTCCCAGCCTACACAAAGCAGGATTGACTGGCTGTGACTGTTTATGTACCTTGATACAGCTTTGCTTTAACTGTGGGTAATTGATAAGCCAGCTGTGCCCACAACTTGCCTACTTTGTCTGCTCATGGTCTATGGACTGAGTTTGACTAGCCACAGTGCTTGCTTGACATGATCTGACTGCTGGTGACTAGCCTGTGTTAAAAGAAACGCAGGGGAAGTGGATTCGAATTTTGACTGTCTAAGACTTCAAATAACCGGAGGCTAAATATCCGCTTACTATGAGGACTGTTGCAAGTTAGCCTCTGACTCCAGCCTCACAAGTGCATGGCAATACTGAACTCGCGCATAAAACAATAACATCAATTTACTATGAGGACTCTTGGTGCTTAGACTCTGACTCCAGCTTGACAAGTCCGTCACAATAGTGGAACTCCCCGCTGGTCTCGTGTTCCCCCATGTCCAAAGCAATCACACAACTCTCCCGCACCACCCTCTCTCCATCCCCTATGTAATCCCTCAGCTTGTCCAGGCACCCCTCCTGGGCGATGGAGCCCAGGGCCTCCGCGCACTCGTGCCGGACCATGGAGTTCTCCTCCGACTTGGCCAGGGTCTCTAAGAGTTGCGGGATGCATGCCCCGTGTTGCATCTGGCCCAGGACGTACGCTATCTCGTGCCTGAAGAGGGCGCTCTTGCACTGTAACCCTATTTTGTCAGGGGGAGGGGAAGGACAGGAAAGAATGGCAGATCTTTAGAATCAGTTAGTTTCTATCTTAAAAAAAACCAAACCAAGTTTCAAATCCTTAATTCCATTTCAAACATTAGGAATATCGAAAAAAAAAAAAAACATCTGGGCCATTCTTCAATGGCACTTAAGTTGCCACTTTTTCCTTCTTTTGACATTTTTAAGGAAACGTTATCAAGTTTTGGTGGAAATTAGTTTGTATGTCACACCAGAAACAGATATTCACTCTCATTTTAAAGCTTTAAAAGGTAAGATAAAAATCATTGAAATTTAGACTATTGAGTTGTTTTTTGAGATTTCTTAATGACATGCTGATGTATCTTTTAATAAAGCAGCCAATTTTATGTCTTACAGGACATCCTGTGTCGGTATTACCTCTTTGTGACCTTTAAACAAATGTGACTTTTGACCCAATGTGACTTTTGTCCCAATGTGACCTTTGACCCAATGTGACCTTTAACCCAATAACGAATTGACTTTCACGACTCTTACCCTGTGCCAAGGCCCGCACAGCCGGCTCATCGTTCCTATTCCTGAGAGCAAACATCGCTCGGTAACGGTCAAACAGTGACGCGTCCTCATCCAGCAACCTCGCCTGCAGCTCCTCCAGGGTTGCTGGGACGGCCGGGGGCGCTGGATCGACCGACTTGAAGGGGTTTGCCGAGATCTGGCTCTCTTCTTGCGTTCGCTGTTCGCTCTGTAGCCACTCTATCCTCTGTATGGCCAGCTGACATGTTTCTGCAATCTGGAGTGAACAAGAAAATGCTTGAACCAGTCCAGACATTTAACCCCAACTTTCTTATCTTTTTGCTCGGACCTTCATATAGGCCTGTTCTCCAAAATCCAACACTCATCTGAAAACTCAAGACGCTTCGGATACAAATGTATCTCAAGTCCTTCATAAAGTAGGCCTAGTATTAACAAGCTGTTTCACTGTTCAACTTCTTCCTTGGTGGATTTCGAAGGGTAGAAATCGATGGTTTTGTACATCGCTCCTGTGGCTCCACTCATTGGGAGCACACATTTGAACAACTTGTTTGGAAAGACGATTTTATGAACTGATGTAGTGCATAAATAATTTCCTAGAAAAAAAGATCCAAGGCTTTTAATGAAGCTTAAATTACCTCCGTGATTGGGTCATGCTCGTATTTCTTCAGAATGTTCAAGATGTCTGGCGATCCAATGGCTCCCAAGGCTTCTCCTGAAATTTCAAGTCAATATGAAGTTATGACATACATGTAGATGCATTGCATGCATTTGTAATATTGTTTTCTTTTGCACACTTTTTTCAAGCAACAGACTATTCACATCATCAAAAATATTGCAAGTTGCATTTGGTCATTTTGTTTCCATCTGCATCGGCAAGTCCACTAGTAATATATATAGACCTTATGTATGGCAGCAACCTTTAGTAGAAGGCATTGCCTTCGTTTTGATGTGATACACACAAAAGACTTAAGAGAAAGATTCCCATATCTGGCCATAGACGTAGTGTCAGCCATCAGAAAGTGATAATACATTGTAATTTGTATTACAAAAATGTCCTAAAAAGTCCAAATTAGCAGGGACAACATATTTAAGTATTTACTGAGAAAGCACAGAAATTTTAAGACCAGTCTAATTGTGCACAGGGTGACAAGTGATGGCCAGATATGGGAATCGGTAATCCTTACTTTTAGGACCCCTTTCCTATATAAAGGTTAAAAGACTCACCAAAACAGCTGACTAAATGACACTCAAAAGTGACATTCTGATATTTATTGACACATTTGAACATTTGGCAATGACACCTCTTGAATATCAGCAGGTTTGATTTTGTAGAAAGAGGGCAGGGTTTTGATTTATGAGGGGTTAAAGACGACGATGACAAACAGAAAATAAATTTAAAAAGCAAGATGGCGAACTGCAAAAAAAGGTAGGAAAGTCACATTTTCTTTGAAAGTGTTTTCAAAATTATAACTAACATGAGTTTGTCTGAAGAAAAAAGACTTCTTTAGCCTGCAAAAGTCACTTTGGTACTGGACAGTCATCTGCAAAAGTCAGTTTTGAACAGAACTCGTACAAAATAGAGGTGTCCTAAAAGTAAGGATTACCTGGGAATCTTTCCCTCATGAGCGAACCTTTTGTGGGTTTACAAAAAAGAAAGAATTAAACTTAAAATTTAAATTAAACTTAAAAGACAAAATCAAATGAGAAAGTTTGTTGAGAAAGAAAACAAAGCCCCAATCTTCTCACCTGCTTCATGTCTTACAATCGGCTCCTGCTTGACATCCTCCAGCACCTCCACCAGCATGGAGATTGCCCCTTCATCCTGCATCTGGCCCAGGCAGTAAGCACACTCGTGCTTCAAAAGGGCCGAGTCATCGGCAAAACACCGGCCGATACACGCCAGGGCGGTCGATCCGCCCAGGTTGCGCAACGTGAACAGGGCACGAAATCGCTCCGGTAAGGGGCGGGTTGGGTCCACCAGAATGGCCCCTATTCGCTCGATTTTACTGGTATCCTCTGGCATGGTGATAAATTGACTAGCTGGCTGTTTCGTTATGTGAGGGGGACTACAAAAAATGGAAAATATGTCACAGAAATTAGAGAGAGAAAAATTATGAGTCAGTGCAGCGAGAGTGACACACATACACAACACATGTGTTTCATAATACATGTATAGCGCCCTCATGTGGTCACCGTACGCGATTAAAATTAATAGGGTTTTTATTTTTGTAAACTTCGGACTCGTTTCAGTTTTGGGTATCAATCCCTACCTGTAAAAAAATATTGAATAAAATGAACATTATCCAACATAATCCAAAGATTTTTGATGTTAAAAATAAATTATACAAGCAATACTAGGTTTGAGTCTTCGGAGTAATTCGGGAACAGGTTAGAAAATATGAACACCTGAGTTTCAATCCGAATGAAATACGAAGCCGAGGTTTCGGAAACCTCCAGCCCGAGCCTGTGTAGTTTGTTCATTGAGGGCGTGCTTCAATAATAATGGTCTGATCGATGGGGACACCACTGAACAGCTGAAAACTAGTCTGGTGATGATGGAAAACTGAATGATTTTACTGTTTAAGTGGGTTAAGTAATTGACTAAATGATGTTTTTTTAATTATTATAATTAATAAGAGTTATGAGGTGTAAATTTAGAAATTGAAAAGTGTTCGACTTGTCCAAAAATGTGTTTATTTTAAAGCTCATGCATTTGTCAGGATTTTCATTGTTCATTTTTTTATGAGTTGGACTTTGGAAAATGGGAGGCCTAGACAGTAGTCAGAAAACTAGCCCTAGTCAGTAAACTACTACCAAATTAGTAGGCCTAGTATATGTTTATGTCACCAGGAACATAGTTTTGATAAGCCCCAAGCTATGGTCATGATGGTCAGTCACTGGACTAAACTACATGTATGTGCAATGGTGCAAAGCAAGGAGTCCACAGTGCAGTGACCATGATGTACATGGGTAAATAAAGCCCCATTTATATTTTACTTTTGGTCAAGATACTGGAGTAACTGGACTGCTTCAGCATTTAGGCCTAATACATGTAGGCCTGGCCCTAGCCTACGGAGAGAGTCCAGCATCTTGGCCACGCGAATTGGGCTATACACAGGGCTAATTATTTTTGATAAAGTTGATGAAAAGTAAAAGTTTTGGAAAGAATGTAGCAATACTAATAGCATCCTGAAGCCACCTTTCTCATCATGTACATGTACATAGTATTATCTCAATGAAGATCAGTCATCACAAAAATGTGGAAAAGACATGAATCATGGACTACTTCTTCTAAATTTTTTGCTTTTGACTCGCACCACCTGTTTCAAAAAGATGTTTTTGTCTAAAACTTGCCATCTCAATCTTTCCTGTAGGAGTGACCCAAAACTGACTCCTACAGACTCTACGTAAAGACCGCTGGGACCATTGACCCAGTTCCGTAGCGCAGTGCATCGTTAGCCACCCCCACCTTATCATGGCCATCTACAGCAAGTGGATCGGCACCGTCATCGACCACCACGGCCTCAAGTACCTGTGCTTCAACCACATGGTGACCACCTACATCCTGACCAGCCTGGTCATGTTCCTCATGACGCTCATCAACCTCTCCTCCTCGCCCCGTCTGGCCTCGGTCGCCATGTCCGCGCTCATGTCGCTCTTCGTGGTCACCCTGTCCATCAAGTTTGCCTACCAGATTGCGCACAGCTTCAAGACGCAGTTTGACCTCCACTGACCGAGAGAGCACCTTCTCAAAACCCTTGGCGGTTTGTTGTTGTGTGACTCAAAGTTTGTGACGTTGCAAAACATCGCCTCCTCCAAGGGTAGTGACTGGGCTCAAAATCCTCTCCTACAAAACTCCTAGGAGCTTGAAACAGTACTCGGATTCAAATACACTTAAACCAAAAATCAAAAGACTTGGAGCTGTTCCATTCCTGGTAGGAATAGTTTTAGCATTTTGCATTCAGCTCCAGAGTACACTCATATCCAAACTAAATAATGCAGTGCTACACTGTAAGTTTCTGATGCGAAACATTTGTGTACTATGACAAAGTGAGCAAAAGCTTTCTACAGTGTGTTGTACTTGTGTTTGGAGCAGTAACAGCTTATTTGAATCTCACCTGCTTGCCAGCATCATTGTACGATACGCAGCAGATGTTCAAAGTTTATTCCATCATCAAGCAAACTTCTACATGACTCGTGTCAGAGCTTTTATGAAAACCTACATCGTGTTTGGAAAACACGAATCTCTCTAGCTTATCAGCATCAGTGTTGTACATGTAGCTCTGTATCAAATATCAAAAAGTTTTACTTGCCTAGGAAAGTTCTGTGTACTAAACTTTCCATTTCAAAGAGACAAAGTAGGCATTGCAAAAGCCTTCTTCAGTGTTTAGAATATATGCTTGTGTAAGAAGTTGAGAACTTGCCTCAATCCTACTGGTTTGCTAACATCTATGGTGTCATATGCAGTTAAGTCTTCAAACTTTTGAGATCACTCGCCAGCGAGGAAAGCTCCGCTTACTATGCTTCCCACGTACTTGGAGTTGACAGAGACGACCATCGACCACGTTGGCATCAAGCACATCTTCTTCAACTTCCTCTTGTCCTCCTGCATCTCCACCAGCCTGATCCTCTTCATGATCACCATTGTCAACGCCGGCTCCCCGCGCCTGACCGTCGGTGCCATGCTGTCGCTCATGACCCTCCTGGTGCTGACGCTTTCGATCGAGTGCGCCCACAACATCATCTTCTGGTTGCTGCTCAGTCACGAGGTGCAGGGGGTCCTGGAACACAGGAGCCCCTGAACTTTACTCGGATTACTCGGAGAGCTACTCGTGAGTACGAGTAAAACTGACGAGTAGAGTGTTTTGAGTGTGCTGTGTGCTTCAGTTTGTTTACAAGACCGGCGTGCGGGAGTGCCTGATTTTTACTCCAGATACTTGTCAGAACAAGTGAAACTGACGCTTAATACTTCTGTTTGAGTGGGCTGGATGCTTCAGTTTGTTTACAAAGTACAAGGATTTCTGGAGCTCAAAAGCACGTCCACTGTAAACTTATGAACTCCCTTGCTTGAGAAAATTTGACTTAAAAGCTCAAGTACATGCTCACTGCTACTCACTGTGAGTCGAGGAATGCAGGGAAACTCAACTAAAGGATCTTTAGTCTTCGACAGTTAAGATCATAACTTTAGACGTCTGATAAATACATCTGTACCTCAAAAGATTTCTTAAAAATTCAGGATGGCAAGTTTTTCAGATGATGAAATATCCCCCATCTCCCAGAAGATGGTTTTCGTCGTGGACACGGACAGGCACGGCCCGCAGGACTATCGCGACAGTCATACGCTACCCGACACCGCGGACTGCCCCGTTTACGCCCTGGTCATGGGCTGCTGGAACAACATCCTCGGTCCCCACGCGAAATACATCTGGCTGACCGAGGGCAAGCCGAATTTCACCCCCGATCACGTCAGCTACCTGTCCACCCACACCCTGACCTCCTGCGAGCAGCCCCAGTCTACCATCGACACCAAAGTCCTGATCCTGCCGGACCGCGGGATAGTGGTGACGGTGTTCCTCTTCAGCGGTCACGACGGCGACGAGAAGACCATATTTGCGCTGTCGCTGGTCATCCCGTACGAGGAGTATCGCTGGTATCTGCCACTTCATGAGCTGTGTGTGGCCAGGCTCACCACAATGATCAGGAGGCTGCGAGTTCTTCAGGAGAAAAACAAAGATGAAGTAAGACAGAACTTTGAATTCAAATTGACCTTATGTGTATCGGCCATCTTAGGGGACAATGCTTTTGTACTACTGGGATTTGCATGTGCAGACGTTTTCCCATTTTTACTTTATCAAACATGCATTTAAAAAGATATGTTTTAATTAAAAAATAATAGATTTTCTTATGTTCTCCCCCACCCCCCTCCCCCCCCCCTAATTTTAGTACAATGACTCCGCCTTGGAAGCATTTAGCGAAGAGGTGCCTTCCTTCATTCGTGTCGTGACGCTCTTGAAGACTCATGGCCTTCCTTCAAGGGTTGCGGTATGTTAGTCTTTGTCGCAATCATTCTGACATTCCTAAGCTGTTGCACATACATGTGTTCTGTTTTTAAAACCTTTACTTCAGTTCAGGTAAACTTACGTTTAACTCTTTGCATACAGTAAAGCTTGATGTATCGTCTCAAAAGTGTTGCCTGCTTTAAATGACACACCACTTGGGGTATCTGCTTGAACCTCATGGGGCGTTGTTACGATTCCATGTAATTTTGTCCATTAATTACATGTACATATCTGAAGAGTTTAAATTAGGTTTGATATATAACTGTTTGGGGTTCTTTCTGTTTTTTCCTTCTTGTTTTTTTCCCCCCTTTTTGGGCCCTTTATCATATTTGCTCAATTTTTCCTCGCGTTTATGTGTCCCCTGCACTCTTGCTATGCCATTACTAGTCGTACCATTATGTTTATAATGGACTCTAAATTTGTAATTTTGACTCAACAGTTTGAAAATCGTAACATTTTCGTAAGAATATTTCCCTTTTTGTTTGGTTTCAGCTCACTGATACTGTATTTGCGCCTGGGCACATCAAGCAGTTGGATAATCAGTTCACCAAAGTGTAAGTGAACAGTTTCAACTCTTTGGCCCATGACCAAACAGATGAATACTTACTTTGCGGTAAGCTTATAAACAAAATGAATTACGAGCAATTGCCTTAGCTGATATCGATTCACAGAGCTTAAAGCGCCCTGCTATTTTCATTGGTTTGTTATTGAGCAAAGTTGTAGAATCTAGACAGATGACTGTCAATATATGGGTCATGCTATAAATTTTGGTCCCCTTTTTTCCTGTCCCCGTTACATCTGTCATCGATGACTTTATAACTATGATGCTCTCCTTAATGCAGTTGTCCTCCAAGAGTGATTATGAATAGCAAAGTACCTACCCAACAAATAAAAACAAAATTTTGAAGCCATTCTTAAAGGGAATATACATCATTTGCTTTTGCTGTAATTTTTCAGAAATGGATGGATTTGGGGGGTTGGAAATATATAGCAAATATAGTTACACTGACTTTTTTGAGGTTTTGGGTTTGTAGATGCTATAAAAATGAAGAAAAAAAAAAATCAGTTTCCTGTAGTCTGGTTCCCTGACTCCTTTTAAGATAAAACAAAGCAATTTATAACAATGGGGAATTGTAAGGTCAGGGAACCAGTCTAGCTGGCTTGTACCCATTCATATGTGTATAATCGATTGCAAACAAATAATGCAGACTAACTACATATGGTCAATTGGGGCTAGTGTTTGTAAAAAAATCCAGGTTTTTTTCCAACGCTTATTGGCCGACCAGCATTGCAAATTGACACAAAAAAATACAAGTTTTCTTGAAAATGACAGTACACCAGGTGCCGTGATTTTACAAGATGATTTAGGCTGTCATTTACTGACAGTCCAGCAGGGTATTTCAAAATAATTTGGTAGTTTTATTTTTTGATGTTTGCAACTGTTGTATTTTACCTTTAATGCTAATTGAGAAAAAAAGTACCAAGGTAACAGGGGCAGGAAACTCGTCACATTTTGGACCCTAAATTGATAGAACGACCCACATCTGTTTCCATCTTTTCGTACCTTCACTAGAGCTATAGCTTCGCATCTCCAGACCTGCGGCTGCTCTATTGTCATTGGCAACACCCCAGCAGATGTCAATGTTGTGAGTATCATTTTCATCAAACTTTTGTCGCATTTAGTGTAAATTCTCATTTTTGTGGTCAAAGAGTGTTTTCAAGATGGAGAAGTTGTCAACCAATCCTGAGTCGTAGGGCATTGGGATAGTTTTGACAAGATAAACAAAAAAAATTGTTGTGTATCATTCGTACTGTGAAATTGTGAGAAGGATCACTCGCACACTAGGGACACATTTTTATCATGTGAAATACCTTTGAAGGTACTCAGAGTACAGACTAATGCGGCGGCAGCGTTTTTTTGTGGTGGCACCAGGCTCGGGTAGTACGCATGCACTCCGGGCTCCTTCAACCAACACGTGCGCGCCTCGTCTTCAAGAATGCGTGCACCATGAGAGCAGACGTTGTGCTACCTTGAAAATGGCTTCTAATTTTGTTTGCTGGATTAGTATTTAAGCCTGCAGTTCAGTATTCCAACTGCTCGTGTGCACATCAAAAAACCATAGATGGTACTATCAAAAGTTTTTTTTTAAGAAGTATACAGGGTGGTTAAAAAAAAAGGACACCAACTTTTGACAGCAATTTTTACCTACTTAATGCACTTATTTTAAATATTTTTTCACACAGTAGTAAAGTATAGTCCTTTTACCATGTATGGTGAAAAAAGCTTAGTAAAAGTCGCAAAAATAGTGATATTATGCTAATTTGAATACAAGTCACCAAAACTCACTCTTGTCCACGGGTTATTCAATGTAAATTGGAAGTTTTCGTAGTTCATAAAAATTAAAAACCTTCCCACCAAAATATATTTTGCCCTGGTAACTTTTATTGAAGCTGTCCAATTATTCAAATCAGTGTTAAGATCATCTACTCAATAAGCTGTCGGCTTAAGTTCATTGTTGCATAACATTACATAACATAACAATCAAATGTCATGCCCTTTCAAATAAAGCTCCGATACCTGAGCTCAGTCAAGCGAAGGGAATGTATACCTCCGTGGACAAACAGGTTTTTGCACATGAAATGTTCAAATTGGCATAGCTCAACGACGAAATGTGCAAATGCAACGATTTTTCATCACATTTGCTTAAAGGCCAGTACTTTAATAGCTACTTATCGACAGTTAAAAATAATTTTTAAAAATAGGTGAAAATTCCTGTCAAATGTGGGTGTCCTTTTTCTTGAACCACCCTGTATGTAAACTTGTACAAAATTCAGAAAGCTTTTTCCCTCTTCTTTTGAACCAGATGAAAACACAAAAACTTGAAATTCAGTTAGATTGTCTAGTCTTAGAACACCATTCTACTAATTGACATTTCCACGACTCTTATCTTTTTTTTGTATTCAACAGATGATCAGTACGCTGGCCTTATTTCTGAGTCCATCGGAGCGAAGATGCTGCCTCTACTTGGACAATGTTCCCAGAATCTATCAGAAGGATGTCTTGATACAAGGCTTCATCAAGGTACAAGATGACTTCACTCCCTTGCCATTTTCCTCCAAAAAAATCAGCCTAAGCGCCTTTACATGTCTTCGGCTCGACCATGTTGTAGTCGCGTTCTTTGCAATTCAGCTTCTCAGCTGCAAGTAAGGACGTTTAGCCCCCCCCCCCCCTATATCATCACAGTGCTGGTTTTGTAGTGCCCTACAAGTTGGCTGGCTGAAGTTGTTTTTAGTGAGGATTTTGTTCTGAATTCTGAATTAAAAAGGGCAACTATTAATTCCCCAGGACTCAATCAACTTGGATGACTACCTGCGTGTCATCATGACGAGTCAGTATCCGACTACCCTGATAGACATGACGACGCTGGAAGTGAGACAGACACTGCACTACAACGAGCACGCTTACAGGTAAAGATGCCAATACACATGATATTGCCCTCATGTTTCTTGGGTGTGGGAGATTCACTGCCTTCTGTGATGGTTATTCAGGGCCCAAGTTCATGAAGCTGTTAAAGTAAAGTAAATGTCTGTCACGAGCCAATATGGGCTACGTGGGCCAACAAAGAGGGCGTGTTTTTGGAGAGCTCCGTGGACGGGACACATAGTGCGCGCGTACTGTATTCGCGCGCGAAGTACGCACGACTTCCTGAATGTGCAAAAGCTATAGCCATCGCGTCCTCGCGTTTGAATTGAACTTGCGATGGTCTGCGAGACTAATCCCTGCCTCCAATAACTTTGGATACATTCGAAATACGCAGTGGATGGATCGGGAACCAGTCTAGGTCAACCCCAACTTTCCTTTTGGGCCGTTGATGGGTATTTGTTCACAGATCCCATAGCCCATCAGGCCCATGTTGAGCTCTGGTTTCCTTGGCACGAAACGACAGAATATTTTGATTGCCCCGGATGGAATGCCAGTCCATCGCAGGTTACTCCCCAGCTAATGCCGGCACCCATTTATACTCCTGGGTGGAGACACAAGTGGTGGTGAAGTGGCTTGCCCAAGGACACAATATTATGACCAGCAGCTGGATTTGAACCCCTGACCCTCTGATCATGAGTCACAAACCCCAACCACTAGGCCACACTCCCCCACACAAAAAATTGCTGAGCACAGAAAATATTTTCTTACCCAAAACCGGTTACCAGCCAAAATGTCGTGTGATGTATGCCGCTCAAGACTGGTTCTCTGCACATTTTCTGGTAAGCGTATCATTTTCCTTAGCAATACAAACACCGCCTGTTTGTCACTTTTAAGGTTGAAGGTTTTAAAAAACTTTTAAAATAGCAGGAGGATTAATGGTCAGTCATCGTTTTTGATTTTTTCTTCTCCCAAATTTCAGACGCCATGTTTTGACAAGCCAGGAGCTGCAGAGCCTATGGCTGGGCAGTGATGAGCCGCTGAGGTACTCCCCAGTGTAAGTGACTGGGGTTTAGAGGAGGGGGGGTTGCCTGGGAGGCAGGGGAGTAGGATGGAGAGGGGGTGGGGTGTTTTTCAACGAGTTATCTTGGGAGTGATTGTGTATTGGCCAGCAATATTATTTTTTTCTTCTCTTTGCCATGAAAAACTTATTGAGTACATGATTGTTATAACCGAAGTATATTACATATTAACTGTAATAGAACCCCTCAAAACTCAAAAGATCAAATATTTATTGGAAAATTAATGGTTTCCTGTACATGTTTTTGTATTGTTTACAGAAGTGGGATTGTGATTATTATTTTGAGGGGTTTCAAGGGAAAAAAATATGGTTGGTACAGTAAGCTCATAGCAAATAATAAAACTAGAATTAAGTCCTGGATATCAATATTTATAATTATTTCCTTCAACCAAAAATATATGCATGTTTTTTGTTTTTTTCATGTCGCATAACAGCGTTCACTTCTCCAAAAAGCCAGAAGCAGAAGCAATAGTGCAAAAGTTCTGGAAAGAGGTGAGGCCAATTAATAACTTTTGTAGTCAGTGTATTGCCATGGCAACGTACTTAGTAACTAAGTTACTACGGAGGTGAATTCAAAAAAATGATTCGTATCTTGAGTCTTCATTTCCTACCCCTGCTTGTTCAATTTTAGTCCCAACGGATACTTAATAAAGGGGTTTTTGTATCATATAAGGCCACGAATTCTGTGCTATGACTTCCGTAATGCAAGGGTAACGCATGACATTTGCAGTTGCAGTTACTCGCAGAACTCTTACTTTTAAAAGCTTATGAGTAATGGAGTTTGATGCATTTTTTTAAAAACAGATCTATAGGTTGAAGGAAAAGTGCAGTGTTAGGGAGACCTACGTTGAAGAATTCCTGCGTTTGCTGGATCGGCAGGCGGTGTCCCTCATCAAATATGTGGAAGAGGAAACGTAAGTTAAAATCCTGGCCTATACCCTTATTCGATTGTGTTTGCCAGCTTCAGAGTGTATGCACTCTGTGCTGGGATTATATTATTATGATTGATTAATGCACATTTATTTCCATTTCACAGTTCATAAAATACAGCTAAATGTAGATTAACAATTGGTGTATTACTCAAACAAGTGTACATGTATATTAAATATTAACTTGAAATTAACAAAGGTGAACATGGAGGCATGTCCCGGTAAGCGGTTGCTTGAGCGGGGGATGCTATACAAGACAAAACGAACAGACGGACAGCAACGGACAAAGACATTCGGACAAACTAAACATTGAATCAAGAAAAAGCAAACAAAAAAATATTAAATTATTACGGGCCTAAATAGGGTACTATACAATAACATAACATAATGAGGATAAAACAAACTCAGTAAGGTAATACAGATAAGTAATTTACAAAGAGCAGTTGTACAGGTACATTTTAATTTTAGTTTTGAATATATTAAGTGTAGTTGAGTTTCTGATATGATTGGGAAGTTTGTTCCAGTTGATTACACCAGTATATCGAATTGTGTATTGAAAAAGTTGAGTCCTATGTTTGGGAAGATGAATGTTAGGCCAAAAAAAAAAAAATATTCGGTCTCTGGTCAGACCAAAGTTCCGGAATTGACGCGGCCACGCGGCTTTTTTTTTTTTTTTTTGCTTTTTTTTTTTTTTCAAGCTTGGATTGTACAGACAAGGTGGGTACTATTTTGCTTTTTTGGTGTCCTCATGTACATTGGTGTCCTCCATAATTTGCCTTGGTGCTTTCGATCATTTGCCTTGGTGCAATTTGCCCTCTCCCTGGTGCTCTTTGATAAAAAAAATTGAGGAGGTGCGGAAATAGAGGGCGCTGTTGGAGCTACCGCGGAACATTTTGGGGAAAAAAAGATCGACGCGCATGATTAAAATCGACGCGCGCGCTGACCAGAGACCGACTTATTTTTTTTTTGGCCTTAGTGAAAGTCCTTGTGTTGTAGTTATGGATGTTGTAATAAAATTGAAAGAGTGTTTGGAAGTGGGTGGGGGATGTGTTTGTTGAAACATTTGTACATAATATTCTGATGATACATATTAATGTTTCTAAGGTTGAGTAGTTTGAGTTGTTTGAACAGAGGAGCTGTGTGAGCAGTGAAATGAGATTTAGAGACTAAACGAATGATGGCAGATTAGGGCTGTGCATCAGAACCAGGTACCCGATTACCCGTCAGGAACCGGTTCCAGATTAGAGAATCAAGTACCCGTAACCAACTGTGCATATTACTGTAGTGACTTCTCAGACAATGGAAAAGAAAGGTTTTGAATATCATGTGGGGAAGTTTCAAAATGAAAACCAGGCCACATGGAAAAACAAAACGGATTCATGTTAATGACGCTTGCGACAATACAATACATTTATACGATGAGATTTTTGCATCGGGGTGATGTAAATCAAATTAGGTTTTGCTCTTCACCAATGTATAAGTCGGTGAAGGGCAAAACCTAATTTGAAATACAATACATGCACTGCGTGGCTCTCTTCACTGGTCTACAACCAGTCAGTCCTAGACACAAGTGACAGTCTGTCAGTCTGTCTGTCAGTCAGTCTGTTAGCAGTGTTGTAGCCGAGTACTTTTTTCCGAGTACCGAGTACTGCCGAGTACTTAGGTTGCCCGAGTACGAGTACGAGTACTTGTACCTCCGAGTACAAGAAGAGGTCTCCAAGTACGAGTACTTGTACTTCCGAGTACGAGTAGGAGTACTGTACTTCCGAGTACGAGTACGAGTACTTGTGTTTCCGAATACGGCAAATGGTTCTTTGTGCGTAATGTGCCCAGGCCAGTCAGACCGATTAAATACAGACCCACTAACGGCTAGCTGTCAAATGTGTTTGTCCGGACGTGCACAGAGGAAAATCAGGAAACTCTGATTTCTCCACAAGCCAATCAACCATTTAAAACTGAAAGTATTGATAAAATAAGGCCTTGGTGTATAAAGTCAAGCTATACCATTCCCCCCCCCCCCCTCCTCCCGAGTACTGCTCTTCGAGTACGAGTAATTTGATGATCGAGTACAATTTCGACATGTCGAGTACGAGTACTTTGCTGCCCGAGCACAAGTACCGTCATTTCACGTACGAGTACTTTGACATTCGAGTACGAGTACGAGTACGAGTACTAAAAAAAAGTACTCGCGTAGTACTTGAGTACGAGTACCGAGTAATAGAACTACAACACTGTCTGTTAGTAAGTCAGTCAGTCAGTTGGATAGGTACAAACAGGACACCAGGCCGGCCCTCTGGGACCAGCAAAATATATTTATTATTAAGGGAATAAATGTGTGCTCCGGAGGTTTTTATCACTCTGTTTAATACCACTTAGAGTCTGGGTGCTGATAATTACCCGAGCCGGAGGCGAGGGTAATTATCAGCACCCAGACTCTAAGTGGTATTAAACAGAGTGATAAATACCGACGGAGTACATATTTATTCCCATTCATAAATACCTTTTCGGTAAAAAAAAATCATATAATTCGTGCAAAACATCCCGATTTTGTTCAACAAATTCACTTTATGCTTTTTGAATCATCCCTCCTGCAAAATAATGGAGTGTTCAGCTGGCGAGTAAGATGAAAACAACCCTTTTATGGAGATTGACGCGCGCGTATGATGTTCTATGCGATGTCGCGCAGAACGCACCTGGCGCGTTGCGTTTTGAATTTAGAACTATAAAATTCTAACTCCCTGGTAGTGTTGCGCATGCCTACGTGAGGATTGTGAACGTTCAACCAATTAAACGATAAGAGGCACTGGATTTTTAGGAGTCCACATTTTATTGTGACACTGGAAAAGTGTTTAAGACCAGCTAGCCATGTCTTTATCATCCGTTTAATACCGGCCACGTGACGGGCTCTCGACCAATAGGAATGGCTAAACTGTCTGAGGTATTTATGAATATCCTATATGATTTCACTCGACAGAAACCGAGGGACCAAGCCGAGTCGTCTGGTTCTGAAACGGCTGAAGACGGACCTTCACCTGATACCCGAGGGTAACTTCCGCTTAGTGCTTGCCGTGGCTGAGAAGCTGAAGCCTGGTATATACACCATGGTGTGCGGCAACCCTGCGCTGCCTAGGGACTCCTACAACGACCTGGTCACATAGAGTACACATGATCTAGTCACGTAGAGATGAGAACTGGTCATATAGTTATGACCTCAAAGGTCACGTAGTTAAGGTCAGGTCACATAGAGTAATGGCCTCGTCACATGGAGATATATGACCGGGTCATACAGAGATATATGACCTGGTCAATTAGAGATATGTGAATGGGTCACATAGAGATATACAAGTATAGCCTGGTTAACTAGTTATGACCAGCAGCTGGGCCCAATTTCATAGAGCTGCTTAAGCAGAAAATTGCTTAAGCACGAAAAACATTGCTTAGTAAAATTAGGTTACCGGCCAAAACTCCATGTGTTGTACGTTTCTTGTGACTGGTATTTAGTTGTTGTTTACTTAGCATAACAATCGCATGGAGTTTTGGCTGGTAACCTGATTTTATTAAGCAAGACGTTTTTGTGCTTAAGCAAATTTTGTGCTTAAGCAGCTCTATGAAATTGGCCCCAGGTCACATAGAGATGAATGATCTGGTCACATGGAGATATATGATCGGGTCATACAGAAATATATGACCTGGTCAATGAGAGATACGTGAACAGGTCACATAGAGATATACACGTATAGCCAGGTTAAATAGTTATGACCTGGGCCCAATGGCTCTGCTAACCACAGAATTCCGCGCTTAGGTTCACTTTTCTGTGCTAACCACGCTAGCTAAAAAAAAAATCTGTGTTAAGGCCAAAAAAAAAAATCTCCGGTTTCTGGTATGCGCGCGCGTCGCCGTAGCCTCAAAGTCTCAAAACCGCCAAACTCACTGGTTTGACTGGAATCTTGCTGCTGCACAATTTTAACGTGTTTTTAGATGGGGTTATGATCGAGAATAAGCTTTATGTGGCCTCTCTAGACTCTCATATATTTGCACTAAGTTTAGTCGGGCACCATTTGCAGTCATCAGCCGACATTTGAAGTAAAAAAGTCAGGTAAAAAAAAAAAAAAGCCGCGTCGCCGCACCACTTTTTAGACAAGCTCCATACCAGAAACCGGAGACTTATTTTTTTTGGCCTAACCCTGTAAGCACAAAATCCTTAGTTACGGGATGTACGCATGTGCACAAAACAAAATTCCTCGCTAACTCGTGAAATACGCTTACCGTAAGCACGGAATTTTCTGCTACAGTAAGCGGGGTTTTTTTCGCAGTAAGCAGAGCAAAGAAATTGGGCCCAGGTCACAATGTGTTACTAGCTTCTTACTTGCGGTTGGCCACAATTTACCCACAGCGGTATGAAACATGGCGTGGGCTTGAGCTGCTTATGTTGGTTGGTTGGTAGATGGGTTGGTCGGTGAACACTTTACTCGGCCATATATTGTATTCATGCATCTCAAGTATTACAGCTTTGCAAGTATTACAGCTTTGCATTCGAAGACTGGTTTTGCAAACACTGTTGAGCATGCGTCTAATTTGCACACTTTCTGCATATTAGATCACGCCCCATTCCTTTTCATTTTCTGCATTCTTGAGGTACCGGTACAGCTGGGGTGCACGGACAGTCAGTATAGCCGTCTTCACACGTTACCCAGCCTCGCTGCTACCCGGCCGCGGTGGGTTGTACCACTTGGTACTTGTTATGAACTGGTTAGGAATGTTAGAGTCAAGGTCTGGCAGGGTCATAATTATGATCTAATTAGCACACAGTCTTGAACGGATCACACGCTGTCTTAAAGGGAATGTACAACATTTGTTTTTGCTGCAATTTTCAGAAATAAATGGATTTGGAGGATTAGTATGTTATAGAAAATATTGTTAAACTGACTTAATTCACGTTTTGGGCTTGTAGATGCTGGAAAAACCAAGAAAACCTATCATTTTCTTGTAGTCTGGTTCCCTGACCCCACTTAAGATGAAACGGAGCAATTAATACACTTTGGGGAATTGTAAGGTCAGAGAATAAGACTAGCAGGCTTGTAGTTTTAGTTGTACCCCTTCACAGGTGTGTAATCAATTGCAAAGAAAAGTCAGAATAACTAAATATGAAAAAGTAGGAACAGTTTTTGAAAAAAGCCAGTTTCTCCAACGCTGGTCGGTCGAGCAGCGTTGGAAAAATACAGTTTTTCTTGAAAATGTCAGCACACCAGGAGCCACGATTTTAAAGGATGCTTTAGACTGTCATTCGCTAACAATTCAGTAAGGTATTACGTGATAATTTGATCATTTCGTTCTTTGATGTTTGCAAATGTTGTATCTTCCCTTTAACGCTGTCATAAGCAGTTCTGAACTGTTCACTATAAACCATTGTCTATGGTTTCAATATTGTCTTAAACAATGGAAGATGACAAGAACTTGCAATATGTTCATACCAAAAACAAACTTAAGACACTGTTAACAATTTTGGTCGCAAGTGGATATGGGGAGACTTCTTTATTTCAAGACATGTACTGTGCCAAGAAATTCAAGAATTCTTCTTAAGATTCCCTTTGCCGGCTTTTCAAACCGAGCAGCACACACACACAGACACCAAAGACAAGTGCTCACACTGAATTGCGTGGTTTGGCACTTGGCTAAGAAGCAACAGTACTTGATGTATTATAGTAAAGCGTACACCTTACACAGAAAACCGACAAATAGTCGTTATTGTTAAAAAAAAATAATGAGAGCAAATGCTAATAATGTCATTATACATTTGAAATTTTCACAAATTATTTCATTTATTTTCTCCTCTCAAGACAATTAGAAACTGAGAAATACACTAGAACTTGTCTGGTAGATTTGACTTTCCACTTTTTTTTTGACAAGCCAGTTTTTTTCTGATTAGCCAGTTCTACGCACAAAAAAACTTTTAAATCCCGTTTCATCTTTCCCCTTATTCTAGGGAACATGATTTTCAGAATCTCGCAAATGCCTTCTTTCTTTTAAATTCAGACGAGTGCATTTTTGCAACATGGCAGTTTGTAGCTACAATTTATTCCTCAACTGTATTTTAAGTCTAAAATGTATTTCATATGATTCCATTGTCTTGTTTTTACAGAAGGAATTAGTCACCCGGCAAGGATAATCGTTAATATTATTACCGCAGTATTATTAAAATATACACCTTATATAACTCTTCCAGCGTAAGCCAAGTGCAATACTTGACATTGTAATTGTATAATTATATGCAAAAGTTGTATTAGCCCCGCCCACTGTGCACGTGGGCAACCACACACGTGCCCCTCTCCAATGCCACACTGCATGTTCCAGCCGTGCGCGTCATACGCGCAAGCACGCGCGTCAGACTTTTGTGCACGCATGTCGGACATATTTCACTGCTGTGATTGGTCAAAACACACTGGGCGGAGCTTATTTAATGGATCGGGCTATTGCCATCACAGTCAATCGTAAGTCAGTCACAAGTCAGTGGTCTCAAGACGAGGTTTCGAATGATTGAAACGAACCTATGTTAGACGCGCTCTTTTTTGTCAATATGACCGTAGTGACTTGTGATTAACTTTTTATTGGCTCGATTAATAAATGTGATTAAATGTAAACAAATCTAAATGATTTGTCACTATGTTTTGTGTCCAAGTCTTATGAAGTTCGGTCTGTTTTTTTCGTAAAGTGTTGTTAGAGGTTCAATCAGACTAAAATTGTTGAAACTCGCAGGAAATGATTATATTTTCAGTTTGAAAAGTGGTCCTTTCCTCGCCTTCCACCTCGATGACCCGGGTTAAAATTCCTCGGAGGCCGACAAGTGGGTCGTATATTCAGTCCCTGATGGTTCCACAGGAGTAGTCCCAGTTCTTCGGAAAATATATTGTATTGTCTTGCCTCGACCGTACCAGACACGGTCTTGGTACCAAAATTGGCACGATTCATGCAATAATTGGAGACGTTAATTCAAACCCTGAACCGACCGTCTACCAAACTGGCTCAGTGTTAAACCGACGACACTTAATTGGCAAAAGTTTCTCAGCTGGGTCACGTCAGCACTGTTTAGTGTCCAGGTCTGCTCGAAAAAAATCTTTAAAGTCTTAAAAAAAATTACACCTCGAGATTGAAATTCGATTTCAAAAATAGAGACCACATAATATACGGACAATAATTACGATCGGCACCATTTTTTTTAATAATCGGCTAGAGTAGAAAGTGTGGTTTACGCGCGACATAGATCCCATCGAAGTTGCTGTAGCGGATGTTATTTTGGATCTGGAACCCAATCTCCTGCAGGAAGTTTGGTAATTGCAGACCGTTCTGGTACTCGTCCATGTAGGGCTCGGGGCCATGCTGGGCCGTGCTGTTCCACTCTTCGCCCCACGTGTTACTTTGAATGTTGATTTCGCGCCATTCCGAATTCTGCCAGTACAGCACTGCGTTAGGAAGAGATCGAAAAAAGAAAATGAAGTACAAACAAATCCAAAACGATCCATAAAATATTTTCAGGTTTGTGACGACTTTAACTCCCCCCAATCTCTGAGGTATTTTGGTTTTCAGCTTAAAGGGCGAGGCCCGGGGTGGGGCTGGCCCCACAGGTACTCCAAGTTTGAGGTAAGTTGAGCCTCTTCTAATGACGAGATCGTTTTGGTGGGAAGAAATATGAACTATAGAGGCAAAGTATTTTTATAGTAGATTAAAGGAAATAGCGAAAGGTTTGTTAACGTTCAAAAGTTTGACTCTGCCACTAAGAAATATAGTTTCAGTATCGTAGTCGGGCTTTCTTTCGTTACCGGTAGGTATTTTGTGTAAGCTGGGCTTCGTCTCTATCGAACCATAATTTTGTAGGTCTTTTTTTATTCGCAAGAAAAAAAATTCAAGACTGCTTTTTACAGTGGCACACTCAGGGAGGGCCGCTCGGTGGCTGTAACCTCGCCTCCGAAGCAATGCCACGACCGGGATCTCAAAAGTCAGGGGCCTCAAATCCTATAGGCTAGAGTTAGAGCCGTCTCTGACTCGGAGATATTTCAGGAACTTTCCCGTACTCACCGTCAAATCCACTGACCACGCCCTCGGGTCTCAGCAGGCGGTGTATCTCCCGCAGGACCCGCTTGCTGTTCTCCTGCGGCATCTCGTGCAGGACATAGGTGAACTGGACCAGGTCGAAGGACTCGGACTCGAAGGGCGTCGCCTCCCCGTTGGCCTGGTAGAAATGCACGTTGGACGCGCCGCGTTTCTGCTTCCACAGGCGGCAGAATCTGTTCAGCGGACGAGGAGTGATTTGGTTTAGAAGTGATTAACTTTTCATGCATTTCTACGCAGCTTACTTGAAACTTGGAACTGGAGTTGTGTCGCTCGAGAAATAGGAATGCGATATGCCGGTATTATATGCGTGTGTATGTTTTTTGGATGTGTTTCGAAAAATGATGCCTTGTGGAGACCCGGGTATAATACTGAACAACAGATAAGGTCTCCACAAGGCAATTTGTAAAGGTGAATAGGTTTCCACAAGGATTTCACGAAATAGATATACGGATTTTAGTAAAAACCAGGAATTTCCAAAGTATACTTATCAGTCGTAAATTAAAGTACTTTATGTAAGGGACATTTCTGGTTAAAATAAGAGCGTTTTGAAAATAGCTTTCGACCCTCTCACGATTTTGTCAAAGCGATGTCTCCACAAGGATACAAATTTCAGTATGTGTGTTTGATGTTATCTACGCAGTGTAAACTGTATACTGCATGCAAGCAAAAAAAACGCGTGTTATAAACCTGTGGTATTTGTGTTTAGCCTCTTGTCCATTATGGATATTGTATATCACAGCGCTATAGTTCTTTGCAATGCGAGTGTCACTGAGAGGGACTTCTAGTGACAATGTCGGCACTAGTTGTCACTCATTTAAAGGAATATTAGAAATCGGTGATGAGTTACACTTGATTCTACAGTTTCAAATTCAAAGCAGTCTCACGAAGTTCATCAGTTCAATGAACACACAAAAATGGCTCAAGGTGTGATACAAAATTAGATAAGACATGCAGTTAATACCTACCTCACATAAGCCGGAGCAAGGTCAATGGCTATGACTTCAGCGCGGGGAAATATCTCTCCCAAAGCGAAGGCAGAAACGCAGTTACCGGTACCGATCTCCAGGATCCTCTTCGGCTGACGGTGTCCGTGAAGCTGCTCCAACCAGGGCCTGAGAATCTCCTCGTTCTCAAAGTTGAACTTGTTGGCAGTGCTGTAGGACATCCGCACAGTGCGGCCGTTGAGGTAGCCACCGGGATTGAAGTGCACGTAGGTCTTGTCGTAGTGGTACGGGTACTGGATCGGGGAGTCCAACCCCGGAGCCCAGACGTCTGAGTGGTCAGCCTTCCCGGCAAACTCGGGAAGGGTCGCCACGTAGGCGCGGTAGTACTCGTCGAAGGCCTCGAACCCGATGTCGTTGTGGCGGAAGGACCGCATGAAGATGTAATTCTCGAACGGCGTGATGGGTTCCAGCGCGTCTGCCTCGCTGTCGATGACGGGGGGCTCCGGAGCGAAGGCCGGTAGGCGATCCACGATGAGGAACTTCATGAAGCTCAGGTAGTTCTTGAGGTACTGGGGCTCGCTGCCGTCCCAGTTAATCCCAAGAAAGTCACTGTATAGAAATTAATAGTAGCGCAATGGTCACTCTTTGTGTTAGGCCGAGTAAAAAGTTTAAAGTAATTTCTCGTCCGGCCTTTAAGAAAAAAGAAAACATTTAAGGAGGCGGTCGATTGATTTTCGGTTTTCCATGATGGCGGTTTTCCAAGATAGCAGATGGATTTTTCGCTTTTTTCAACTATTTTGCTGATACACTAATTGTGCCCAACTGAGGAACCTAATCCTTTCTATACGGAATAGCTACAATCGGTTGTTGGAAACAAATAAACTGACATTATTAACGATACATGTGCAAAATATGTTGCAAATAATTATATGAAATATAAACTTTTAAAAAAAGGAGGCAGCTGGGGAAAATTGAAGCGGGAGGAGACGACAAACTGCTTTAGGAGGAGACGACAAATTGCGCATGTAAACAAATCGTGACGTGATTATGTCACAGAGCTATCGAGCTACCTGTACAGATCCGTCTGAGCCAGAGAGTTGTACTTCATGAGCGTGTCTTGGATGTAAGCATCCAGGCTCTGCACCGTTGCCTCGGCCTCGCACGGCAGCTTGAGATCCTTGTAGTACCAAGGCTTCAGGGCGTCAAACTGCTTGAAGTCCACGTAGCTTCGGTGGATGAAGCCCTCTGCTTTCCCGCCATCTTTGGTGAGCACGGTGAACTCGATGCGGTAGGTCGGCAGGCCGCGGAAGTCGGGACCTTCTAGGGCCACCACCGATGCCTGGATCGGGATGCCGAAGATGGCTTTTGGGAAGTAGGATGCTGTCGCTAAGGGCAGCAGCCCCAGGGCCAGGAGAAAAACGGCTCGAAAGAGGGACCGGATATTCATTTTGCCTTCTAAATTGTAAAATAAAACCTCACGGGTGAAGCTGTGAGGATTATGTCATGCAAAGAACAAGATGCCGAACTAGCCTGGTTTTCTAATCAGTGCCGTAGACACTCACTTGACGATAGCCCTAAAAGAACGCAACCAGTGTAAGCCGTTTTCCGCGAAAAAGTTCGGGGAAAAAACATACTTTCGATCAAGTTTGAAACCGATCTTGTTTCCTCGTTTTTAAGAGTTATTCAGCACACCATGAGATAAAATTTACAGTCAGTAAAGCTCGGGTATGGAGTAAAATACATTGTTTGTTTTCGAGAGGATGATCTCTCTGAGCCACCGTACAACCCTGATCTGTTGACTCTGTGCTGTTATCTTCATAATGTTTCAGTTGGTTTTGAATTTCATAACTGGGACGATCAAAGTGCATCTCTTATGACATCAAGGTTATTATTGTTTGATGATTTTTTTTTTTATGACAACATTCTGGGTATCTAATGAACAAAACCATTTAAGAACGTGTACATGGCATGCTTGATATCCAAAAAGCGGAAGACGTGCTTTGTTTTTTATTTGAGAAGTTATAGACCTTTCTATTGCTTGTAAACATTGAGCGCCATTTTGTATGAGCTGCCGCATGCGCATAAATTAAAGCCGTAGTTGGCAACATATTTTCCAAAACAATCCTAATTACACCTTCATTACATAAGAAAAAGGCATGTTTAGGAATTATTTTGTAGCGTATGTTGATAATTTTGTATTTTCAACAACCAAATAATATTTTTGGAACCATTAATAACCATACCTTTAGTTTTGCAGTGTTGGACCTTCCGTAGTTTGGCAACCCGTGGTTGGCAAAATGTGCCAACCACGGCGTCGCGTCGGTGATAAAAAGGTCCATACTAAGATGCACCGACAATTGTTAGATATAATTATTTCGTGTTTTCACCTTCGCAATTTTGTTCAGTGCAATCCTAGATCCTAAGAGCTAAAGATGGGCGGAACAGTTCAGATAATGCCCAAAAGACAAAACAATGAATCAAAGTTTGCGTCCCCCTTTAATATCATAATACTACAGCTGATAAAGATTATACAACTTAAAGCCTCTGTCTGAAGTATAGTGCACAACGAAAATGTGGTCAAAAGAGGGCGCCGTATATGATTAATAGGAGGGCGCTATTTAATTTGGGTAAATACCGCAGACACACGTGTTTATAAAAAAAAAATCATGATGTCTGCGGTAAATACGAAAGACTTCATCCAAATTAAACAGCGCCATCCTTTTGTGTCCGCCATACCTCAAATAGGCTAATGAGGTTCTGTTTGTTGGCCAAAGCAATGTATGCACATAGCTTCAGTTGAACATTCGTCATCGGACCGAAATGTCCATTTGTTCCAACTCAAGACCATAAAAGTTTCCTCACTTTCCAACATTCTCCAGTGATGTAGGCCCAACATTAAACCCAAAAAATGTTGTTGAAAACATTATTTCACTTTAACATTAATAAAAGTCAACTGTCAAATACTGAGAACAACAAAAGTAATACGAATTTTAATAATAGGTTTGAAAATATCAAGCATAGGAAAATTGAAAAGCACAACCACTTTGGGTAAAAAGGTTTGATGTATGCATGGCGATGATACACTGGCAATCTGCTGTTTTACTTCCCGGATGTAATATACATGTATGTTTTTCTTCTATTAGTATTAGACTATTAATACTCAATTTCTTTAGAATCGCAGATTCCAGCACCATCTGTTAGACAATCCAGACACGACTGTTGCTATTAATGGCAACAGAACCCGGCCATCACACATTCTTATTCAAATTGTAGACTTCCTGGGCTTTTCTAAATAATTGCCTCTTAACATTTCTGTGAATACAGTGATAACAGCTGTACCGCCATTTGTTCGCGCATTCTGCTTTATTAAACCACGGACCATTTACACATAAATGGTCGTGATTAAACGCGCCTCGCAAGCTGTTTAACATCTACGTCACAGCGAAGTTTGACGTCATCATTGGTCATCGCAGATTACGATGCCATGTAAAAACAAATTCCAATGTAAACAAAATGAGGGGCCCGTGTAGGGAATGTATAAAAAAAAAAACTTATCGCGAGTGAGTGTCGTTTATGCACAATCATTATCAATTAGCAAAGACTCCGTTCATAAACCTGTAATTATAATTCCACTTTATAACACCACAATATTGCGGAGAGATTGTTATGAGATTTTTGGGCGAACATGTAAAGTGGCGAGCAGTTCAAGACAAGACGTTACAACTTGTCAAATTTGGTGCACATGTATTGTGATGGTATTTTATGATTCGGTTAAACTCGGCAATATTAAAGTAGTATAATAAATATTGGAATTTATGTTGACGGAAATATCTTCACTTTCAGCAAAGTCATGAACATGAAATCCGATTTTCTCACTGCGCCATTAAAGTAAACTAACCGGTTGTAATTACAAATGTATCCTCTCTTTTTTTGGCAACTTGGTTAGCCTCTACAGAAAGTTCGTAAACTGCAACCCTGTTTATGTTCCGGTCACAAATATAGCGGGTTTTATTTAGGATTAGGGGCGAAGCACCGGGATGAATGAGAAGTGAGGAAAAACTACAACCCGATCTCACAAAATCTCGCGCCCGTTGACAATATCGCTCCCTTTCCATCCCTTTAAACGCCACCCGTCTCTTTAAGGGCACTATCGACCCATGAATGAGAGTGCTTTTATTTTTAGCCCCTGATGATGTTATGTTGAAAGATGTTCCCAACTCCGACCAGCCAGTCCACCGTTTTCCAAACTGTCCGCGTGCCAAGCATGCACGGCATTGCTGGCATTCCGACTAAGGCCGCGAGGTGGCGCGCTCCCTGCATGACGTCAATCACGCAAAATTAGCTGGGCCGTTTTTGCAAATCTCGGCTTCGGTGTCCAGCTTCGAGAGGATATCTCTGGCCCCAGAATCGTTCAAAAGCTTTAATACCATAACCAAGTTGAAACACTGGAAACCTTTATCTCAAATAAAATGATACAATTATGATCTTAGAGGGAAAATAGTTGAATTCCTCCAGTACCCACGGAAATACGGGTGTAGAAATCTATTAGAGCCGAAACTGAAAACGAAGTCCATGATTTTGAAAACCTCCATACAAGTAGTCTACCCGCGCTCACTGTGCTATAGTTGCGGTGTCGAGTCACGGCATCAAATGCCTACCCCCCCCCCCCCCCAATTCCTTAGGCAGTTAGGGTCACCTTAATTCATCTTCCCGTTACTGACAACTCACACATCACTGTGTAAATGGTCCTTGGATTACCCAAGGGAAGCTCGTTAGAACCCTTGCTCTATAGAAGGCAACACCGAGGTGTCGAGGGCGCTATATGCAGTGACCCTTCTTTTTTCCCCATCTCACATATCTCACGGAATAAATTATCGTCACGATGTCATGTATTTCACCAGAGAGAAAGTCTTCAACTATCTTATGAGGATTCGGGAATGAAAGATGATTTCCGGGCATCTATAAAAAAAAATATATATATATATGAAACAAGGGCGGATCCAGAACACAATTTTTTTGGGGGGGCCAAAAAAATTTTGTCCCACAAAAAAGTGGGTCAAAAAAATTACGGCGTGGGGTTCGGCTTAAGGGCCCCGAAAATTTTTTGGATTCTAGATGCTCTGTGGTGCGATCTGAGGCAATTTCTAACCACTTTAACCAATGTTTTTTTTGAGGAAAAGATGGTGGTGTACTCATTGCCTGCCTTTATTGCGATGTCACATAAATTTAAAAAAAAAAATGGTTTCGTTTTTTTTTTTTGGGGGGGGGGCCATGGCCCCCTTTGGCCCCCCCTGGATCCGCCCTTGATATGAAACCGAAATTTTGCCCATTATGAAAAAACACCCCATATTTTCCCACTCTTCAAGCTCCACACAGCTAAAATAAAACCATTTTGTTTCCAGTCTTTATTTATCTGCAGCTTTAGTTTAGAGATGGGCTTATAATTAGAATAACTTCTGTGTCTCTTGGAGGAACGGTTTTGAAAGGAGGGTAAATGGTCCAACAGCGACGAGAAAACACGGCGACACGGAATACTCCCTTCGCGGATCGGCCCGCGTCGTTGATTGAGAGTTGATTGGCTATTTTTATTGAGAGATTCATAGAAACAATTGGAAGACAGTGCTATTGACGCTTGACATTGTAAATAAACTATAGTAACTGTTGCTATTTCCGGCTTGAATATTCTAATGGTCCTCTTTGTTTAAAGTTGGTGTTTACGTGCATGCTTTTTTGGGTGTGGCACCTTGAAAAATAGATTTTCAAATTGAATTGTTAATTTTCTAGTATAACATTAATTATGAGTCTTCCAATGAGACATCGCACGAAAAAAATCGGCCCACGACAAGTAATCAATTAATTAATTTCCACTTTTGAATTAAGAGCGGGACGCTCCTAATTCGTTCTGAATATTATAGTGTGCGCAATTTCTGAACTGGAGCGCGCCACTTTTTAAAACAACTTTTTAAAACTGTATAAAGGCCTGCAAAAAACAAACAAGCAAATTTATTTGTTACAGGACATTGTATTCCTTCAAATTTCGTTCGAAAAGGAAAATCGTAATTTCGAAAAAGCGAAAAACCTTGCAACAAGGGAGTGCCCGGCTTCGGTGCGTCAAGTCCCTGAAACTACAACCAACGTCACGAAACTTTATGCGCAGTGGTATAACTCCACTTAGGGCCTTTGCCAAATGTTAATGCGCAAGTTGTGCAACAGTTCACTTTGTGCAACATTTCAGTTAACACCACCATAGAGTTAAATATAGGGCCTATGTGTATATATATATATACCGGTATATATTTTATATATTAATAGTTATAACACATTTCACGAAAGTTGCATTCATGTATAGTGTGTATACGTCCGCGACTTACAAATCATCATTTATATTTAAAGGGAATATACATCATTTGCTTTTGCTGTAATTTTCAGAAATGGATGGAATTGGGGGGGTTGGAAATATATAGCAAATATAGTTACACTGACTTTTTTGAGGTTTTGGGTTCAAAAATGCTATAAAAACCGAGAAAAACAATCATTTCCCTGTAGTCTTGTTCCCTGACTCCATATAAGAAGAAACAGAGCAGTTTACATACATTGGGGAATTGTAAGGCCAGGGAACCAGTCTATCTGGCTTGTACCCGTTCATAGGTGTGTAATCGATTGCAAACAAGTGCGATGGTCAATTGGGGCCAGTACTTGAAAAAAAAGCCAGTTTTTTCCAACGCTGGTCGGCCGACCAGCGTTGGAAATTGATACAAAAATAGGTG